TTGCGATATCTGGCAAATGTTGTTGATGTTTGATTTAAAGTGGTAATCAATGCAAGAGCACTGGCCGTAAGGGTCAATTTGAGTAACCTTGATGGGCTTGGGTGAGCTATCGTCATAGCATGATTTAATGTAACCTTGATGGTTTAAAGTGTGATGTTTGTTATTGAAGTATGGAATCCTTTATCTGGGATATTGTGCAACTATGGCAGCAGGGCATAGTTGTCATATTTGAATATGCTTGTTATTGATTTGATAAAGATAACATCTCTTATTACGACCATCATTATGGGTGTGATTGAATACACTACTGTGATCAGGAGTGATTCATTCACACGATGTGCGATATAAGCGTGTATCTTTACTTTAGTATGTTTAAATGGTTGTTGATGTACATTTGAGCGCTTTTACTAATAGATCAAAATAGCATGAATTTGAATGAGTGCTATTTGATGAATTTCGGTTTTCAATCAAGTTGCGTTTGGGTGGCTATTTTATTACAATCTTGATTTTGCACACAGTGGAAAGCTGATACTTTATTGTACATTTCATTCGTGTGATTCTAGCTATTCAACACCTTGTTGAATACATCAGACTTTAGAAATATAGAGCTTTAATTTATGTACTTCTTCGTTAACACAACCTACTACATTTTGTTTTAGATCAAATTCTGTCTAGATTTAGTCATTTTGAAGCACGAATAGCTCATGCTACAAAGCGATGTGGACGCTCGGAATAAGGCAAAACGGCTCTCCTTTGATACGCCTTGTTTACTGATGCATTATCTCAAAAATTTTTAGGCCATCGCAAATCCATGAAAATTTTCATCTTTCCATGAGTATTAGCAAGGAAAAATTCTTGAAAATCAAATGATCACGTTTTTCACCCCAAAAATGAAGACTTTTTCTATGATACCTATTAGATCAAATTGATTGTAGAAACGGAATGCAACACTGGACGCTTTTTCTATGAGAGTTGTATATGCTAAATTTTGACATATCCACAAAAAACCTGTTTTCATATTTTTGCAAATTGCTCATTATTTTAGGTCTGAAAACTGGATGTAATCGGCACCATTCGATGTGGCTTTTTTAATTCTCTAGAGAGGTATTAGAAAGTTGGGCGTTATAACGACAATTTTCATAGTCAAATTTAGCAAAAAACGTTTAAAGGATGCCAGATCAAGTCAAGTTTGAACACGAAAATACCACTGCACAATTTTAAATTAAATTGCGGCAATTACCGCTGCTACGGTACAGTACTGCGACTAAATAATCTACCGGCCGTGACGTTGGATAGGGCGCCCTCTCATGTTTCCATACCCCCATTTTTTTTTTCTCTTTTTGCAAAACGCGTTTAGCATCAAACCATGGTGATTATGGAAACCGTTTGATTGATAACAACATTCTAGCTTCTGATAAGTTTGACTTGTACTGTTGGGAGAACTTGATACTGCTTGTTTGAAGTGAAATATATTAGGTATTATTCGATGACGAACACTGGAAGGCTTAGAATTAACACTAACTGAATTCGTTTATTGGATTTTTTCGTAATTTTTTTTTACCTGTTTGACGTGGGTGCTGCTGCCGTTTTTTTTCTGCTATCTCTGCTGTCTGCTTCTTTGGTTTTTGCTTGGTCTCTGCTGGTGTCGTTCGTTCTTTGATTTTTGTTTGGTCTCTGGTGTCGTTCATTCTTTGGGTTTTCTATGGTGCTGGTGTTGCTGGTGTTGCTGCTGCTGCTGCTAATTTGCTCTTTATTGGTCTACTGTCTTTGGTGCATGCTCGTTCCCTGGCCTATATCCGGTGATTGCGTATCCTATGGTCTACATGTAGCTGTGGTATGTGGTAAGTGGTAAGTAACTTCTTTCTTCTGGCCGCAATGATATAAAACTTCTTTGAACTTTTATATTATTACTTCCTTTCTCGTAATAATGCATTCATGATGTTTGCCTTGTTGCGCTTTCTTCTTCTTCTTTTTCTTTTGATGGTTGTGTTTCCTCTGTGGCTTCACATGAAACAACATTAGTCATTATGTTGTGTCGCAAACTTATAATACCACTGTTGCTTTTGCAGTTGTGCGTGTTTGTGCTGCTTTACATACGACTATTACCGTGCATGTTGCTCATGTATGCATTTTTCTTGCAACAGCAACAAGCTTTTTTGAACATCTTTAATGTTGTGTTTGTTACGCTTTTCTTTGACTCGCTTCGTGTGAGTGTCTCTTTTTTGCCTACTACTATACTCCTATAGTAGTATGCTCTTTTCTTCTTTCATTTATTATTTTTATGTTTCTTTGAAGCATACCTTTTTTACGTTGTGTGGATGTGCCTATCCCTGAAGCTCAACAAGACTTTATCCGAGGCTAGGAGGTAGATAGGCCGCCTCCACTTGGTTATCACTACTTACTTTAGTGATGATTGAGAGTCTCAACGCCAGAATCTAAAGCTAGGTGGTGTAAGTAAGGCATGCTCTAGCACCTGAGGGAAATTTGATGATAGCATCCGCTATATTGCTCTATATAGCGGCGCTTAAAATTTTGCTTCAAATCAAAACAGGGGGAAACCCTCGCAAATTTTTTTTTAGGTCAGCGGAGTTTTTTGGGCGATCTGATTGGCTCGGGGGTCGAAAGAGCGATGGGTTATAACTAGTTGATCTGCTATTGATCTGCCATTTAACATTATATTGTGTTCGTAATAAAAGAATATCTAAACAGTTACAACTTATGTTCTTTTATATATTCTAAAGCAAGACAAGGTGCCATCATTTGATCTAGCATCTATTAGACAGTTTCATGCGAGGAATGTCTTTGGCTTATTATGTGGGAAACTCACATAGGAAATACTGCAGCATAGTATTGTTTGCGATGTTGCTACAGTAGTATATTCTAGCTACCATCCCGCCACCAAACAATTGCTGTTACATTTAAAAACTATAATGCAGCGTTTTCTGCTTCAAGGAGCGTACCTTTTTCTCAGCTGGAAGTACATAGGGCTACGAAGAAGTTAATAATTTTACAACTTTTTTGTGGAAAAAAAATAACTGCTATATGAGTACAATAAATCTATCAGACAACAGCTAATACCTTTTGCGGCATTAATTTTGGGCTACTACTACTTACATAGAAAAAAATGCCTTAACAAAAGCGATTTCGAGTTTGAGGCTGGAGCCATCCAAAACCGAGTTTCGAGATAGTAACCCCAGAGCGTTGAAAATAGCATGTTCTTATAATACCGATTATCTGGCCTACCAAAGACGATGATGCCACCAGTTAAATTTGCGTAGCTAGCATCGTAATTGAGAAATTCACACTTTTATACTTTTATACAATGATTAATTTCAAACAGCTGCTACCAGTAGTTAAAGTCATTATATTATTATTATTGAAATATTATAGATAATACGTGTAATAAAAAGTGTAAATTGTACTTTGACTAGGATGAGCTTGATTTGGGCTTGTCAAGGACGATGTCGATGAGTAGTGATGGAAAATCGTAAAAATGGCCGATTTTTGAACGGCTGTATCTCTGGATTTTACCAAGTGAGACCTACTACCCTAAAGCTTGGTAGTTTCTGTTTCTGTTTATTTTTCAATTTCCTGCATGAAGGGATTCTACATCGTCATGGGCAATGCCTCAGAACTCACTGTTGATGGCATTGTCGAGACGATTCGAAAGCGAGAACACAGAGGCATTTACTCCCATCATCTGTATTCGTCTGGGCTAAATCCTCCTATTGAGAACTTTTAATCTACAATGAAAGCCTCACGTCAAGAGCAGAAAGTTTTCTGGAGATGAAGATCTTAAGATAAGAATACTGGAAGCATATGATGGGATAAGAGCTCTTAAATAGATGCCAGCATTCTGTGAATGCGATTGGCAAATGTCTTTGAACGGAACCTATTCAATACACTTCTTTTCAGTATATAAATATCATTATCCTTTTTTTTTTAAAAAAAAAAAAATACTGAATGTCATTATTGCATATGCCATTTGGGGTTGACAAAAGCGCACATTTAGATGTTAGAAAGCGCGGTTAGACTTAGTCCAACGTGTCAATTAGTACTAGAGATACTTTATTCATCAGATAAAAAAAATTACATGGGAACAAACTATACATTTGAGGCTACTTAAACACTAAAGTAGAGGCTATCCATCAAATCAAAGGCATTTCAATAATATGGATAAGTAACACTGTAGCACCCTGATTTAAACCGTCCTCGAGACATTAGCTAGCATTTAATTAATACACTAACTAAATGTTTATTCAGAACAAACCATCAACACTGTCTCTCTCGATCGAGGTCTTATGCTATATACTGAATTAACATTTCAAATTTGGTAATTTACTAGCCTGAGATCTGATGGATGTTTTGTTGTTTGTCTCTTTTCAACAGTCATTTTGCATGGACTATCTCACAATACCAGCAGTAATGAACACTATAAATAATACAGACGCCTCAAAAAGCCAAGACTATTAAGACTGAATGACTGTTACACACTCTCTTTTGATAAATTGCCTAAATTTAGTGAATATCAGCCCAATTTAGTGTAGCACTATCAGGTACATGTCGTCATGGAACAGTAACAACGTTTGCCCGCGATCTTTGAGCATTTCCCTTTTGATTCACTCTTTGTGATAAGTATTATAATGCTAAAAGAGTGATCATCTGTTTGGTGGGTCTACAAAAGTATGTCTAGCAAAACGGTATGCATGTAAAGAGCTCCTTTTAGTTTACAAAGAAAAGATTTCGATGCTGGATCGTTCGGAAAGACAGGTTTAATGGGGCGCTTCGACGTAATAGTTATGTTACAATATTTATAATGTGGTGTTCCGTTTTGTTGGTCTTGTAAATATTGTTCGATGAGAGTCCTGTATCACAAGTAGAATCCAGTGCCTCATCATCGTCTTGGCCTATATATAAAAGAAGGAAAAGATCTCCCATTTCTTCCTATTTCCTTTTCTTTTCTTGTCATTTATTTCTCATCACGTAACTAAAACGCAATTATGGTTTTTCTCTCAAACGCAATCTCAAATGGTACGCAAACGCTTGTTCTCTTACTGTCAATAGACTGAATCTCTAAATGCATGTACAGCTCGCATCGAAGCATCCAATAGCCAAGGTGAACTCCACCATGAGACTGTAGGTACCACCATTTACGGTACCAGATGGGCTAGTCAAGATATTCCCAGGTAAGGACACGGAGCATATACACAAGCACATTTCATTTTACTCACACAAACGACAACAAATTTATAGATTCGAGATGCCCCAGGTAAGTTTGCTAAAATGCATTAATAAGGTGCATGATTCCCTAAACATTATCAATCTGTGTTACGTCTGACAGGAAGAGATGCCATCAAGTAAGTTTGCCATGATTTGTTTTGCATGAGATCATTATATTTATGTGTTAAATACGCCTAGATGTTGCTTACAGATTGATCAAGGACGATTTGGCTGTAAGTGCATAGACCGAAACTTTCAAAACACCGTTTATTCGGATACTAACATGCAACATAGCTCGACGGTAACCCTGCCCTCAACCTCGCTACCTTTGTCACCACTTATATGGAAGAAGAGGCTGAAAAGTTAATGGCCGAAAACTTGTCCAAGAACTTTATTGATTACGAAGAATACCCTCAAAGTGTTGAGCTCTGTGTAAGTGTGGTGATTTGTGCGTGCTACTTTGCATGTGTTGAGTGCTTTGTCATGCTGACTTTGTCTTCCTTTAGAACCGCTGCGTCAACATGATTGCTCGACTCTATCATGCTCCTATGCACAATGCTGAAGAAGAGGCCCTTGGTTGCTCCACTGTCGGTTCTTCTGAAGCTATCATCTTGGCTACATTAGCCATGAAGCGTCGCTGGCAAAACGCTCGCAAGGAAAAGGGTTTGCCTTATGATAACCCTAATTTAGTCTTGGGTGCTAACTGTCAAGTGGCCTGGCACAAGGCTATCCGCTACCTCGAGATTGAGCCTCGCGAAGTGGAGTGTACTGAAGAACTCCTCTATATGGACCCTCACAAGGCTGTTGATCTTGTGGATGAAAATACCATTGGTGTGTGCGCTATTCTTGGCTCTACTGTAAGTGTTATATACTGCCATCTATATACAGGACAAAAGCAAACTAATAAACATGCACAGTATACCGGACATTATGAGGATGTCAAGACATTAAATACCCTGTTAGAAGCCAAGAATGAACAAAACGGATGGGATATTGGTATTCACGTTGACGCTGCTAGTGGTGGTTTCGTAGCTCCCTTTGTTGTACCTGATTTGGAATGGGATTTCAGATTGAGTCGTGTTGTTTCCATCAACGTCTCTGGCCACAAGTACGGTTTGACTTATGCTGGTATTGGTTGGGCTGTATGGAGAAGCGCAGAGTACTTGCCCAAGTCCTTGATTTTCAATATCAATTATTTGGGTAGTGATCAAGCTTCATTCACCTTGAATTTCAGTAAGGGTGCTGCTCATGTTATTGCCCAATATTATGTCATGATTCGTTTGGGTCAAGCTGGTTTCCGGAAGATTATGGGTAACTTGACTGCCACTGCTGATCATTTGGCTGATAAACTCAGGGCTACTGGTCGTTTCACCATCATGAGTGAATCCAACGGTCGTGGTTTACCCTTGGTTGCTTTCAGACTGAACGAGAAGCACCATTACAACGAGTTTGACATTTCTGCCAAGTTGCGCGAACGTGGCTGGATTGTACCCGCTTATACCATGGCTCCTAATGTCGAGCATCTCAAAATGTTGCGTGTCGTTGTTCGCGAAGATTTCTCTCGTTCTCGTTGCGAAATTTTGGTAAGAGACATCTTGGCTGCTGTCCACTCTTTGGATGAAAATGACGAATCGACCATTAAAAAGAAACGGTAAGTCATGTCATATATTTTGTATATATGAGAATTGTACCAACATGTCCTACCATACATAGTGAGCACCACTCCAAGCACTCTCACAGCGCTGTCTATAGCAGCAACCCCAACAAGCCCATCTCCAAGGCTTCCAAGGAGGCTGAAGCCAACGCAGTACAAGATCCCAAAAAGCCTACTCAAGGCATCTGTTAATCATTTTGAAGGGAAATATCTTGTTTCAATAAACTTTTATTTTTGAAAAAAAAATCAATCTTTCTTTTTGAGTGCTTTTGACAGCAAGGCAGGTGAGGAGTGGTTTGACGAGGGATAATCTACATTGGCTGCTGCTGCAAATGTAGGTTGAGGAATGGCTGTGGATCTGAAATTGACATTTGCATTGGCCATGATGGGCGTATTATGCAATGATTGATGTTGGTGTTGTTGTTGCTGCATTTGAGGAGCGTAGTACCCTGTATATTGCTGCTGCTGCTGTTGCTGTTGTTTCTTTAATAAACGAGCAGAGCTCACAGACTCCACTTGCACACAAATCTCTTTTAATCCATCAATATGGCTCATAAAGAGCTCAGTGACGCTTCTGCGAATATCTTGTGTCTTGACTCCATCTTGAACAAACACGTGGATAGACCCAACCACGGTCTCAGCCTCATTGGGCCAGAATCGACAGGTATCCACGCTTGTAACACCTTCCAGACGTTTCACCTCTTCCAACGTACCTTCCACTTGATTTACAACTTGATCACTCAATTCCAGCATCAAGACAGAGGCTGACTGACGGATCAAAGGGATAACTGACATGACAATCAAGACAGCAATAAAGAGAGATGCAATAGGGTCAAATCCAGTCCAGCCAAACCATTGGATTAACAGTGTAGATACAATGACGCCTGCAGATCCCAACGTATCAGCCATAATGTGCAAAAAGACGCCTTGCATGTTAGCGTTATGGCCATGATCATGGCCGTGGCCGTGGCCGTGGCCGTGGCTGTGTCCGTGTCCATGATTATGTCCATGTCCATGATCGTGTCCTCCGTGGGCGTGACCATGATTGAACGCAAAAATACCCACCAAATTAACAATCAAACCGACGAAACTGACAAGCAAAAGTCTATCTGTGCTCATTTCGGGTGGATGAACGAGTCGCTGGATAGCCTCAATCACGATAGAGCATGAGATCAGTACGAGGAATACACCGTTGAAGAAAGCGGCGATTGTTTCAATACGGTTGTATCTAAAAATACCATGGCCTTAGTGTTTTTTTAAGCATCGACAGCTGTTATCAACCATAACTTACCCATAAGAATACTTTTGATTTGAGGGCCATTTACTCATGACAGATGCAAACAAGCCAATACCCAATGCAAGACAGTCAAAAAACATGTGAATAGCTTGTACAAGATGAGTTGCTTCGTCTGTGTTGGTGTTTTAAGGCTTCCTTACCATCTGATATAAGACCTAATGAATTGGTCCATACGCCATACGCTAATTGCACAAACATGTAGGAGAGATTCAACAGTAAAAAGTAAAAGATCTGCTTTGAATCTTGGTTGCCAAGGATAATACTCAATGAATGCTTCAAGAAGCCTACAAGCGATGTGGAAGCTGCGTCAAAGACAAGTGATTTGCCGTACCCTAACTCTGCTGATTCTGCATGTGTTGGTAAATCTAGCATGGATGTTGAAAACATGGTGTGTGTTTGTGATGATAGATAACGTGTTTTTTTCAGAGACTAGTACTGTTGCTGTTTGGCGATAAATGGGTATAAGCGATAAAAATAAATAGAGAAAAGAAAGGGAAGAGTGGAATAAAGGGGCAAATGAAAGTTGCTATAAAAAGAAGGGTTTAATCTAGGGGACATTCAAAATCAGGCACTCGTTTCCTTCGAATAATACTCTACGCTCACCTTGAGTGCGAAACGGCGCAACCACTTTTAAAAGATACCTATCACTTGTCCAGAAAGCAGATTATTGTTATTTTAGTATAGCAAGCAAAGCTGAAAACCCGGGCAGTATATGGCATTCTGAAAAAGGCGACAATTTGGTGTTTCATCTTCACGAACCATTTGCAGCGACTGAAGCTATGTATTGATCCAGTTTAATGCGCAACATCAACCAAATAAAGATTCAGGCTATGCTTTCATGCTTTTTAAGCCGCATCATCTCTCTTGTGAGCTTTGAAAACATCGATTACCCTCATGATTGCAGTGACATTTGTCTCTGCCAGCTACACGCCAGCCAAGAACATTTAAATTCCCGAACAAACATTTGTTTTGATTTGTTTAATTTTGAATCTTTTGGACACGATTCGATCTATTTCCCAAAATTGTACTATATAAGTTGCCATAATCATCCCATACTTTCTAATGCATTTTTGGAGTACTTTTCAAGGCGCTTCTGATGGTATCAGTAGATCCAAGTACTATAACTAAGTTTATGGAGCAAATGTCTGAAAATGTAAAATGACGTTTTTTGACAGATACGTCAAATTTTAACATGTAAAGTTCTCACAAACAAAGCATCAGGTGTTGCTATGAATCGAGGGAATCATTTTGAATTAATATACGCCATAGTAAAAGTCTTCATTTTTGCGGTCAAAAATGCGACCGTTTGAATTTTGGTAAAATCCATGAGGGGTACCTCATGGTTTGGAGTCGATGCTTGATGATCCTAAAAAAAATTGAGCAATGGTGTCAGCAGGTTACTACTAAAAGCAAACAATCGTTTTTGGTGCTATTCTGACGGTTTAAAACGGCAGCAAACGCGACAAAACACGGCTCAAATGCATCCAAATTTTGCTGTACACTGCACATTTTTTAGCGATACGAGGTAATGCAAGCGTTCTGTCTGCCTGTATGTAAATTTTCCTATTGATATAAACGCAGTGCATTACAGAGGATCACAACCCAGTAATCCAGTTCGTTCATGGACGGCTATCACTACATGTCATGGCCATCTCAAAAGCAAAGCGTACGTAGTATTACTCTTAAATTTACGGGACGGACCTCCCAGTTTTATTAGCATTAAAGTGATAGGTGTAAGTTAATAGTGTAATGAAGTAGTATTAGTAAAGATTATGTGTATATGAATTTGTTATCAATCATGTTTATCGTCGATATGTTTCTGTTGTTTTCGCTTCAAACTCTTTTGCTTTGTCAGTATTCTGTAGTTGTGCTGGTTCTTCTCCTTGTGCTCTGACAGTCTGCGCTCGACTTCATCAAGATAGTGCTTTGAAAAGACATCAATGTAGTAGCTCGCTCCATTCCACACACTGACAGCAAACATGGCCACCAAGCACGACGAGTGAAACCAGAAACTCTTGTAGTAAAAGTAGGTAAGCGCACTGGTGCCCAAGGTATACCAGAATTGCCAAAATATAAACATGTGTAGCTTGTATTTCTCACCAAACATGCTTGTAAGTGCTAATATAAACGACTTTTTCTTCTTGTCTTCTGGTGACCTGTTGAGCAAAGTAGTGTATGATGTTGTCCTTAATCCCGACTCCACCTTGTCTTTCTTTGCCACCATCACAAAGCAAACGTAGAATATTTGCCAGGTCAGATAAAAGCTAGTAGACACAAACAGCGTGTACCACCATCCCATCACTGGCATGTTGGAGATGGCAGAAAAGTGCTCATCTCTGTAGACAAGAGCTTCATCCGGATCTCCATGAAGCACTGTAAACCAGCGAAGTGTATAGGTGACCAAAGCAGGAAAGATGTGAATGAACACCGATGTCACCTTGTCCAAAGAGTGAAATACGAGTGAATTGCGCCAGGTAATGATGGCCCATAACACAGGCCCATTAGTCAAGGTAAATGCGGCTGTATAGAGCAGTGTGGATGACGGAAACACCCATAGCGAGAGCAATGTCAGCAGGTTCACGTAGTAGCACAAGTCGAAAAAGAAGTAGTGCCACTGCTTGGATTTATACACAACAAATCGCAGTGTGATCAGGTAACAGAGCTGGGCAGTGTAATAGATGGGGATCCACACGGGTAAACGAGCTGCAATGACAGGTGTAATGCAAGTATTCCCTACACCCATAACAAAAGATACTTTATCATGCAATCGCACTGTGTTGGCATCACGATGCATACGACGCTTAATGGTGCTGTATTGATTCAGCAATCGGTCTTGAATCATGGCTCTTTGGGTCTCCAGCAAAATCTTCTGTTTGCGTAGCCGGTCCTTGGTCATGGATGTCCATTCAGTCGATAGCAATGCCTTGATTTCGTCCTTGACATCCTTGATTTGTACAGTAACTTGTTCAAGTGCAGCATTCAACACGCCAATCATGGCATACTCATCTTTGGCTACAAAGCCATGAGAGTTCCAGCTATCCACTGTGGTCAGTTCGTCAGTGTCGTATTCAGTGGAATCCTCTGATAAAAGCGTCGATGCATCGGATTCATGCGAGGACAAGTGTTCCAGTCTTTCTTCCATTAGCATGATGTGATATTAATGTATATAGTGTTGTAGAATCTGAAATAAAAGAGAGAAAAGCCCAAGTGGCCTGAAACTAAAGGTGGTATATTTATACCAATCTGTCAAAATGCAACAAGGTGTTTCAATTAAGCCTACTTGTGTCATATTCATTGGCATTTACAATTCAGACTAAAACACTTGCCATGTTTTTTATCATACAGCAGCATGTGAGAACTGGCATGGCAGCAGTAGAATATACAGCCAATGCTCAAGTTGCTCGTAAAAAAAAAATCAAGGAGAGCGTTCAACATTTGACATGATTCTTCTAGAGATGATTTCCACACCAATCTCAAGATCCCTTGATTCTTGTTTTCGCAGCTCTCAAAGGCCTTATACAGTAGCGTATTTGCTCGCCACTATCCAAAGATGGAGTAACCTGTCGTAGGCATGTGTTTCTTGAATGCCCTCTTAGAGGCATCACTGGCAGGAACTATAGAAGGAGATTGCTGTCAGTGAGTGCGTGTCATTTGATGGACATATAGAGTAACTAATCCGGGACAGCAACCTCGATGTGTGCGGTTCGGAAAATGCAAGATCAAAATGACGGACAGAGAAAAAAATGCTGTCCAAAAAGGTGCAGAGAGTGTGAACTATGGCAAATCCTCCCTTTTCATATCGATTGTAGACATGGTAAGCTCATCACACCAATCCAGAATCAAGGCACCATGATGTTTTAGGGGGAGAGACTAGAAAGCAATGGATTGATATGGCTGGATGATGGATGATCAACTTGAACATTTGACATGGATGGAACTGGGCATGTAGGATGGGAGATCACACATATTTCTGGACCTCAGTTATTCTCTTCCTCCCTTCAACATCATGGACATCACTATATGAATAGATAACGAGATATTAATCAACATGTACACACAACAGGACTCTTCAAAGACCCCCGTCAAGCTCGCTAGAGTTACTAAGGTTCTCGGCCGTACCGGTTCTCGTGGTGGTGTCACCCAAGTCCGCGTTGAATTCATGGACGATACCAACCGTTCCATCATCCGTAACGTCAAGGGTCCCGTTCGCGAGAACGATATCCTCTGTCTTTTGGAATCTGAACGTGAAGCTCGTCGTCTCCGTTAAGAAGAAGTACACCCTCCAACCAACAAACAACACTTTTTCGATATAAAAACGCTGTTGATTTTATTTCTCTACAATGGAAGCAGACAATTACATACATATATATATATATATACAGTCGAAGGCATTTGATACAATAAAGAAGACAATTTCTTGATTCTATCATGCTTTTTTCTCAACAAACAAGTTTCCTTTTGTACAATGATGGTGATGTGTGGTTTATTTGAATCTTTTTAGTTACCAGAAGGTGCACCAAGAAATGATCGCAATCGTTTCCTTGCTCTATCAGACTCTGTTTGAATGTTGGGTTGTTTGCGAGGTATCAAAGGCGGGGCAGGAACAGGGCTTGGAGAGTGGTTGTTGGGTCTAGACGACAAGATGGATCATAAGTATTGTGTATAAAGGAGGGGAGCATGGGATAAATGCCTTACCTGTCTTGGTCGTTTAATATGTCCTGCATCTCCAGCTGTCTCTTCATTTCTGTAAATGCCCATCGTTCAGCCTATGATGCGGGTTAGATCTCCTTGCAGAAAATAAACCCTATTAATAGAGTCGCCTACCTCCAATTTGGCTCTCTCTTGCCCCAATTCAATGGCTGCATTGGTTATATTTCGCTGCTCACGTAACTGCTTCTTCTTGAGCAGGCGACTCTTGTGAATGGCGTTTGTGCTCTCCAGCTCTTCCACCGAGTCTTCAGAACTGGCGCAATAAATGTAATTAGTAACGCTGCTTTCATCGTCTTGTTTGCACAACACTTACTCTGATATCACAAGAGCAGCACTCGGTGACGGATACAATGTATCGAAAAATCCACCCTGCTCAAATCGCCTGTACATGGCTGTGCTTGCCTCGTATTCCTCTTTATTCTTATCAATGATGTCCAGCAGATTCTCAATTTCCTCCTCCAAGTTCATAATGTGATCCAGCTTCTCCTTCATGTGGTCTTCTGTGAATTGCTTGGGCTGATCCTGTATCTGATACTCCCACTCCTGTCTCAGTCTGACCAGCAGATCGTCAATCATCTTGAGTGCCTCTTTGCCGCCCATATCTCGAGGCAATCGAAATCGAGCTGTCTCATCATATGCATCTCGTTTTTGCTGTTTGAGTTCGTCAAATCGATGCATTTGATCTTCCAGCAATCGACGTATACTGGTGAATAGGGTCGTCAGTCCTTTTCTTGACTCTTCGTTCTCAATTCGCAGCGATCTTTCCTTGCTGTTGGATTTCGCTAGTAAATCTGTGTACATGGATCGAATCTGAACCACCTGATCGTTGTCTGCCTCGGTGTTGGTTGTTGTTTCAAAGTGTGTGTTGATGTCTAAGTAGGATACGTTCACCTTGTTGCGCTGATTCATGCTCTTTATTAGCCGTTCCTGAACTTTGGCTAGCTCGTTCTCGTGCTTCTTGGTCTCGTGCTGTAAGATAGGTATTAGTTGCACGATGCTCAGATACAATGTATTTCGTTCTGTTTACTTTACGGAGTACTGGGCTTTCATGTATTGCATATTGTGCTTTAGTTTGGAGATCTCTTCTTTCATTCGGGTTGTCTGCATGCTCTGGTTCTTTAGACTGACTTGACTAGCCTCTAATTTGGCTATTGTTTCCTTGTTGTGTTTGTCTTTAAGAGCTAGTTCTCTTTTTGATTTGATCTATGTAGGACGCTCATCAGTATATCATCGTTTTGATGCCAAAATCTGATAGTTACTAGTTGATCTTCAAGCTCTTTCTTCTCTTTGTTAACTCGGTTGATGGCTTGGATGCACTCTTCACGGTCTTTTTCGTCTTTCTATACAATACTAAGTATGTTGATCTATTCTTCTTCTGTTTGGCAAGTACCTTGCGATCATTCAGTAATGTGTATAAACAGTTGACAATGCGACATTTATCATCTGCCTCTGTCGAATCAAAATCCAGCGGTATTGGGTATCCATAGCTTGTGAGTAGTATATTGATATAGTTTGATGAAGCTGCTAATGAGTCTGGTGTACAGAATCTGTGGCAATTGTGTTAGTGACGGATGATTTGCTTAATAAAATACGCTGTGATTTACTTTTCAGCTTCAGTGTAGTGTCCAGCAAGACGTTCTGGAGACAAGGGATCTTCTAAAGGACTACATTAAATACAATGAGTACATCATACTATAGTTTCATCAGTCCATTGCTACCCAAGATCATATAATTCTAATTCGTCCATTGTCAAACTAGTTTTAATTGTTTCATTAAAGACTTGTGGAAGCGCGTTTGTATTCAAAATGAAATGAAATTTGGCCTACTCCACCGTCACAGAATACTATATATGCTATCAGCAAAACATACGGCTTTGTTGGCTACTATAAAAGCGATTGCAATCAGGCATGTTGAAAGCCAACTGTGGCTATTCTATTGCTTGGCCATAGTTCGGGTCGCTTTGGCGAAAATTGGCTTCTTTGTTCAATCAACATTTGGTGGATTGTATTCTAATCGAGAAGTGCTGTGCGATTTTATTATCTCAATGGGCATTTTCCAGTGTCTCAACTAGAATTTCAACATTTGATAAAGACATGATGCGAATCACATTCCATAGTTAATATAAAGCGATCCCAAGACCCTTCAGGCATGATTTGATGCCCTCAATGCCTAAAAGACGGACGTCTCATCTTTGAAATTTTGCATCATGGATCAGTTGAAAATGACAGGGATAGCTATGGCGTTCTCAATGGAAAAGTACGGGACGGAGAAGAAACAACATGAAGACGTTTTCCGAGATTTGACAAGGTAATGAAGATAACACTACAGCTTGCTAATTTTATTTATATTACAATAAAGGACACTGAGCAAAAAAGATTGCATTAAAGCTAATAAGAGAGGTTACAATGATAATAAAAAAAAAAAATAAAAAGTAGAAAAAAAAGGCGGTATAAGGGGAAAGAAGGGATGAAGAGGGATGGAAGAGGGGCGATCTTTGACTAAAAGTAACTGGGATCATTGCCATAACGATGACCTCCACTTCGAATCGATGGCTCCCGTCTACTCATTTCTAGAGGGTCATGGTCCTGGTAACGAGCAGCACGATCCCTGGATTGTGAAGGCACTCTTCGCGTATCATAGTAGTCATCATAATCTGCTGCTACGGGTGGGCCTTGATCATAGCGATTGGATCTGTCACCATAACCTCTTGCACTCCTTTCACTTTTGACCGGTGCTGTGTCATAATAGCCACCACGATCCTCTTCATGGTACCTTGGGCGACTTGTGCTGTTGGAACTTTGCTTCTGAAGAGGAGATAATGGACGATGTGCTGACGGTTGTTGCTGATAACGATGGTCATCATCATAATAACGAGGCTGGTCTCGACTACCTCTTGTTTGAGGAGATAGAGGAGCATCATAGCGATCCCTGCCTTGGCCATAATCATCTCTGCGGTTACTGTGGTTGCTCCTGTATCTGTCGTCGTAATATCTGTCGTCTTCTCTTGTGGGTTGACTACGGCGATCGTAATTGTCTTCATAATGGCGATTGTTGCTGTATCGATCTTCTTCATAGGTGTCTCTATGATTACTGTAACGACCACCACTACTGTTGCTGTTATCACGATCCTCGTTATAATAATGGTCTCTGTTACTGTAACGACTGCGATTTTCAGAGCCTGATGAGGGTGGTGGCATAGGAGGTTGTGCTTGACGCAATTCCTGTCTTTCTCTTTCCCTGCTAGATATGTTCTTTGCATCTTGTGGGTTTTGCTCCCATAATCTTCTTCTGGAAGGTGTTCTCATAGGGCCGTCTGCTGCTGATGTTTGTTGCTGTGGGTGCACTGGTGATTGTTGGTCATGGCCTCTTCTGTTGGACGATGATGACTTTCTCGACACAGGCACATTTTCGTCAAAGAGCCAGTCCGGGAGACGCTGACGCTTCTTTTCATAGTGTTCTCGAAGAATTCTGGACACATGCGTCTCTCCTTCCCAATCATCTTCATCCGACTCTAATTATCGTAGTAAAGAATCAGGCCGGTGATCTTTAGATAAGTAACATTAGATGTTTACCTGCTCCACGATCGTCTCGGGCTGGAATTTTGTCAGCCATGTTCTGGGTGGCCTGGATCAGTTTTCCCCACAGTTTTCCGGTTTGCTTAGGTTTCTCGTCTATCAAAATAGGTTAATTCAGGGCACCACGTGTGTGTAAATCAAGAATGCCATTTACTTTTTTCGCTCAATTGCTTCCATTTTTCATTCTGTCGCACCTTTCCCCACAATTTCTTGCCAGAGGCTTCGTTGGTTTCGGGTAGATTGGCAGCAAAGTTGTTGAAATATACAGATTCTTCATTATCGTCGTCTGCCTTGTTATTATTGTTTTGGAGTCTGGAAGACCATTTGGAGGTAGGTGTTTCCGCTGATGAGAAGCTGGGGCTCGGTGAAGATGCCATAGAAGACGAAGATCCCGAAGAGATGGTTCTAGCGCTCAATTCTAGTGATCCCGGTATGTTGAGCTTCTTTTCTTTGGTGTATCGAGCCGGTAAAGCAGGCATAGCAGGTCTCTCGACAGGCTGACACTTGTGTCGAGCTGGATACAATCCAACATCATGTCCACAATCCTTGCAAAGAACGACTAGGGTTGATACTCTGTAATCTACTACTTGAGCACCCATTTTTATGATTTGGTTAAAAAAAAAAGAAAGAGAAGAAGAACAAGAAAGGAGAATGAGGAGGAGGAGGAGGCAATAAAGATATTGTTCAATAAGCGCTAATATTTATTAAACTTAATGAAGAGGCACGAGGATCTTCTCATTGTACGACGTGGAACACATTTAGAAAAGAACACACCAATCCAGGCCCTTGACCTGGTTTCCATGGTCATTTACAGAAAGTGATTGTAACCACAAAATAGAGCATTTGTTTGTGGGATTCCCATTAGGTAAACTTGTCGATTCTCACTATTCACATATACAGTAAAGCAACAATCCCCTATTTTAGCACATCATGTATACAATGGGGCATTCCCAGTACCTTTAGATGCAATTCAGCCAGATGAAGCAGTTGCAAACAGTTTCGATCTCTAAATGTTCTGTCTACCAGCAAGCATGAAAAGCACGTTATTGTATCACTTTATGGAGAGCGGCTGAAATGTACAGAAAAAGATTGTCCATCAACAAGCTCCTTTTGTTACAGCCCTTAAGGATCAACTTATTTACATGCCTGAATGTTTTGAAAACCAAACATTTCAATCTTAATTTAGTAAGAAGGCATTTTTTTTTTTTTTGATTGACTGCAGTAATATGATCGCTCAACCTAAAGCACATATTTAGCACTGACCATCATTATCTGGGTCACGCATCTATGGTCGATCATGGTGGCTACATCTTTAGTAATACTAGATCAGGCAATGACTATGTTTTCGACACTAATGAACATACTTTAAAAGACCAACATATCCTCTTTGTCTTATTTTCGTCGATCGAGATAGGATGGCCATAAGCAAATTTTAGCACTTGATCAGATGAATATGTGAAAATGACCTGCCATTTCAAACAGAAGGCTCACATCAAAATACAGCGTTCTAAATGAAGATTTATTGATTGTTAAATATAGGTACAAAGAAGTATAAGTAAGGTTAATACAGGAGAAAAATAGGAGTAAAGCTATAATTAGTTGTTGACGGCATCTCTCCATGACTTGAGGTTGTGGGGAATACGCTTCCAGGTCGTTGGCTTCAAGATACTGACACCTTCCAACGGGTCATGCTGCTTGCGATCCTCCATCTCAATAGTATGTCTGTGATATAATAGAGTTAGCTAACAGGTTCACTCTAATACAAAAGCCCTTGATCCAACTTACGCAATAATCTCTTCGCGTCCAGAATCTAAATCAACTTCCATCAAAGGAATCATCTTTGTCTTTTTGACAAACTTGTATCCAAAGAAGAGAATAAGCACCACAGGAACACCGATATAACAACTGATAATGTCAGCAGGCACAGGAGGATCAGCCATCCAAGTGTCGTAGCCTTGACCTACGACGACAAACAAACAAATAGCGAATGCAAAGATGGGACCCACAGGAAACAAACGAGCTTTGAAAGGTAATTCAGACAAGTCTTTTCCTTGAGCGACATAAGCACGACGAAATCTCCAATGGGAGGCAGCAATACCGAGCCAAGCAATGAAACCAGCAATACCAGAGATGGACAACAACCAAGTATACACGACACCATTGCCAAAGAGAGATGTCAAAAAGGCAAGCATACCGACTGCAGCGGTCAAAAGCACACAGTAGATGGGAATACCATTCTTTGTAATACGGGTAAAGATGTGAGGGGCCTTACGTTCCAGAGCAAGATCGTACAGTGTGCGACTGGATGCATAAAGGCCAGAGTTACCAGCAGACAAGACAGTGGTCAAGATGACAGCATTCATGAAATGAGCAGCAGCAGACATACCAGCCTTTTGGAATACTAAAGTGAAGGGGGATACGCTAATCTCAGTGACATCGCTCTTGAGCAAGAGAGGGTCATCGTAAGGGATGATCAAGCCGATGATGAAGATGGCGAGGATGTAAAACAAAAGAATACGCCAAAAGACTTGTTTGATGGCTTTGGGCACATTCTTGCGAGGATTCTCACTCTCGCCAGCAGCAACACCGATCAACTCGGTACCCTGGAAAGAAAAACCAGCAGTTAAAAAGGTGCTCAAGACACCGAGGCCTTGGACGCCACCATATCTGAATGTCTCTACACCGTAATAATAGCCACCCAAAACACCAGTGTCCACCAGGATACCGAGGATAATAAAGACAATGACGACCAACACCTTGATCAAAGCAAACCAATACTCGGCCTCACCATAACCCTTGACTGAAAACAAATTGAGAGACAGGATCAATACTAAAAAGACGACAGACCAGACTGCACTAGGGAAATTGGGCAGCCAAAATGTCATGACCATGGATCCAGCAGTCTAATCAAGCAACGTTTAAATGTTACACCGCCATTCGATTAGTAAACAAGGTTTTGATCTGTACAACTTGACCTTTGTCTACTTACCAACTCAACTGCAACGGTAACAGCCCAGTTGTACCAATAGTTCCAACCAAGAGCAAAGCCCAAGGCGGGGTCGATGAATCTACCAGCGTAATTGTTGAAACTACCAGAGATTGGCAAATACGTGGCCTATAGACAAGAGCATGCATGAGTGAGACCCATGTGTTAAGTTGGCCGCAGAGCAAACACTTACCATTTCACCCAAACATTCCATCATGAAAAAGACCATCACACCAATCAAGGCATAGGCAATGAGAGCACCACCAGGACCAGCAGAAGCAATGGAAGCACCTGAGGCTAAAAACAGGCCTGTACCAATGGTTCCGCCCAGCGAAATCATGGTCAACTGCATGTGGCAGGTCATTGAGTGACATGGCTCCTCCCATTTTTACCTCAACCCAAACTTACATGTCTAGCTTTTAAGGCTCTCTTCAGGTGAGGCTTCTCTTGCTCGTTCAGTAATGAGCCAGGCTGTGTGGATCGAGAATACTGGCGAGTCATGTCCTCTCTGAACTCTTCATGTGTGGTTGAATCGACGTTTTTGTGATCTACCTGCTCCAATTCAATCTTGTTGGAGGAGTCTGGTTTCCTTGGCCTCATGCGCTCCTTTGTTGAAGACACATCTTGTGTGCTGCTGCTGTTGTTGTTGTTGTTGTTGTTCTTTGGCATTTGTGTTGAATACAAAAGGAAAGAAGGAGGAAATAAAGTTTACAGTTTTTCTCGATTTATTCACCCCGTGCGAAAGGTTTTATGGACACACAGCAGCAGCAGTAGAAGAGAGAAATTTTCGGTGGTGTTGGATTTCGTATTCCTACCTTTACTTATATGGTGCGTCTCAAAAGATGTAGATTATCAGCAGCGTTTATTCTTCCGCTTGCTCTCTTTCTCTAATATGTAAAAAAAAAAAAAGGAAAAAAAAAAAAAAAAGAACAACGAGAATGTATGTATGGCTTTTTTTTTTTTTTTTTTTTATTATTATTATTATTTTTCCATATTTTGAAATATACGAGCTCTGGCTTCTTCATAGGCCGTTTTTCTCTCCTCATAAGTCATGTTTTTTCTATCAGTTTTTGATTGATCTTCATGTGTGGATGTGCGCGAAGATGGACTACTTGATCCAGCTGAGCGACGCATGATTTTGAATTGAGGTGGAGGGTCATTGTTGGTGGTGGCATGGGATGGGTTGCTGCTCGAGCTGTCATCATTGTCGTCGTTGGCTACATATTTATCCAGCTGGATATCAGGCAATCGAACAGAGGGTCTAATTGTCAAGAGTATTTAGTACCAAGAAGGGCAATTATATTCGGCAATTTAAACATACAATGCTGTAATAAATGTCTTGCAAACATACACTGCCTTTCGCATGGCATCATGGTAATGATTTAGTTTATAATAAGGTGCCAACCGATGCACCATCAATCTTTGATATGAATTCATTCCAGGTAGGTCAAGGCGAAGTTTTCTATGTGCTGTTAGACACCTGTCGCATCCTCCTTCCTTGCTCATCACTTACTGCTCATCCTTGATGAAAGCCTCCAATTCCAATTCTAATTTCAACAGAAATAGTCTTTCTTGAGGTTTTCTTAGCAGATCAATAATGAATTCATCAGGCTCAGTTGGTACAACTGGGTCACTAAATTGTTGCATTGTTGCTTGAGGTTGATATATTTGAGAGGGTGGATGGTGTTGCTGTTGATAGGGTTGATATAATTGTTGCTGCTGCTGCTGCTGCTGCTGCTGATAGTAATTTGCAGGGGCATCATTCATGTTGCTGTTGGGATTCATTAATGCTGGATTAGTATATGATTGTCCAAGGCCATAGTAATTGCTGCTATTGACATTGTTGGGGAAATATGCGTTTTGATAATGAGATGATTGATAAGATGGTTGTTGATGCTGTTCGGTGTAAAATCTATATGGAGGTTGTTGCTGTTGTTGCTGTTGTTGTCTACCTAATAGTGGATGTTGCTGCTGCTGCTGCTGCTGCTGCTTTTGTTGTTGTTGTTGTTGTTGGTCTTCTTGATTACTCGACATTTGGACTATCATGTAATCCCAATTTAAATAACGTGTTTTTCGCTTCAGTTGGACCCGTCTTTTTGTATAAATTACCTTTAGTATACTAAATGTTCATTCAATAGGATATTCACTGTATTCTAGAATAGTTATTTCAAGGCTAGAAAAGAGTATAAAAAAGGGGGGGGTCCTAATTTGAATGAGTAGCAGGCTAGAAAAAAACAATCCAAGCCACTCTTTACAGGTTAAATGTATGCAGACACACACTCGATATGTAATGCCCCAGTTTTGCTCTTGCGCTCAGTAAGCGCGGACTCTCATTGAAACAAGCAGTTATATGACCACAGCAGCATGACAATCCGTTTACTTCTTTGTTCCTTATACTCACTTATATAAAAACAATGGCAGAAGAAAATACTGAAAACAAACCTATTCAAAGATGGGTTCCTCTTGAAGCTAACCCAGAGGTAAATAAGTAGCATTTGACGCGATGCTATTCTATAGAATTTTGAGTGCTTATCTATTGTTGTGTGCGCTTGTAGGTCTGGAATGAGGTAACTTGCAGCTACACCGAGATGCAACTCCATATCTCCTAACATTCACTGCCATTTAGATTATTCATAAAGCAGGCGTTGATCCCAAGTACAACTATGTTGATGTCCTGGGTAGGTATAGTCAGCAATGCGCATGATGAGCATTGAAGCTGATCCATGCACACAGGCCTTGACCCTGAATTGTTGGCCATGGTGCCTCCAAATGTAGAGGCTGTCGTCTTTTTATTTCCCATTACAGAGGCATACGAAAAGTTTAAGGATGAAGAAGAGGCTCATTTGATCAAGTTGGAGCAAAGCATTAGCCCCGATGTTGTCTTTTTCAAGCAGACAATCGCCAACGCGTGCGGCATGATTGCATTGTTGCATTCTGTAGCAAGCAATGACAATGAAATTGTCGGTACGTATAGTAGTAGCGATGTTTAAGAAAAAAAAATGAGCATGCTCATGGCAATACAAAAGGTCCTGGTTTGTTCAACGACATTATTGAAGAGGCCAAAAATATGTCTGTCGAAGAACGTGTGGAGTTGTTGGAGAATTCAAAAGAGTTGGCTCAGTTGCATGCCTCTGCTGCTATTGAGGGTCAAACAGCGGTACATATGCCTTTTGTCATGTCATTACGGGGATGATGGCTCACTCTACTATAGGCTCCTTGTAGCGATGATTCCATTGATCTACATTTTATCTGCTTCATCGAGGAAGATCAACATTTGTACGAGCTGGATGGAAGAAAGCTGTTTCCCATTAACCATGGAAAGTGCACAAATCTTGTCGAGGTAAGTTGGCTAGTGGCATGTCTGAATGTGTCGCTGCAATGGTGTTAATCCTAACTTTCTCCCAAAGAGTGCTGCCAAGGTCATGAAGCAATACATGGCAAGAGACCCTAATGAAACTAACTTCAGTGTCATGGCACTGTGCAAGACTGAAGATTAGATGGTTGTGCCGTTTCAATTGTAAAATAAAAGCACCCTTGTGTTTGAAATTCGTGAGTCAATGTGGAATGCACAAGAGATGGTGATCGTATAAATGCCATTTATACTAGGGTAGCATCATACTATTACCCACAGCACATGGTCAGATCAGTAGGAAGAAAGAGGCTGTCATGTGGTGCGTAACAAATTTCGTTCATTTTATTTTGTACAGAGCTTTTGCGAATGGTTGTAACAGGAAAAGCAGTTCATTAATAGAGAGTTAAATATGTATAAATATGTAGAAAGAGTTGGGGATGTGTTATCTAAACAAGGTGGGATGAGTGGAGGGAGGGCTTTTGTGAATAATGTAGTTTGTAGTAAGTAACGTAGAGTTCAAATTGAGAGATCAACCGACTCTGGTATAAAATATGTAGAATAAATGGCAGTAGTGTCGCATAGCAATGGCATTTAGATGCTGTGCACTAAGCTTTCAGCGTATCTCTCTTGGCGGTTAGTTTGGACATCAATAGCTTTACCAGTAATCCAAAGAAGGGTAGTAACAGAAACACCAACGTAGAAAAGGGTGCCAGTTTGTAAGATTTCAGGGGAAGCAAAGCTAGAGCTGTTCTTCTTTTTAGTTGTGGTGACAGCAGTGGCGGTGGCACCAGTTTCAGCAGTTGAACTAGACATTTTTCCTTTCTCTGAGGAGGTAGAGGCAGTAGCAGATGCGTCTGTGGCAGTAGAAACTTGCGCAGATGAACTTGCTGAGCCCTGGCCATGACCGTTGGTCGCAGAGTCATCAGCACGGCGCACCAGGTAATTTTGAGTCAATCCATCACGGATGCTATCGCTGTCCATCTAGAAAACAAATAACACAGTTAAATAGAGATTACAATATCTGGGTTATGAAAGAACTTACGATTTTAGAGGCAAACCCAACACTAAGGATAGCAAAGAAGAGGACCAAGAAAGTAGTAGAGGTAGTGAAACGCATGGTGCAGTATTGTATCAAGAAAAAGGAAAAAGATCAGATAATGAGAAATACAAGGCATTGTTCCAGTTCACTTTATACCCAAGATAACAAGATGTTACACATCTCTTTCTCTGGAGATCCGCTTGGTACAAATTAATGGACCCGCTGACACGGGTACCCCCAACTTTTCATGATTTCAAGATGCTTTCGCGGTATCTGATTTCATAAAAAATTTATCAGATTTACTTACATTTATGGTTCCGCATCAAACCATTTGACAGATACCATTTATACGTAACAAGCAAAATAAGAAGAAAGCTTTGACAGCAAGGTTGTTTCTTTTTTTTCATGTAAGCGCAGGTTAAAGACTTTTGAATTAAAGTATCAAGTATAAGTATTCCCTCTATTTCAATGTAGATGTTGGTCAGTCTCTGTTTCAATCAACATACATAGTCTGCTCCGATGTCATACAGATGTACATTGTACAGATGAAAAGTTACCTAAATGAAAAAAGAAGGTTCCGTATTTTTACGGAAGCAAAAAAAAAAAAAAAAAAGATCCAAAGATGGGTAAAAAAAAAAAGTAATTGCTTGATTGAAACATGCTCAAACGTGTTGCATTCTGACAGCTATTTTCTTTTTACACCATTTTTTGAATGTAGTAAAATGTGCCTGAATAACACACTTAAAGAACAAGCTCCATTTGATTCCAAATCCATCGAAATGAATCTCTAATAAACAGTTTGTATGTGCAACCTGAACATGAAAAACGAAAAAAGATACTTTTATTTACAATTGTAATCAGAATTAAAAACCAATGGTTATGGTTGATCATTTCATCTGATAAGTGATTTTGTGTATCATCTCTGCATCTGAAACATTTGATCTTGAATTGAATGATAACTTTTTCGTTCAACTTGTATCATTTTCATGGAGAAGACATTTATTTGATCAACGTGAAATACGAAATACTTATCATGGCGAAACCACAGTGTGAGTTGCTTAAACACACATCGAGATTGCAAATTGACCAATGTAATACACGTCGTTTTGGAAAGCATCTGTAGACCCATTTAACCGCGACATGAAACTGCCTAATTAAAGATCCAAGTTCAATTTACCTGGTACATTCGCTTGCCTCGTTTTACTTTTACTCAGGCTGTCATTATCACTGCAATGTGCGTTGAGCAAAGACATCTTATTATTTGGTTCCCCACATCACAGCCAGCTCTTCTTCTTTTCAAGGCATAATAATATTGAATGAGGATAAGACTTCCCACCTCTTTCTAAGTTCACAGTGGAAAGAAGCCAAAATGTATTGCTCACTTTAGCAAGTGATACAGAAAGCATTTTACATTGCTTGCTCAACGACTTGCGGCGCATTCTCATGCAGTGTATACGTACCAGGTAAACCCATCAGCGTGTATGTTACGACGAATTCAACACTATTTTCTCATCTACAATCATATCCAGTGATAGAATCAGTACCAGCAGCGCTGAATATGTCTTGCCAAAGCGACTGTTTTGGTATCAAGAGCTTCGCATTCCTCAAATTTTATACATATATTTCATGAATAGTCGAGAGTGTAGCTGCAGAAGGCGCCTTCGGACAGAGTACCCTCCAATAATATTGCCATGGTAGTATAGATTGTTGTAGTCTTCAGATGCCTCATTCTAATGTAAATATCGACGACTCATTATACATTACTGAACCTTGATGATTACATCTCAACTATACAAAACTTAAATATCATACATGAATTGGCATTTCATTTCCTAAAATGCGTCAAAATGAACGATGAGTATTGTTGTCTTGGTAACCTGTATTGAAGCTTGCTGTCTCATTCAATTCACCACCACCTGAGATTTGTAGAAGGTTATTATCAGTTTTGGGGGTGGGCAATAACATGAACATACGACAAGTCAGCATTCCAAACCAAATAGAGCTTCATACTACACCCATCAAACCTCTGTTTCATCAATGTGTACATGTGAGTTACTGTCACCAGTATTGATATTTTAATAATTGTCATGATTGAACCGTCCCAAATCATTTCTCTGTAAACGCATATAAAATTGCCTTGTCGCTCGTAAATCTTTTTCTCCATTTCCTTCCCTTTTCTCTTTTTTCTCTTATAATTTCTCTTTGAAATTTGAGTTTTGAAAGTAGTATGGCTCCTATGACATTTTTTTTTTTTTTTTTTTTTTTTGCGTAGAAAATGATGGTGCAATTGGATTTTAGATTGGATGTGGTGATGATGAGAAAAGCGAGATTTGAGAAATTTGCAAATTTTGGATAGATGCTGTTAGTAAAACTTTTTGATTAGTATTTAAACCTGGGTCATATGTCTATTAAAAGCTATAGAGGATACTTTGGTTGAGTAGGGCATGTTTGACTTGAGGTTATTAAGAACAATGTGGATGAGTAATGAGGAAAGATTGTAAAAATGAACAATTTTCAAATGGCTGTAGGTCTGGCCATTTAGAGTCAAAACCATTGTAAGTTTTGCAATTGGACTTCACATCACGTTATATTTAAGCACTTGGCAGTAAATTGAGCTCATGCATCAAGGGTATAGAACGTGTGGTGCATCTTCCAGGTGCTCCAGATAGTGATTCGCACCGTTTTCTGGCTGGGGATTGACTCGTACGACGCCTTCTTGTAATTATGGCTGTGATTACCTTTTATTACCATGCAGGATAGCGTCTTCGCCTCATGATCCATTAATGGTGGTGTCACTATAGCAGAGTGCTGATGTATGTTGTATTATACATAAGAGCGATATTCACAGATGGCAACTTTTCAGCATATTTCATTTCATCTCGTCAAATTAAAAAAAAAAAAAGTCTTCAAAATGATCTACTGGCTTTTTCATTCACAAGTCTCTGGCTACCTTTGTAGATCACCGCATCCAAATAGGTTGTTTGCAACTTTTTTTCGAGTTCCATGGATGGTGATGGGTTTCCTTCAAATGGTCTGTTTGAACTAGTCCTATGCAGAGAATCACTGGCTCAAGCCAGGCAAGATATTCAATTACGCAGCTGCCTTTATGGTATTATCGCTCCGTATTATTCTTGAAAATGTGCGTATGTGGTGTCAGGGTAGTTGCGACGCTTATTGTTCCTAGAGCTTCCATAGTTTCTCTTTATTTCTGCTTTTGCTGATTGGTCTCTACAATCAATGTGATGTTGCTCATTCATCGAGGGAAATTTAATCAAAGAAGCATTGGATCAACCTAAGAATTTGATAGCCTTAAAAATGAAGGTGGATGCTTGGATCAGTCAAAGTTATAATATTGTGTGAAAACAAATGAACGAGATATCCTATAGTCGTTCTTGTTCAATGCCACAATCAAAGAAATTCGAGTTGCCAATGGGTACCTGCATTATTATGTCATGTAAACTCTGCCCAAGAATTTTGATAAACTAAAGCTTTTCTTTTAGAAAGCGAGCGGTACAGCATCAAACAGTGGCAATATGAGCATTTAGACCTATAATAATTGATTTTGCCTGGTCAGATACAACTTGGTTTTCTGAAGCAGTATGTCTGACGAATGAGTGCACCTGACCAATGGCAGTCCAACACTATTTAAAGAGATAAAAAAGGAGTTACATGTGCCAAGTTCACTGTGTATCTTCTTGCTCTTTTTTTTTTCCCCGTGCTACCTCTTTATATTTACTTGGCAGTAATAGATAAAATACAAATAAAAAGCAGAAATGTCTGAAGAATATGTTGAATGGGATGTTCATGCAACCAATGATGCCTTGACTCCTCGTGTGGAGTATGATGATCCGCTCTCGCAATTCAGCGAGTCAGAGGTGAGTTTTCTTGTAGATTACATGTTTATATTGCCAATGCTGATAAGAAGCAGCATCAGTATTATTCACCGTATGTAGCGGCAGCAGTGCAAGATACCCCACCTTTACCTCCAATCATTCCATCATCATCGCCTATCATTGACTCAATGGACTCACTACCAGCAAGTACAACACCACCCACCCCAACAAAGTCTCCATTTGTTCCTCCCAAATCAAAACCTATTGAGTTAAGCAATGCCATTGAACCACTAGCTATGGATATAACGATAAGCGACCCTCAAAAGCATCAGGATGCAACTCAAGGAGCCTTTATTAGCTATCTTGTTACAACCAATGTAAGCATGAACAATGCCAATTTGCCCATCACATTAATAATACCGTTTTGGATGACAGACACAGGTAGAGAACTTCAGCTCAAGCCTACCGCGGCCTGTGAGAAGACGATATCAGGACTTTGTATGGCTGCATACCACATTATCTCTTGAATATCCTGCTTGTATAGTCCCACCATTGCCAGAGAAGCACAGATTAGGTAACATGATTGCATCATTTTATCCTGGCTGGCATTAATTTCATTGTGTTTAGAGTATATTAAGGGAGACAGATTCAGTACAGAGTTCATCCAGAGAAGACAATTGAGGCAAGTTGTTGCGCCATGAGAGGAGAGAGAGAGAGAGATCAAGATTTGTTTATACTTTGGCATAGCTTGCAATGGTTTTTGGACAGAATATCAAGACATCCCTTATTGCAAAAGTCACAATGCACTCGTATCTTTCTTGAATCAACTGATTTTGTACGTATAATCGGCGCAATATGCTTGTGATGTGTATTGATTTCAACGGCTAGAAAAACGACAAGCGATCACAAGTCTTGAATATACCACACACCACATCCATCATCGATTCCATCAGTGATACGCTTGTGAATGCATTTGCCAAACTAAAGAAGCCAGATGAACGGTTCGAGGAAATGAAGGAGCAGATCAGCAAACTGGAGGACAATTTAAACACAGTAGAGAAATTATACTTTCGCATCAACAAGAGGCAATTGGATCTGCAGAATGACTATGCAAACTTTGCAAATAGCATTCAGGGGCTATCAGCATTGGAGACAAATATCACCAATTCCCTATACCGATTTGCAGAGACATCTAAAGCATATTCAAAAGCCATGAAGGATATGACGGAGGTAGAAGAGGTGCAATTTTTAAACGAAATTCATGAGTTGCTAGCCTACTGCCATGCTGCCAAGGTGAGATCTGACTAGGCCGGAATAGCCAGTGTCGTACTGACATAATAGGAATAGGATGTGTTGAAAGCAAGAGATCAAAAGCAGCTTGACTTTGAGGAACTATCTGTATATTTACACCAAACAGTGCAGTTACGTGATCGTACACAATATCCAGGCCGAAAATACAATGATAGAGGAATGGCAGCGGGAGGTTTATACATCTCAGATTACGTGACGGATAAGTTGAATGAAGTGCGAGGTGTCAACATGGAGAGAGCACGCAGAGAAAAGTTAAGTAAGCTAGAATTGCGCGTTAAAGAGGTAGGACAGAGATGCATGCCATGTTGGATGTTCATCTTATGCATAATGTGTGTAGTTACAAGACGAAGTAACTAGAGCCAACGATGATTCGAATGGATTTTCAAATCAAGTGATCAAAGAGTTTGAAGTATTTCAAAAAACTAAGACATTGGAGCTGAAGCAGGGCTTATTAGCATATGCAGATTGCCATATTGAGTTTTATCAAAAGGTAATATTAGTTGCGCATGATACATTAGCAACGAATTCACTAATGTATGCAAATTCAGGGCATAGCAATCTGGGAAAAGGTATTGCCTGTACTCGAAAGTATGGATGGAGTCAAGGGAGATGGACCAACAATTAACTAGTCATACACCGCTGCCATCAACACACATTCATACATACATACATATATATAAATATATATATATATATACTTTCCATGTTCATATCGTACAATGCATGCTTTGTTGTTTATTTGATTTTCTTTCTTATCGAGTAATTTATTTATCATGTACCATCTGGATTCAATAAACATCTTGATTCAATTATATATAAACACCATTGCACATGTCATATAATCCTTATGCTCGTGCTTTTTAATTCTGTAAATAATATCCATATCTTGATCTTACTATGAAATATGTCAGTTTCGTCAGTGCTACATCCTATACGTCAAACCATTGCTTACCCGTGCACCAATGTGTACAATAAATGCAGTCTAATTTAGCCTTCAACATTCATTAATAGCGACGTATTAAACTCTTTAATCTCCAGGACATCTTAAATTTTCTGTAAAGATCACCTTTCAGACGGAGATGGAGGCAACATTGAGTCATTGACCCTGAACAGATTACCTTTAGTCTTATCAAATCGAATGTCCGAACAAACTAAATAAAAGACCTGTTACAGACGATTAGTCTCCATCATGGAAGACGTATTGGCAGACACAAATATATTGGTAAAAGAGTATGTATGTGATGGTAAATCAGGGAGTGTGCTTTCTTTGTTTGGCAGTATTTATGTCTTGTATACGTCTAGTGGAGAGTCCAAGCTCTCGTACTCTGCCAGACATATGCAATGAAATGAGGGGCTGTATCATTGACTCAAATAGCTATACCTTTGGATGGAAAAACGATCTCATTCTGAAAGATAGCGACAACAATGAGCTCAATACAGGCGGGTTCAAGAGGAAAAATGTCTGCAATTCGGTCAAGGTCTCCAAAAAGATACAAAACATTCGTGATTATCCGGCTCTCCTGATTGAATCAAAGAAATCCACCCAAAGCAACATTGCTGAGGATGGTATTGATAATATTGGTGACAGAAGGTATATACACGAGGCCATTTATTATCAGGACGTGATAGGCGTCGAAATGGAACACACCACACATTTTGGCCTCCCTGAAGCATTTTGGCGATACATTGAATAGCTTAGGATCATTATTCTGCATTAGTATCCAACATGGAACTGCTATACAGGGTAAGCTGCTTCAGCTGAGCAATGAAGTGAAAACTGAAAAAGCAAAGGAGATTGTCAAGTACGATTTGATCAATGTTTTCAATAGGGTCGATGGTGATAAAGACTTTTATGTCGAAAAAAAAACGAAGAGACAATGTCTTTTATACTATCAGAAAGAAGCAAAATTCAAATGAACATGATGAAGGTGACTACAGCAATATGCCAACCTACTTTATCCAGTACGCAAAATACCCACACAAATTAATACCATCTATTTTACAAAGTTTACATCCGCTTAGCTTTGATTTTTCACGTATTCAAAAGACCATGTGTATTCAATCTTGATAACAAAGATGCCCTAGGCGGCCCTGAGAATTATGAAATCAGATTAATATCAATCATGATAGAAAACGTATGCAATCTCTCTCTCTCTTAAAGTCGCCACATTACATTTCGGTCCTTGCAATGATGGAGTCCAGGAGGTGGATGTAAGTGTAGATGATAAGAGACATGGACTATAAAAAGTCTATTTCTGACATGAAGATATGAGTGCATGGTCTAGAAAAAAAAACATGAATCTATCCCTTAAACAGATGGATCAGGACCCTCCTACACTATAACTACCGCTAGTTTGACATATTTGAAATTACGGTTTATTTAACAATGATGTAGTATAGATGGGGGAGGAGATAATAAAAGTACAGATTTTATACACAAGTGTAACCACCATCAACGAACAGTTCGATACCAGTAACATAACTACTGGCATCACTAGCCAAAAAGACAACGGCGCCTCTGAGTTCCTTGGCTTCACCAACGCGACCCATAGGAGTGAATTGGTTCCATTGTCTCTCCCATTCAGGGTTGTTCTTGAGAGTGATGTCTAATAATTCGGTTCTCATGTAACCAGGACAAATGGCATTGACACGAATACCCTTGGTGGCCCATTCAGTAGCCAAAGCCTTGGTCATCAAAGTAGTGGCGCCCTTGGAGGTATTGTACTAGCAATGTGAATGGTGTTTAGTCAACCGCCTTATATGCTGTACATGACATATCCGTTCAATACTTACGGCACATTGGGGCTGAGGACGGTTGGCAACGTGGCCAGAGATGGAAGATGTAATAATAACACTACCCTTACCCTTCTCGAGCATGTATTTGGAAGCAGCTTGAATACTGTAAAAGACGCCGTTGACGTTGATGTCCATGGTCTTCTTCCAGTCATTCAAATCGTATTCCTATGATTCCGTATGAGTACACACTTGATGCCATATCAACACACAAACAAAATGCACGTACCTCGGTCTTACCACCAATGCTGACACCAGCATTAGCAACAAAGACATCAATAGCGCCAAAGTCCTTGTAGATTTGGTCAACAGCTTCCTTGACAGCAACAGGATCAACAATATCAGCCTTGTAGGCCTTACAGGTAACATTATAGTCCTTGGCGATTTGAGCGGCAGTGTCATGGGTCTTCTCGCTAGAGACAAACATAATGGCAACATTGGCACCAGATTCAGCAAGAGCTCTGCTCATTTCTAAACCCAAACCTCTGATGGCTTTTATCAATAACCATGTCCACAAGCGTGTCAATGTGAGCCCATCAAAACTTACCTGCCACCGCCAGTAACGACAGCAACTTTATCCTTAAGAGAGAATTCAGGGAGAGTGGGAAGTGGGGCAGACATTTTGTAAGTTATGTATATATTATATGGAATAAAGAAGAAGAGCCTTGTCGGTTGACATGTCTTGGCCCTTTTATATACGCAATCAGAGAGAGAAAAAAAAGTTTCACTTTAGTGTGTTTCTCAATAGATTACTTGATATGGTCAAATCTCCTCTGGCTCTCTCTGTTTCTCTCTCTCTCTCTCTACATCATAGTTTGGGGGGGGGGGGTCATCATATCAGGTTGCTTCCCCGCCATTAGACTGAATTCTCCGTGAAAAACGTACCACAAACATATTTACAGCGTAAAATATCCCGGCTTGTAGAACATAATGATTACATAAAAAATATGTTTTTATTATACAAAGTGATCTCCCCTTTTATTGTAATGCACGGTATACTTGTTTGGTTGCAGCGTCATGTCAGAAGATTCATGCGCTTTGCAAGCACTCAACATTTCATCCGCCCCCGCTAATGCATCAGTGGCTGTCTGCAAAAAGTCCTTGTTACCGTACTTTTGCTGAGATTCTAGTAAGCTTCCAATGTCTGCCACCTTTTGTCTCAAAATCTCGTATTGTTGTTCAACTTGTTTAGCTTGTTTTTGTCTCATCAAGCGAAGCGCATGCTGCTGTTGTGCTTGCTGCTGTGCCTGTTGTTGAGCAGCCTGTTGTGCGGCTTGTTGTGCGGCTTGTTGAGCAGCCTGTTGTTGTTGCTGCTGCTGCTGCTGCTGCTGCTGCTGCTGTTGTTGTTGTTGTTGTTGTTGTTGTTGCGTTAAAGGAGAGTGGTGGCGCTGAGGAGAGTGCTGTTGCAAATGAGGAATTAAGGGAGGTTGATTTAATGAAGATGGCATTTGATGCTGTTGCTGTTGTTGTTGTTGTTGTTGTTGCTGTTGCTGCTGCTGCTTTTGTTGATGGTGTTGATTATGATGGTGATGTTGTGATACGAAAGGAGGATGGGGATGCTTATGAATTACTGTCACATGAGCAGTCTTCTTGAGCAGATCAACAATGATTGTCAATGCGCCAGCGCAATCATATCTACTTTGTGCCTTGGGATGTTCAACTTTTCGAGGTTTCGCAGTATCAGCTCTCTGAGAGCAGTAATATCTCAGAGTGGATAGTGTGTCAGGACTTTTTGTTGATCTTCGTCGATCTTTGAGACTAGACATAAAACTTGCATTAATGACTCCGTGTCAAATCGCTCTACCGTCAACCATTTACCTGAAATTGAACTTGGTGCCTTCCAACACCCTCTCACAAATACCTCTTCCCAGCTGCGTGAATCCAGGATTCTCTCCCATACTTTCCATCAAAGGTCCAATGTCGAGATGGTACTGCTTGCGATCAAATTCCGTTTCCCCTTCCAATTCCCTGACAAATGTACTCAGATCAATGACTTCTTGTGCAGCTCTTTCAGCAGATGTGCTTGTGTTCTTGTGGTGTGTCACTGGTGGCGTCAACACAGTAGTCGATGCAGTGGTGCTGGGCGTGGATTGACTGAGCGAGGTCGATGGCAAAGTAATGGGGGCCGAATTCGAGTTGGCTGGTGGTAATGGGTTTGGTAAATTAGTGCTGACGATGGTATTGCCCTTATCCAAGCGATGGAGCAGGCTCTCGCGCTTTATCTGTGATGAGGGTGGTATTTGGTGCAAGTCTGGCGATTGCTGCTGCTGCTGCTGTTGTTGTTGCTGATTTGGTAAAGGTAACGATATGGTAGATGACATGACTTGCTGTGAGTGCATGTGTGGTTGGAGTTGCGACTGATTTCGCATAGTGGAATTAGTAAACATGTTGGATTTGTTGTTGTTATTGTTAGTATTCGTATTGTTTTTCACTTGAGACAAAGAGAGCATCATGTTGGCTGATGGTGGAGATTGTTTGATTTGAGGTGAAGAAATCGTTTGAGGAGGTGGTAATGGCGAATTACCAGCAGAACTGCTATTCAAATTAATAGGGGCAGAAGAGTGTAATTGAGCAGGAGGCAGCTGTTGCTGCTGGTATTGCTGATGCTGCTGCTGTTGTTGTTGTTGTTGCTGCTGCTGCTGTTGAGGTGTTGCATACTGTATTTGATGATATCTAGCTTGTTTATACCTCTGCTGCTCCTCATACATTTCATACCTCTCCAGCTGATGCTTCCTCTTTTGCATTTCACGCGTATGACATATATTGCACACATTGTACTTGGCATCCCTCTCATTGAAAAACGATACATGTCGAAATGTCTGGCAGCTATCACAGTATATTGTCTCTTGCGTTGCATTTGGGTTCATACCTCTACCTATACTGCTAGGACTACCTGCGCTTGTGTTATTGCTACCTGCACCCGTGGAATTGCTGCTGGCTTGGTGCACCTGGCCAAGAGTAGGCGGGCTGCTTGTGACCAATGCTTGTTGGAATGATTGCTGGTTATTGAGTACTTGGGTTTGTTGTGATTGCTGCCTTGACAAGTTGCTCGTTGGCATATTAGAGTAGTTGTGGGCATAAGGACGAGGTGGGCCGTGAGACATATTGATGCAGCAGTATCCTTTAGTCAGAGTGGGTAATATGGATGGTGATGTTGATAATCAGTCTTTCCAATCTAACAAAAAAAAAAAAAAAAAAAAAAAAAAAAGTTCCTCAACAAGAAAGAAAGAGATTAAATGTGATTGAGGAACCAGAACAGAAAAGACTTTTTCTTCATACTCAAGTGACGTCGTCGTATTGTTTTTAAGCCAATGATATGTGCAACCATCCAAGGGTAAACTCAAGGTTGGAGGCACAATGGAGCTGATTAGGAAGGCACAGGATCGAAGTTCTGACTGGAAAAATCGATATGTAATCAAGATATTTTGCTTGGGTCGACTTTTAAGGGCAATACGCTGTGGCACCAAATCAGCTTTTCATCTGGTGTGTGCTGATCTTGGTATTCTTAGCATTACAATCAAGGAGAGAGAAAGACTTGTTGGCCTACAATGCAAATCCAACGTTGCGTTCTAGATTGTGCAATTAAATTGCATACTATGAAAATGCCCAAATAATTGCATATGATATAGTTTATATCACTGTTATTTCCTGACTCTATATCAACTACATTATGGTCATACCTCAAGTTTATCGAGCACTACATGTTTGGATTTGATTTCGGTCTCTCCTTAATCTGGATTTACAAATGCAACTTGTCCCTTTTCCCCCCATAATGGCTATTTGGTAAAAACTTTTAATAGTGTTGTTTCGCCTTGCAGCATGGCCCTGTACAGGGATACTTGCCAAATGTATGTACAGTTTTCCGAGCGGCTTTAAACTTGCAGAGGCAGCAGCAGCACAGCCTAGTATATATCGGAATCACAGCCGTCAATAGTCTTGTGCAGTTTCAACACCTTGACAGCTTGTTGGCCTCATCAGACAGCATATACTATATTTGAATATGTCTATCTGCCATCTTATCAAAGACTAGTAGGCATTGAAAGAGCATATGGCAGATACGAACACGTAAATAAGCTCTTCAAATGTCGCATACATCCACAATTGAACAGTGATGGCAGGGCTGCAGACTAGGGCACAGTTGCTCTTCTGGTTTTCGTGAAAGAATGAATGCACAATACAAACCTCCAAGCTATTCGGCTACTAACAACACGAGACATTCATGCGTATTCACTATGAAATGCCAGAAGTCATCTTAATGATATGATGAATTTATTGTCCCTACACACTTTCGAAACCTCAAAAAGAAGCTAATCTTACAAACATTTCGCCGGACTGGTATTATTCGGTACAAGACTCAAAAAAAAATAGCGTGGTTAACGATAGTACTATTTACTTCGTCACCTTCTTTCCTCAGGCTTCAAAAGGATCTCTTATTGCATTCATGATTAACAAGCTCGCCCCACCAGTCAGAATTAATTCAAACACAGACCCATAGTCTGTTTTAGATTGGCCAAATTTTGATAATTCTCGACTTGATTCAATGTTTCTGCCATATTCGACTATATAAATCTAATGTTTATCTTACGCTTCTTTAAGCTTTTATATAATACTTTTCAAGGCGCATCCAATGGTACCAAGTAAGATAGATGTTTTGAATAAACTTATTGAGCAACCTATGAAAATATGAAAAGAGATTTCTGCCCAAAACATCGAGTTTTTACATATCAAGGTCCCACAAAGATGATTTCAGGGGATACGTTAGATCAAGAGAATCATTTTGATTCAAGATGTACCATAGTAAAAGTCTTCATTATCAAGGTGAAAAACGCGATCGTTTGATTTTCAATGAAAACCATGAGGGGTACCTCATGCTTTTTGGTCGATTTTTGGCCATGTTTTTTTTGGTCCCCAAAAAGTTGAGCAATAGTGTCAGCAAGTAACTGCCAAATGTGAGCAATTGTTTGGCGCTATTCTGAACATCTAAAACGGCCTTGAACGCAAGAAATCGCGGCTTAAATGCACCTAGTTTTTGCTGTATTAGACGCGTTCTTCACTAAAAGAGGTAATGCCAGTATGCTGCTTGCCCTTATATGAATTATACGCATGTATACAGTTGTAGAACATCGCATAGGAGTCAAATCCACAGATAATAGGAAGAGTTCTTACGCGTAAGTAGAAAATTGAGATAAAAGTAGGAATATTTTAAGGCGATGAGTTAGGGCAATCGGTAGTGCGAGCTGCCGCTGCGTGGGTTGGTTTTTATCGAAGCGTAGACACACTCGTTTATTTATAAAAATACAATAGGGCTAGTTATGATACAAGATATTTATACAGCATCAACTTAACGATGCTTATTAGCGGGAGGAGCAGGAGTAATTTCAATACTATTTACAGAATCAGCACGACCATCATGAACGACAACCACATCGTCCAATTCTTGATGCTCAAACTTCTCCGTGTTGCCATGACCATCAAAAGAGACTTCTTCAGAAAGACCATCGTTTTGGCGCTGGTGACGCTCTGCCTCCATCAAACGAAGACGGCGTCTATCAATTTCTTCTTCTCTCCATTCCATACCACGGAAAGAGCCTTCAATACGCGACATGACACAGCAGCCAAGACAGTTACCAAAGACGTTGATGGAAGTGCGGCCCATGTCCATAATGGCATCAACACCCATGATCATTGGGATTGCTTCGTAAGGGAGATTGTATTGAGTGACAGTGCCAGCCAAGATGAGCAAAGAGGCACGAGGAATAGCAGCAACACCCTTGGAAGAAAGCATCAATGTGCCCATGATGGAGAGTTGAGTAGCCAGAGGCAAGTTAATGTTGCCTGCTTGAGCAGCAAAGATACTAGCCAAAGCCAAGTAAAGAGTAGTACCATCCAAGTTGAAAGAATAACCACAGGGGATCACAAAGGCTGTCAAAGAATTGGGACAGCCAAATGCTCTCATGTTCTCCATAGCCTTGGGCAAAGCAGATTCACTGGAGGCAGAACTGAATGCAATCAACCAAGGTTGCGCAACAGCCTTGAAGAAACCGAAGATGGGGACACGCGCCATGAACATGATGGGAATCAAAATGACAAGGACAAAGATGGCCAAAGAAGCGTATAAGGAGCCAATGAGTTTACCAAGGTTGGCAAGGATGTCAACGCCATTCTTTCCTACAGCAGCAGCCAAGGCAGCACCAATACCAATAGGAGCATCTATAAAACAAGTGATTAGGAACGCGTGATAAGACAATGCGGCAGTACAAGCTTACAGTTCATAATGAGGGCAACAAACTTGAACATGATCATGGACATGGAATCATTGATTCTAAGCATGAATTCCTTGGACTTTTTATCGGCTTTCATCATGGCACAAGAGAACATGGCAGCACAGAAAACGACACCCAAGATTTGATTGTTTGTAGCAGCAACAAAGAAGTTCTTGGGAATGATCATTTCCATTTCACCGTACCAAGTGATGGATGATTCTTGTTGAGCCATGCCTTCTACTTGACTAGTATCACCAAACAAGACGACACCTTGACCGGGCTTGATCAAGTTGGCCATGATTAAGCCAACAGCCAAGGCAAATGTAGTAACAACTTCAAAGTACTAGCAGATTAGGCATGTTAGCATCACATGTCGATACGGGGATGATGATAACAGACAAACTTACAATGATAGTTTTAACAGCCAATCTGCCTACTTTACCCACATCGTCGCCGTGACCAGCAATACCGACGACAAGAGTACTGAAAATAAGGGGTGTTTCGATGATGGTGATCATACGAATAAAGGCATCACCAAGAGGCTTTAATTGAACACCTGCTTCAGGAGCAAAATTGCCAATCAAGATGCCTACTGCCATGCCTACAATGATCCAAAACGTCAAGCTTGTTCTAGCAGCCAAGAAACCCCAGGTGCGCAAAAAGGGTTGCAACAAAATGTTGTTCCAAACGAAAAAGATGGCATTGGCCACGACTTGTACAGGACGAGGATAAGGCTTTGACCCCTCCTCTGGTGGCATACCATAAGGTAAGTTGGAATCTAATTCTTCATTATTCTTTACACTGAAATTGAGTTTGTTCTTGAGACCTTGGAGCATGTAATGAATTAAATAAGGATATGTAATTGTGTACTTTTTTTTTCAAGTTTTCTCTGGCTGGAGGTATCGTATTTATATACTTGATATGTCCTTTTTTTTTTTTTTTTTTTTTTTTCTTTCTTTTTTACACGGTGACAGATCACAAAATCTGACTTTTGATCTGGACTATCACTTGCGCTAAACTTTCAAGGCATAAAATGAAAGATCCAGGAGAGACCATTCGATACCAAACACCCAAAATCAAATGTATCCCATATATGCAATATGGAAATACTGTCTTGCCGATGGATCTATACGGACCATATGTGCACTTTGAGCAAAATACAACAGAGCAATACGTTGATCCGAATGAATCGGAGATGTACAAACCTTATCTCCTGCTCTCTCTTTCTTTCTCTCTCTTGGTGCAAAATGTGCAGTTCCCTCTAAAGGCAAATTGTGGCCATGGCAATTCACCAATCGTTGCTGACGACTTTTGGTTGATTTGACAGACCGTCAATGAGAAAAGCTGAACAAAAAGGTTCCCAAAGACATGTCTTTTACATATACCCTGCTATTCTCGGATGGAACACAATGTTCTCACACTTTTCAAGATTAAGTTTTTCTTTTTTTTTTTCACAATGATGTTACCAGATCTTGCGTTCCAAATTACAGAAAATTGCTTCTTGCCATGTGGATCGAGATGTTGTGTTTATCAGAAAATATCAAAAGGTGGAATCATAGATAAAAGATAAGCAGCCATATTCGATCTTTCTATCTAGTGGTTTAACCAGCGGGAAAATGCTCTGATTTTAATTCGAATTGAATGCACATAGACCCGGGTTTTTTTTTTCCTGATTCAAATACGGTAAAATCCATTTCTGAATGTTCCATGAAGAAAATGTTCCCAATATGACAATAGTATCCTTGGATATGTGAAAATTGAATAAAAATAGTAGTAATACCCATAGCTGGTTTATATTCAAAAAGACATTCACATCCACAGTACTTCTACACGTCTATTGTACCTGATGTCTGTTTTATTCATGATTCAATGGGTTGCTATCATGGCCTATGTATCCCATGCCGATTACCCTTTACTACCTAAGATAGCTCGACAGGCTGTAGCCTCAAAATGTTTGTAATCTCACGTCTGCTCTGCAGCCATGACTTGAATGTGCTTGCCTTATCCATCGTCTCATCACAGATGGCGTCGGGTTCATTGGATGGCATATTGTCTGATTGCGGCTGCTGCTGCACCTTTGTCACTGCCAGTTGCTCCAAGAGATAGTTGGCAAACACGATCAAGTAAAAGTATCTGATCAGATAGTTGAGAGCAACGTCCTTGAGGGCCTTGTATTGCTTGGATTTGGGATCCTCGATGGCATCCATGCGCAATTTGTAATCATAGACGGCTTTTCGCAAATTTTGCATGTGATCGCACATATTGATGGCCTTGTCTGTAAGACGTTTTGCCAGCTTGCCATAGGTCAGCATGCTCACCAACTGAAGAATGATCTTGAACTCGCCATTGTGGTAGCTCTCCTCTATCGAGTCTTCATTCTCGCTGTTGTAGATGAAGGATTTTCGCGTGGACTGAGGTGAATCAATCAATATATGGCCGTTCTTGTCCATCATGATCGAGTCATTATTCATAATCATCGCCATCAGACAGGCGGTAACCATACCCGTCGTTGTGCGACCACGTCTATGATAGCTATTAGCACATGCACACACAATAGAGGCTATTGATGAAACCGTACCCCATCTGACAATTGTACAACACATCGACCCCGGTGTTGGCATTTTTTGTTCTACAAATTAGCTGATCAAAAACGTCGGGAATTGGTGCTTGCTCGTCCGTACTACATGAAACCGATATGTTAAACGTTGCACACAACCTTAAAACTATACAATTACATTGGAATCCGCAGGTAATCCACTTGATAGCCCTCGTCAATGATAGATTGGAAGGTTTCTTTGGGTGTTTCAATGTCTTGTATCTGGACCGATTCCCACATGCCCTACACAACATGGTTAAATTTCGTCATGTTGATGATGCTTTGCTTATGATGTCTATGTACCACTAGATCAAATTCACCCTTTTCATTGGGCTTTTCATCGTGGAGTAACAATCTTCCATCGTATTCTTTCCATTCATGGATCGCTTCCAGTTTCATACGTTCTTCCATCCCTTCAACGCGGTCTGTTGTGATGCCCGTCGATTCCAAATTCTTCAGTGGATCCTGGAACAGACGCAATACGTAGGGCTGCTTGTTGACGTATAACACAGGCTCTTCTCGAAGACATGTCCATAGAACCTTTCGCTTGCCTCCAGGACCTGCATTCATGGACTTTAACACTGCCTTGATGGCGTCTTTGGACGGCATGGCACATCCACAGATGTAAGGTGGGGTCATCTTGTCTTCATCACTGCGCTCCAGATCAGCAGCTAACCCACTGTCATCTGCTGCCTTATTGGGCTGTTTCACACAGGACTTGATATCTTGTACTTGCACTCGTCTAAAGTTATAAGCGCCCTCAATCTTCTCCTTTAAACTCATCTTTTGGCATCCGGGGAACGCATCGTGTTTCAATATCGTTTGCTGTGCCAACACTTGGCCATGACGAGAAGCGACCACGCTCATGATTTCACTCGAGAGTGCCACACCGTCACCAATAGATTTCTCGACAGGTGTAATCAGTTGCTCGTCAGGGTGCTCAAATTCCTCCAGCAAGGTGCCGATTTCAGGTCGTTTAGTCATCCAAGACTCGAATGTGGGGGTGGAATTGAGGAGCTCAGGTGATGTGGAATCCAAATAGGCTTCAAAGCACAGCAGCACAAAATAGCGTTGCAGTGCTGCAATGCCTCGCTTGATGTGTGCCTTCTTTTTGACTTCATCGTCTTCGTTGTCTGATTTGATGTGTTCTGACTCGATCATTTCACGCAAGTTGAGGAAAGCACCACACTTGTCAATCACATCATCCACGGTATGCTTGACTTCTAATCCATTCTTGATGACTCTGAGCAAACTATTGATAATTTGATAGTTGAGATATTGGCATTTATGGCGGTGATCATTGCCTCCTTCCACGCGATTAGGCTTGATCCATCGGGTAATCAAAGTAGCAACTACAGTGCCTATGGTCGATCTTCCCAAACCAACCTGGCAATTCCTATCACGATCATGAGTGCCAACTTTATATGTAATATCTCCTGTGTCTATACTTACATGATCAATGCTGTCTTGGATAGATCAGTGCTAGTAATCAAATTGCGTATTTCGTCAAAATCACACCATTCAGGCGCCTTTTCAGCTGTAACCGGCACACGGTAGTAATCGAGCACATCGCCATGACGAAGATCCACTTTGGTGATAGAAGAATCGCTGCTACTAGCATCACTGTCCAGCTCTTCTGCAATCTCCATGGCAACAGAGATCATGACTTCACGCACAGTCATGATATCATCGGTATCCACTTCCTCCCATGCTGCCAACACGTTGCCGTCCTTGTCCTCACCATGCAGCAGAATACGGCCATCATAATTGAGCACTTCACGAATCACATCTTGCTTCAAACGTTCTTCCAGCTGCTCCAGTCGATCACCAGTAATGCCTTTGTAGACCTTTATATTACGTAATGTAAAGTATCTGTCGCGCAGGACGTAGGGAATGCCATTAATGTAGATAATGGGCTCTTCACGCAAATTGATCCATTGAATCTTGTCGTTCTTTGGCTGATCTGTCAAGAGTTGTCGAATCACAGTACGAAGACCATCCACGGTGGGCTGAGCAATGCCATACACATGTGTGTGCTTGATGCGTCTAAAATTAGATCCGCCTTCTACCAAAAACACATGATGGCGTTGCGACCTCTTGTTGACAAGATTGTTGCAATCCTCTTCTTCTGTATTGATGCCACCTGGTGTAGGTAATTTTTGCAGCTGATTGTGTTCGTCAACATCCAACGGACTTGCGTTCCAGAAATCAACCTTCAAAATGGTTTGTGAAGTGAGAACAACACCAGTGCGAGACTAGATAGCCATGCTGATAAGTATATACACGCATTCAGCCCCTCCTTCTGCGCATCACTTGCCTTTAACACAAACTCTTCAATCTCTGATGCAACTGATCCAAGCTGTCCACCTGCACCAACCATTTCGAACATACCAGGTCCATAACCCAGTGCATTATGACGACGGTGCGAATTCAATGAAGCGCTAAATGTATTGGTATGAACCAATCGATGCAAATCATCCACAGGTCTGAACAAATAAAGCTTGGGGCTCTTGCGTCGAATACTCTGCAACATGCTCCAAATCTCGCTTCTCGACTTGATCCAGTCCGAGAATTTGGTGCTGAATTGATCGTCGGCTGATTCATTGATGTACGCTGTGAAACAGAGCAATGAAAAGTAACGTTGTAGGCCAACAGCTGCTTTGGCGATGTAGCTGTTTTTAGATTCGTAGCCTGCTGAAGCTTGCGTTGTCTGCTTGATTCTGTTCATCAAGATGTCTTCACGAAGGTTGATGACAGCGTCCGCTAAAATTTCAGATAGATGTAATATCAATATCCAAGCGCAACTGAGACAAGAGTCGACTTACATTGGTCAATCACTTCATCCATCATTTTCTTACTAAAATTACCACTGTCCACCACTGCAGTAAGGGCGGTGATGACATGGTAATTGCCCATGATGGCTTCCTTGAGGTTCTCAATCATGCTACCACGTTCCAAAGCCCACTCTATAGCTGATCTCGGCGACATCTTGGAATCAAGCCCTATCAGTCCAGTGTCAGATTGCTGCTAGCATGTTCTTGCCTGCTGTTAAACAAACCTTGCTCTAGGATGTAGACTAATCTCAATAGCGCATGATTTTGACTCTGAATGGTATCCACTTCTTCCCATCCTCTCAACAATTCAGAAGAGATATTTTTTACTGGTGTCTCATTTGCATTATCCAAAGTATTTGCATCAGCGTAATTCCAGCCAGGAAGGGGGAATGGATCAGGCTCATTCAACTCGAGCAGTTGTATGCGACGAATGATCTGTGCAATGACAATACCCACAGTGGCTGTGTTTGAGTGTTGTTTAGTCGTGTGCTGCTTGTCTATAGCGTGTGGATTGTCTGTCGCTACTTACTTCGTACGGCACCCATACCACAGTTAAAGATCAAGGGGTCTGTAGGCTTTAATGATTTGATGACACGCACATATTCATCAAAATAGTTGTCTTCAGGCGCTTGCTCAGGTGAAATGGGGATTCTGAAATACTTGAGCCTATACTCGCGTTGCTGATATTCTTCAAACACTGTGCGTCGCACATGCATGATCAGTTTACTGCATTGTTGATTGTAATACAACTTACATTCTCTAGGGGTTTGAACTTGATCCGCAGCGATGAAACAAGGGACAATGGTACCGTCCGCTGTAAGACACACGTACACACACATATGTCAGTGATCGTCTCACATTGCCATATGTTACAATAACCAACTTACTCAATTCTTGATGCACTAGAATTAATCCTCCCATGTTCTTGGCTTCTTTGACTACGTCATGCTTTAATCGTTCCTCTAGTTTCTCGAGTCGAGCTGCATTGATGCCTAAAAATGCCACCATGTTCTGCAACGGGTCAGCATAGTCCCGCAACACGTACGGATGCCCATTCAAGTAGACTGTGCAAATGGAGTGAATACAAGTGACATATGCTGCTGTTCACGTTGCTCTACTTACTCAACGGTTCCTCTCGAGTTAAAAACCTATCTACTGTCTCAGCATACACACAATCCCAAATGCTGACAATTCGCTTACCATGTGCATGATGCCTGGATGTTACTTTTGGGATGACAGTTTAATAGAGCCAATACGGTGGATAAACCAACAGCCTGTACCATGTTTAGTATAACAGGGCTTTTTGTCGCTTAGTCCTTGCTAATGTCTTACCGTAGGCTGTGCCACACCATATACATTTAAATCCGCTACACGGAAATTTGGTGCGCCTTGCAAGTGGAAATCCAGCTTTGTATTCATGCCTGTAAAGATCTTATCAGTGAGATTGAGTATGATATAAAAAAAATGATCACATTACCTTTTTCAAAGTGATCCATCTTTAATATGGTATTTCGAGTCAATACACTGCCATGGCGAGTGCGCATTAGATTCTTGACAGCATTCAATAGGTAACGAGGGTCCTGAGACCCTGCTGCCTGTGATAGAGGCGTGGATGGTCTTTCTTGCTTTGGCGCACTGATATTGACGGATGCTGGCGCTGGGGATTCTGATCTAGAGGCAGGCAAGGAGGAATAGGCTAGATTATGGCGAATTGAACTTCCCATCTCATCGCTGGATAGAGCTAATCAGTGACACGACAATTTACACACATGGTAGGATGCTTACATGCGCTGAGGTATGTACCGACTCTTTGGCTTGACAGATGGGTCATGTTGAGGTAATTTCCTATGTGCTAATCGAGGCGAGCTTGGAACACTGCTTGCAAGCCCTTCGGCATGCAGCAAAGACGCATTGAGATGTCTCGGTGGAGAATCTGTCATTTTAGAGAACAGGAGATAAAAAGAGGTAAAAAAAAAAAAGACATTTGCCGGCAACATGATGCATATTTATATTTGGACAGCTTCCAATGCACTTTTCACCTCTGTACGTCATATTGAAGGGAGAAGTGGTTCGATGCAGCCAATCATGGTCACATTTCAAAAGTGTGTATGTGTTGTAATACTGTGTTTGGAAGCCTTTTTGTTTAAATCTTTACATTTTTCGTATATAACAAATGCCCTTCAAACAGGCATCTCCAGCTGTGCCTGCTTCACAACTGTACAAGAAACTCAAGAAGGTGGGAAAGGGTGCATATGGTTCAGTCTACAAAGGGTACAGTACATAGACACACACACACACACGCTACATTGGCATGAAACAGACGTATTGACTCAAGACAACAGCATCGATACTCGCACCAACAAGGTGATTGCCATCAAGGTCTTGAATCTAGATACAGAGGAAGATGATGTGGACGATATTCAGCGAGAGATTGGGTTACTATCGCAGCTTACACATGCTCGATCACAAAATATCACACCTTACTATGGCAGTTTTCTGAACGATACAAAATTGTGGATTATCATGGATTATGCGGCTGGTGGCAGTGTGCGAACGATAGTAACTATCTGGCACAGACAAGCATTAGCGGATAGGATTTGCTGACTGCATTTGTATAGATGAAGGCGGGCAACTTGGAAGAACGCTATATCGCTCTCATTACTCGAGAAATCCTGCTTGCACTGTCGTATTTGCATAAAAATCAAATCATTCATCGAGACATCAAGGGTATAGACACACATACATTCATAGCATAACACTCATCTAACAGCGCAATGCAGCTGCCAACATCTTATTGACGGCTGAGGGCAATGTGCAATTGTGTGATTTTGGTGTTGCTGCTGCCAATTCATTCAGACGAAGCACATTTGTAGGCACTCCTTATTGGATGGCACCAGAAGTGATTAGAGAAGGAGCTTCGTACGATTACAAGGCAGATATTTGGTCATTGGGCATCACTGTGTACGAAATGGCTACGGGTAATCCACCTTTGGCTAATGTGGACCCCATGCGTGCCATCTCGGTCATCCCAAAATCTGCTCCACCGAGACTACCGGATACATTTTCACCTGCTATCCGGGAATTTGTCGATTGCTGTTTATCTGAACACCCAAACGAGGTCAGTACGGTGGACTCCATCTGCCTGTATTATACTATCCTGGTGTTAACTCGACATTAGAGGTTGAATGCGGACGAATTACTCAAATCCAGGTTCATAAAGAGCGTCATTAAAGTGCCTCGATCAGCATTGCGAGATGTGATTGCCAGATATGACAAGTGGAAAAAGACGAATGAGGCCTCCAAGCGATGTAGTATTATATCCAATGAGCTTAGTGAAAGGTAAGTCAATAGGTGCGTGTCGCTTTGAGCAATGTATTTACCAGGCATTGCACATTAGTGATACTGAGGATCCTGCAATGGATGACTTTGAAGACATGCACGAGGATACTTGGGAGTTCGATGTGAGTCATTTTCTGTCTATAGTGCTAGCTGGAGAAACTGACTCTGTCGCATAGACCATCAAAAGTAGCCAACAAACAACAGTGAAACGAGTAGACAAGCAAATAAGCGCCAAAGAAACAACAACAACAACAACAACAACAACAGCAACAACAGCGACGGATGTCACTATAAAGGCACCACAGCCATATACCCGAAACCCTGAATCACTTCCTCTTGTTCGTATGTTTATGACAGCCGAGCAAAAGGCCGCAGAAAACCTCAACATACCCAGCCACGCTCATATTAACAATTCAGCCCCATTGTCTCTGGATGCACCTCATCTCTTGAAAACCACAGAACCAACGACTACAAGCCTAAACAGCAGCAGCAGCAGCACGCGCACATTGAATGCAACTACCACCGCCACCACTACCACTACAACAAATGTACACGGTCAATTAGGAGATGTACCATCTGTAAGGCCCAGTCTAGTGAGGGACATGCCACCGCCAGATCAACTAAGTGGTAGCCACGAATTCATGGCGAGTCATAGCAATGGAAGACTAGTGCCTGGCGCACCACCACCTCGTAATCTGATGAACTCTCCAGTGTCGAAATTAGTGCCTTTGTCGAGATCAGGGTCTTCAGAAGGTGGTGGTGGCATTGGTGGTGGAAAACCCATGATACGCGCTAGATCCCATTCAGAGCAACGGCCCATGCATGAGCAAGAGCGAGAGCGATCATCCTCGTTTGATACAGGACAGCCTATGCCTACAGTGCCTAATTTGAAGAATGCCATGACCAACATCTCCTCTCCATTGGCGAGACGAGTGCGGTCGGCTACCACATTGAGACCACCATCCGATGAGGATAGTGTCAATCTGAAGGCATTGATCAATCAAAAGCAACAACAACAACAACAACAACAACAACAGCAGCAGCAGCACATTCAAGTAACACCTTCTTCACCCGCAACACCTGCCACTGTGGATAAGGATCACTCAAACGACTCACATCGTCGAAGCATTAGCGCTGGTAATGCCTCTTCCAACAAAAAGGTAATTATCCCACACATTGTCCTTCTACACGTACTCATGGTTGGAACTATGATAGATTCTGCAAGACATGATCAAGGATCCACCTGTGGCTACTACCCAAAGAAACATACCCCCATTGGCCTCTATTTCTACAGAGGCCGAGATATTCAAGCAAAAGCTGGAGCGTGAACAAAAGGACCCAGAGGCAGCTATCCCAGTGATACAGCCGCTTGCATTAGACGGTCTGCAATCACAGCAGCAGTTTTATGATGCCATTTGGAACACATTGGGAGATTTGAATGGATGGTTGGAAGCCATGGAGATTAGTTTAGCTCATGTAGATACTACAGCCAACTTTTGATGAATAAACCATGTGTATCATTGCACTGAACATACAATCTTTAGGATGAATAGCCAGGCAAATGTCCATTTGAATGGAGTTCATGCGGCCACAAGTTGCTCCAAACCAAACGTCACATGTAACCTGGGGCATGAACAAAATGTTGTAATGGGGATGTAGAGAAAATAAATTCGCAGCGACGTCCTTTTAACACTTGTATACACTGACAAAGATGGCAGCTATCAACGACGATGTTTACGCTCGTGTAAGAGAAAAGATTAAAGAGCACAACCTGACAGAGCAGGAGGTCAAGGCAATTGACACTGCCAGAGACCAGCTTCAGACGCACAGTAAGCAGCTAAACAAATGGCATGACAAAACATCAGATTACTAACATGTCATGTAGCATACACCGGTGGTTTGACAGGTGCCATGGCAGCATTTCTCTTGGCCAAGAGCAAAAAGTTCAATCCTATTCAAATGCTGGCTCTCACAGGCGGTGGCTTTCTCATGGGCTCACAAATGGGTCTGATATCAGGCGCATTGGCAGGTGTAAAAACCATCAATACACTACCAAATCCTCAGCGTCTCATCAATGTCGTCCGAGAAGTACAGCAAGTATCTAATTCGAGCAATTAAGAGGGAGACAGAGAGTTGAATGGATTAACTGTGTTATGCAATAGGTTGGAGGCAATGAAAGGTAGACAAGGCATCAATGGACCCAATGCCAATGGAGGCAACCACCCAACAGGACCTACCATTCGACCTCATCAAATGACGCCTCAAGAGCTTCATGAAGCGCAGAGTCCTCAAGATCAATTCTCACCTGATATGAATGAAAATACCAGTGGAGATGGAGGTAAATGAATAAGGGAATGCTTCAAGAATGTTTGCAAACAGACTTAACATAATTCCCGGGTTGGGTTGGGCATTTGGTTTTTTATAGTATGGGGAAACAGACAAACATTCAGCAACAACAGAAATAACGAAATGGACATTACAGACGAAACAGACCCTCTTTCCAGATCTCAACAACTACAGCAGCGCAGCACTCAGCAACAACCGCCTCAACCGAGTGCCTGGGACAAGATTCGTTCTGAAAATTTGCCCAACAACACATGGTCAAGAATTCGAATGGAAGCTCAGAAGAATCCCGAAAGTGCCGTCGATATTGAAAAGGCAAAGGCTGCTCGACTGAATAAACTACGTGAGAATTCTGATTTTGGAAATAGTGGGGAAAGAGAAATACCCCGTACGAGAGAAGAAGCTTTGGAGCGAGGCAGTACTTCGAGACGGAATCAGTGGGGAGATCCATTAGAGTAAATGTGTATGTATGTATGTAATAAAGAACACAGCTGGCACATGCATGTTGTGTGTGTGTACATGTGTCAGTATATCAATATCTTCCGATCAAAGTATGTGTTTTATGCATAGCATAGCAACAGGATTCTTGACTATATCCTTGCATTGGATTCCACCTTTTTCATCTCTTTCTATCCATCTTTTACACTTTTATATGTATACTGTAAAGAAAATCTCCATTGGATTATATTGCGTTGCAGCTGTTTGCTTGCAATGTGTCAAAGCTGACGCCAAAGCGGATGAATTAGCATTCAGGGCGAACATGATCAAAGGCGCATTTCAACATGCCTGGAACGGTTACTCTAGTTTTGCCTATGGTCATGATGAATTGCAGCCAATCACTAATGGAACAACAGATTCCAGGTACATTTACATGCAAAACGCACCTCAGAGGCGTCCTGAAGACATACTAACAAAATAATGATACTTGTTATAGAAATGGATGGGGAGGTATATATATATATATATATAGACGTCTATGGGTTAGCATGATCTAAATATTGCGATTGAAATACGCCTTTATATATTATAGCTTCAATTTTCGATGCTTTGGACACAATGATCATTATGGGGTTGGAGGACGATTATCAAAGAGCACTTGATCATGTCAAGAATGTGGATTGGACAAAGAGCAAGGAACCGTCAAAGACGTTTGAAACTAACATTCGCTATTTGGGCGGCCTCTTGTCTGCTTATGATTTGCGCTCTGATCCAGTTTTACTTGACAAGGCAGTCGACTTGGCTGAAAAGGTCATCATGCCTGCGTTCAACACGCCAAATCGCATGCCAGCTGCTTTTGTCAATGTCTCGACGTAAGTGTTTATGTCTTGTTCTATGAATCCAAGTCGAGTATTCATGTGTGTACTTGTAGAGGACGTCCTGTGAAGCATAATGAGATTATCTTGGCTGAATTCGGATCGCTTCAATTGGAACTTGTTCGTCTCTCTCAATTGACTGGCGATGACCGCTATCAAGTCGCTGGCAATCACATTCTTGAACAGTTGTCTCAAGTTCCTTCCAGAATTCCTGGCTTATACCCCATGACATGGAGTCTCGACAGCTTTACTCCTAAAAATAGTAGGCACACCTATAGTCGATTGAGATGATTTCAACACTGACTATTATCTATTTAGCTTACATCACCATCTCGGGCGGCGCTGACAGCTATTATGAATACTTGCTCAAGACAAACATTTTGATGGAAGGCAACGAAGAGCTTCAATTGGATATGTGGAAGGTCTCTGTTGATAGCATGCAAAAATACCTTCGCTCTGAAACTCACAGCGGCAAAGTGTATCTTGCTGAATTTGAGGAGCATTACAAGCTGTTACAAACGGGTGAATTGGTAGCGTCATTCTATACTTAAGCTATGTTTGTTTGTTTGTTAATCCAACCAACTAGGTCTGTTTCATGCCAGGCAACTTGCTTCTCGGCGCACGTTATTTGAACGACCCAACTATTGAAAAACTAGCCGACGAATTGATGAATTCTTGCTATGACACTTGGATTAACACAGCCACTGGTTTAGCCCCCGAGAAGTGGAGCTGGATTGATAAGGACCAAAACATGAATGGATATCCTGAAGCCATGCAAAAAATGATGCTGAAGAATGGGTTCATTGCTCAAGACACTGGCTATGATTTGAGACCAGGTAAGTGTACCAACTTGTTCAATGCAATGTATACTAAACACATACATTCATAATGCACAGAGACAATTGAAAGCTTATTTTATTTCTATCGTATTACTGGTGACAAATCGTACCAGGTAATACATATTTACATTGCAAACAATATTTAAATTCAAACTAACCAAGATCGCATTAGGACAAAGCTTGGAAGATTTTTGAAGCCATTGAGAAATACTGTAAAACAACATCGGGCTACACTCGCATTGCTGATGTTACCAACATAGAAGACGTGAAGCCATTGAACTTTGAGGAGAGGTACAGTCATTTAGCTGAATTATATTCAACATCAAATCTAATTGTTTGCATGCACTACAGTTACTTTTTCGCTGAGACACTAAAGTATCTGTACCTGATGTTTAGTGACCCCAGCTACATCTCGTTGGATGAATACGTATTCAACACAGAGGCTCATCCCTTCAAGCTTAACAAGCCAATCAAAGTCCAAGCCGAAGAATTCAAATAGATTCAATAAACATCTTTAACTTATTTCTGTTGATTATACTCTCAATTGATGGCACCTAGTGTGAGTTGAATACCTTTGATTTGTCGTATGTATTTTGTAGCATGATCCGTGAGCATTATTGATAGTACAGAAGCTATAGAGTCTTAACTGCAAAATGAAGTAGTCAAAATATGCTATAGCATCTCTCAATTCGCAATTCCTTTCTCATTAGCTTCAAAAACATCGATTACTATCAAAAGAGATGCATTTGCCAGCCAAAATCAAATTCATTTCCGAACCATATTATTTATTCGAGATTGGCCGATCTAGACCAATTTCGACTTTATTTCATCTGTTTTGCAGAATTCGACTATAAAAACTGTAATGACCATCTTGTACTCTCTTAAGCTACCTTAAAGTCCTTTTCAAGACGCATACAGTGATGCTCATGATAAGAAATGTTTTGAACAAACTTCTCCAGCAATTATGGAATATATGAAATGAGATTTTTGGTCAAAATGCCAATTTTTTCCATATAAAGCATTACAAATATGATTTCAGAAGTTGCTATGGATCGATACAAACATTTTGAGTTAATATGTACTATAGTAAAAGTCTTCACTTATGGGACTAAAAACACGATGGTTTGGTTTTTGATAAAAACCATGAGGTATCCCTCATGATCAGTAGTCAATTTTTGGTCCTGTTTTTTTTTGGTCCTAAAAAAAGTTGAGAAAAGGTGTCAGGAAGTAAGTATTAATTGAGAGCAACCATTTGGCACTATTCTGAGGGTCTGAAACGGCTTATAACGAGAGAAAACACGGCTCAAATGCATTCAAATTTCGCCGTGGTTTATCAAGTTTCCGCTGATACTGACATGGAGCATCGTTGAAAGCTCATGCCTGCTGTTACAGATGGCTTATTGAGAATTATGGCATGATAAAGATAGGCTGAAAAGTTAAGACCTATTACACATCTGTGTGTAGGATGCGTGTGTTTTCTTTGGATATTCATTTGCTAGTCGGATATGATGATTTAACATATTAATTGAATTGCTGAGAAACGGTGAACCTACTAACAGCGCCACTACCATTTCTGCCATCGTTTACTGAGATATTCTTCAAATACTCGCCATTTGGCAATGAAATGCTCTACTACTACTACTAATAAGAATTTTATTTAATAAAATAATGCAATTCTATGAATAGCTCTAATTTTGGGTTTGCAAAAAGTTGATTAAATTAGCACTTCGAAGAGAAATCCATTCCTTCAGGCCCATTTTGCTTGATACATTGGTAGGTCCATTCACACCAAGGTCAAAAGGGATGTCGTCAGCTCCAATAAATCCCTTGTTTTCTAAAGTGCTATTTGTCAATTCACCTGCTACCCAGCTTCTTTCGCCGGTATTCATGCGAGGTAACACTTTGTCCCAAGCGACATCTTGCTCAAGCATTTTGTATAATTGCTCGACACGAGGATTCAAAACCTCCGGATTAACCAAATATTTAGTAAAATTGAGTAGTAGCTTTTCGAACTCTTCTTTAAATGCAGGTATGGCGAGCAATGCTGGAGCTAATGGACGAGTCAAAAAGCCTGGAAATTGAGTGTAATTTCCACCATTCATAAGAGTTGCATTGAAGATGGTGCTTCCCATGGACAAATCAAAGTCCTGTCCACTGAACAGAATGCGCTCATGTTCAAGATCATCATACAAGATGTAGTTGTTGCCCATGGTAAGGTAACCATCTGCGTTAGAGGTAACGATTTCCATAGCTAATCCACGCAAGAAACTATCGACATCTGCTTTATTATTCCATAGAGGAGCAAAAGTGTTAGACCCGTCAGAAGTAGGTTGCACCGAAATGAAATTGATGAGATCCATGATTCTGGTATGATTGGCTTTTCCTTTGGAAGGGTTTTCCTTAGCTGGGTACTTGATACTGTATATAGTGACATTATCGCCGAGATAGCTCAAGTCAGGTCTTGGCCCGTCATGCCCAGGTCCGCCTCCACCTGGTCCACCTGGTGCTCTTGGGCCTCCTGGCCCACCTGGTCCTTGTGGGCCACCTTCCCGACCAGCAGAAACATCTGCAACATATAAAGCCCCTTGTCTAAACTTTTTATCTCCTTTAGCAAAGACATTTCTAATCCATGGATTCTTGAACATTTCAGCCAAGCCAAATAAACCGACTGCTTTATCATTGATGAACACTCGAACATAGCTGTACTGCGTTGTTGGGATACCAATGGATTCAGCAATATCAGATGATAATTGGTCTCTCATGTAGGATGGATCTGTGGCCATGGATCTCAATTTGAAGCGACGGTATCCAAAGAGGTCTTGCTTTTTAGGTATCTTGAATTTGTAAGAAAGCTTTTTTTGAGACCGGGTGCTATGACCTGCAATAGACAGAGTAATGTTGTCAAATATTTTGACTTCGTGGGGGCTAACAGTATATTGTTAGAAATGCGTACAGGGACGACGTGATCTGATAAGAAGGTTACCTAATGTAGGTCATTTTAATGTTGGGGACACGAATATCCTCTCTTGCGTTGTGATGAATGATATCAATCGCTGTTTGATTGCCAGTAATATGGATTGTTGGAATTTGCCCTTCAAGATGAAGGTCAGATCGAATGCGATTGAGGATAGGAAGGGGTTCCATAATCACAGGCAGTTTCTCCACGGGCATCATGTTCCACGCTCTGTTGTAGTATTCATTCAGTGTGCTATCTTCGATGACTGGGTTGCGAAGAAAATTTTCTTGTTCAATGATAATAGCGCGGTTTTTATCGATGATAGCATATCGATAGCCTAAAATTGGTCTGGGTGCCTCGCCTGTGTGATATAATGTCGAAATTGAATCTGCAGCGCTGAGAGGATATAGCTTGTCGTTATCTACAATGACACCTAACGTATGATTCTCAGGCACTTGCTGAACAACTTTGTAGGTGACCTGAGATGGAGTTGAGAACAAACGTAGACTAAAGAATGCCGCTTGGAAGAACGAAACAGCTGCCTCACATCATTCTTTAGAAATCAGCTGTATCTCTGCATATATGGATGTCAAATACCTGAGGATGTTTTCATTTTGAAGTATGCAAAAGAGAAGAAAAGATATTCTTGGATAAGATCCTTCTTATTGTTGCTTATTGGGCAATTTTAGATCAGATAAAATTTCTTCGGTGTAGGCCGTGATTTACTGTGTGTTGCGATGGATTTCCTTTTTTACGAAATATTTACTCAAGATGGTAAATGCCAAGATAAGTCCCAAAGATGGCCTGCTCTTCTTTCTAGTTGGTAATATAGTTTCACAGTCTACAACTGTACAGCGTCTTCCTTCTTGTAATCTACTTGTTAATGAGTTTTTGTAATGTTACCCGTATTATAGTTCTGCATTGCAGATCCAGAATAAATTTGTCTTTGTTTTGATATCCGGCCACTGCAGATAGAATGCTGTTAATATTCTTCTTTATTCGAAATTAAAATAACGTGCAATGAAATGTATATTTTATGTCTCGATTTGTATTCTTTGGTTGATACCACTTTCCTAGCAGCAGTTTAGTAGTTGCCAGTGATTACATTATTTTGACATTTACTTTAGTACCTGCCATCTCTTATTTTAGAGTGATTTACCTTTGCTATCATCATGCTAGCACAATATTATATTCGGTATGCTTATCTGTTGATGGCAGCAAAGCTTGATTACGATGACATTTATTTTGAGTATTTTTAAGATGGGAATCTGGTTTAGTTCCCTTCAGCCATCAGAAAAAAATATCTGATTGTCGGAAACTCCTTTCGTCTTTCAGCTAGGTAATATGAGAGCAATGAGATATGAATATTGATGCCTTCTTACAGAGAAAATGTGTGTTAATTATGATTGATGTCAAAAGAGTATCTGGACTGCAATAATACAAATCTTCATTCTTTACTGGCAGGGGACGAACCTTATATATATGTACACTTAATATGAAATTTAAAAACATGATGGATCACACATATTGTTAAATGCACAATCATATGGCGTTGTAATAAAATAACCACCTAAAAGCAATCTAATTGAAACTCGAAATTCATCAAATATCACTCATCCAAATTCTTGCTATTTGAATCTATTGATAAAGCTCTCATGTGTACATAAAAAACTATTCAAGCATACTAAAGTAAGAATCCATGCTTATCTCGCGCATTGTGTGAATGAATCACTCTTGATCACAGTGTATTCAGTCGCATTCATGGTGATTACAACTAGTGATGCTATCTTATCCCAAATAACTTAAGTCAATAACAAACATATACAAACATGTCAACTATGCCCTGAAGCCATAGTTGCACAATACCCCAGATAAAGAAGGGTTCTACACTTCAATAACAAACATCATACCTCAAATTTTCAAGGTTACATTACATCATGCTAAGACAATTGCTCATCCAAGCCCATCAAGATTATTCAAATCAATTCTTATGGCCAGTGCTCTTGCATTGGTTACCACTTTAAATCAAATAGCAACAACATTTGCCAGTTATCGTCGCAATAGCAGCGCCTATTGCTTTCTATCATCACTAATCCTACAAGCTAGTTGCAAATGTATAAATACTCTTCATTTTTAATTAAGTACAGGATCTTCGGTTCGTATTATACACAAAATAAAATACAGTTGATTTCTATTGTATTTTACTATTGCTTTATTTTTTTTTTGAAATCCCTTAAACCTGATTTCACTGCAACACTGATTTAATTCACATTTGGTCCTTCATAAATCAAATACAATCGAAATTTACACTAGTTTTAATCCTCATTCCATCTTGGAATAACCCAATAAGTATGTTTACTTCTAATTGTATTTCCTCTTCTGTCTATATCCTATAATCCCGCATTTAAAAAGAACAATCTGCGCTCTAGAATTAAAATGAAAGTTTCTAGCACTTGAGAATCGAGTTTCGTCCAAGGCAAAATCCCTGGATAGCCAAAAACAATCTGTAAGTTACTGACTGATTTGTTAGTACAACCTACTACGCCTTGTTCTCAAAATGAATTTTGTTGAAATCTACCATTTTCAAAAACGAAAAACTCATGCTACAAGGCGTTCTGGACGCTTGGAATAGGGCCAAACGTTTCTTCTCGGTCACGCTTTACTTAATGATACTTTATCTCAAATTTTTTTAGGTCATCGTAGATCCATGAAATTCTTCATTTTTTCATGTGTACTAGTGTAAGGGAAAATTCCTCAAATTCAAACGATCACGTTTTTCACCTCATAAATGAAGACTTTTTCTATGATACATATCAGACCAAATTGATCTTAAAGATGAAATGCAACACTGGACGCTTTTTTTTATGAAACATATATGAAGAATTTTGACATATCCACAGAAAACCTGTTTTCACACTTTTGCAAATTGCTCATTATTTTCGGTACGAAAACTGAATGTAACCAGCATCATTCGATGCGCCTTGACTGACGCTCTATAGATGCATTAGGAAGTAAAGTAAAACAACGCCAATTTTCATAGTCAAATTTAGCAAAAAACGTTTAAAGGATGTCAGATCAAGTCAAATTTGAACACAAAAATGGCAACTGCACAAACCCAAATTTGAGTGCCGCAGCGACAGCTGCTGTGGCAGAAGACTGAGGCCAAATTTACTAGCCGTGACGTCGGATAGGGCGCCCTCTCATTTTTCCATATCCCCGTTTTTTTTTTCTTTTGCAAAACGCGTTTAGTATCAAACCATGGTCGTTTTGGAAACTGTCTGATGGATAATAACACTCTAGCTTCCGATAAATCTGTCTTGTACCGTAGGAAGAACTTGATACTGGTTCTTTGAAATGGAATATGCTAGGTACCATTCAATAACGAGCACTGAAAGGCGTAGAATTAACACTAATTGAATTTGTTTATTAGGCTTTGATGATTCTTTTTGTCTGTTTGACGTGCGTGCTGCTGCCATTACTTCTCTGCTGTCTCTGCTGTCTGCTTTTTTGGTTTATCATGTCTGGTGGTTGCTTCTCTGGTCTTTGTTTGGTCTCTGGTGTCGTTCATTCTTTGGTTTTTCTATGATGCTGGTGTTACTGCTGCTAATCTGGTCTTTCCTGGTCTACTGTATTTGCTGCATACTCGCTCTCTGGTTCATATCCGTTGATAAGTGGTAACTTCTTTGGTCTTTGTCTGCTCTCTGCTAATGGCATTCGTTCTTTAATTTGTCTATGGTACTGGTGCTGCTGCTGCTCATCTGGTCTTTTCTGGTCTACTATATTTGGTGCATGCTTGTTCTCTGGTCTGTCTCCGGCGATTGCGTATCCTCTGGTCTATCTGTGGTGGTGGTAAGTGGTAAGTATCTTCTTTCTTCTGGTCGGAATGATATAAAACTTCTTTGAACGTTTGTATTATTGCTTCCTTTCTCGTGATAATGCATTTTATCATGATATTTACTTTGTTGCGCTTTCTTCTTCTTTCGCTGGATACGTTGCCTCTGTGGCTTCACATGAGACAACGTTAGTCATTATGTTGCAGTGCAAACTTAAACCACTATTGCTTTTGCAGTTTTGTGTGTTTGCGTTACTTTACATTCGACTATTACCATGCACTTTGCTCATGTATGCAATTTTGTTGCAACAACGAGCTCTTTTGAGCATCTCTGATGTTGTACTTGTTACACTTTTCTTTGAATCACTTTGTGTGAGTATCCATTTTTTGCCCATGTACTACTATACTCCTATAGTAGTATGTTCTTTTATTCTTTCCTTTATTATTTTTATGTTTCTTTGAAGCATACCTTTTTTACGTTGTGTGGATGTGCCTATCCCTGAAGCTCAACAAGACTCTATCCGAGGCTAGGAGGTAGATAGGCCGCCTCCACTTGGTTATCACTACTTACTTTAGTGATGATTGAGAGTCTCAACGCCAGAATCTAAAGCTAGGTGGTGTAAGTAAGGCATGCTCTAGCACCTGAGGGAAATTTGATGATAGCAGCGGCTATATTGCTATTATAGCGGCGCTTAAAATTTTGCCTCACATCAAAACAGAGGGAAACCCTCGCAATTTTTTTTTAGATCAGCGGAGTTTTCAAGCAATCTGATTGGCTCAGGGATTGAAACAACGATGGGCTACAACTAGTTGATTTCCTATTGATCTGTCATGTATTATAATTTTGTATTTGTAATAAAAAGAGTATCAAATAGATCCAATTTATGTCGTCCTTTGTTTAAAACTATAAAATAAGGTGCAATCTATTGATCAAACATGCATTAAACTGTGGCATGTCAGTGAGTGTCCTTTAAACTTGATATTATGTGGTTGGAGGAAACCCATATACAAGTACAATAATGCAATACTACTTTAAGGACCAGGAGGACTTAATAACAGATGCCCCGCCGCCAAGCATGCGTTGTTGTTTATCTGTATTTTCCAACATGTCTCAATGTAATGGGTTGCTAACTTTTGCTTCATATCAACGATTTCACATCATGTATAAAAGTATCTTTTGTCATAAGATTTACGCCACCATCCACAATCAAATCTTAGACTATTTACATCAGAGCTTTGGAAGTAGCATGTTCGTACAGCCAAATTTAGCGAGAAAAAAAATGCGTTAAGAATAATATAGAGAGAAGAAATATAATTAAAACTGGATATGTTTATCATGTTATTTCAAGATTGAATGAGGGATAAAACTAATGTAAATCTCGAATGTGTTTATAGTTATTTGAAAATGCCAAAGCAATAAAGCCTTAATAATCCTGAATACTGGATAATTGTAGAAGCCTTGAACCAGTTAACTAAGATGTGCTACGTGAAAGCTCATAAACCACCCGTGTTGTGCCAGAAGGGCTACAACTGTCTATAAAGATTAAGGTATTCTTGATGGGTAGATATTGTGGAATACATCCACTATGATCTGCATTCCGACAGTTCATCCAGTTACTAGATTTAGATATAAACTGTATGTACGCTGGATTAGATGTACGATATCGATTTATACTATAAGAAGATATGGACTTCAGATACGCTAGTACTATAAGATTCATACTATATAAGATATAGGCTATAGATGGCACCACGGACATGGATGGCACTATAGACTTATACTTGTATTCCGACATTGACTACGGATGTTTACCATATCTGGATAGGCACCAAGATTAATGCAATATGAGCTTGTTGCTTCAGATGTGCACTTCATGATCCACGCTATAAGACACATGCTTATATCCGTGATACTAGCTACAGATACGTTATGTACTACAGACTTGTACTATATATGAGACATGCTATAGACATGCATACGATATGCTATAGACATGCCATATATCCAGATACATGCTAAAGATGTATGCTTAGCGATATACACTCAGATATGTACTATTAATATAGACTAAGAAGACTCTACCTATCGGATACATGCTACTAGATCGATATTAATTATCCTTATAGAAAGGATAGATCAGGGTACTTCGGATGAGAGTCTAATTATTCATCCAGACAGAGCTAAATCATGATTAGCTTGCTGGAGTTGTCTTTTAGCATAATTCGACATTAGTTGATTTGAGTTGACTTATTTGTTAATCTAATTAATAGAACTTTTATCCATTGTTATAGTATATAAGAGAGATCATCTACCTGGCCAGTAGAGAGACTTCAGTTTACTTTACACCTGTCAGTTTGATAATAAAATATACCTTTATCAAGTTGACATTACTGTTTTTTTATTCTTTTTTTCCGTGAATTTTAGTCTATGAAGCCTCAAAGTCCACATTCTATTCTGGATCTTCATTGTTGTTTGTTCTTGACGGGTTGTTAAGCAAAAAGAATAAAAGGATTATTATTTGTAGCTTATAAAAAATGTTCGATATTATAAAAACAAGAAAAGATTTATTTGAATAAGATCAGACACAAAAACTAAAAATTTATTGATGAAGACAAGAGTTATTCTATTTATACTAAGTTCTGAATGCCAAAGTAGCAATTTATCTTGTACAACGCTTATCACATCTGGTGAACCTCAGCATTTAGATAGCTGAGATGCACTTCAATTATCACAGCTTGTCCATGTTGTTGCACAACACAGACATATCTGTGGAATTTGAGGCTTCATAGACTAAAATTCACGGAAAAAAAGAATAAAAAAACAGTAATGTCAACTTGATAAAGGTATATTTTATTATCAAACTGACAGGTGTAAAGTAAACTGAAGTCTCTCTACTGGCCAGGTAGATGATCTCTCTTATATACTATAACAATGGATAAAAGTTCTATTAATTAGATTAACAAATAAGTCAACTCAAATCAACTAATGTCGAATTATGCTAAAAGACAACTCCAGCAAGCTAATCATGATTTAGCTCTGTCTGGATGAATAATTAGACTCTCATCCGAAGTACCCTGATCTATCCTTTCTATAAGGATAATTAATATCGATCTAGTAGCATGTATCCGATAGGTAGAGTCTTCTTAGTCTATATTAATAGTACATATCTGAGTGTATATCGCTAAGCATACATCTTTAGCATGTATCTGGATATATGGCATGTCTATAGCATATCGTATGCATGTCTATAGCATGTCTCATATATAGTACAAGTCTGTAGTACATAACGTATCTGTAGCTAGTATCACGGATATAAGCATGTGTCTTATAGCGTGGATCATGAAGTGCACATCTGAAGCAACAAGCTCATATTGCATTAATCTTGGTGCCTATCCAGATATGGTAAACATCCGTAGTCAATGTCGGAATACAAGTATAAGTCTATAGTGCCATCCATGTCCGTGGTGCCATCTATAGCCTATATCTTATATAGTATGAATCTTATAGTACTAGCGTATCTGAAGTCCATATCTTCTTATAGTATAAATCGATATCGTACATCTAATCCAGCGTACATACAGTTTATATCTAAATCTGGTAACTGGATGAACTGTCGGAATGCAGATCATAGTGGATGTATTCCACAGATCGAAAATCGATGAGAAGATCGGTTTTATTCCATTGCTTGGCAAGGAATCTGTGTTGATGAGGTCTGATGGTTTTCATCAATTGCTTATGGTGATATGCTGCTGCGTTGAGTGATTTTTGCTCTTTGGAAGCGAGACAATGAACGCTGAATGCGTAGCACACTTGCATGATCTCTATCTGCTTTCCTTCAAGTTCGGTCGTTGGATAGTTGGCAATAAGCTCATCTACATCTTCCAGTACAAAATTGAACGTGATTAATAGGTCGTTTCTTGTTCTTCTCAACAGTCTCCTGGCCTTTTTGATCAACAGCTTTCTGCGTTTCTGAAAGTTGCGATTGGGAGCGTAGACTTGAAGTTCCTTGACCTTTCTAATCGAGACCGACGCTTGTTTTGCGTTACTCTCCTCGACATCTGATGCTGATGCTTGGTTTGCATCGTTGACAACAAAAGCTTCCTTCTCAATGGAAGGCCCATTAGTATTATTTACTTCAGTAGCTTTGTGTTTGGTGGCCATTTTATCCTTATTATGCTGTATTTCTTAAAATATTGAAATGGATGAGGCTCCTTCCAACTTTACTACAAGCTCATCAGTGGCAGGCATCCCTAGAGCAACATTGTAGAAACCTGAGTCAAAGTTACACAGCTATTGTGTTTAAAGTTCGAAATATATCCATCAGCAGAGATGATGGCAACATCCTTGGTTTGAGCGTGAGTTGTCTACATGCAATTGCATCAAATGAAAGAAAAATGTCCATCCTCTGCAAACACTGCAAAGCGCCATCATATTTTGTATCTTAATCTCTTTGGCGAAAAACAAATTAGTGTACTCCGTAGTGTTACCTTACCTGCCAACATTAAAGTATTTTTTCAAATAAAAGTCTGATTGAATTTTCTCTTTCACAACAATTACCATGTGCTACACACCAACAGCCAAACAAGATACAGATAATCTTAGAAGACTATTTGACAATGTCAGTAAGCTTGTTAGAAATTATGCAGACCAACGCCAAGAGCAAAATGGTGATATTGCTTGCTTGGTCGCCGGCCATCTCGTTAAAGAGAACATGGCTGATTTTACCATCAAGGTTGCTCCTGCCAGCAGGAAAAGAAAAGCAATCAGTGGCTATGACATGTTCGTTCAAGAAAGAGATGATGCTGCAGACGAGTGAGGTGTCCTCTACTGCTAGCAAGGAAAAACCCAACGATTTACAAAACTTGATGGCCAAGTATGCGGAAGCCTGGAAGGCGCTCAAGAAAAATAACCCTGACAAGGTCAACCAACTAAAGTTGAAAGCCGCAGAAAAGACCAAGGCTAGGGATGCAGAGCCCATTACCTCCGGAGGAAGACTCGAAGTCTACCATAATAATTTGAATACCATCACTAAAAGCCTCGTAGCAATGCTAGACAAATACAATTTTCATGCCATCTTATATCAAACCCTAAAATCCAATTAGCAACGTCTGAGGCCTCATCCGTCCCATCAAGTCCCACTGCTGGGAGTTCTGTCCAGGAAGATTCAACCTTAGGCGTTCGCGCTGATAGAGCTGAACGTCTGCCTGGTTTGCCTGCCTCTCAGATGGAGCCACCTCTCTCGAATTTGCTTCCCAGCGGTAATGATCCTGCTCGTTCTGCTCTTGCATCTACGTCTGCTACTGTTTTTAGTAATGACAAGGAATCACTGTTAAAAGCGGAGTAACTCAAGGGTATTTGTGAGATGGTTACGTAAATGACCTGTACGTGTATTTGTTCCTGATGATTTTGCTACAGTTCATCTAATTGTTGATTATTTTTCATACATTTAGCGGCCCTAAGATACTCAAAAGTTCCTTGGACTGACCTGCTAAAAAATAAGCATGGTGAACTTCATCTTGTCAACTGGCCAGAGTATAAACACCTAGATACTGAGATGGAAACATCTCCTTTCCATGAGCTAACTGGGATGGCAAATTTGGATAATTTAAGTTTCTGGTATATAAAGTTTGTGTATGAAGACATGAAAAATGGCCCAATAGCCATTGTACGTAGACATCAATAAAAGGAAAGCCCAAGCGCAGTTGGCAATGTACGCACATTGCCCAACTGTACAACATGATCCACATAATTTCCCTGAATGGCATCGTAAATTCATACCATAGGCTGGATTAGAGCGATACATAAGACTTATTTCACAGCGTTTTTGTTTCAAGGTCTCAAACTAGAGATTGATCCATTATAGAGGCTTAAACTAAAGGTTGATCCATTGGAGAGACTCAAACTAAAGGTTGATCCATTACAGAGGCTCAAACTAAAGATTAATCCATTACAAAAGCTCAAACTAAAGGTTGATTTATTACCGAGGCTTAAAGTAGATAATGATCCATTACAGAGGCTTAAACTAGATAATGATTCATTACAAAGGCTCAAACTGGAGATTAATCCAATACAGAGGCTCACACTAGAGATTGATCCAATGGAGAGGCTCAAACTAAAGGATTGATCCATTGCAGTGACTCAAATGGCAAATAGCTACCAAAAAAGGCAATTCTTTTGGCTGTGTTTTCTGTCAATTACTTAACTACAGATTAGTACAAAAAAGCAATAGTAATTGTACATTTATATTTATGTAGTATTGTATATATTAATTACAACTATTATACTCTGAAAGCATTTCAAATTTAAGTTAATAATGAAAGAGAAAAACGTATAAAAATCTTCCAATTTTTAATCGGAAATATTGTTAGGATTTTATATATTTTTCTTCGATTTTAAATCGAAAGATGGAGTTAGCAATAGGTCAATCTGGAGTAGACTATTAATCTGAGTTTGAATTTTTTTTGGCGGCTGGTGGAGCCAGCTGGCAAACTCAATGCTCTTTTAATCATGAAGGCAATACAGTAATAGATGCTATTGAAGCGTATGGAACGTAGGTGGCACATTACATAGCACTATCGTTAGCCGTGCTACTTTTCTTACATTCTATATTTAACAACGAAAAAGAAACAAAATGTAGTTAATAGAAAGGCCAGGCTGATGAGTTGGCACTTTTTGATCAACAAGGAATAGTATCGTCTAGACATAGTGCTTTTTTATGATAATATTGGTTACTTTACACTTTCGTCGCTTAATTATTTGACAACCAATGCAGTGACTGAAAATCCGTTACAGTAGTCGCTCTATATAAGGCCGTCCTATATAAGGCTATGCGGGGAATAAGGCTGAAATTTTTCAGGTTTTTTTTTTTTACCAGCTATTTAGCCTTAATAGCCTAATTTTATATAAGGCTACAGATTCTAAAAATTTTAGCCTTATTTCATAGTGGTGATCGCTGAGATTGAATTTAAGGCCAATCAGATAATAAAAAATATATAGCTTTTATTGAAAAATAACACATTTAAACAAAATAATCACGTAAATCTGTTTGATTTTTCTCTGCTACTTCCTCCGATCTGATATCGTTCAGATTCCTACGGATAGTTTTCAGCATAGACTTTTCTTTTTCATCCATTGGGATGGTATGGTACAAGATAGTTTCATACGCATGCTTCAACTTCTCTCTTATCTCCTTCGTATCAACATCGTAAATCTCTACTGGTTCTTCCTCTACCTCAAGCTCTTGTGATCCATGGGTAACATCATCGCCATCCTCAAATTCAACAATCACGGGATTAAAAACGATTGCATCAGACTCATCTGCATTTAGATCCAAGTCGTTTACTTCAGTTACCAATTGAACCCCATCATTACTTCTGTTTCCAGGAAGTTCAGGGATGATTTCGTTCAACTGGCTGACTAGATCATCGTCTAAAGGTAGCTCGAAAGATGGGAGTACATCCTCCGAGTCGACTCTCTGTCTCTGAGCAAACTTAAAATCAAGGATCTTCGTATGATCCCAGCAATTTTGGATTGTTTGAGGCTTAACTTTGATCCAAGAATCAGCAAGAAAATACAGAGCATCCACCTCATCCATTCTGTATTCCTCGGTAAGATCAAGGCTTACCCCAGCAAGATACTTGTTCACTGCCCTGTAGTATTGGTGCCAACGAAACTGAGCCTTGAAGTTCGCAATGATTCCTATCGAGTGTGTGATTAGAGATGAGTACGTATATCAATGAAATTTGTTGATTTACCGGCATCCAAAGGCTGCAACTTGCTTGTTGTGTTTGCTGGAAGGAAAATCAACTTAATATTGCTGAATTCTTCTTTCAATTTATGCACTGAAGCATTGTCAACCAAGAGAGCAACTTTTCTTCCGGCGTAAACGAAAGACGCATTCAAACGTTTTACGTACTTCCTAAAGATGTCGGTGTTCATCCATGCATTGGGAGATGAATGGTACTCCACGTAATGGGATTGCCCGATGTTGGTGGTTCTTCTGTACAAAGCAGGTTTTTTGTTTGCTGCCTTTGGTGTCTTTCGTTTCCCAATTACAATGGGGTGCCCTTTATAGGATCCATCATAGTTGGTGATTAGTCCAACTGTGAATCGGTTCTTGCTTTTTCTTGAACCACCTAAAGGTTCCTGACAAATGGTGCGAGTTGGTTGTTGCTCGTAGTATAAGCCAGTTTCATCAAAGTTGAGAATATCTTTGGGATCATATGGCTCCAACAATTCTTCAATCTTTCTGAGTTCTTCGACAATCTTAGATGATGTTAAGTCGACTGAGCTTTTTTCACCATATAAATGTCTTGACTTGACACCAATTCTCTTGAAAACATCGGTTAGCCATCCATCTGAGAAATGGATTTGCTTATTCTTTGGCAATTCATGCATGCGGTACTTTCTGTGTGCGACTACTTTTGCAAAAGCTGCAATAGTTCCACGATTGACAGGAAGAGATTTTGCATTCATGGCTTGAATGTACTCCAAAATGTCATTGTCCAATTGTGGCATCGTCAAGGCTCTGCTGCTTTTTCCCTTCAAATTTCCTCCTTCGTAAGCTTTGATCACCTTGTCCTGTGAATTCAAGACGTTCGATACAGTTTTTTGCTTGACTGAGTGATGAAGGTTGAATTCCTTTTGAGCCCATTGACCGAGTTGCATTTGCGTCAGATTAGGAAAGTGCATGTTGTGCATAATAATGCGATACTTTTGCTCGATTGTGAGGCGATCTCTTGATCTTTGATTAAGGCACATGATAGGATATTACGTTCAATAGAAGTAAAATAAACAGATAAATGAATGTTACTGGGGAGGTATCAAGTTGATTTATTTGATCAACTATTATAGTAATAGATTCTACGCGCACGACTTTTTTGACAGAAGTCACGCGCGCCAGTTAAGGCTATGCGGGCAATAAGGCTAAAAAAACCTCGCCAAAAAAGTAGCCTTATATAGAGCGACTACTGTAATATTTTAAGCAACCACTCAAAGTAGGCATACAATGGTCCTAATCTGAAGGCTCTAGCACCGACATAGGGTTTGAAACTGCCGTTTCCCCTTTGTTTTGTAAAATGCGCAGCAGCTAACCTTGGGCCCTTTGCCGAACCATAAGATATAGTATATGTAAGCGGCTTGGACTCCAATAATTTTCTGCCTCTTCAGTCCATCTATATCATGGCGATAGGATATAGAATTAATGTTAGTGTTCATTCATCAAAACATAAATTTGTAAAGAAAATCTTGAAGTGTGCATGTCAAGATAATGTCAGTACACTGCAATCGGTACTAGTAGCTATCCACGTTGAGTTGTTAGCATGAATTACTCAACTGTGCTTGCTCAATCCTGAAACTTGAAATGCAAGTATGTTTGCACATGTGTTCCCAGTAAACGGGAAGCAAAGGTCGCTAAAATTCTTCATATATTGACATCGCCACTGTAGACTTTGCACATACTTTCAATGCTCATGTAATCTTTGGCATGCTCTACCAATGCAAAACATATGCTACTATACTGTTTGACAGACTCTACTATCAGCTTTTATGCAACTCGATCATAAACAATATCGTCAAACTCATCTTATCCATATGCCAACCGACCAGTGAGATTTCTCTGCGCTTGATACAAGCTTTGGGATCCAATGATATACGGCAAATTGCCGATTGTATTTATTCAGAAAAAAAAAAATCTATCAAAACGGTGTCATGGTGTATCAAAATGAGTGTTTATATGGTGGTTTTCCTCTACAGATTTATTTTCCAAATAGTTTCAGTAAAGTACTCCTCTGTCCATCTTTGTTTGCCTCTAAAGATGAGACTAATTTTGAGTAATAATTGGGATTTCCTGCTGGTGTAAGGATCTTGTCTGATATGGGGTACTGCAGTTGTTGGATGTCGCATTAATGTAGCTACTCTTTGGAGTCACAAATGCACACTCACCTTTTCCTTGAATGTATTGTCCAGTAAGTTCTCTAATGCATCGAGTTCCTTACGAGCTTTGTCCATGTCTATGGTCTCTGTATTGGGTGCTCTGAAAGTTTCCTCAACTCTTTGGGCTAAAATTTGCTTCATTCCTCGGTTGGGTCTGATTTTGTCGCTTGGCCACTCTCTCACAATGCGCAGATAAGATCTGTAGAGCGAATGTATCTCTTGACGCGTGGGTGCGGACATGTGTATATAATGGATTTTGTTGAGCTTGTACAGAGAAAGCAAAAAACAAAAGAGAGACAGAAAACAATTGATGTACTATGGAATTAGGCGGAGTTGTGCTACGCCAAATGTCTCCAACATCTATCTCGACTCTCCCAGCTATCTTCCTTTCAGACAAGCTGTCCATACTGTCAAATCAATCAAGGCAATTCACACATGCACGCAAAGGTACTCCTTGAAAAACGAGATGCATAACCAAAAACAACGACTATCAGGTAAGTGCACCATCTACAAAATGCACTGATACATTTCTTCTCGCTTTGAATGATTTTTTATTTAGAAATTATTCGAATATCCATGGATGTCTTGATTGATCAACATAATTTAGTTTCTAGCTTTGACAGTTGGCTCCCAGGCATGTAACTTGGAGATGGTGGTGCTGTAGGTCTTGAATGCCTTGGGAGTACCAGAGAAGTTGGGAATGGGCTCACCCCACCACTTCTTGGGTTGGATGTTCATCTCGGTAGGTGGCTCTTGAGTGATGCGACTCAACCACATGTGCCTATATAGTAATTCGCTATGAATATCAACGTCGCTAGCGTCCATCCTCGTTCAACAATTACCAGTCAGGAGTAATATCTCCACTGTCAGGTTGGTTGCTAGCATATTCAACCCAACGCTCACGACCTAAATACGTATATCAAATTGCCGTATCAATCATCTATACTACATCGCTATCGTCGTTTGTTCCCTCCATACCTGAGACTTCATCGAGATTTTCGAAATATTTGTTGCCGTTAACATCAGTACCAACAAGGCGACCCCATTTGGTATCGCAAATATTGTCGAGTTGCTTCATATAGCTGGCGGGTCCAACCTTCATGAAATTCTTAATTGTACGTCCAAGTGTTGACATTTTTGACTATGTGTATAATTTGGTTAAAAGAGTAGGGAGGGAAGTTTGATGAAAAAATGATTAACACAGAAAAAAAAAAGCTTTGTCGAAGGTCTGAACATTTGCCGACCTCCATATTGTAATCAATGGCTCGCTGCTCGTTAATCTGTGGGCTCTGCGGTGCTGATTTGATGGCTTGCTCGCCCTGGTATTTACATACCACTTGTGTCGACGTCACTTACAGTTGTTTTACTCCACATTTTGATACTGGATCTTGTAAGGCCGATATCCGTACATCGGGATGCTGATTTACATGATCACTTCCAGCACCAATAACTTCTTTCTTCTGTGCATTATACATTTACATGCACTTGAGTGACATTTTAGATTACTTTGACTATTATTTCAATGTGAATAAGCTCAAATGAGCCGGTGAATAGACATGCCATGTCGCAACTACTCATATAAAAATAGACTTGGAATCTAGAAGACTCGCATCCCCTCATCATCGATTTACAAATAGATCTCTACCGGCCGTACCAGCTCCATTTCATATAAACATTTATTAAACTATACAGCGTCTGTTGGAGTATTGAAATAACGTGCGCGATAATCATCACTATGGAATAGTTAGCATCCGCCCACACCCTATACAAACATCACACATAGTTACCTGCAAGTCAAAATACCATTATCTGTAGGCGATGCTGCCACGCAACGGACCAAATTATTGTGTCCTGGAATTCTCTTCAGCAATGTACCCGTTTGAGTGTCATAACACACAACATCTGTAGAGGCTTCATCACCAATCATGATGAAATCCTCATTATATGAAAATGCAGGCTGTAACATTTGTGCTCTCTGTTCATGCCCCTTGTATTCCATCAACACCTTTCCGCTCGAAATCTCCCATAGACGGATCGTTGAATCCAGGCCGGAGGTCATCAAGTATTGTTCGTTGTTGGTGATGCGAACACTCGACACTGCAGCGCCGCCATGAGCATCCAATGTACGGATGCATTGAGATGATACACTGTCCCAAACGCGCACAGTGCCGTCCAAAGAAGAAGTTGCAAAAATCTTACCAGTGTTGGAATAGCGGATTTGTGTGATGGATCCACGATGCATATCGGCATTGCTGGAATTTGTATAGCATTGAAGTGTTTTGACATCGTAGACTCTAACTGCTGCGTCCTTGGTGCCTGCTAATAAAAAGTCGCCTGAGGGATGGAAACAAATCGAGTTGACAGGTTGAGCATCCTAATAGACACACTTGAATACCTTCGTCTGCACCCTGTGTCTTTGACAAAAGGCTTACCTGTAAATATCGAAAAGCTCTCTTTACACCGGTTTTTGACAAATCAAACAACTTGATGCTCTGATCATTTGAACAACTGGCAAGCACTAATCCATTTGGATGAAAACTGAGATCATTGACTTGTTCTGTGTGATCGTATAAGGTTCTGATCACTGGTTTGTCTCCTGCATCTCCTGTTCTCTTCTTCATTTTATTGACATCCAGTAATTTCAGCGAGGAGTCGTGGGATCCAGTGGCTGCAAATCGACCGTCTGCACTGAATATAGCTGTACGGCAAGGTCCTTTGTGCTGTGTGTAGTATAACTGATTGTATTCGGGTGCTGTTTTAGGCTCTAACAGACATGAATCAATACCAACAACTTGATTAGCGTCTGAAGCAATACGTTACGAGCGTTTTTCATTGACTCCACATCGAATCCAGGCGTACTCGTGCTGGCATCCATATCATGATCTTGGGGCGATTCACGGTCAAAGCTCTTGCCTGAATAATCGTCGTCAGAATCCTCCTCTTCGTCTAATGGTCGAGAATGGTCAATACATGTCTGCTGTATTGATGCTTCGTATAGATGTATTACTCTTTTCTTTGGCGATTTGTATTAACTCTGATAGTTTTGCACTTGGCATCATATCAGTAGCAGCCCCTGTCGCGTCAGCCACACTTTGCGCAACAGCAGAATAGCCATAAGCAATGAGTTGGCTATTCAATGATGAAAATTGAGTCTCTGGATAAGGCATCCATTAGGCACGCTTACCTGATGATCAAAGGCAGCACTTCGTCTTCTGTTACTTCTCTCGAGTTCATTGTGAGGTGTGGAATGTTGGGTTGAAATTCAAAAAAGAAAAATGGCCTTTGTATCACTTTATATCACTGGAAACAAAAGAGGATGGCTCCAATACCGTGACATGTCTTTTATATATTTTTTTATACACAACGTTTATTTGATCTGATATATCAAATTTGAGAAAACTAATGCAAGTTATAATGAAGTGGACGGGGATGGGAGTGATATGTTCTTTAAATGTGTTCTTATTGCGCGGCATTAGCAATGGTGTTCTTCTTGTTCATTTTGAGTAAATCGTACTGACGCATCTTTCCCAGAAGAGATCTACCCTTTTTAAAGTCGTCGTAGCTACGAATTACTCGAGATTGCGGTCCAACAGCAGGCTGAGTGATGAACTTCCAGTGCACCATGACCCAAGAAGTGTGATAGGATAGCTTGTCATAGTATTCGCTGGCTAATGAACGAAGAGCAGGGAGATTTGACCAAGGAATCTATGGATCTTGGGATTAGCAACCTATATAATCCCCAGTGTACACAAACACAAACAAACCTTTTGGAAATCATGATGTTCATTATGGTAACCAATATTCATAAAGGGTATATTCAAGATACCATAGTAAGAATAGGTCTCTTGGCCATCGTCAAAGGTATAATGCTCTTGTACAAAGTGAGCAGCTCCAGGATGAAGCGAATAGCCAAACCAGAGAGACATAAGCAAATAGAATAAGCCTGTCCAGCCACAGAAATACTGGATCAAAGCATCAGAGCATACAGTGAACACAACGTTGATAATTTCCCACTTTGAAGGTGTTAAATTTCTATCCTTTTGCATCACAGCCCCGCGTACAACATACATAATAGGATAGATCATGATCCATAGAAATTTGCATAAAGCATTACCACGAATCAAGCTCTTTTCCCATTCCAGTGGCAAATCTGGATCCATACCTTCAACGCCTTGCCATGTGTGATGTTCAATGTGATAGCGACGGAATGACTGTGCGATAGGCACAGGCAAGGAGACGTTGGCCAAGAGACCCACATATCGATTCACCCACTTTTGCTTGAAAATTAGACAATGACAAGCTTCATGGATGATAACGCCAATCATACTTGTAAGCGTACCACCAATGAAATAAGTGACCAAGCAAAAGATGTACCATGGAGGTGACCACACTTTACCAAAGACATACGCTATACTTAGCTGGGCTACCGTGATGGCGATTGTGACATATAATGTGCGGATATCTGTGCCGTATAGCTTTTCCACTTCTGGATGCTCTCGAAGGATAGTGTGTTTACGCTTTAAATGAGGTTCATCCATATCGTCACGAGCGAAATCTTCATCAACATAAGGAATAGATCTTTTCCAATGACCGACGAATAAAGGATGTCTTGAATCTGGATGTCTGTCCTCTAGCAGTTCGTCCTCCACCTTGATGGGCCTGGCTCTAAGCGTGCTTGCCTTGTCTTCTTCTGCTTCAGTCGTGAAAGGTGGCATGGTGATGGTGCGGTTGAAAAAGAGAGGAAAAGGAAGTAGAGAAAGAAGAGAAAGAGAGCGAGAAAAAAATGTGAGTTTATTTAAACAATCAAGGGACAAGAAATTGGTCCAATTAAGCTTGGACAGGACCCAAGAATACAGAGAAAAAGCTAAAAAGAAAACGGCTACTTGTCCAATCGATTTAGAATCTAATTTGATGCCAAGGTTACTCAAGGAACACAAAGATTTATGGCAAAAAAAAACAGCAGATCAGGAAATTCATCCACTTGTTTATCCTCCCTTCTTCTATGCTAGTACTTGGCTGTCTCGTATCAAACATGGAAGAGATAAAAAAAAAAAAAAAAAAGACATTTTTCATTAGGATCAAGTGCGTTCTAGTGACCAAACTAGTGTGTTTTTCGATGTGGGTTTGAAATCGAGACTTTTTGTCTCGATGGATCAATCACTTGTGCTACTCTGTTTTTACTTCAACTTACCAATGTGATCCCTTGGATTGTATTGGAATACAGAGCATCAAGACGTTTTTGAAAAAACAAGAATTTCTCTGTGTGCCGCCTCTCAAAATTTGCATATGTGATATGCTTGAGATTTGCTGTCGCATAAAGGGGTAAAACTATCCAGATGAAACTGGTCTATAGCATGCGTATATTGCTTACTAGCCCATCTATCTCGATACGCTCGATGTTGGCGTCGCCCTGTGGGCTCTCGCCAAAGACATTTTAAATCAGATGTTATAACATTTTGGTATATCAAGTAGATTTTATACAATCAATTATTAGCTAGTAAAAGAAAGGTTATATCAGAGCCACCAGGAGGAGAGGAAGTATCTCCCTCAATCTCTTTTTTGCTTACACTGAAATCAGACGAAGCCTATTATTGGGACAATGTGAGAGAAACTTCAAATTTTACGCAGCATTCATACATCGCAATCGCCATTTTCTGGTAATAGAATTATTATATCGTTCGCTGCTGCTGATGCTTTTAATAACATGGCGACATAAAGCTGGTCATAAGTAAATGCAGGACTTGTGTAAGATCTACAGCGACTTTTTGAAATATTGCCATTGCAAAAGGCGCCTCTATGAGGCACAGCTCCCCAAAAAAAAAGTATTCGCGCTAATCAATTGTCCTTTTACTTTCGTGATCTCCATTTAATCAGTATCGCAATCATCATTGTCATCAACAGAAAGGCATTTAGATCAGCCAGCAGCAATGCCGCCTCCAAGATTGATTCAAACTCAGCTTATTTTTTCTTCGTTCAAGATTGGACAGATTTCGTTTCCTTCGACTTCTTAATCTATCTTATGGTGTTCGATTATGTAAATTGTGATGCTCATCCAATGCTTCCTAATACATTTTTGGAATACTTTTCAAGGCGCTTCTAATGGTACCAAGTAATATAGATGTTTTGAATGAACTTATTGAGCAATTTCAAAAGATTTGAAATAGTGTTTTTGGCCAAAATGTCGAAATTTTGCATAAGAAAACCTCATAAAAGTGTTTTCAGAAGTCGTTTTGGACTGAGAGGAACATTTTGATTTAATATATACCTTAATAAGAATCTGCATTTTCAAGGTGAAAAACGCGATCGTTTGATTTTCGATGAAAACCATGAGGTACCCCTCATACCTTTTGGCCATGTTTTTTAGGTTCCCAAAAAGTTGAGCAAATGTGTCAGATAGTTACTACTATTCAGGTACAATTGTTTGGCGTCATTCCGGTGGCTCATAAAGGTCTACATGTCAAGATATGAAGGTCTGAAATCTGTCAAATTTGGCTGTTTATTGCTTTATAGAGTTTATTTAAACGGCATAAATCACATCTTTGGTAGCTGAAATTTTCTTGAAGGGCAGTTCTGCATCCTGTGCAACTTCTAATTTGAATAGGAGGCATATTGATTTGGTAAGACTAATTCATGCAAATTCTGATACGTTATGTTGTTGGTAATAAGCTTGATAATAATAATGGAAGAAACCGAATTTGCTGCTGAAACACTACGGTCTTTACTCTTTTACTTGGCTATGGTAAAACCCATTAAAACCAATATTTATTGAATGCTGAATTTGATGCAATCTCGCTACCTTCGACGATGATGTGGCCCTGCAGGCTGTCGACGTAGATATTTCAAATCGGTAATAATAAAAACCTGCTATATAATAAGTAGATTTCAAACAATCAATTAATTTATTAGGGAATGAGAAATAGAATTTGCTGCTTGTCCAGTACTGTATATATTATAGTGAAGACGGTGAGATCTTGTAGAGCAATCATGCCCAATTGCCTTCCTACTAAGGCGTTTGACTCGTTTGAGGCACAATACGTCAACTACTACTACTTTTATTGATGGCTAGAGTGGGTACCCTTTGATCATTGCTACCATACATAATACATTGCTGTTTGTAACCATTCAGGCTAGTGTCTGCGCCATTTCAAGAGATCGCCATAATGATGCGTACTTTGTTCAAAAGAAGTTAAATATTCAAAGGAAAAGCGAAGCATCCTTGAAAAAAGCAAAAAGTCAACACCACAATTAATCAAGTTTGATTGATGGGTAAATAATGGTACTATTTATTAAACAAGACCTCTCACTTGGTTTATTCGTCCTCTTGCTGCAAACTTCGCAACATGTCTTCTGCTGATATAAGCGGCATGTGGCCAGACGAAGCAGTAGATGATATGCTATTAGAACGATGCGACGATTTCCTCTCCACCTTATTACTAGGAGATTGCACATTTCTCAAGCGCTTGAGTCGTTGTCGCACACGAAGCTGTCTTGATTTGTTCTCCCTTTCACCTGATCTTAACTTCTCCAGTAGATCATCCATCAAACGTCGATCATCGTCTCCTGATATTGATTCAGAATCCTCGCTTAGGGTACTGTCACTGTCCATGATCTTGAGTGCCTTGATTCTTCTCCCCTCAATTTCTTTACGACGTTTCTCTGCCAGCTCTTGCTGGCGTGTATAATTGGATTCTTCAATAGCAGATGTCTTCCAGCTGGAAAGGAATCGAGCAAAGATGTTGAAAAACTCGTCAGGGCGCTTGTTTCGAGGGTTCTCCCCATAGTAGACCATAGTATCTTTCCATTTGACATCCACATTGACATACAATGCTTCCAGCTCTTCGAATCTACCGATAGCTGATGTCCGGTACTCTTCCATGACAGTGAAAAATCGATCATGCTTATCCTCTTGGTGTTGTTCCTTCCAGTAAGACTCCAATTCAACGCCCAGATGCTTCAGTCCTTGTCGCATTTCAGTGTATTGCTGTACAATATCAGTAATGCTTGCCATGACTATCGTGAAATTCGTTAATATAGCTGTAATGGAGATAACAGTTAGATTCTTTACCCCGTGCAGCTTCTGTTACATCCTTAAGATCATCTGTAAAGCTTAAAATGTGAGGGAATTCTTTCCTTACAATGCCAATAAGGACATGCAACAGCGTTAGTTGAGAAGAGTCAGATGCCTTTGTATCCGTCAGCTAGCAGACAGAGTTAGCCATTTTGTTGATGGATTCGGTACCTCACAGCCAAAAATTTTACCTTGTTGATGCTATCAATACGCATACCAAAAGCACCGCCTTGAATACTGGAGGCATTCATGTAGTTTCCTAGCAGTAAAATGACATGCAGCAGTTCCCTAAATGCTTCTGAATTCCTTAGTGCATCTGATGCTGACAAGACGATTGACAAGCCTTGCTTGAGCTGCTCAAATTTATCCCAGAATTGAAGTCGAAACAGCATAAATTTCAGCCTGGACTCGTATCGATATATGCGCAGCATCTCAATTGTAAATTGCTCTGGTTGATCCAGCTTGAGACAGTCTTCTTCAGGGCCATCCAGATATTTTTGCATCAGTACAAGGTCATCGTCCCGGCTAGGTGCATACGTGATGAGGTTGATCAAGAAAATCTCGTTGCATAGTTTATCGTCCATGGCAAGAATATGCTGCGCTATTTCCTTGTAAGACTCAAAGTGCTTGATCTTGGGCATGATGGCAATATCTAAGATGGATTAGCAACAAATACTACTAAAAAGGGTGCATCCACTTACTGATATTCTTGTTCTTTTCCTTGCTCAAAAATCGAACAGAGTCATTTTTCTCGGTGGAGCTTTGCTTGATGCGTCGATCCTCCAAGAAGGTATTGACTTTGGCAGGAAACAACTCTTCTAGCTTTTCGAAAGCACCCTTTTCATTCAAGATCTCCTCCATGCTATCATGATCTTGGTTCTCAACATGCCAAATTGTCTTTTCTGTCGTCTTGGCATCCAGCTTCTGCCATTGCAGATTCTTGAGCTTGACTTGAGGATAATGCTGGAGCTCTTTTCGTACAGGAATGATAAAGCTGTTGGGTGTAGGCACTTGTAAGGAGTCTTTGGGAAGCTGTGATGGGGGAGGAGGTGGCGGAGGAGGAGGTGGCACTGTTGATGGCGATTCATCCACAGATATGGATGAGAGCTGGTGGTGTGTGCCTTGCGGTGGGGGTGGCGGTGGAGGGGGTGGCGGCGGTGGAGGTGGAATAGAACCTGCAGGAATCGTACCAGAACCTGGAGGTGGAATTGAACCTGCAGGAGTCGTACCAGGACCTGGAGGTGGTGGAGGTGGTGGAGGTGGTGGTGGTGGTGGCGGCGGTGGAGGTGACACAGCCACTGATGATGCTCCATTGGCACCACTGAAAGTAGCATTTGTTGGTGAGGAAAGAGATTCTCGACTAGAGGCCAATGATAAGCGATCTGTAAAAATGAGCATATTAGTATCAGTGATCCATTCATGCAGGGCAACGTGATCTTACTGGGCTGAGATAATGTGTATGTGCCACTGACTGGTCTGTGCTTTTTGTGCTTGGATCGGAATGGCCAGATATTGAATATGCTTGATTTCTGTTCTTCAGGTAGAGATAAGCTGGTATTCTGCCAGCTGTTTCTTGACAAATGCTACGCAAAAAATGTTAGATGCTAGTCTGATGTACGTTATCCTGCTCGTCCATATTTACGCGCTCATCCATGGACCGTCTTTCTAAGTACTTGCTTGGCAGGGATCTCTCTGGTGGCAGTTCAATCGAAATGTTTCGTGTTGGCGTGGTTGTTGGTGTTGGCAGTGCATCCTCTTTTCGGTGTTGCAGTAATTCAATTGTTTCTTTCGACTTTTTCAATAGGTCTCGCAACGAGTTGTTCTCTTCAATCAACTGTTCGTTTCTGTTCAGCACGGCTTGATGGTCCATTTGCGAGGGCAAAATACGCAACTTTTGTACTTCACTCTGCAATGCGTCTTTTTCGGCAGTTAGCTTGTCATACTGTTCCTTGAGGTCATTGGCCTCCATCTCAATCCCCTTTAAGCGACTCAAATCATAAAAGTTCTGAATGACTGTGCCCACAGCCATGCCATACGTAGCTGAAAAGTCGTCGGACGTATCATGTTGAGTTCGATCGGTAACGATTTTCTCGATGATAATGTTGATCATTCTGTACAACTGACATCTGCAAATGGAGGGTTTGAATACAAAGAGAAAGCGAGAGAGAAAGAAAAGAACAGCCAAAACTTACTTTGTTTCTTCATCCCCTTTTATCCAGGTTAAATGCTTGAGGACTGATATAAGATACTCAGTCCCACGTCGAGAGTCTGATATATTCTCTGCCACTAGATCAAACAGCTCTGATGGCTCCTTTGGTTCGTCAAATTGGGCCAGTTCATCTCCAAATCCATCTTCCATGTCATTCTCGGCTGCCTCCTTGTAGGACTCGATCTGCAAGTTGAGTAAATGATAGTCAAACGCCTCTAATTTCGGTAGCAGCGACGTCTGTAATCCAGCAGCATCAAACTGATTTCGCATGTAAATGCGATCATACACACCAGCAGGAATGCGTGTCAAGGCATTGATCAGGATCATATTGGACAGCTAAATGCACCCTCAACGTCAATTTATCACTCATATGATTAAATATAGCTACTTACAGCGTATTCCATCAAATGACTTTCGGGTAGTATTTCGTTACGAAGATATTTGTCGTGCACAATTGTCCTCAGAAACACCTTGACCCACGCATCGTATAATCCAAGTGTCTTTTTGTATTTTTTCAGCAGTTCGAACCCGCGAACCACATGTTCATATCCCTCTAAATAGCACAAAAACGCCAGCAATTCACACACCATCTTCCTTGTCTGCCACTGAGGACACACAATGGAGAATACAACTGCATGTATGTACTCGGGATGATCCATCACTTCTTTTCCACCCACTTTGGTATTGACAATAGCCTTGATGCATTTGATGATTTCTGCTTCTAATTCCAATGCTACATCTCTTCTGTCTTCGCTGTTGTGGTTTAAATAGTCCAATGCGTATGATAGCACATGAAACCCCTTCAGATGAATAAACTTGACGACCCAACTATGTATAATTCCTGAGTCAACATGCCACACACACAGACACACGCACGCACACACACACACACACACACACACTTACTCGATGGATCTTGTTCTTAAACTCACTTCCAGACTCGCTGCAATTTTGGGTGTCACTGACCTCAAATTGGGATCAAGAAACTTGCGTACAAAGAACTCTTGTGAATTCTGATCCACTGCATTGGTATCATAGTAATGGTCATTCTTGCCTTTGGGTGATGTCGGAGACGCATGCATGCTCTTGGATCTGCCCATGGTAGGTGAATAGTTGAGTGTAGGGCTGTTCTTGACAGGGCTCATATTAGTTGTAGTAGTGGCATTTGTATTGATAGGTCGAAGTATATTGGATGGGCTTTTTCTTAGCGATGGGGGTGTGGTTGATTTATTTACAGGTGATGAGATTGATTTGATGGGTGGGGGTCCGTCTATGCTTGGTCTTGGCTGTCGAGACATTGATTTGCTTAGTGGACTGCTTGTGCTAGGATGTATTTGTGTGCCGGGAAGTCGACTGATATCTAAGCTGGCTCTTTCAGCTGCTGCCTCATGAAGTCTACTATGTCGGATACCGGATGCCAACAGTTCAGCCTGATGATCCTGGTTGATCATGAGCCACTTTTTCTCGACCTCCCAATCCTTCATGCTTTGCTTTATGCTGGGATCATGAATGCCTCGACGCTCCTACACAAGTTATTTATTAGATGCCTATGTCTTGTATGCACCTAATTGAGTTTTACCAGCATGTTATCAAACAAGATATTCACATCTTTCTCTGACGGTAACCCTTTGCCACGAGCGAAATTGTGTTCTGCAGAGCCAGCTTCAAATGAAGAGCGTTTTGGGGTGATGGACTGATGTCGTATACTGGTGGCTAATGATGTATACATGTGTAACCGAACAGAGAGATGTTAGTTTACGCATTGACTCTGCTTACGTCCAGCAAGATAATCAATTACCATGACGAGTGTTGGGATTGATGGTCAGTGCTCTTTTGACGTTGGCTGATTTATGCTTGTGTGTTCTGGTAGGTGGAAAGGAATCGGTCGATGCTCTCTTCTTCTTCTTTTTATATAAACGATCAAATAGCCCCTCCATGATGGTATGATAAGAACAAAAAGATAAAAAAAAAAAATGATGAAAGAAGGAAAAAATAGAGAACTGAGACATGGCACTCTGAATGTCAATGCTTTATTGCACCCAAAAAAAAATAGATGTGCAGGACAACTGGCAACACACACACACACATATATAACTTTAGGCCAATCAGCTTAATTTACCGGTTTGACACTTTCTTTATTACAAATGGCTTTCATACACGCGAGTTGTCCATTTCTCTCTTTCGTTCATAATCAGAGCTGCTTCCAAGACATCCCAAATGTTCTTTGCAAACACAAACTCAATGTCGTCCTTTAGCTTTTCGGGAACATCTTGTTCTACATCCTTGCGATTGCGGAATGGCAAGATGATCTTGCGAATGCCTGCACGATGAGCAGATACAACCTTCTCTTTGATGCCACCTACAGGCAATACTTGGCCTCGAAGGGAAATCTCGCCAGTCATAGCAGTGGCGGGAGGAACATGGTAGCCAGAAAACAGCGAGACAAGTGAGCTGACCAAAGTGACGCCTGTTGAAAAGGGTTAGATATATGCTTATGCACATTTTAAGCGTCGTGCACATTTACCAGCACTAGGCCCGTCCTTGGGGACAGCACCACCAGGGACGTGGATATGGATATCATGCTTCTCGACAAGATTGGCGTTTTCGTCAGGCACAATTTTCAAAGCATAAGCGTGTGATTTGACCCAAGTCAATGCAAGCTTTGCTGATTCTTTGATTACATCGCCCAATGAGCCTTATAATAAATGTGTTGAGAAGACATGTGTGCTATAGAGTTGAAATAGAAAATACCTGTCAATTGAAGATCACCATGGCCTGGCATCTTTGTCGACTCGATAAACAGAATGCCACCATTGCCACTGCCTGAGTAAGCCAAGCCAGTAACAACACCAGGAAGAGGCTCTCTTTCAGCAACCTCCTTTTCATAAAATGCCATCTATCCATGCTGTTAGTACAACATGCCATACTATAGGTAACTAAATGCCACCTACACCGAGGATAGTTTCAACATCTGACAGAGACACGTGAGGGTTGTACTCTGCCTCATTGTTGGCTTCTCTGAAATTGGCCAGTTCCACACACTTGGCACGAACAATAGATGCAATGGTTCTCTCCAAGCTTCGAACACCACTTTCACGGGTATAATTTTCAGCAACCTTAAGAAACACATCATCAGACATGTCAACCTGACCCTTTTCAAGGCCATGAGCCAGCAGTTGCTTTGGTAATAGATGCGACTTAGCAATGTACAATTTCTCTTCGAATGTGTATCCATTTAAGCTGATCAATTCCATGCGATCCAAGAGTGGCTCTGGGATCGTCTCGACATTGTTGGCAGTAGCAATGAAGAGCACGCTTGATAAATCAAATGGAACGTTCAGATAGTGATCAGAGAAACTGTTGTTTTGTTCAGGATCCAGCACCTCCAAAAGAGCAGCAGCAGGATCACCGTAATGTGATGATTGCACAAGCTTATCAATCTCATCCAGTAGAAAGAGTGGATTATTCACTTTGCATTTTCTGAGGCCCTGAATGATCAGACCAGGCATTGCCCCTACATAAGTGCGTCGATGTCCCCTAAAACAGCATAAAGAACCTTATTAGCAATCAATGGCAACCATAAGCCATGAATGCACAATAGATATATACCTCATTTCCGCTTCATCACGCACACCACCCAATGAGATACGATGAAACTCGCGACCAAGAGATGAGGCAATTGACTTTCCAAGGGATGTCTTTCCCACGCCAGGCTATAATAACCAGTTAGTCAATTGATTTATAATCTCTCTTTTTTTTTTGAAATAGACTTACAGGTCCAACAAAGCAGATGATAGGTGCCTTTAAATCATCTTTAATCTTGATAACGGATAGATATTCAATAATCCTCTTCTTGACATGGTCCAATCCAAAATGATCATTTTCCAGCTTCTGTTTGGCTTGCTTGATATCAATCACATCTTGTGATTTCTTATTCCATGGTAAATCAGCTAAAAGCTCGAGATAGTTGCGAGCGACAGCATATTCGCTAGAGGCAGGCTGCAATTTCTTGAGGCGTTTCAATTCTCGCTGAGCAACGGTGGAGGCTTCCTCTGACAGATCAGCTTCTTCAATTTTGTGGCCTAGCTGCTCTAATTCATCTTCATCTTTCTCGCCATTGGAACCATCGCTTTCTCCGAGTTCTTTTTTGATGGCTTCTAGCTGGATGAGATACAGATGATTAACATACAGGTCCAGATCATATTTGCTTTCATGTGAAATGTCGTACCTGTTGACGGAGATAAAACTCTCGCTGCTTTTTGGTAAGCTTGCCTTCTACACTCGAGTGCACTTGCTCCGATATTTTAAGAACCTGTGTATCATGCGTAATGATGAGTGCATGTCATGTACTTCAAACCGTGTACAACTTACATGAAGTTGACGAGTCATCCACTCGGACGCCTTCTCTACTCGTTCCTTGAGATTAGTTGTCGAAAGCATGGTGAGCTTCTCATCAAATGATGTCTCAATGACAGACACCAGTAAATCTGCTAATACCGGAGGGGATACTGAATCAGTGAGCTTGGTCAATTGCTGGATCAAGTTTTCAGGCATGCGAAGATCCTTCATCTTGGCCAAAAACTCTCTTACTAGAGCTTTGAATCGGATGATTTCGTCACTAGCAGCTTCTAAATCTCTTTCTTGCTCTTCTTCATCCATGTATTTCACCTTGACATGCAATGTACTACCCTCTGGCGTTGTAAAGCGATCTACTTTGAAGCGAGAAATACCCTCCACAAACATGGTAAATGCGCCCAGACCCGATCTTTGAACTCTAATAATACGCGCAGTACAGCCGTAATTGAACAAACGATGCTTATCTTCAGGCTTGATAAATCCCTCATCTTTCATGGCGCTAATGGAATTGCTGCTCTTGGTGGTAGGAGTCGCCTTGGGATCATTGGGATTCTCTTGCTCTTGCTGTTGTGGATCGTTTGTAACTGCGGTGCTTTTGGCCGGCTCTCCAGTCAATGGAATGCAAGCAACATAAGTTGGCTTACGTTGTTCATTTGATCGTAAATGCTTTCTGGTTAAAGCGACGGCATCTCTGCCTCGCATGTTGACCTTGAGGACCACAGATGGCAACAAGACCTTGTTCTCCAAAGGAATTACAATGAGGCTTTCTGATGCTGATGTTACTGCAGGCATTGATGTTGTATAATTGAGAGAAAAAGAAACGTATTTACATGTGATGTTTTCGTATAAAATAGCAAATCGTTTTTTAGTTCAACTTGCCCGGCACTTGAATCTCTTAAACCAATTATTAAGCTTAATTGCAATGTCGCATTGGTAGAAATTCCCACTGAATCACTGACTATCATGCACATTTAGTAATTTCAAATGTAATGAAAAAAGGGGGGCTCTAACCTTTTGATGTATGAGAGCCTTTTTCATACACTACTGATTGTAATTTGTCGCTGGGATTATGATACGCAAGAATAAAGCATGCGCTGCAGGATGCAGAATTACCACCAATTCAGAATAATAACCGCATTTCTAAACAGAATAAACAGTTCTTTATGACATACGTGTGTTTATGCTTCGGATGGCTCTCTACCTCTGTTTCGCTTTGGCGAGAACCAGCCAGCACAGCGGCAGCTCGTGCTGGCTGATTGCTCTTGCGTACCTTATCACAATACTGTTGCTTTCATTTTGACCCTCTACTTACACATGAAACTCCTTCATGTTATCTGTGGATCTGATTCGTATGGGATGCTCTACATTCACATACACGTAGCTACTTCATATAAGGGCAAGTAGCATACTGGTATTTCCCCTTTTTAGTCCTTGGTGTCCCTAATCCAGCAAAATATGAGTGCATTTGAGCCGCGTTTTCTCGCGTTCAAGGCCGTTTTAGATTGTCAGAATAGCACCAAACAGCTGCTCTCATTTGACAGTTACTTTCTTACATCTTTGCTCAACTTTTTAGGGACCAAAAAAACATGGCCAAATTTCGACCAAAAAGCATGAGGTACCCCTCATGGTTTTCATTGAAAATCAAACGATTGCATTTTTTACCTCAAAAATGAAGACTTTTCCTAAGGCATATATTGAATCAAAATGTTTCTATCGATACAATGCAACCCCTAAAATCATCTTTGTGGAACTTTGATATGTAAAATTTTGACTTTCTGACCAGAAATCTCTTTTCATATTTTCATAAATAGCTCAATACGTTTATTCAAATATCTAACTTACTTGGTACCATTGGATGCGCCTTAAACAGTGCTGCAAGAAAGTATAAGGGTGTAGGAGGCAGCCAATATGTTTTACATAGTCGAATCCAGCAAAATAGTTTAATCAAGTCGAAATTCAAGGAAAATCCTTCCATTTTGGCAGAGAAATTGACAGTCGGCGATTCAAATAATTTTGGCTGGCAAATGTAATGCCCATGCTAAGAGTAATGCTGTTGAAGCCTCACACAAAGAGCATTAGAGATCGGAAAGTAGTGTAGCCTAGCTTGAGTATGTTACTTTACTTTACTAGTGTATTTTTGAATGTAATAGATGGATTTATTCGTTGCCAATCGCCCGTCCCAATGCAAAATGCAAAGTGTCTTCCTACCCGAAATTGTACATCGTTCTTTGACTGCACACTACAAGATTTGGATTCAAACCGCTCTTGCGCTTGACTATGAAGCATTGCAAATAAATGACTAACAACCCCACGCTCTTTCATTCATTCATATAAAGCTTGGCATATGGGCGTTTGTCTGATTGACCATTGGATTCAAAGTATACCACAGATCTGGTTCCTGGATTTATTCTGGTTTGCCATGCCTCTATCGCTTTCAACAATTTGACACTGTCGAGCACAGTCACCAGAGCTTATTGACAAGCAAATAGTATCTCGAAATTGCATAAAGAAATTACAGGGAGAGAATCTCCGGGGTTACACCTCTTTTTCAACCATCATAAATCATCTCTCATGGAAGCAGGAAAGAAAGCCGAATCTTGTGATTACACTCCTTTGAAGGCATGTCTCGATAAAAACAACAATGACAGATCAAAGTGTCTTAAAGAATGGGACGAGTTTCAAAAGGCCTGCCGTGAAAAAAAGTATGTACTGCAAATATTTCATTGCACAGCTGACACTAATACATGCCATGGTAGGCAAAGAGCAAATGATAATAGCGATTGTGTCGCTTGCAAAGAGAATTAGAATGTATAAAAAGATGCTTTATTAGCAAATGTAATAGATTAGAACAGAAGATTTTTATGTATTAATTAAATGGAGTTAAATAAAGAGGATGATGAAGTACCTCAGACAGATTTTCTTTGAAAGATGCTCTTGTATTCGTGCTTTCCTTGAGGATGCTCAGGGTGGGCTTTGACAATGATGACAGTGCATGGACTGTTATGGCCACAGTAATCACTCACACTACCCAAAAGAGCTCTCTTGACAGAACCCAATTGACGCGATCCAAGAAGCAGCACATCAGCCTTCAATTCGGTTACCTTTCGAATAATCTCCACCTTGGGATCACCAAGCAGCGCGATCGCTCTGATGGCAATCTACCGACACGGACACATTTGTCAGACGACTCCACTCACCAAGACTTATACCAGCACTTACATTGAATGGCTTTAATTTATCGGCATAGGTCTTCAGGAGATGATGGCTCTTGATCTTTTTCTTATCATCAAACTCCTCAATGAAATTCGTGGGATTAATGTATGGGGCGATAGGGGCATCCACTTGTCGACAGTTCAAAAAGACGACCTAGATCACGCACCTCGATCAATGGCTGGCCTTGTCATTGTGGTCATGTAGGCAACTTACCAGATCAGAAGCAGGGTTAATAAAGTTATTGACAGCCCAATCATAGACATATTCAGCAGATCCTTCATCAATACTAATGGCAACGATACGCTTCAAGTCTTTGTGATGACTGTCAGGATGAATAGATTCATCAATAATTTGTGAATTTGGCATGGTGTGTAGTAAAGTAATCGATTTAATTAAATCAAAAGTGTGAGAATACAGATTTCCTCGCTTTTATATGACACACGGATTCAGCTTTATCCGCCGAGGACTCTTTCAATTCAAGAAACATGAACGTTGGCATGATTTTTCAATCCGTAAATATCCGGCTAACAAAATAGGGTGGGTAAATGGTGATTAAGTTTCAGGTTTTACCTTCCACCATTTGAGTATATAGTCGAACACGAGTTTATCAGCAGAGATGCTTATCAACATACTCAAGAACAGAGAGGCCATCGCCAAAATGCCGAGCTAACCTTAGCAAACAAGCCCAATCTCTTGTCGGCATAGTGTGTGGTCGATCTTTGATACAGAAGGTTTTCGTGTCCGTGTGCTCATCAGCTCGTGATCCCATTGCACAAACGAGACACTCGCCAAACTGACTTTGAAGGAGCGGATATCTCCACCAAAGGTAAAACACCATGCATGTTCAAGATGAAGTCCTACTTCTAGATATGTGGGAGTTCTTGAAAGTTTGCAAGGCCAAAATGATTCTTGCTGACTTGGACTACGCAGGTCTGTCTACAAACGCAAAGGACATTACAGAACTCATTAGGTAAGCAGTTTATAAGAATTAGATTAGGCAATATCTCATCAATCTACAGTATAATTTAGCAAACATGAAAGCGTTAAGAAAACTCTAGTTGGCCTGCTTCCTGTCAAACCTGAGATGGAGGTTGTTGGTAAAGAAATTTTAGGATAGCATCCAATATTGACCCAATGGCGTGCGAGTAAACCCGGCATGATCCACGCACACGCGAGAAATAAAACGTACCATTTAGTGTATTTCACAAAGCACCAATCAACAATGCTCAAAATCACCTTCCAACTGAGCTATATTCGACTTTCAAACTGCATTTAATGTCTTCCAATGTCAAATGGCTTTTAACTTGACTAGATGTGGACAAGCACTCGCTCTCATATCACTGAGCCGAGAAGATGAGAGGCCTATTGAACTGCCTATGAATGGCGTCAATACAGTGACCCATACCTCCACTATTGATCCATCAAACAACCGAGAAACTAAATGCTTTGCTAATTTATGAACGCTCCATTGAGGTCATCCCTCTTATCCCAGGAGGTAGGAACACTGGCAGCATTATCTGTCGAATTAGTGAAAACAATACGTCATATTACTGCTTGGATGATTTCAGCAGAGTTGTACAAGATGTATGCATTTGGTGATTTGCGCTTTGTATGTTACTATTCCAACTTTTTGACAGGGGTTCATTTCCATTTCACTGACAGATATGTATACCAATTTTTCAGCTACATAGTTTATTTTTATTACATTAATCATGTAGGCGAGAAAAAGAAAAGAAGATATGTATATATAAATGTGTGTGGTGAATGGAAAAAGGAAGCAGGAATTTGTATATATATATATAAGGAGTAAAAGTCGCTCTAGATGGCTGAGGGGGAAATCTTCATTTGATCAGCTGGAATAGGATCAAAATGATGAATATCAATTCCCTTTGCAAGAAGCTCCTGCTCCATGTGTGGAGGGACTAATCTTCTGATTAAATCAGGTCGAATGGATAATTCTAGCAGGAATGTTAGCCCGTGATGAAAATAAAATAAAAAAATAAATAAAAAAAAATCTCGTTTTCATATGCTCACCTTCTTTTGTAAAGTTCAAAACGGGTGGTAATGGTTGACCATCGGGTAATCTTGTATTGGGGTCACGAATGGGATCAAAGAATGGATGACACAAGGCTTCAATAGCAGTAATTCTTTGCTGAGGGTGATATTGCAACATACGAGACAATAAATCAACGGCCTCCACATTAGCAGTAGTAAAGATCTGCATGCTCTTTTTTAGCCTCCATACACACGACACACCACACATGAATACTTACAGTGGACAAAGGATGAGGCTTAATCAAAGGGAATCTATGCTCCACGTAGCTTGCATTCATTGCAGCAATTTGTTCCTTTGAAGGAGTGCCCAAAATCTTGATGATTTCAACCAATTGATCGATACCGCTCTCACCAGGAAAGAAGGGCTGTCCTAGGATCAACTCTGCCATAACACAGCCTGTGGACCAGACGTCGATACTGAGCGTATAATTTGTAGCGCCAAAGATCAATTCTGGGGCACGGTAATAACGAGAACAAATATAAGAAACATTGGGTTCACCAGGAACTAGGATTTTAGCACTACAAACATGGATTAACAAACAAAAACCCTAAATAACCTTAAATACCAAATTTTTTTTTTTACCTTCCAAAATCACACATTTTACAAATACCACTTGCTGGATCGAGCAAAACGTTCTGAGGTTTGATATCACGATGGCAAATACCAAGAGAATGAATATAAGCCAAGGATCGGATGACTTGGTACATGTATAACTGAACGAGGATCATGGGCATTTGCTGCTTTGCTTTGGTGTAATGTCTGGTGGCTCGATATAAGGTGTCGGGTACGTATTCCATGACGAGATTCAAATAGACTTCGTCTTCCTTGTTCTCAACTTGATTGTAAAAGTAAGACTTGAGCTGACACACATTGGGGTGGTCTACAAGGCGCATGATTTGAAGCTCACGATTCTATAGGTGTGGATTCCTCCAGCGTCAATGCTCTCTGCAGTCATTCCTTAACAGCACCAGCTACGCTTACCTTGAATCGTCTATCCTGCAATACCTTCTTGATGGCAGCGTCTTCGTTGGATTCAACAAGTCGCGTTTGATAGACAACACCAAAAGAGCCGTTTCCGGTGATCTTTTTGTTCACATATTCCAACTTGATTTGCTTTCCACTTCTGGCATCCTTGGCAACTACCTTTATAGTCTTTTCATGATGGGCTATAATGTCAGTTTGAGGCAGAAGCAGAAGAGAGAAAGTGAGTATCCATGTACATTGTTTGACATTTTTGCTGTTTTCAGCTTTCCGTGAATACCTGTCATTTAGTGTTTTTCCTTTGTGTTGGTAGTCGAGATTTCTTGTGTAATTCTTTCTGAGCAATGTAATAAAAGAAAAGAAGATGAAATGTAAACCAAAGACCTAAAAAAGAAAAATAGAAAAAAAAAAAAAAAAAAAAAAAACTAAACGATGATGTCGAGACTATGTTTTCCATTTCAACTCAATGTGATTTGTATAAATCTCGAGATCATGAAATCAATTGGCTGAAAGCCTTGAACAATCGCCCTTTTGTGTCGCATTGAGAAATGTCAACTGTATAATAGGAGGATCGTCGTATGGTATTTGGAGAGTTTGTGTCAAGTAAAAGAGCCTTTTCTTTGCCATTGAAACTGACATGTATGAACTGGGCTATCTCAGCATCCACAGCAGGCGTGTCAATGCAGAGACCGCACCATGAGTAGCATCAGCAAGAATATTCATTCTGTCCATGTTCATTTGACCAATCGTACTTGGTCACTGGAGGGGGGGAGGGGTCATGCCACTGCTTGCTAGAACTGCTCCAGCATTCATCATCCAACATCTCTCGATGATAAATACTTGACATGAGACAGCCCAAACAACCACGAGCTTTGATTAGTATTCTGCTGATGTGGGTGGCATGTTTAAGTGAGATACTCTCAGAGGAACTGCCGAGTCGGTCGGATGCCATCGTGCCATCAGTTGAGTAGAGGACAGTGTTTCTAAAATAAAAATGTGTTGATGGATGTTCTTCATGTAATGTCGCCAATTTACCTGACGTCTATGGCATGTCAGATATATGCTCTATTAGTTCATACCATATCCAATGTCATTTATATAATGTATACCATGAATCATGTGCTGCTTGATGGAAGAGGTGGATTCAATAGCAGATCCAATCTCGTCACACGGAACCCACTTTCAAGCAGCAGCAGTGAGAGCAGACGGTAGCAGGGCATAAATTTTATATAAAGGTTATGTTGTATCTTTGCATTTATTGCCCTTTTTTTTTCCCTTTTCCTTTTCCTTTTTCTTTTTCTTTTTCTTTTTCTCCCTGTTTTGTTTTGAATGATTTAGAGTTATTTCATATCACTGCATGGCTTCTTCAGTATCTTTACCTTTAGTTGTCTGGCATAACTTTTCCAATCCAAACACCACATGCATCACCACAAGTTATCCTTATGTTTATGCTGGACAAAAGGATGGCCACATCTGGGTGTATACTCTCTCAGAAGAACAAGATCCACCCACCTTACAGGTACTGCTTAGACAGTGAATACGGAATAGCAGCAACTCATTGCTTTGTCAATAACAGCACAAGTTCCTCCTCGTGGGCCATAAAACTGCCATCGCTGCCTTGTGCGTCTTGAAGACAGAGACAGGCGCTTTACTAAAGACAGAGGATGTATTGATTAGTGCATCTGAAGACGGGTACGCTGCAACACCTTGCCAACTAGAGATATGCAATTGCTAACATAGGCCCGCTAGTGAAATTGCGCGTTGGAATGCTTCAGATGGTCGCTGTCAAGCAGTGAATCCAACTGGATTTTACGGTATCCCGCGACTTTTGAAAGTATTTACACAGTTTTCTGATAGACATATCTTTTGCTGTGGACAAGCAAATGAAATTACGATTTTGAATGCAACAACACTGGAGGTATTGTCAAACATGAAGCTGATAATACAGGCATGCTTATTCATGAGATAGGTGGTTCGAGTGTGGGGCGGTCATTCGAATTGGGTCACTTGCATGGATTTCCATGATCCAGGTAACTCGCTTATAAACACAACGCCCATCTTGTTTATATTTACCCTTCTTCGAAAGGTACAAAACGTTCGAGATTACTGACAGTAACCATCGATGGAAAACTCAACATCTGGGACTTTGATGCCACAAAGCACATTATATACAAGGATCAAACCATGCCAAACGGACCTTCCTTATTGAGCAACACAACATCGTTTGATTCGGCCTTCAACCTGATTGGAAACGCATCTGTGCCTGGTATGTGTATGGCATTGACTAGCAAGCATATCATGGTAAGTACATCCCGTGCGACACACCTGAGACTAGTCGTTGATGTTATCAGATTCTGTTGATGCAAAACACTGCGTTTGTGTCTCAATTTGTGATTCCTGCTGAACCACTGACAAGCTGGGCTGGTGGTTCATTCTTTGGGCAAGACCGATTTGTGATATGGACATTGGTACGTAGACTTGCTGCAACCTATAATGACCTCTTTGCTGATGGACGATGGCTGTAGAATGGCCAAATTTTCGACTACATGTTACATCCTCCTGAAAGTGGGCCTTCAGAATCCATCTCGGATGGCAATGAGAGATTATGCTACAGTGCTACTCTTGTGCGTACATACAATTTGAGCAAGGGTGATCTCAAACAGAGTGGAACTATAGTAACAGCAATAGCAAGCAAACCAGACCAAAACACGCACCAACTCTCAGCGATCACTATATCCAATCATCCCGAGTCATCTGGCTTCTCCATTGTGCCTCTATCGTTTGATCAGGAGGGAGACAGCGCTGTAGATTATAACACAGGTAGATTTAGCATAGGAAGAGATCGAGCGCCTGTTGACATGCCACTGTAGATGCTAGTTTTGCTGATGTATGGCCTCTGGTGGAAAAAGGAGACCCTAAATTTGGAAACATCACCGCGACCGCACCTGTCAACACCAATCATCTAGCTATAGGCTATGGTAAGCATTCTGTCAATGTGATGGCTTGACCTCTTGCTCATGAATGGCGCTAGATTCTGGGACCATTTGTGTTGTGCCCTTGTCATTGGCATTACTGCACTTGACAGATATATCAAAACATTTAGGAAAACGAGATGATGTGAGGATATTTGAACATGCTCATCACAGCGCAGTTACTTGCATGATTGTTCCTGAGCACTGTGTTTCAGGGCAGCCATATTTACTATCAGGCGGTCAAGACGGAGCTGTCAAAATATGGAATTTGATGTAAGAAAAGCTGGTTATTTGTTGATGAAGGTAAAACTGAATCATGTTGCTGGTAGTGATGGAAAGTACGTCGCATCCTGTGCAGTGCACTCAATGCCTGTGGAGGCCTTTATCGAACCTGCAGAGCAAAAAGATACCCGTGTGAGAGGTTGCATTGTGTCCATTGCCAAGGACAACTCGATCGCATTGATTTCAGTGGATTCTATGACATGGTAAGCCCATCCCGTATGGTGATATAGCATATCCAAATTAAAACATTGTACAGTCTTTTTATCTTCCCTGGCAACCCATATCCATTGACGACGATTCAGTGGAGAACTACCGAGGATTACCTTGTATTTGGTTATAATGACGGTAGTCTGTATGTCTGGCAGGTAAAGTTACTCTTAATAAGACAACTGAATTCAATGCTAACAACTACATAGATGCAAACGGCTCATTTAGATCGTGTATTACATGGCAAAAATGCCCGTGATGTTTTAGAGGACGATCGTTGGCCAAGCAACCATATTGCCGCACCCGTTGCCACGAAATCAGCTGGCAATAATTCCAAGCAGACGGTCACCATACGCTCCATCATGGCCAACGACAATGGCAAGTCTTGTATCTCGTCCTCTGTCATGCAGTGTCTTACTCTCTTTCAATTTAGCTCTTCACACCAAAACCAATTTTGCACAGGTTTTCACATTCAATATCCGTCGTTTGGTGCATGATTTGTACACCAGAGTATCCATATTGAGTCAAGATGACTCTCAGCTGGCCCAGGATCCTTCAATTCATCCCATCTTGAAGGCCTCCATGTCTTCCTCTTCATTTGATGCCGTCGTTCCCGACATTCTGACATTCAGACCTGACAAGGATGATCCTCTCGATGTCTCTGGTGATCAACACTTAGAGGGAGAAGAGACAGACGCCATCAAAAACAAGCACAAAAAGAACGAGGAGCAACGGCAGAAGCGCATCGAATTGATCACAGCTGTTGTATCCACGATTGCATCATGGAATATCAGTGAAGCATTTGAGCATCTTTGTTGCAAGACATTGCACTTGACCAGGCACACCAGCCCCAGCATTAGTTTTGGTCTCAAAGGGTACGTTGGCATGCTCTTCTATTAGTTATCGTACTAACGCTTAATATGACAGGGCAAACGGCAATCTCTCCATCCTGGCCCCTCTCAAGAGCGAGAGATCTGCTTGGACCATATCACCCTCCATGACTGCCAACAGATTACTGGCCATAGCCCTGCTGGCTAAAGCCATCATCTTTATTGCAGGACAAGAGAGCAAGAGCTCAGATCTGATATCAGGATACGCTATGGCACTGCCACTGATCATTGGCAAGGACTATTGTTTCCCTTCATTATCACTGTTGAGCAAATACTGGCAAGATCCATCAGGTACGTCCAAGTTATTCGATGTGTACAACGACTCATCCTATCTGTATGTTAGCGAGATCCCTCTTTTCAAGCGCTGTTACTGGACTCTCCAAACAAGACATTACGGCACTGGTGGATTATTGGGAAGCCTTCTGTAAGACAACGTTCTGATCTACGTACGATAACCACTAACGAGCTCTTTTGCTGTAGTACCTACGTCGAGTTCACCAGAGAATAGTGGCCCTCAAATGATGGCACGTGCATCCATTGTCCTTGGTATTATGGGATGTGATCAACCGCAGACACTCTCTCCTCGTGTTCGTAAATCAACCGCTCTCAGTCTGACCATCCTATTATCCGACGCTGAATTGGATGATTCTCGTCATCACACCAATGCAGAAGGTGAGCAAACACTGTCTACGGGGTCCATGGCGCGCACATTGTCTTCTATGGAGCTGCTGAGTCAAGGATTTCAGACATGGGAAACGTACATTAACGCAGCCGAGGTGCTAAGGACGCTGTTTATGTATGCGACAGATCCACAGCCTGTCATGGCCTTGGTGAGTCGTGGTGCTAAAACTGCCATCTTTCAGATTTCAGCTGCCAACATGCCGTTGGTGATAAGTACATTGACATTTGATACCATGAATGCAAAGGCCCTCGATGATCGTCTACGGTGTCTCAAGATTATTGGCTCTTTTATACGGAAGGAACCCATCTTGTTGTTCTCGCATATTCACAGTGTGGTGGAGGCAGTGGTGAAGACACTTGATCCCAACGTGCCTCATATGAGAGAGACCATGTTGCAGTCTGTCACGTCCATCCTACATGACCTCGTCAAAACGTAAGTGGTACCTATCTATTAACAATGCACTGTATTCAAAAATGCTTGCCTACAGATACCCTTCCGTTGATTTCAGCAGCAGTGCGCAGAAACTAGCAGTAGGTACATTGGAAGGAGCATCCGTGGTGTATGATCTGCGGACAGCCACTCGATCTGTTGTATTGGAAGGACACGTTGGACCTGTCTCTGTTTTAGCATTTTCTCCAGATGCCAAGCTGATTGCTACATGCTCTCTTGCTGACCAAAGTGTTCGTGTGTGGTATACAAATATGAGTTTGTTCGGCATGTTGACAAGCAGCTTATCGCAAGGATTGGGTTCGAATCATAACACACACACTGTGAATTCAAGCACAACTACCAAAACCACAACTTTATCTTCTTCTTCAGGCACGCAAAAGCCTTACAAGGTTTTTTCTTTTGCCATGCCAGACAGTAAGTACAAACAAACAAAAAAAGAGAGAGATCAAGAAAAAAAAAAAAAAAAGAGGGCTAATACATACTTAGATGCCTTGAACCCCACAGACATTATGAAACAGGTACGATTTGATTGGACTTCGACCAAATGTGTCAAGCTATGTGTTCAGGATCTAGTCATGAGTTTTAATGTATAGAAATAAAGCCTTGGCAATTACAAGTTGCTATTATTATACTTTGTATTACACTGTTTATTTAAACCGGCTATAGAATATGCACTGCAACCTAAATTTAACTAAATGAACCAAATTGAGTTTCTAAACATTTCCTAAATATATACAATATAGCGATAAAAGGAAACATCAGCAGAGGAACAATAACAATAATGGATCATGAGCAGTAACTGGTTCATCCATCGAGTCGTAGGGGGGGAGGCTATGATACGTATGTCAGTCGTCCAGTTGCACTGGAATCATTTCATAAGGAACACACATTTGTTCACCTTTAAAATCCTTTTCCTAGTTTAAGTGTAACATGTAATATTGTGCTTGTGATACGTTCCATATCCTATATAACCTGATAGCAACAGCCATTGGTTTTCTCGTCTCTTTTTCTTTATTCAATCCCTTTCTACATCTATACTACAAAATTATGGTCGCTCGTTTTACATCTCTCGTTGCAGCCATTGGACTAATTGCAACATCTGTCAATGCATCTGGCATGATTGCTCAAGTCGTGGATGCCACCAATTTCTGTGTGTTTTTGCCTCCTTCTGATTCCACTGATCGTATCATCTCCAACACTGAATGGAATGCCAATGCATTCTGTATGGGTAGCACGCCTGGCGCTACTGGTGCAGACAAATTGCCTTCAGGCTTCATCACATCTGCTCACTATGTTAAAACCGATGCTTATGTTCAAGTTACCGGTCAAATGGATTATACAAAGGCCAACTTAGTCGGTACTGATGAAGGTGGTCAAATGGACGTCAGAGCTCCCATGGGCTCCAGTTGTGCTGGTTGGGACTACTACGTCAACCTCATTGAACCTATATCGAATACTTATTGTATGCGTTGTTGTGTAAGTTGTAATGCACTCATCTGATTGATTACGATACTAACATATGGACTAGAATGATACTGTAAACTGTAATCGTGGTATCTCTGAGAAGGGTTGTGCTCATATCATTCCTGGTGACTACAGTGGACCCAGTGGTGGCTCTGCTGCTACTACCAACAGCGCTGCTGCTACCAGTGCTGCTGCTACTACCACTGCCGCTGCCACCTCAAGCACAGCATCCTCTTCTTCTGTGGCATCTTCTTCTTCAGTTGCTTCATCTTCTGCTGCTAGCTCCTCTTCTCCTGCTGTTAAACCAACAGATGCCGCTGCTTCATCCAGCGCTTCTCCTAAACCTTCCAATGGCAATGTCTCTGAACAATCGTTGAATGCTGCTGGTATCAACAAGCCTGCCTCAATTGCTGTGGGTGCTGGTATCTTGCTGTCTGCTGCCTTGATGGTTTAATAGATCAAGCAATTGACTCCATTCCAATCTTAATTTATTTTAATACATTACAATTTATATATACCAACCATTAAATCCATGCTAGTATTTCATGCTATTCATTCATGCTGTGCATACTGGCCTTGTCGACTATACTATTACCGGTTGGATCGCTTTCAATCGATACGTTTTCTTGTTACATAAAGAGAAAGGGTGGTAATATTCCCAATTCAGTGTTGTACTAAATCGCCGTGCAACATTAAAGAAAACGAAACTGAAATGGATTCCAATTAACCAGAGTTGATACTCGATGCGTGCTAGTGGGTGATGACGGCTATGATACAGAGGCGAAACGAGCTGTGCCATACCATTGCTTATCAGATGTTTCCCAGATGGTAGCTACTAGAGCAATCCCTTCAGACTTGGACTGTGGGTGGGAGCAGGGAAATGTTGCATGTTGTACTTGTTGCTATTATAATTACATGTCCTGTCTTTTGTCATGTGTGAATGCAAAATTGTATCTGAGAAGCCTAGAGAAGCATTCTCTGATCTATGCTCCAGCAAAGCTATTATGGATTGAGCCATTCAAGCCTTTTTTGGCTATTACTATCGAATTATCTATACTTTGTATTAGAGTGCTATACTGGAGGATTTGATAGCGATGACCCGCTTGATGCGAATTGATTCTAGATATTGTCCATCTTGCTTGATACTAATAACATGTCGTTCTAATTGCTGCTATATAAAAGTTCATGATTTAAAAAGTCTCCATTGTCGCTGAAAGAAGCTCATTGAAGGAGACAATTGATGCAATCAGCAATGTTGGCTGTCCTCAGTAAATTTGCCCCCCCAATCAATGATTAAACGTATACCCAAAAATACTGGCCTCCGTAAAACGAGCGGCACATTGATTGATGTAGATCACCATTCATTCTTCGGCAAGTGAAAGCACGAAGCGATTGCTGGCCAGTCAAAGTGATGTGAAAAAGAAGCAGATTTTCAGATGAAGCTATCTACGACAACTAACGATTTATCAATTGATTAACTGAATCAAGCCAGACTATCTATGATAGGTTATCACGCCCTTAGATCAAACAACAAATTTTATGCGTCACTCCAAAAGCCTGATCAGATATTGTATCACTTATTGTACAGTTCGAATATGTTGATGTTTATAATGATATCTTTGTTGTCCCACATTGCAATTACTACGATTGCAACATGTCAATCAATTGCATCCATCATCAAGCAAAACATCAACTGAAGGAACTGGCTAGAGATATGCTACTCCACATATTACTCATGCTCATAACGCTAGTGTAGCTTAGATTGCACATAAAATTGATAATGACAAGACTTTAAAAGAAGGGCATTTAGAGGGTTAAAAGCATAGTTTATTATCATTTACGTTATTCATTCACATTTATATATAAAAAAAAAGACTCTTCTTGGTTTCTCAAAGCCATTTACAATGGCAATGATACTCACAGGAACAACTACGAGAAAGTGAGAGTCTAAATGTTCCCAAATGGAGAGCGTACCTAGCGTGAGGCCCAACTACCAACCCAAGACACTGTTACATGCTCAGGCGACCTACGAGTAAGCCAATGGGTCGAACACACACAACAGAGCACGCAACCCCAAAAAAACACCTCCATTAACAAAAAAAAACCTGACTTGAAAGAAACAAAGTGGTGCCATAAGAGAGAGCGATACAAGTAAAAGCAAGAAAGTAGCATGCAAACGAAAGGGTGTTACACGCTAATAGTAAAAGAACAAAGGTAAAGTATTCATCCATCTAAAAGCTTCCCTCTTTATATACCATGTCACTGTGGAAAGTCTCGAACCAAAAGACCTCACGGCGTTAGTTTCGTATTGTTTCGTGTTGTTTTGATGAATTTCGCGATGTTCACCTCACCTTGGATCCTGAAAACAGCACCATTGCATTCCCCAAACAATTTGCTTTCCAATGATGTGCATACTTTATAGTAGAATATCTTCTTTTTGACTATGCAACGACCATTTACTTGCTCATCTCTCTTCAATCCATGTCGTTTTGTTTACTCTTTTACATGTAAAAATTTTTTTTTAGTTCGATTTCGCCTACAAATGAGCTGTTTTGATTATGCATGATCCGGGGACCTTCCAAAAGAGGGCAGCTCCTAAACTTATGCTATGAAATATGTTGACTCTATATGATGAGATGAATACTTTTAGCGTGAGAATTACAAACAGGTTACAGGAATGATACTGAAGACGAATCAACCCACCATGTGAATGTGGGCATAATGATGATGTATGGTGGCCCAAACACTTGATTGATATCATTGACAGCAACCCATGATAGTTGGCACAAGATTGCTTGTACTGGCTCGAAAAACAATCTGTTTTGTTCTATTCCATGGAGACTAAGACATCAATTTTTATATGGTGCTCTTATCGATGCTTTGTCTTCCGAGGTGTGCACTTGTTTCTTGATTTGAATGTGCATACTTTGTGGTACAAAAATCATTGAAAACTGGTTCTAGACGATGTAAATAAAGAAGAAGCTATGCTTATCATCCAATTAAATAAACAGCTCATGATGAATGCAAACAGAAGGAGAGGTGAATCGAGAGCATTGTAATTTCTGGTAGCGAGAATAAGGAGAGGTAGAGAAGGACAACCGAATTAAGCTTCCAGTTACACCTGTTTCAGAGTCAAATGATCTTTTTTTTTTTTTTTTTTTTTTTTTTGTTTACCTTGAACATTGGTGTTAAAATCTTTCATGTGAAATACGCCTATGAGAAAATGGGGGGAGAGAGAGCTCATTGCATGTGAATGTCGAAAATGAGCATTTTGCAATAGTGAAATAAATATAATTGGGGATAGAAAACAGCTGGAAGCATAGGATGAAGCGGATCAAATAGAGCAAATGTCAACTGTCAAAATGGTACTACTCTCACCTTCTTAATGTAGCAACATATGGATAAAAGTTAAGAAAACGAATTTAAATGTGACAAAGAGACCACACAACTGAGCCTTGGTGGGAAACAACGTAGCCATGTGAAAATATGGCATAAGATCTCGTCAATCCCAGTTATGCTTATTACGGCATATGCTACATTTGCATGTGTATTAGATATCGCATAGTAAGAACCTTCAGTAAGCAGCTTGTAGCTGTGGATCAGGCTCTCTTACAATGCTCCACATTTATATCAATGGAATCCATTCATATACGGACAGACAGCATACCTACATCACCTCTTGCTGCTCAAAATATGCAAATCGCAGCGAAATCAGAATGCATTTGGGCAGTAATTTCTCAGGCTAGACGCCGTTTTCAATCGCCAGAATAGCACCAAACCATTGCTCTCATCTAGCACTTACTCTCTGACATCTTTGCTCAGCTTTTTGAAGACCTAAAAAACATGGACGAAATTCAACCAAAAAGCATGAGGTATCCCTCATAACTTTCATTGAAAATTAAACGATCGCAATTTTCACCTTGAAAATGAAGACTTTTACTATGGTATATCTTGAATCAAAATGTTTCTCTCGATCCAAAGCAACCTCTGAAACCACTTTTATGAGGTTTTCATATGCAAAATATGGCTATTTTCGCTAAAAACCGCATTTCAAATTTTATAAAATTGTGATACTGATTCTTTCATCATGAATCAAGCGTTACATTTTATTGAAAGTACATATTAGCAGTGATTAACTCAACTCATCTACATGCAAATGGCCCGATTTAACACCTATAAAACGAAGCATGAGTAGCTGCTCTACACACCACACCAACACCAACTTACTTTCACTCAATGAATGTGCCTCTACTATTTGATGCTTAACTCTCTTCTTTTTCTTTTGTCTACGAATAACAGCCACTGGCACTGGTGATTTATGCACCAAATAGGTAGACACGGATCCCATCAGCAATCTATGCAACATCATGTCAGCATTTATCCTTTTTTTTTTTGATGTACATGCCAACATACGTTCTCACTGAGCCTCTTCCACGGCTGCCACACACCAACATTGTGTAATTGTGCTCACGCGTCTGCATGTATTCACAGCTGTCAGGTACATTCATCATGCTCAACTCTCCACTTGCTACTTACCAGAGATTTCAGCATGTCTTTTACACGTCCAATCATGGCATGAGTCACCAATTTGATGTTGAACAGCATCATTTGCCCCAGTAGTTTCTTTGCTTCTGCAATCAACGCATCCGAGGTAGCGTGCAACTAGGGCCCATGTTTAGTATACACTAGATTCTACATGCAAATCGAACATACCTCTCCCGTGGGATCCAAGCCAGTTGCTTTCACCACATCTGGATTATCATCTCGGTTCGCTATTGTTGCTACATGCAGTTCATCACCATCACGCATCATGGTGCCCATGGTCCATTCCATAGCATACAAACTTTCTTTACTGAAATCACAAGCTACCAGGTAGGATCTTGGTTTGCGCTTTGACCTATAAGCAGCAGGTAACACACCGCTCTTTCCTGCACCATAGTATTGTACGACACTTAGTTGTGTGGGTTGTTCAATGACAGTCGGGTTATCTGAGAATACAAGCAGATCTCTCTGTGTTTCATCGCTTTGGCCATGGATTGTGTCGGATCGTTTGGGTGGCTTTACAACCTCGTCGTAAGGGATATGTCGATTGCTCTCGGTGCGACGCAACAAGTCAGGATCTGATGCTTGTAGCAAATCGTCTTCTGTCTCTGCTTGACGCACTTTTCGCTCGTATTCATTTGTCATGTCGTCTTGTTTCTCTTGGTATTCACTCATTTCACGAGCTAAACAAGCCAAGATATCACCTCCCTTGAATTCGTCCTTTCGCTGCTGTTCTGGCTCCTCGACAATCTCTTCTCCCACGCTGTCATCTTCGTTTTTCTTCTCGGCGGCAATGATGTTCTTGATCTTGTTTTGTCCTGTGATGGAGTCTTCGTCACTATCTGCTGTGTCGGACGCATTGGATGTATCGTCATCTTCATCAGCAATGTTAGCGTCTTCAGGATATGTTTCTGGCTCGTTGTTCAGCTCCTCAAGCTCTGTCTTGAGCCATGGTCTGCGTACAGGCTCTTCAGTGGTTAATGGAATGGAGCTTGTGATGGGCACATTGTTGATGGCTACTGTGGGTGCGTGGTGATCATCATCCGGGTTTGGATTGTCTGGCATTTTTTTTTTTTTTTTTTTACCAGTGTTCGAATGGAGTAAAGATAAAATGAAAAAGAGAGCTGTTGCGCGGTGAGAATGGTGCCATATTCCAATGACGAACAATTGCATCGGAGAATCCTCCTCTCACACTGTTCACATCATTATATGCTCTTGTTAGTAACAAATGCTTAACCCATGTCGAAGTAGCCAATAGAGCGATTGTATTGGCAGAGATTCAATATGCAGCAAAGATGGTAATCGTTTGACAAACACGGAAAAAAAATAGGCTCGGTGACATTCAGTCTTTCTTTTTTTTTTTGGTATATGAACAAATGTGCGCTTTATTGAATGAAGAGGGGGGGGGGGTTAATTAGTTTATATGTACAAAATGTATGTTGGAGTTTGTTGGATGATTCACTGTCTAAACCAGAAATCAACTTCGGGATCTTCATCCTCAGGATTGACACCCAGACGATGCTCACCCTTCTTTGACGTAACATCTTCACGAATATAGCTGAATCCCTTGAATTTGGATTGATCAGCCACAGGCATACTAGTGGAGTTGGTAGAGTCAGTCCTGTTATTCATGGGGATACTGATGGCAGCAGCAGCAGCAATGGCTTCTTCACGGAGCTGCTCTTCTACCTCGGGCACAAAGGGCAGCTGCATTTGCTTCTTGTAAACGACGTCCCAGTTCAGGTCCTTAAAGAATGGATGTGCCTTGACTTGAGCGACATCACCATTGGAACCCAAACGATTAGCAGGATTGCGCTCGAGCAATTGACAAATAAAATCCTTGGCTTCTTCAGTAATGCATCCACCAGCAGGGAATTTAATGGGAGCTTCCAGGATTTGTCTAAACAATTCGCCTTCTTCAACAGAATGAAAAGGAGGTGATCCAGTCAACAGCTCAAACATCAAGACGCCAAGACTCCACCAGTCAGCGGCCAGACCATAAGGTTTTTGCATCACCATTTCAGGAGCGAGGTATTCTTGTGTGATGACTTGAGGCACACCTTGAATCAAATCCACCTTGTTCTTCAGTTGCTTGCACAACCCAAAATCGGTCAAGGCAATGTGTCCATGTGCATCCAGCAAGATGCTCTCAGGCTTCAAATTGCGATAGACAATGTTGTGAGCATGAATGTTATCAAAGGCACACACAATTTCGGCAGCAAAGAATTGACAACGCTTCTCACTCAAACAGCGCTCACGCTCCAAGAAATCAAACAATTCACCACCAGGAAAGTATTCCATGACCAAGAAGAGATGATTGGTTGTCTGGAAGCTGTACTTGAGATTCGCAATGAAAGGGCTAGAGAGAGATTGAACCAGCACATTACGCTCGTTAAAGGCAGTATCCACTTCATTCTCGGCCAACAATAGACGCTTTGAAAGTACTTTCATGGCATAGGTACGACCAGAATCACGCTTGATCACCTCATACACTTTACCCACTGAGCCTTGACCAATCATACGTACAATGCGGAAGTCCTCTGGCTTTAGATTAACCTTGAGTAGGGTTTGAAATGTCAGACATCGGCTGTCAAGAGTTGTATTAATATAAAATTACCTTTTTAGTATCGATAAAAGTAACTTGAAGACGCACATCACCAGTAACTTCTTGATCGTCGTCAGGACGGCCATGAAGAGGGAAGATCAACTCAACTGTCTTCTTGCTAACCAAGTTGGGGATAATGCTGGACATGCCCAAGAAACGATCTTCACCATTGGACAACTTGTTGCCACGATCATAGACAAACACAGTGATCTCCTTGTTACCAGCAGTTACATCACTAGATAGAGCGAATAGTTAGCACAAAGCTTCTTTAATGTATGCTAAAAACACAGCTTACAAGTTGACACGATGCATCCACTTGGGAGAACTTGCGCTCATCATGATTTCGAATGCCTTGAATGCACCACTATCGACTTGAGATTCAATCACCAAAGGTGTGCTAGGCAAGATACCATCATCGACCTTATCAAGCGTAGATGTAGTATTGCCTTCGTAATGAACAATGCAGTAGGTATCGGCTTTGCGAGCATCAGCAATGGTCAAATTACGAGCTTCCACTACATTGATCTCCAATTGACTGGTGGCCTTTTCAGAAGCCGGGAGCTGCATTGTAGTGGTATCGTTGGCAACAGTGGGAGCAGCAGCTTCAGGTTTCTTTGAAAGAGCTTGAGATAAGGAAGCAAGCGTTGTTGTGCGAGCTTGGCGAAGCTTTTCACCCAATTGGCCCATATTGACAGATGTTATAACAGGAGAGGATGAGTGAACACCAATGTTTTTAATCAGAGAGTCTGTGAAATCAGCCATACTGTGTGTATATATTGTGATGATGAGAAGAATGAATAAGAGAAGAATAGGCAGGATGTTGAACATGTCAATCTCGTATTTAACAGTTTCACGTTTGAGATTCCGTTGAAGACCACTGATGTTGGGGGTATTTCTTGCTCCTATTTCTTATCGGAACAAGCAGGTATAGTCAGTACTGTTTGATTGAGTTCACTAGGGTGATTGCAGATTACCGAATGGATCAAGTCGGTGCTATGTTGGCACTGGCTTTTGCAAACAATGTACGATGCATCTCACCTACCGGCTTGTTTGATGCCTCTGAATGTCCTGAATTCTAGATGATGGTTACCTAAAGCAGCGTGTAACCCAAAGAAGTGCATAAATTTAGGTGTGTGTATGTTGATCAGCATTGGATGCCAACATCCCTTCAAATTGGGATGTCTTTGATTGGCTGTTGGGGCCAATGCAATGTTCATTGGGCCAACTTGTCATACGATCAGAGGCATTTCAATAACGTGGCAGTTTCAAATACCAATATCTCTCTGAAGTTGGACTACGGAATCACAAGTTTGATTTCGATCTGCAAATAAGTGGTCATATTTAACAAAAAGAGATAGATATCAACTGCAATATCTAACTGTCAGCCTCACCGGCAGCATGCATACTATTATTGGCAACTTGGTCTGGCATTGCATATCTCAGGGCAGATGTTGGTTGCAAGATGTGTAATCAAGATGGCGTACATATCTCTTGTTATTCGATTTCTCAAGAGCGGCTTTGATTACAGATGTCATTTAGAGTTAGAATTTGGATGCAAACAAGCGCTCCATAGTCTCTTCGTCTCCTGCTGCGTACGTAATCGCTCTATAGTAGGCTGAATCTCTACATTTCAGATAAAGTGATACGATTCTGCCTCCAAGGGCGTCAATTTCTGGGTATTTGGGGGGGGGGGGGGAACTAAACCACCTGTTTCATAAAAATGAAGGTTGACATCCCGAGATAGACCCTTCATTGAATGTCGATGATTGCAATTATTTTCCTTGTTGATATTATATTTCATGCTTTGATCCAGACAGGATATCATTTGGTTGCTTTTGCTTAAATGCTCTTTTGTGTGCTCTTATTTTTTTTTTAATCAATAATCAGGTCATACTACTAGATGTCAATCTGAGTAAGCAGCAGCATCACTTGATTTGGAACAGCGTTATAGCCTTTTTATCAGAGAAATCACGGTGTATAGTACCGTGAAATTCAAGAGGTTCAAAGCAAGGCGAATATTCCACACACACACACACACACACACACAGTATTAGTTTGACTAGACGAATGTTCCATCTTCTGTATCAGAAATGCTTGTACATCACATTAGGCATTGGTTGCAGATTCAGCCGAAATGCCATTCATGCTAAAAACTCAGTATTCATGCGTCTCTATCAGCGATATACATTGCAAGCTAATGTGCATAGACAATCCTCAAATGGCTCCAAAAGGAGTGAGTAGTATACAAGTTTCTATCGAATGCGAAGAGATTGGCTTTGATTGCTATGGGTTTGTCATGATCGTAAGTTTTGACACATGGCGGACGCTCAAAAATTCCACATGAGTTTGACATTTGATTCACTGCACCTTTCTTTTTCTTCTTCTTCTTCTCCTCATGTTTATATAAACCAAAATGTCGGATACTTGTATAGTAGAAAATGACAGGAAATTAGCAGATTTCTTTAATCGACATCAAATCGGTAAGACTATGAGTTCTTGCTAGGTGCCACATGGCTGACATGCATAGACAGATCTTCCAGTCAAGATCATCCTACCCATCCTCATAGGCCATTTCCTGCATTTAGACATATGCGACAAATTCATCTATATATCGGGTAGGCTACCCAACGGTCTGTACAAGAAGAGTCTATGGGACATTGCATTCCTATTTTTTTACTTTTTGGTCTTTACCTTCTTACGGGCGGCTGCCATGGAATATGTCCTAAAGCCAATGTCTGTGTATCTAAAAGTACCTCGAGGAAAGAAGCTTCGATTTGCAGAGCAGAGTTGGCTGGTTATTTATTATTCAATTAGCTTTGGCAGCGGTTTGGTAAGAGGCCATTGCTTTGTGTTTGTATGCTTTGCTGATGAAAACACATCTGATAGGCTATATTTTACAATTCACCTACATGGAATGATACATCGTACTTTTGGCGCAATTATCCTGTTTGGGAATTGAAAGGCTACTTCAAGTACTACTATCTGCTCCAGTTTGCTTTTTGGATCCAACAGCCATTTGTTCTTCAGATTGAGGCACCTAGAAAGGATTACACAGAATACATGGTACATCACATCAATACTCTGCTGCTGATCAGTTTGAGCTATTGCTGTAATTTCACGGGTGTAGGCAACGCTGTGTTTGTGAGCATGGATTTACCGGATGTACTGCTATGTGTAAGTAGAGAGCGGGTTTTGGAGAAACCAGGTATTAGAGGCTGATCATATATGCTTTAGCTGGCAAAGACGTTGCACTACCTGGGCTACGGCTTGATATGTGATGCCACATTTCTGGCTATGGTTATTTCATGGATGTATACTCGAGTTTACTACTATGGGCGCATCATCTATTCAACCTACACAGAACCAGACGTATACGTGCCTCAATTCAAACTGGACCCTGTGCATGGATTTTGGTTCCCTCACTTTGTCAAGTATATCATCTTGATTCTGATGTTGGGTTTATATATATTGATCATATTTTGGACCTTGATGATTTGCAAAGTGGTGTATCGATTGGTTAGCAATACGGGTATCACTGATGTTCGCTCGGACGACGAAGATGAATCAGATGAAACTGATCCTGCTAACCCTGTCCAGAAGGCTAGTAATAATCTTTTGGCACCACCCCCTATCAAGAGGAAGAGGTACGTTACATATAATATCATTAAAACAAATACCGTCGACTTATTATGGACACACTAGGGCTTTGAGCAAATCTGAGCAAATCAGAAATTATGCAGCAAGACGCTAGAGGACATGCCACCATTGTATAAACTATATACCATTATATCAGAAATAAAAAAAAGGCTGTTTTGTTTGTATTTTATAAAGAAAGTAAAGTGTTCAAGCGGGGTAGAGTCAATCTTTCTTTGACGGACCATGTCAAAGTGCTGGTAATGATATTTCTGCCAAGTTGAGGCACATTTTCCTGTTCCAGAATAGCAGCTAAAGATGTTCGGGTGTTTGTAAACTCCTCCTCACTCTCATCGTCTGAATAGTCATCCATATCAGAGTCATTGTCATCGAAAAAAATCAGCTTGTTGGCATCAGGATAGTTTGCCATTTCCTACATGGAAGCAGAATGAGCCTTGGATACTTTACCACGCCATCAATCCCCTCCTCTCCTCCACTTACCTCAGCCTGAACTTGCAAAGAGGGCTTTCCTAGTCGAAATACAAGCTTACCAATTTGCTCAATATCACTGTCACCATTAAATAGAGGGTATCCTATCAGTATTTCCGAGAAAATAGCGCCCAATGACCACACATCTGTCGCTGGTGTATACGCTCTGGACCCAAACAAATGCTCTGGAGCTTTGTAATATCTTTTCCGCCATTAGCTACATATCGTCTCTTTAAGCATCTCCACTTGTACCTTGTGCCAATCTCTTCATCTGCTAGAAAACCATCACCGCTATCTGAGCATGCGTCTGAATGAGCACAACCAAAATCGCATATAAACATGCAGCCTGTGCTACTGTCTATCAAAATGTTGCTTGGACTCAAGTCGCAATGTATGATGTTACGCTGATGCATGTACTGCAAGCCCTGTGATATTTGCTGTAGAAAACGGTATGCTAGTTCTGGATCTTTGGTGCGGATGTTCATCTTCATTGCTAATGTTTCGCTGTAAAAGGGGAATATCAGATGGTAACTGTTGGCTAACTCTTGATGATCCATGAGCTGCACAATCTATAGAATCGAATGTTTTAGCATTCCACGTTGTATTTGCTATCGAAATAGAGCCAGTTACATGGTTTTGAGCCGAGTCTTCTTTAGTGGCAACTGACAGCTCCTTTAGCGCCCACAGTTCTCGCTTATAGTGCCGAAAAGCAAGCTGTCCATGAGATTTCGAGTAGATTTTATACGCAACACATGTTCCCTGTCCAATCACTCGCTTTTCCACCGAAGCAAACGTACCAAGCATGAATAATGAATGAAAAAGGGAAAAACCATCGCGCATTATTCTCTCTGATTTTGAAATGCCATCATGATTAGCTAGGTACACCTAACCTACATGGATCAACAGCTGCTCTGGACAACCTCCAAGCGATCATATCAAATGTGAGGTCATTCGTGAATACAACGACATAGAATAAGCTTTATATCAAACAACTAACAACTAAAAAAAAAAAAAAAAAAAAAAAAAACAATGCACTGTTGATCGGAATGATTCTGACATGTTGATATTCTGGTTTCGTTTCAAACTATATGAACAAAGCTCAGTTATGCCTTCGTGTAGAAAGCTTAGTAAATCTCCTATGTATACTGACACGACACAGGATTAAGATAATAGCTACAGATAATATAAGCATTGCAAACAAACACTCATGTGCTATTGCTTATATAAATCCGGTTTCTGTATTGGATGTCCATCATATACAGTTATTTCCCATCTCTATTTTATAACGTATAACACACAGCATGATTGTCAAGACACTTCTCTCTAGTGCATTTGTATTAGCACTCATGTCTAGCATGGTACAAGCTCAAATCGATTACGACGACGTCAAGACACCCAAAAATGCTGCATGGCTTAAAGACGTTGACATGAGTTTAGTTCCCAAGCTTCCCATCCGTGCTGTTGGTTCCGGTGTGTGTCCTGATTCAACTTGTGATGGCACCGACAACGACGAATGCTTTGAAAGCTGTGGCAATGCGCCAGCACCTGAAGATATATATGGCTGTCCTCGAGATCATCATTGGGCACTCACCTTTGACGACGGACCCAGCAACTACACCAGCGAGCTCTTGGATATGCTCGATAAGGAGGACGTCAAGGCTACTTTCTGTGTGATGGGTGCTCATGTGGAGCAATATCCTGACATCTTGAAGCGTGCTTATGAATCTGGTCATCAGATCGCATCCCATACATTCTCGCATCCTCACTTGATGAGTTTAAGCAATGAAGAGATTATCTATGAAGTCAGAGCCACTGAAGAAGCCATTGAAAAGGCCATTGGTATCAAGCCTCATTATATTCGTCCTCCCTTTGGAGAAGCTGATGCTCGTGTGAAGGGCCTCTTAAGGAGTATGGGTTACAAGGTCTTGCTCTGGAATGTGGATCCCACTGATTACGATGTCTACATGTTGCGCAATGCATCGTCTGTCATTCAGGGTTCATTCAAAATGGCTGTTCAAGGAAACGATACTGGCTTGAATCTCCATGAAGATCCTGGATTTATTAGTTTGCAACACGGTAGGTAGAATATAGTTGTATCAGTGATAACCAGCTTACTGTTCCTCTTTAGACCTGTACAAGCAATCAGTGGATCAAGTTCCCAAAGTTATTAAACAGCTCAAGGCAAAAGGCTACAAGTTTTTCACTGCTGCTGCCTGCAACAACGATGATAATCCCCACACCATCATCAACGCTGATGTTGCTGTTGCTCCTGCTGTTGTCAAAATGAACGCTGCCTCCAGTGTTGCTGGTGTGCCCAAGTTGAGCATGCAACTGCCAACTGCTCCAGCATCTTCTTCGTCTTCTCCATCTCCTTCATCTGCTTCTAAAGCCAAGGCCTCTTCCGTGATCAAGGAAAAGACGGCAAAGGCGACGTCTGATTCATTCATGACCAAGTCCACGGCTAGTGGTTATATCTTGTCATTCGCTACTTTGGTAGTTTATGTCACCATGTTCATGTAAATAACTTTTCATCATCAACTGAATAAATCCATACACAACTCCATTGCGACACTCTATTTGAGCTAATCTAATAGTATAGTTTAACTAGATGCAGACTACTTATTGCGTCTAAAACGTTCAGCGTGCCTTACAATCGTCATCGCCTCCTAATAAGCTGTATTATTGTGCTATGCTACTGCGATACAACAGTGCCACTCAATTTGACATTTTTAGCTGAATGTTTGAATGTAACAGCATGCCCTAAATCCAAATTAGTGCACGCAATGCCTTTACGCCTTCGTATCATAACATAAACGCGTCTATCGACAAGCAAACGTATAAAACACAGCCAAATTGGACAGCTTTCAAGCCTTCGTATCTCGGCATGTAGACCTTTCTGAACCATCGGAACGACACCAAACAATTGTACTCGAGTAGCAGTAACTTTCTGGCACCTTTTGCTCAACTTTTTGAGGACCCAAAAAACATGATCAAAAATTGACCAAAAAGCATGAGGCACCCCTCATGCTTTTTATTGAAAAACAAACGATCGCATTTTTCATCTTGATAACGAAGACTTTTACTATGGTATATATCAAATCAAAATGTTTCTCTTGATCCAAAGCAACTTCTGAAACCATTTTTATGAGGTCTTTATATGCAAAATTTCGACATTTTGGTCAAAATCCTTATTTCAAATTTTTTTGAATTGCTCAATAAGCTCAGTCAAAACACTTCTTTTATTTAGCACCATTGGGTGCGCCATGAAAAGTACTCTTAGAAAGCTTAAAGAAGCATCGGGTGATCATTACAATTTATATAGTCGAATCTCGCAAAATAGTTTGATCAAGTCGAGAAAAGCCAAAGTTTGTCCAATCTTGAGCAGAAAAAATAATCTGAGCTTGAATTAATTTTGGAGCTGCTGCCTGACCAAACTGCCTTTCTGATGATGACAACGATTATTGGGATGCTTATTAAATGGGAATCATGAATTTAGAAGGACCATCGCTTAGCCTGACAAGTTTCTTTTGCTTTTGTTGAGCATTTTCATGTCTGACAACTTCAGTGAGCCTAGCCCATCACTAAAATATATGTAATCGCAACTTCCTAATCATGGTAAGCAGCATTTCCACATGGCATGTAGGCAGTATACGCTTGTTTCATTCATTTGAAAGCAAGACAACATCTCCATATCATATTGTAACAAATTTTCAGTCCCTAGACACGTTTGAAACTCTAATATGGGAGCTAAGTTGCCTGGCATTTGTCTAGCCTGGCTCATATATGATTAATGATTTTACAATCAATCAACAAAACCCACTGTTATTTACAAATTATTGTCGCACATTTGGAAATAAAGTTGTCGCACTTTTCGAAAATAAAATGGCACACATCTGGAAAAAAATTTGACGTACCAACTGGGAAAAAAGTTGGCGCATAAACGAATCAAAAATTGGCGCAAAAGTTGAATGCGACATATGCGACAAATAATCTTTATTTCTAAATAGGCTTCTCTTGCAAGCAATCATCGAATCTATCACAAGAGTGTTTACAGAATCCTTTAAGATCGCTAATAAGCACTTGATTGCATGCATCTCCGATTATAGATGTAAGTGTCTCTTCCTTCAACAACTTCTCTCTTTTAAGCTTGCTCTTACAAACAGACCAGAATTGTTCAATGGGGTTGAGCTCTGGAGAGTATGGAGGAAGGTAGACGCACCTATAACCACGACTTTCTATGAAAAGCTTAATGTCGTCATTCATGCGGATTGGAGCATTGTCCATGATCAAGTAGTTGTCCTTAAAAATATCAGGATGCTTGTCCATTTCGTCCATGGTGTCGCTCAAAAAGTTAAAGTAATGGCCTGTAACAGTGCCTTTACTCTGGGTTTGAGCTGGTCCACTTGATCCAGTTGTTTTTCTTTCCTTAGAAGAGGGCATCACTCGAGGCCGTCTTACTTTAATGTTGACAACACCAAAAGCAGAAGTAGCAGCCAAAATTGTTGTTGTTTTTGCCCTAGTCTTTGGCACTTTGGCAACGGCGCGAGTTCCCACCTTTGACCAATCAACAGATCGCTTCATATTGATATGAAATGCTGCCTCGTCGATGAACACGCAATTGCTCATGTAGTCCATATCGGTGTTCATCCATTTCTCTACCCACTCCTTTCGTGCTTTGATCTTTTCTGGGCTGTTGCGATCCGCCGAATGAAAGTGAGCTCTCTTCAGACTAATCTTGCATTTGTTGGTAACGAAATTGTAGAGAGCTGTTTTCGATATCGTGAGGTCACTGAACGAGGCTGTCAAGCTTTCCATCATTTGATTCAAAACTAACGCAGGCTCTTCGTCGATTAAGTTGATCAAATGAGTTTTATGACGCTCATCCATCAGTGCTGGTCTACCAACTGGTCTTCCGCTACCCTCTTTTCTTGCGATGTAGGTTTGCGGATCTTGCTGGTCGTTTGCTACCCATCTCTGGGCGGTGCGTGGGTTGATTTGTAGTTTCAGGGCAGCTTGTCTTGCACTCATGCCTCTTTCATACACCAAGGCAAACAGCTGCTCCTTTTCTGATTCCTTGTAAGTTTTGTATGTACTGCCTGTCCTCTAGTCCTTCATCTTAACATCTTCTCTCTCTTGCTGCTTTGCATTGTTTTTCTCGGGGTGTTCAGGTGCTTTAAGCTCATGATACATTCCAAAATTCGTCACTGTTTCAATAGGATACATCTCTTCATCTACTTCCATTTCTACGACTGCAACCGCCATGCCTTTGTCGTCGTAAAGGTTTCCTTGACCATCTTCATGTACAAAATAATCCATATTCAAAATATATGTAAAACTAAAGAAGCCCTGAAATACGTCAATATTAAATCTTTTAATGCGCCAACCTTTTCCCAGTTGGTACGTCAAATTTTTTTCCAGATGTGTGCCATTTTATTTTCGAAAAGTGCGACAATAATTTGTGAAAATAGTGTATACCTTCTTTCCTTTGCTCAATGCTCTGAACGCTTCCTTTGAACGACGGTCCGGAGCCTTAGAGATTTAGTCAACGGCTGCGGTCGAGACAACAAAACGAACTTATTCGGCCATAGAGAAAACCACGTCGTAATAGAAACCTAAGTAACTTATTGTTTGAAACACTAAAGAATGTGGAATTGATGTTTATTTTGTTCCAAAGTTGATATTACTGATAACACCCGGTTTAACAAAACTGACCATCTCTTTGAGAGAAATATTGATTATTATAATCCAAATTCCCCTACTTACTGCTGCAGACATGTTATGCAGCCTATGAATCGGCAATGTCCAGAATGACGTTATTAAACATAGAATGCAAGAAAATACCATAATTAACGATAGTGCTATGACTTGCCACCTACTTTCCATACGCTTCAAGGGAATCTATTACTGTATTACCTTGTGAAAAGGGCATTAATGAGTTTGCCAGCCTGCCTCACCAGCCAAATTAATTCAAATCCAGACTCATAACCTGTTCCAGATTGGCCAAATCTTGATGGTTTTCGACTCGATCGAACTATTTTTGCAGATTCGACTAAGTAACATATGATAATAACCCTAAGCTTCTTTAAGCTTTCTTGAAGTGCTTTTCAAGGCGTATCCAATGGCACCAAGTAACATAGATGTTTTGAATAAACTTATTGAGTAATTTATAAAAATATGAAAAGAGGTTTCTGGCCAAAAAGTCGAAATTTTGCATATGAAAACCTCATTTAAGTGGTTTCAGAAGTTGCTTTGAATCGAGAGAAACATTTTGATTCAAGATATACCATAGTAAAAGTCTTCGTTATCAAGGTGAAAATTGCGATCGTTTAATTTTCAATGAAAGTTATGAGGGATACCTCATGCTTTTTGGTCGATTTTCATCCATGTTTTTTTTTTGATCCCCAAAAAAGTTGAGCAAAGATGTCAGCAAGTAACTGCCAGATGAGAGCAACTGTTTGGTGCTATTCTGACCATCTAAAACGGCCTTGAACGCAAGAAAACGCAGTTCAAATGCACTCATATTTTGCTGTATTAGGGGCACTGAGGATTAAGAAATGGAAATACCTGTATTCTACTTGCCCGTATATGAAGTAGCTAGGTGTATATGGATGTAAAGCATCACATAAGAATCAGATCCACACATAATATGAAGGGTTTTCATATGCAAGTAGAGGGTCAACTTGAACGTAGTAGTATTTTGATAAGCCACGCAAGGGCAATTGGCAGCGCGAGCTGCTGCTGTGCAAACTGGTTTTATCGAAACGAAGCGAAGGTAAAGAACCATACGAAGCATAAACTTTCATATGATTAGTGGTTTTATACCAATTAACAATCGAGGCTCTTCCACCATTTTAGCTATATAAATTTTGCGATATTAGCCAAAGGCCCGTATCTATATAAACAATGTAAAACACTGACATGCTAGGCCTCAAGCATGTGCGTCGTCATAGAAAGAGATAGGTGTAAATGTGTAGCATTCTGTCTTTTATTACGGATCAATATACCTAATATCGCGCTAAGTGCCATGACTATTAAAGCTATAGGCGCTCCCTAGGAATTTTTCTTTTTCCTGGACAACTTGATGTAGCTTGGCATTTAGTTTCAATCAAAATGACATTTTAGGCATAAATGGGCAAAGCGACAATATTTTTCGTTTTCACTGTAATAAGAGTAGGACGTCGCCATGATATCAGACTCGCTACAAGTTACCCAGCATGATGTCATGTATGTCAGAATTCAGCAGAAGGGCATGGAAGAGGCCGAGTAATTGCATATGTATAATATCGTATGGGGCATATGATGAATAGTATGTTTATTGTTGATTACAAAAATTGAATTGAATTGGAGAGATATATATTGATTTTTTCAATAATTTGGTGGCTATAGAAGGTAAAGGATGGGATATGACGGAAAAGTAACTTAGAAGCACTTTCTGTGGACAATGGAAGGACCAGATTCGTCGTATTCTTGCTTGGAGATCCACATTTGTTGGAAAGTGGAGAGAGAGGCCAAGATGGAACCACCAATCCAGACAGAGTACTTTCTCTCTGGAGGAGCAACAATCTTGATCTTCATGGAAGAAGGAGCAAGAGCAGTGATTTCCTTTTGCATACGGTCAGCAATACCAGGATACATGGTAGTACCACCAGACTAAATGAAATCATTTAGTTTTAGCTTGAATTTCATCTCCATTTAAAATATAGACAACAGCTACTTACCATGACAATGTTGGAGTACAAGTCCTTACGAATATCAACATCACACTTCATGATGGAGTTGTAGGTGGTTTCGTGGATACCAGCAGATTCAAGACCCAAAAGAGTAGGTTGGAAAAGAGCTTCAGGGGCACGGAAACTGTATAAATGGAATCAGACATCATCTCACTCATTCATATTCTATAGACACTTACCGTTCGTTACCAACAGTGATGACTTGGCCATCAGGAAGTTCATAAGACTTCTCCAGGGCAGAGGATTGAGCAGCAGTTTGCATCTCCTGCTCGAAATCAAGAGCAACATAACAGAGCTTCTCCTTGATATCACGAACGATTTCACGCTCAGCAGTGGTAGTGAAAGAATGACCACGTTCAGCGAGAATACGCATCAAGTAGTCGGTCAAATCACGACCAGCCATGTCCAAACGCAAGATGGCATGAGGAAGAGAGTAACCTTCGTAGATAGGGACAGTGTGAGTGACACCATCACCGGAATCAAGGACGATACCAGTAGTACGACCAGAGGCGTAAAGAGACAAGACGGCTTGGATGGAAACATAGAAAGCAGGAGCGTTGAATGTTTCAAACATGATTTGAGTCATCTTTTCACGGTTGGACTTGGGGTTCAAGGGAGCTTCAGTCAAGAGAACAGGGTGTTCTTCGGGAGCAACACGAAGCTCGTTGTAGAAGGTGTGATGCCAGATCTTCTCCATATCGTCCCAATTGGTAACAATACCATGCTCAATAGGATAACGGAGAGTCAAAATACCTCTTTTGGATTGTGCCTCATCACCAACATAAGAATCCTTTTGACCCATACCAACCATAACGCCTTGATGACGGGGACGACCGACAATGGAAGGGAAGACCTAACAAGCCTATGGTGTTAGATGACCTGCAATATACATGCGCCCATACGATAAAGTAAGGGAGGGGGAGGCTGCATCCTCAAGCAAATGCACCAGAAATAAGAGCAACGCAAGCTATTACCAAGATAGCATGTACATCAAGATTTCCGAGCAGCTCGAGGTTCTGCATCTCCCTTTTATGAAAATCCAGCTCGAGATATGGTTTTAATACTTACAGCACGAGGAGCATCATCACCAGCGAAACCGGCCTTACACATACCGGAACCATTATCAATAACTAACTATAGAAGATGCAAACACGTCCATCAGCATATCTAGTCGTGACAGTTATCAACACATCTCTACTTACAGCAGCAACTTCGTCCTCCATTTTTTCTTAGATTGTATATATAAAACTAAATGCGAAAGAAGAAAAAGAAACATGTACGCGAATGATGAGCTGCTTATTTAAATGGAAAATGTGACGCTAGTGAGAGGGAATACACACGCACATATAGATAAATTCATGATCCGGTTAGTGCGCCGCATCCCCTTAGCCAAGAGCTATGATGTTATCCAAAGACTTCTAATTTCGGCACTTTTTCGGCGGCTGCTGTGCCAGATTCGTTATAAGGGTTACATTTGTATTCTACTTGAACGTGAATGGCTTTTTCAATCTTGGCCAAGACCTTTCCTTGAGATTTGGTATAGGCTATCTTCATGATTTGGCATGTCGGCTGATGGTCAACATGTATATTTTACCATACAATCTCAGATGGGCAATGGATTTCTTCATGATTGAGCACACTTGCAGAAAATTGGGTTCTCAGCACATGTAAAACATGCCAACGAGGACCAGACTTTGCATTCCTACATATCTCCAACATTCCTCTCAATAACCAGTATGGCTGTAGATTAGAGGCTTGGTTGCCTGGCATTTTCTTCATGTCAGGGCTTAAAAGGGCTGTGCGTTGCCAGGCATCAGCTGCTCAAGAATCTGTCAAATCACACGTAGCTTTTTCAACCGTTTCATGTTGAAATGACCAAACGTACATCCAATGAGGGACATATGTCACAATTAGTTATACCAAGAACAATTAGATAGAGATTAGTCATAAAGATCGAATTGCTTGGCTCGAGTCCACAGCAGTGATACCTAATCAAATGTAAACAACACATGTCCTCTTAACGGTCAATCTTTTTCATCACTGGATCAATGTGTACTACATGAAAACGCTTGGCTTGACACAATGATCCATGAACCAGAAAGAAATCTGCAACATCCAACAACGGGATATTAATTGGAGAGCCGCATGCGTTCAGCAAAAGGGAGTGTTTGAAAGCTGGAAATCAGGTACTCAGCATCCATTGCAATAAGCAAGATAACAATTTGACAGTTCTGCTCTTTTGTTAGGGGCTCATGACAGCCTTGCAGATCCCTCTTTTTAGATTGTGCTCCTTTCAATGTGTAGGTGATATATGCCAAGTCAAATCACAAGATTTGATTCTGATCTCCTGTGATTTAATAAGAACATGGCATCCAATCTCTTGAGCCCAACATACTAGGTCTACTGACTATAGAGCAATATGTCCTTGCGGTGGTGCTCGTACTCGCGCTACTACATTAGAGTGACATCCAAGTTGTCAATGTATGGGTATCCTTCAGATGGCAAGGTGTGTTTAGCCCTTGTTCAAAGTCCACTTTTCAATGTGTGCCCTTCATCACAATCAATGGTTGAGTATGCGAAGCTTATCAAACAATCGTATCAATTGATATTCACATTTATGTGGAATAAAGTTCAGCATCACATCCCTTACGAAACATGTCGATTATATACAACTCCCATGCTACGAGTGTTTAGCTCGTGTGCTTACCCCTGTTGATGCTGTTTTCCAAGGCGAAATGTGAGGTTCGAAAAGATTCTACCATAGGTTGAAAGCTTCCATCATGATTGGTGTGTAATGGGATGATTCTTTTCTTCAAGGGAGTATCTTATTTACCCCGGAATTTCAAATGGCTTGTTCCCAACAATGATAATCAACTCATCAGAATTCTGATTTTGAGGCAACATCCATTGCGCCATATCAAAATGTGATCCAACAGAAACTTGGACTTGCAATACAATCATACCTGTGAAGATTGTCGGGGTGTTCTATAAATGTCGATTACTAAAAACAGCGAATGTCAATTATAGTTCAGCTTTCGACAATTACCTTTTTTTATAACTGACATTTGCCGTTTTTAGTAAACGGCTTTTTTAATAAAACCCCGGCAATCTTCACAGGCATGACTGTATAAGAGTCATTCTGTGGGTCATAGATGGATCTGAGTAACACAAACAACTCTTTGCACATTCCAGACAACAGAAAGGCGTGAGATAATATTGCTGTGCAAGCTTGGTTTGGTTGTACATAAGCAAATAATATCGTAGCATTTGATTTCTGTGCCTAGAGGCAAAGGTTCCTGTAAATATTACTTCTCTACATCTCTCAAATCAAAAGGACGTTTGCGGGAAGGATGTTGATTGGGTTAGATGTAAAGTGATGGATCAAATGTGTGAATTTTTTGTTTAGTAACAGCGTTTCACGGATTCAATTTTCACATCGTCAAATGGAAGCGTAAGATGTTGGAGTATGCATTCAATTTTAAAGGGGATTTTTTTTTTTTGGAGCAAGTCAATTATACATACTCTGGATGATTCATATTTCTCAACGTGCGCACGTCCCCAATTTCTTGAGTTTGTAGCGAGTGTGCTTGTTAGGTGAGAAAAACGTGCGATGTGCTATTGGGTAATCTATTTGCAATCAATAGAGGATATCTCCGCCTTTGACTTTAATTTAGTGTGAGGGTCAGGATTACTCACACCTCCATGTGCATAACTAATCGTATTCTACCCGTGGTCGGAATGGGATGGCTGGAAAGATATCTGTGGGCGAGTGGGTCAATTGATGATCATCACATCTGAATCTATTTTTTTCCAGGCAAGTATAAAACGAATGCCATTTAAACCACATTTTCGATTCTTTTCTTTTCTCTTATTCCATGTACTTGTAACAAACAAACAAACCAAACCAAACCAAACCAAACCAAACCAAACCAAACCAAACCGTTATCAAACCCATATTTTTCAAAATGGATCTTTCTTGGTGTATCATCTGCGATCGTCACTGTGTTGAGGAGAATGTAAGTTGTGCTTTATAATAGCGGAACGGTGGTGAGATACTAATAGAATGCGCATCTTTAGTTGTACTGCTCAGAGACATGTCGTATTCAAGATGTTAATCACAAGCATGCCAGTGTTCCCTCAAGTAACAACGTTAGTCCTCTTTGTTCTCCACCAGCATCTCCATTGTTAGATCCTTATTTTTCATCGTTCAACCATGAAAGACGCACTTCCATCACCATCAGCAAGTCCACTCGAGTACATCATGATGCCTTTGGTTACATGAGCCCATCCAGCGTGCCTCGTTACAGCTTGTCGGAATAACTGTTTGTAGATACAAATTATACCCTTATCCAGACTACTACACACTAATAGCATCAGTATTTAATTAACAATCGCAAAAAAATTCAAAACGTACACAAACCCATACACCTACAAAAAAAAACTTGCTTCTTTTTTTTTCCTGCATCTTCAACTAGCATTTATCTTTTTATACAAACAATCAAAACACCCATCTACAAACACACACACACACACACACACACATCTATATAGTTTATGGTTCAACCCGTAAATGATGCTCATAAACAAATCTATTAATATTTCATTGTGATGATTTTGGTTCTGGTTGAAATTTGGGAGGAAACATGATGAAAAAAGAGACACTACATTTGCGTCTCTATTTGACTCTATCCGTACCAAGTTTGATACTATGAATCAATTTCTACTAACTTTATTATTCTTCTATAGGTTGTACTCATAAACATAAACACTAGACGGAGCCAGAGGAGCGATTACGGCAGACTTCCAGGTGCCAATCATGACGATTCTTGGAAGCGAAACCAATTTTGCAACAGTTACAGTAATGCCAATTCTTTGCTAATGTGGAGGACGAGGACATGATGGAATTATTCTCGTCATCTTGAGTGATGGTGCTTGCGAGAGAGATTTGACTGGCTTGACGACTTAGTTTTGAGGAAAAGAATGAGAACAAACGAGAGGAGGAGGACATGATGATGATTTGATTTTAAGGAAAGGAATGGGTTGTTGAGATGAAGAAGCAGGAATGAGTTCCCTCCACTTTGCTCTTTTATATACAACGAAATCAAACGATATTTATAGCCATGTTGATGATCATTAATTTACGAAATGAGTTCTTGCCTCCTTCAAGTATATTAGACACGATCAATGAATCCAACTTTTAGAGAAGAGGGGCCATTAATAAGAAGCATAAAGAAAATGAGTCGAAAACAAGGGTTTTACCACAGTTTTTTTTTTCTAGAACATATGATCTGATCTACTGCACTATATATTGGTTCGTTCGTCATTCATTGTTCTCGGTTTACTCTTTTGTACATTTACGTTTGCGAAAAAAAAAACCAATACATGATTGACTCATTACCAGCAGATGTAGTATTGCACATTTTATCCTTTCTACCATTGTCTTGCCTCTGCCAGCTTGTCAAATCACCACCATTCGCCAAATGCCATCCTTGGATCAAGCAGGAATTGATGAGCCGAATCAAGCGAGACGAGTGGACCCTCTCCTTCTACAGTCCATCTGCCTACTTTGCCATGCTCTGTAACAAGGAAATGATAGCCTCCACTGTACCCGTGGCAACACTGACATGCAAAGGCTATTGCTCACAATCCGAATATCTACGATTTGAAACATGCCATCCTTCAACTTTCCAGCTATCAGATGAGGACATTCAATTTGAAACGATGAGCATCTATTGCTCACATTGGATCAGCATGTTTAAAGAAGATGACACAATCAAACTGCCATGGAGACAAGGCGACCAGACAAAAGAACCGCACAAGGGTATCTGCATACGATACACTTGCCGGTTGGATAATTATCAGAACTGCGCTGCTTGCAACTCTCGCAGTCGATGCCAGAAGCACACATTCACCAATTTGATGCCAACGACGACCACCAAATTATTTCAGATCACATCTGTTCAGGTCTCTCTCAATTGGGTCAGACGAGGGTTTTCATAGCGCCAAATTTCCCAAGCAAGGCTGATGGATAGTTTTGTACCACCCTTTGATTTGTCATTTTCATGTTTGATTTCATACATACAGTGCTTGATTTTTTTTTTCTCAAGCCAACTTTTTTGCTGCTGTGGCACAACACTCCGACATAAACGCGCTGCTTGCCTCACATTTGCTTCAAACATGTTACTCTCAACAAATAGAAATCAATCATCATCATGACTCGGTATGCTTACGGTCAGCTCCCATTTGCTACATGCAATGTCTTAAAATTTTATAAATTGCATATAAACCAACTTGACTTGTTGCTCTTTTTCGTCTGTACACATCATCCCATCATGAGTCTCTACAAGTCTACCAATGCCATCCTATCCAGATCGCTGAGAAATCAGGGAATCAAGCCATCGTTCTTTCTCCAAAGGATTCATACTCAATCGCCTTCTTCCACCCTCATGCCTGCCTTGAAGGAGGAAGCCAGTCAATTACACCAATCAGTCAAGCCTGTGGATGCTCTCCACTCTGCCTATTATAACAATGGTAGACATTCCTATAGCTGTACTTGTGTAGTATCTAACAAACCACTTCTCCAGGCACAGCATTGCCCGCTCACATGCGTCAAAAACTGCATGTCAGAGGCCAAATCCCTTCTACTATCGATTCATTTGAAAATCAAGCCACCCGAGCCTTGAAAATTGTAAGATCCAGACAGACTCAATTGGAAAAGTACACGTTTATGGCACAATTACGCAATAACAATACAAGGTTATTCTATAAATTGATTAATGATCATATTGAGGTGAGTTGCAACCCTTTCTAAAAAAAAAAAAAAAAAAAAAAAAAAAAAAACTGAAATAAACTTAAAAATTACTATGAATAGGAATTCGCCCCTATTATTTACACTCCCACTGTCGGTGAAGCATGTCAAAGATACTCTGATATTTACCCCTTTTTGACCCCACCAGGTATGTGTTTGGGAGAGAGAGAGAATGTGTGTGTGTGTGTGTGTGTGTGTGTGTGTGTGTGTGTGTGTGTGTGTGTGTATGTGGGATCTCCTCAGTTACTAACTCGATACATCAGGAACACCCGATGGCCTTTATCTCACCTTGAAGGATCTCCCTCACTTGGATGAAATCATTGCTGACTATAAACAGAGATCGGGAGAGACACCGGATATTACCGTGATGACAGATGGATCTCGTATTCTGGGCCTCGGCGATCTTGGCTTGAACGGTATGCCTATCAGCATGGGTAAGCTTCAGCTGTATGTTGCTGGTGCAGGTGTTGATCCTCGCAAAACATTGCCCATTGTCCTTGATTTCGGTACCAACAACGAGAAGAACTTGACGGACGAACATTATCTCGGTGTGCGTGAAAAGAGGCCCAACGACAAAGTGTTCTACCATGCTGTGGATCAGGTACTCAAGTCTTTGATTCGTGCTTTTCCTCATCTCTTGGTGCAGTTTGAGGATTTCTCAAGTGAGCATGCGTTTGGCTTGTTAAAAGAGTATCAAAACAAAATGTTGTGTTTCAACGATGATATTCAAGGCACTGGCGCCGTCATCTTATCAGGTCTCATCAACGCGTTTAGAAAGGTGGAAACAGAGTCAAACGTTCCCCTGTCTGATCATCGCATTGTTTTCTACGGCGCTGGATCAGCTGCAATAGGTGTTGCACGACAGATTCAGGAATACTTGGAACTGGAACACGGCTTGACAGAAGAACAGGCTAAGAAGGTCTTTTACATTTGTGACTCAAAGGGCCTTGTCACTGCTGATCGTGGCGACCGTCTTGCGGAACACAAGGTTTACTATGCCAGGCACGACAATCAAGGTAGTCAATACCAATCCCTAGACGACATTATCAACTACGTCAAGCCTACTACTCTGATCGGTCTTTCTTCTTCTACGGGTGCTTTTAGTAAGAGTGTGCTTGAACGCATGAGTCAGATCAATGATCAGCCCATCATATTCCCCCTTTCCAATCCTTCCACAAAGGCCGAATGCACGTTCGAGGATGCTATGAAGGCCACAAACAACAAGGTTGTGTTTGCTTCAGGTACTGCCTTCCCCGCTTATATTGTACCAGAGACAAAGGAGGTGCGCATGCCCGGACAAGGTAACAACATGTACATGTTCCCTGGCTTGGGTTTGGGTAGTATCATTGCTAAACCCGAGTCCATCACGAACCGCATCATTCTTCGCGCTGCTATGGCTTTGGCTGATTCTCTCACTGAACAAGAGCGCGCTAATGGATGGCTCTACCCTGAACTATCTCGTATCCGTGATGTTTCTGCTACCGTCGCATCCGCCGTCGTCGATCAAGCTGTTCGCGATAAGATTTCTACTGTGGAAGAGCTTAAATCTATCAAGCCCAGTGAATACCAAAACTATGTCAAAGAACGCATGTGGACATCCGACTATGAGTAAGCCGACATTCATCCCATTTGCATTTTGCATTGCCTCTCCCCCCCCCCCTCCTCCTCTTTTTCATCAATACAAAATAAAATCATGCATTTACCATTCAATTTCAACTAAATACTAGTGTGTGCATCATGTTTAGCTTGGAATGGCGGGCTGTTTAATCTAACAAGGTAACACCAGCCATATTCCATGAAAATGACAGTAAAAGATGCTCTTCTATGATTTGATGCCTCGTCTACAGTTGCTTGCATTCCAGTGTATTTGACAGACTATACGCAAGATACTCAAAAATGAATTTCATACCCTGCAATGACGAGTGCCCTTCTTTTTTTTTTTTTTTTTTTAAGGTGGGAGGCAAAAAAATAAATAATTTAGTCAAGAGCTACTCCACGTGTTGAAAAGCCTTTAAATGGCTTCAAGATCAAAAATACGACATGATTTAGTGCCTGAATGAGAATGCAGAGATATTTAAAGATGGACAGTTTTATCAATATTAGGAAATTAAGAACGTAGAGTAGTGTATGAAATAAATAAATGTGATGATTTTATAGTCGATGAGAAGGAATAAATACAAATATGATGGTGGAAGCAATAGATAATATCAGTATGAGTGCGAGCCAGAGCCACCCACGCTTGCGATGAATCTTTTTCACTGTTACATCCTGCAAATCAGAGTACACCATAAACTGTATTTCACTAGACACTTCAGTTTAGTAACATATTAAGGAGGGAAAACTGACAAAAAGGAGGGCAAGTCCTGTATCTTACCTCATGCTAACTATACCAAACCACCAAGCAAATTCTGTTGTGCTCGTGAGTAACAGAGACCAACCAAAGAAGAATGGTATCATGGCAAGCCAACGAGTACTGGATTTACCAGCGTCCAAAAAGATCAATGAGAATTCAATGGAGAATGCCAATGTCAGGATAATAACACCTAATGCCAAAAACAAGCGGGAAGTGCCAATGGATATGTTTTTGTGGAGCACATTATCCACAAAAAGTGGATAGTAGAATACATTGAGAATCTCATACACATGAGATCTCGCTGAATCAAACACAATAGGCTCTGGTCTCTCGTTATTCTCGATCAATTCCTCTAGTGCTCGTCTGTGATCGTCTGGCAAATGAATGGTTTGTGCCGCATCCATGATGGGCGAACAATAGGTTCTGTAGATGCGGGTGGCATTCTGTACGAGATCATGTCGACTGAGTGATTTGTTGCCACGAGACGCATAGGCATCGCGGGTAGGTGATCGTGGTGTCAAGGGCTGTGGTGGTAACGGCCTCAACAAATCATCTGTATCTGGTGTCTCCACATACGATACTGACGAAGACATGATGCCACCACCTACTCCATGATGCATATTGGGTTTGTTTTGCTGCTGATCCTTTTCTGCTGCTGATTCCAGAAATCGAGATAGGCGTTGTCTGTTTTGTCTGTCCACGCTCTGTAGATAGGCTCTCCATAGTTTATCATGTGTTTCTAATTCCATCAGAAAGTTGAGGTTCTGGTGAACACGGCGTCTTCGTAGAAACGTAGCAAAATTGGATTGTGTGAGTGGACTGTAAGTGTGTAATCGCATCATTTGATCCAATGTCGGTAATCCATTGACTCGTAGATTGTAGTCTTTGATCTCTTGCCATGCCTCCATGGGAGCTACTGCAAATGGATCTTGAAAACCATATGTTTTATGTCGAAGACTACGATGCGCAGGGGATCGACTTGGCTGTTGAATCATGGATGTACCAGAGAGATAAGGGTTGGTGGTGCTGAATTGTGATTCAGTTGAACCATTCAGCTCATTGAGAGGGATGGCTAGTCCATGGTGCACATGCTTTTCCTCATCCTCTTGCACTTTTCGCACAAGATCGTTTTCTAACGCTGTTTGTAATCCATAAGCGTGGAGTCTACTGTTAGCTTGCCGTATACTCCACTGTCTTTGAAATGATGAAGTGTCATCGGAATGATTGGGATGCATAGATATTGTTGAATGATTGGGATGGAATGACGGCTGATTAGCGTTGCTCATTTATGTATATGGTAGGGAAAGGAAAGGAAAGAAAGGGAAAGAGGGTAAGAAGGATTTTTGGGAAATACACAACATATAACGTTCTACAATATACACTTATGTGTAACATCTAACAACCAAGTTTTTTTTTTTTTTTTTTTTTTTTCTAATAGGGTCATCTTTGCCAGGCTCCTGTAGAGGCCCAAATATCGACCTTTGTCACCCCTTCTTTGGTTTCCGCTCATTCAATATATGCTTTGCTTGGCTTTCCCTCAGTTTTCCTCAAGACAACTTTATAGATTGTATTTGCAATACATCCCATTGTACTATGAAATTGTAATCATCTCTCCATGGTTTACTTGAGTACAGTCTATTCTTTGGCTTGTATAAACCAAGTGTGTGAGTGTAGATTCAGGGGAGATGTCAATTTTCAGCCTGGCTTTGTAAAGCTGAAAAGTTGCTATTGCTATCACAGGAAACCTTTGCAGTAGGGCATTCGTAAGTTTAAAGTACACACTACTGAATAAAGTTCCAAGTATTATGCACGTCAGAGAACACACCAACTTGACATTGGCAATGTTGGATAAAAGAAATCGCATTAAACAAATTACTCGGTTTTAAATTAGCAAAACGCAAAAGAAATCTAAAGTAATCATTCGATAGTCTATCAAAGATGATGCACTTGGTATTTTGTACATTCACCGTTGATCCATAAGTATGTTTGCTAATCACTCAATTCATTGCTGCTTATTCCTGGAAGGTTTATCGTGCTTGTAAGCACAAAACAAAAGCTCATGTAATTACCCTACGCCTTCATCATCATGAGATATAAAAATAGTTGCCATTGATGGTTCAAACTTTGATTAAAAAAGGCTATTCACAACTTGTCTCAGCATGACCTACTAGGCAATGGACGTTAGATATAAGAGTCTGGTCAATCCAAAATCAGTGCAAGCATCTTTGGCTTACTACTACTATATCATTATCAAAATTTTCGAGGGGAAAAAGACCAAGGCTCCCAATCTGTTTCCTTACATACATTTTTACAGTCATGGTTTTGTGCGATATTCATAAAACGGCCCAGTATGGCTTGTAACTGCCAACAGGGGCTATACCTTGGAATCACCGCGCGCTGCTTTTCTCTATTCCGCTTTGTTTCTCTTTTGATTTCTCTTTGAATCTCGAATTGAAATTCGCTTTGAAAGTAGCATGTGCCTATGGCAGATTTCTGCGTAGAAGATGGTGGTGCAATTGGATTCTAGATTGGATGGTAGAGTGTTGTTCAGAAGCGGTTGACTTTTGAAGTAAGGCCCTTTTGAGCAGAGACCTACATATAAAACCTTTTAAAAGCTGTTAATTACAAGCGGTTTACAAGTCATACATTGATGGATCAGATACTGGAAATGTTCTGATGAGAACCGCTTGGCGATAGCTTGTTTCGCTGTAGTGTGGCAAAGGTTGAAAGCTGTGCTGCGCTTTCGAGCAAAAGGGGAGATTGCTTTTTCACGTCTCATATTGATGGTAGAGGCTTCATCTATTATGCGAGGCAGGAAGGTGTAACGAACCCAACATTATAAAAAGAACAGTATTTAGAAGCTACTATTTTTGCTATATTGCCAACTCCACCTGGCTTCTTTATTAATTAAGCTCCACAAAATGAGACATCGTTTGGGCACCTGCTACGATACCTTCTTTCAAATGTTCGTTTTTGAACCCCCAAAATTGGGTTTTTACAGTGCTGTACTACGCTGTCTGCGTGCCCATTCAAATTTTATAGAATCATTATACCTAATACACGTTAAGTTTATTGTAGAGGTAAAAACGTCTATTCTAGCTTAAATACATGGAATGCAGAGGGGATTGCTTCATTGGGGAAGTTCCAGCTGCATTCTTTGTAGAGTGGCTTTCATGGATATCATAAGCATCATCAACGAATCGAGAGCTTTGCTGCATAGCGATTGCAATAGGATGCATGCTATTCTCCAAGTGGTTGCTTGAGGGAGATGTCGACAACGATGTCATGGAAGAAAACGAGGCGGCAGAGGATCTTTTTCTTATTTGCTGCTGTTGTTGATTTGAAAAAGGAGACAGAGCGTTCAAAGCGTGCTGTATCTACAATTACAAAGAGTGGGTATACGCTGTACGTACAATTCATCATATTTACTTACCCTTTTGGATAATCGGCTGACACGGGTGTCAGCAACAATCACTTCCCAAGCAAATTCAACACCAAACACCAGTTTGATTGCATGCGCAACCTTCTTTGCTGTTTGCTCATTCAAATATGTATAGTCATCAATAGGCGACATGGGCATCTTGACAGGATCATTATCCAATACGTTTTGCACAAGTCTCAAGAGCAGCACTTCAATAGCATCTTGATCATCTCGATCAGGCATGGGTGGTGCAAGGATTTCAAATGGTATACTTCTTGCCATCACCTTGTGTTTGCCATGATGATGGTAGCGCATCTCAAAGGTACCTTCACGCCATGGCAACTTGGTCCCACTGAACACGACTGATCCACTTGTCTTGAGGGGTGTATCAGGAGGAAAAACAGCTACTCTCTCGTCGCCTTCTTGCTTGTATTCTACGTTTGTCCAATGCCATTTACCATGAGAGCTTATAGAGGTCGATTTCTTGCTAGGGTTTGCTGTGAGGCGGTAAATACCAATCCAATCCTTGGGTCCATGATAATCAGGCGCGACCCAGTCAACCTTGATGCGCTCGCCAATGGTGAAACTGTTGTTTGCTGCGTCACTGTTACTCGATCTGAAATGTGATAAAGTCAAGCCGTAAGCACCGTTAGTGTTGCCTTCTACCGATTCATCATCGCTGGAAGATGATAAGAATAGATGCGGTTTCTTGTCGACTATACTGTTTTTTTCAGTGAATACTTTTTCTACCTTGGCAATGGTCTCTTTGATTGCACCGTCTAAGCCAACATGAGGTGCTTGCTCAAGGACAAGCTTTGCGATTTCTTGCTGTACACTGACTGGGAGATTCTTGGGGATTGTTCGAGCAGCGTGTCGCAGAGTCTTCGTCAAGCCAGCTTCAGTACGGATTTCGTCACCGTAGAGCTTTTGCATGTGAGGGCGTTCAACAAATTGAAGGAAGAGTACATTAGCAATTTGCGAGAACAGGGCTAATCCAAAGGTATAATGGTTGTATGTAATCAAACTGAAGCCCCAAAACGCAGCATGGCCCATGATCTTCTCTGGGTTATTGAGAAAGCGGTAGATGCCAGTGTATAAGAGGCGAGTGGGATGACCATCCATGAAGAAATCACCATAGAACCAGCCAAAATCGCCCAAAACCTCATAAGTAGAGACAGATGTCCAAATGTGCAAGCAAACAAATGCCTACAGACAGCAACAGTGAATACATATCATAGATTGTCGATTGAAACCTATACGCTTACCAGGCCCAAGGTATGTCGCAGCAATGTAATACCGTATGTCCAGTCGTTTGGCAGCGAGTATAACTTAAGACAGAGTGTGAGGAACGAGACATAAGTCATGCAAGATGACAGATTATAGATACTATCCTGAGCAGTTACTCTCACCGCGCTTTTTTCTTTTCTCTGTAGCTGCTTTGCTTACCTTTTCCAGTTTTGAAATGCTTCATCTACTCCTCCACCCCATTTAACAAAGTGTCTCGTGAAAAACTTGTTTTTAGATTGAACATACAAGAGCCAGCCCAGTCCAGCTGAATGGAACAATCTCCAGAATATCGCTTGTAACACTGCATATATTGTACCCCACTTGCCTTGCACAAGAAATGGTGTAACAGCAGCGTAGACCATGACTAGACCAGATGCTAGATCACTTGATTGACACAAGTCAAAGTTTTTGAAAACTATCAAATCTCGACGAAAGTAGTTGTTGTAGTGGCTTGTTGATAGAGCTGACTTGATCAAATTGGTAGCATCATCATCGAGAGATTCACTGACAACAGGTTGACGTTTGGGTGCTGCAGGAGGATTATACGTCTTTTCAATGTCTATACATGCAGTCAGTGTAAGTGTGCCTGTTGATCAAAAGCGTGTGTTTTCAAGTATACTAACGTGGTGTTTCTACAAGGACCAGGAAAGCCATCTGCAACACATGTGCTATAATGCTGACAAATAAAACAGTGTAGCTTGCGCAGATCAAGGAAATGCCGTAATAGCCAACATAGCCAACAGAGTACATGGGATGAGGAGCCATTTCAAACACGCCATCAAAAGTCAATGACTGCTCGATCAAGAAGAAAAAGTCGCCCCAGTACCAAGCGAAATCCTTGACAACGCGTTGTGCATCCAGCTTAACCCAAATATTAAACACAATCAAAAAGATACCGCCAATCCAGCGCAATTGCTCATCCATGAAGAAGGATGACTGAGGGTTTGTGTTGAACCAAGCAATAGCAAAGCAAACATAGGAGCCAAAATCGTTCATCAAGATCAGATCCACCAATTGGCGAAACAAGAGCCATGTATTGTACTCGATAGGACTGGAATCAAAGTCGTAATCCTGGTGCATTTTCATGGACAGCTGCGTCTTGAGCCATTTTCTCGAGCGAGGGTTTTCAAAGAGATGGTACTTTTTGGCCAATTTGACAAGACCTCGTTTGTCACTTTGGTATTTGAGCAAGATGCCCAATCCAACATTGTAGGCCAGTCTCCAGAACAAGAATAAGCCCAAGAACAGATATTGAGATACCTTGCGAGGAAGAAGGAAAAGCAACGCAATTTCAAAAAAGAGCGTGGCCAACGTCAAAATGTCAAATAGACTCTTGGGTTCCTTGGGATCCATCAAAGACTGCACCATTTCTCTGGTGACAGGTACACGAAACACTAATGCCACACTTGCTTATTAGATCATCTCCCTCCCCCCCTTTCAGGTCATTGCTGCCTAGTAGATACAAACCTGTGCCGTCTGGAGTTTTGCCTTTGGAATGACTATCATCTTTTGCATTATGGATGTCCGTTGATTTGATGCCAGTTGAAGCAGTGGTCGCATTTACAGCTTCAGCTGAACAAGTTTTAAGTTTCCTGTTTCTCAAATTAGTTTCCTCCATTGTTGAAATGAATTGAAAGTCTAATCTAGGGGTTTCTTTTTTTGTTGAAAAAAAGGTTTTAGGGAAAGAAGCAGAATAGAAGCGAGGGTAAATTATAGACTGGTTAAAAAAAATGTTTTTTTTTTTTCTTTTTTTTTTCGATTTATCAACCTAGTAGCGTAATAATAGCAAGTTTGTGGGTTGAATAACGAAATATTCAACCAATCAGAATCAAGTATTGCGTAACGATGACTAAGGAGAGGGGGGGGGGGGAGCTCAGGGATATGCAGCAATGCTCAGTTTCCATCTGGACGTTTCCATTTTGTAAGCAGCTGTGCATTTTCTTTGCTATAGCAACCTGGTACTGGCAATAAGGTTCACGCTCTATTGGCGATTTTTCAATGGATTTCCATTTTCTGTAATGATAGACATCTACAATGGCATATTGAGAAATGGCATCCCACAAATGCAACCACTCGAGGATTTTCTTTAACCTTAATCAAGTGCAACATACTTTGAGAAAGTCGATACAAGTCTTTCTGTAAGATGTGCAATATGCCCAGGTGTCTTTTTTTTATAAAATATATATATTTACGCTACTCCTATCAGAATAGGTCGAGACACTTGATGGGAGACATTAATTTCATCATGACATTTCGGCATGGATGCAACTGCATAATCATGTCGAATCATTATACCCAAGATTCTGGGGTCATTATATTTTTGTAGTTCAACTCCAACTTGCATTGACATCCAACGGGTAGGAAATAGCTTACAGCAGAGAAGCGTTCATCATCATGACATGATGTTGAGATAGGAAAATGCCGTACATGTGCACTTGGCATAAAATAGCAACTGGATAAATAAATAAAAATCTTTTAGCTATCTTATCAATGATGCCTCGATCGCATCTCGCATTTAGGTCCAAATGGCAAGGTTTAGTGCATTTTAATTTAAAAATTTTCATATTGCGGGCAATCCAGGCACACCATGGAAAAACATGTCAGTGCGAGCGAGCATTTAACGGGCGGCTTTATGCTGAGTAGCACAATGTTCATTAGGAGTGGATCACTCACAGTTGAACTAGACTTTCTAAAAAAAGATTTAAAATTTTTACTCATTGTCTGGATTCCGCATGACATATAAAAATGGCCAAAGGAATATCCCTCTTTTTTTTTGTCTATTTTTTTTTTCATTTGATTACAAATACACATGTCTCATCAATTCAAAATACATGTAGAGAACACTACACTAACACTGCAAGGAAGTCCAGAAGAGTCTGTCGGCTGCGTTCTACGGGGATGTCTCTTGTTGAATGTCAAGGAAGCCATCAAGGTCAGATCAATCACTCTGAATCTGTCAGGTAAAATAAAATTGGTCTGGAATGAGCGCAACCATCAGCACAAGAAGGAGTTTACTGTATTGGACCACGACTGGAGCTTCTTATCAAGCCAAAAGAAGCTGCATGTGCTCACTCCCAACGTCTACAAGTACTCGTTTGAATACATCTTCCCTGGCAATCTGCCTGAATCCATTGATTCCCATTCGTACGGCTCTGTGTTATACAAACTGAAGGCAACTGTAGACCGACCAGCATTCTCGCCCAACTTGATTGACCGCCAAACGCTTCGTGTCGTCCGCCATTGTATACCACCTTACCACATGTCGAATCTACCCATGCAAATCTCAAATGAATGGGCCAACAAGATTGACTATCAAATCACAGTACCCAAGAAGATTTTCAGCCGAGGAGAGCAGATCCCAATTGACTTTTCACTCAGGCCCAAGCCCAACTCTGATAGACTCCATGTGCGCTACTTGTCGTACTTTCTCAAGGAGTACACAACCCTTGTGCTAGGTGCCACAGATAGCAACACGCAAACAGAATCGCGAATCGTCCGCTTCTTTAGAGATGAGTCTTTTCCTTCCGAAGGGTTACACTGGAACAAATCAGTAGTCATGACAGTGCCACACTCTTTTGATTCGATACAATGTGATACACACAACCAGTTCTTTCGAATCGAGCACAAGCTGAAATTTACAATGTCCCTGATCAACGGCCGTGGTGAACTCTCTGAATTGCGCGCAACTATACCCGTCGATATCGTAGCCCAAAGAATCGAGCAAGCACAGGAAGAGAACGAATTGCCTACGTATGAAAATGCCTGGAGATCAGCGCCGTATTCTCCCTTGCCCTATCTGGATGCTAATTCACCTCACTCACCCACGGACGATGCATACCCAATCACACCACCACCACCACCACATCAAAGTCATACCGAGAGAACGGATGATTATTTTGGCTACCAACCTCAATTGCAGCAACCACAGCGCACCATTGATACCGTCTGTCATAGCAGTGGTTTGCCTTCCTATTACTCGGTTGTTCTCTCACCACCTTCAGTGATTGATGATAATGATGGCTTACCCTCCTACGATTTTGCCAATTAGACATACTGTATCTTGTAAATAAAAATTTAAGCTTTCTGTACATATTAATCAAGTGCCTGATTTTCCCTTTTGTGTTGCTTGTGTAATCTTTACATGTTTAATTAATTAAAGAAGACCACTGCTGTATGGTGTGTTGGATTAAATGAGTTTGAATCAAAGAAGAAACATACATGTCAAAAACGGCTTAACTGCTCGATTAATCAAGTTGGAGCTATCAGCTGCACTCTCTCATGGTATAGTTTCTTGTTTGTATATATGTATCTATTCGAAGCTTATTAATCAAGCCTCACTTACTAATGGTCACAAGAGCTCTTGAATAGTAAGTGGCATTGAGCATGTACATTTTGGAATATTTGTTACAGACTACAGTAGAGCTGGTGCTACCATTGTGATACATACGCACTTGATGCCTAGATTGATGGTAAAGATAAGTAAGCAAGTTCTTGTTGACGGATATGTCTGCAACACCTTTATATTGTGGTTCCGGACCTGATCCGTTGATAACTCGGATGATCAACGGCTTTTTAAAGCGATAAATAAACAGCAATGAAAGCAATGTTTGTTGGTATATTTAGAGATTTATGCAATTGTTAAGAAAGAAAGATCTAGTAATCTGCTTCTTGAAATGGTGGTGGTCACCTCACTATATTTGTGTATAGTAATTCTGATATCAGACAAACTTACATGGTAAAGGTTTCGATGGAAAGATGAGTTACTGTGCTACTAGTGGCACATGTTACTGTGGCAACAGGAAGCTTACTGGTGGTGATAGTGTGCACAATTCAAATAGGCTTCTTGCCTCCTTTGTTCTTGCCACCGTGCTTGTGGTCTTCATCACCTTCATCATCATCGTCCTTATCATCATCCTTCTCTCCGCCCTTCTTGTTGTGGAAGGATTGCATCTTTTGAACAATACGACTAGCGCCAGTACCACTCTCATTCATTGGGATCAACAGCCATGTTGGAAAGTGCATTCACAGCAAGAGCAGCTTGAATTGATTCCAATGCAACTACGGCAATAAAAGCAAGACTACAGAGACGCATAATGTGTGGCGTGTGTAATGATACAAACAGCAATTCAATGTAATCCAAACTCTTATGTATACAAAAGAAATTCATGTGTGGACCAGATTTCAGTTTATTTACATACTTTTACTCATTAAAATCCAGAATCATTCATCCTCTTAGCCTTCTTTGCTCGATAGGCTTCAATGACCTTTTCTCTCTCATTGTCCAATTGAATACGAGCAGCAGCACTCATATTTTGTATCTTTCTCTTGTGAGATGCCTTGAGCGCCTTCATATTCTCATCTTCCTCTGACTCGTATCCAGTCTCCTTCTTTTCTGCTGTATTCGGTGTTGTAGTAGTAGTCGACGAAGCAATGGCCTTCTTGTTCTTTTGTTCGAGCATCTAAGTACATATTCAGTGACTCTGGTTTGTCTACATGTCTTCCAACCCTATTTACCTCTTTGCCACGCCCGCGTGCCTTGGGTATTTTATTTAAAACAGGTGGTGCATCTGCTACCTCACCAAATTTAACATTGTCCTTCAAGTCGTCAAAATCTCGACCACCGTACATATCCAATTCCTTTTGTAATTTGGCCATCTTCTTTTGCTTTCGAGTCTCTTGATTTCGCTTTTTTCTGTCACTCACTGGCTTGGATTTCTTTTGCACTGTGATCATTTCGCTCTGAAATTCGCTCTCTACTCTTTGAACAAAATCTTTCATTCTCTCACCGGGTTGAATATGGATGTTCTTTTTCTACGTAATTTCGTTTAAAATCACAATATTCCTCGTAATTTGACTAGACACTTACAGTTGCAAGAGCTTCAACATTCTTCTTGGTTTCTTTCTTTTCAACTTGTCGTTTGATGGCCATTTCTTTGAATCTCAATAAACGAGAGAATCCTTTAGGAGTATCTTCGGATGTAGCATCATCCTTGGCAACTGGCATATCCTTTCTATCAAACATTCGAAATCAATGCGATGGGCCTTTAGAATAGAGCACTGCAAGTCAACTTACTCTTGCTGTCTAGCTTTGCGGACACTGGCTTTTGCTCTCTTATGTGGCATGATGAGTTTGTAGTATATGGGATCAATGAAGAAATTAAAGATTCAAGGATTTTTTCCATTTTTAAAAAAAAATGCGCTCTCTTTGGGATCAAGAAATGCAGTCCTTGAAAGCAGTCGTTTAATATCAGGCATAATAAGAATCGTACCTGTTATTCATCAGATCAACACAGGCCATTTTCCATACAGTGTATGATTTTCTTTTATTGGCACATGGATCATCGAGAATATTCGTTTCAAATGGTATGATTTGCAATTCACTGTGTCCAAAACTAACTGCTCAATCTACATGGCATGATTGTTCCTGTATTCCGTGTAGCATCGCATGTGATATGGAACACCTGTGCTTTGTGCCATTGGCACATCTTCGTTTTGATGTATAGGTTGCTTCTTTGCCCATGTTCTCACCATGGGCGGCAAGTATCTGTATTGTGGCGAATCGAATTGGAGCAGCTTATGACAACGTTGGCATGGTGAAACAAACAGATCATGATAGCTTGCAAACCAGTTCTACGTTGCTCAATAAGAATCGCTTCTCCAAACGCGATAACACACTACTTACTAATATATTATACAATGCTTCTCTAGCAAAAAAGACCAGCATGTCCTCAAATGCTGTAGTGGCCAACAGATTCATCTTTTGAAACACCAGGTACTGAGAATCCTGCCATGATTGTTTCTAAAAAAGTATGGCATGAGACATTGTGTAGTCCTAGCGCTATCATTTACCCACCTCTTCCTTCACACTCTTAATGTCGTATTGATGAATCACGAGCGTATCCGATCCTCGTTCGTATTCCAGTTCCAAATCTGCCACTAAAGCCTTGCGTGCGTATATCTATTCTGCCATTAGCCTCTCCCCCCTTTGCATTGTATTTACTTGAATTGAAATGTACCTGAATTCGGCATGTTGATCCACTCAGTGTCTGTTGCTCCTCCTTGATGAAATTAACGAACAGATCAGCATTATCGGTTTTTTTCTCTGTTAGCCATTCATGTATGTTTTTTGTGAAGAAGAGAGGTCTATATGCGCTGTGAGCGGTAATTCTTTAGTGATTGAGATGCTTACTCTGATGGTGTCAAAGTGGATTTTCTTTCAAGCACTACTGAAGACAGCTCTCTATTCCAAAAACCATCAGCTAGATCCACGCCTCATCTTTCTCTCGTCTGAAAGCTTACTTGTACGCATGATGTGCACTTGCTTTTACTATGGACCCCAGCTCTTTTGCTTTCCCTGAATTAGCTTCCTCCTCTCTATATCTAATTTCTTCTTCTGCCGCTTCTTTTTCTGCCTCGCTATCATGAGAGTGATGTTTAGCAAGCTGAATTGATATAGCAAATGCCTCATTCTACCTTTTTATCAGCTCCCAATTGAACTTGTTTTCGTTGGCTGCAATTTGTGCGTGTTCCAGAGCACCTACAGTACGGAATCATTAGAAGTGGCTTTCAGTCATTCGTTCCACAATCAACCAACCTTTGAGATTCTCGCCCTCGGCAGATAATGTATTCAAATCACGTTTCACGCACTTGAGTCTGTCAGAGAATGATTGTACAAAGTTGGGTCCTTTCTGTTCTGCTCGAACTATATCTGTAAAGTGTTTGAGTGAAGAGCGAACTTCTGACACCTGAAAAACGAAATAAATGTGAGCAGGGAATAGATGTTGAATATAGGCATTTACTTGCAGTCAGTAGGGCATGCTCTATGTTGGCAATGTCTTTTTCAATGTCTTTTGGTGATCTTGCAAGAGACATACTTATAAGAAGGAGGGGAAAAAAAAGTGTGCAGTTGGCTAATCCGCGCTTGATGCCAGCTCAAAATACTTCAAATTTTGCAGTGCTCCAAGCTATATTACCTAATGTGGTCTAAAAACACAATGGAATTATTGACATACAAGTGTGTCTACTCTTCAGATGGCTCTCTACCTTCGCTTCGCTTTGGTGAAAAACTTCATATGCAGCGGTAGCTCGCGCTAATTTGATTGCCGTTGCCCATATTATCAAAATATTGCTACTTGTATGTTAGCCCTCCACTGACACATCAGAGCCCTTCTGACCTTTATGCGATGTTCCGCATTCGTACACACGTAGACACTCAATATACAGGCAAGCAGCACACTAGTATAACCTTTTTCTAGTCAATATTGTGCCTAATATAGCAAAATTTGGGCATATTTGATCTGTGTTTTCTCGCGTTACAAGCCGTTTTAGACCATCAGAATAGCACCAAACAATTGCTCACATCTGGCAGTTACTTGCTGACACTATTGCTCAACTTTTTGGGGATCAAAAAAACATGGCAAAAAATTGACCAAAAAGCATGAGGTACCCCTCATGGCTTTCACCAAAAATCAAACGATCGCATTTTTCACCTTGATAGTGAAGACTTTTACTATGGTATATATCAGATCAAAATGTTTCTATCGTTCCAACGTAACTTCTGAAATTATCTTTGTGGGACTTTGATATGTAAAATCTCGACTTTTTTGGGCAGAAACTTCTTTTTATATTTTACCTAATTGCTCAATCATTTCATTCAAAACACCTATTACAATTAACACCATTGGAAGCGCCTTGAAAAGAACTCCAAGAATGTATTAGGCAGCATTTTTTTTTTTTTTTTTTTTTTTTTTTGTAGGGGAGTCGAGCTCCAGGTTTTATTTAAAGTCCTTTAAATGTCATACTGAGGGATAGAAAAGACTGTTGGTGGACCCAATGTCTGCAAAGAAGGGGAATAAGATATTTTTGAACTAAGTTGGGAAAGAAATCTACTACTAATAAGGTGCGACTCCTAGAGCCAGTACAGTCTTGCGGAAATCGTCAAAATATAGATCATGGATAAGAGTACAAAAACACCAAACGAGGACATCAGTACTACGTCAAAAAATCCAAACAACTTGCGTTCACCAGGATTTGAACTGGGGATCCTTCCGTTGGCATACGGGAGTTCTACCACTTCGCCCTACCACCAGGGACAGGTATTAGGCAGCATCGGATGATCACCACAATTTATATAGTCGAATATCAAAAAATAATTCGACCAAGTCGAAAACTGACAAAATTGAACCAATCTTGAGCAGAACAAATTTTTTGAGTTTGAATTAACTTTGCCGCTGTTGGTATCAGCTTGCAAACTCAATGCCCTTTTTAATGATGAAAGCAATACAATAATAGTAGATGCTTTTGAAGCATATAGAAAGCAGACAGTAAATTAAATAGTACTATTGTTAGCCATGCCATTTTCCCTGCATTCTATATTTAATAGCACCAGTTTACCAAAGTACTTGTAAGATCAAACTCTCTCCTTTTTGAGGCTTCATAGGGTGAAAGAACAATAAATTTATTATCGTATGATAGAAAGAGTTTATTAAGGATATAGTTTATAAGTATACGTAGAAAATATATAATATTTAGGGGATATCTACCAAGCCAACTTTCCAAAGAGGCTATTGGGGAACTTGCGGGCAAAGAATTTTCTGCCTTCGTCCATTGCAATAATGAAAGCAGCCCATCCAAATGGAATGAACCAAAACTTGGTGGGGATGGGAGCAGTGCCCAAATAAACGTTAAAGACGGGGACATACAGAACAATAAGTGCAATAGCAAGAGAGCCAACCATGGCAGCGAATAGATACAAGTTTTGATTAGGGCCCCACAATGGATTGGCTTGAGCAATAGAGAGACGTCTAGTTCTGGTAGCGAGGACATTGCCCCATTGACAGATGACTAGATTCACAAAATAAATAGATTGAGCAGTGTTGACCATGTCGGTGATCTCAGCAGCAGTGAAGCCCATGTAACCGTTTGGGTTGGTCAAGTCAGAGAATGACAGGAAAACCTTGCTAGGACCAAGACCGTTCATTCCCAAGTAGAGGAAGAAGAGGAACATAGAGGAGAGCATTTCCATCAAACCAATAAAACCATAAGCATGGAGCAAGAGTTTGCCATTGACCAAACGATCGCTCTTAGGACGGCGAGGAGGACGATCCAACAAACCAGCTTCAGGCTTCTCCATCATAATAGCCATAGAGGGACACAAATCAGTAAATACACAGATAACAATCATCTGGAAAGAAGACATGGTTTGAGGACAACCCAGGAAGATGTTGACAAGCACAGGCCATAATTCTGACCAGGAACCAGCAGGCAGCAAATAAACAATGACCTTTTTGAGGTTATCAAAGACCAAACGACCATTTTCAATGGCTGCTACGATACTAGAGAACTTGTCAAGCAGAATCATATCAGCAGCTTCAATAGCAACATCAGAGCCACCACCCATGGCAACACCAACATTGGCAGCCTTCAGAGAAGGAGCGTCATTGACACCATCACCGGTCATGGCAACTACATTTTCTCGTTTTTGGAATTCCTTGATGATGCGCAACTTTTGGTCAGGCGACGTACGAGCAAAAACAATCTCTTCGTATTGGCACACTTGTTCCCATTGAGCATCGTTGAGTGTAATCATGTCGTTCCCAGACAATACAAGTGATTTGCTGACGCCATTCTCCACTACATCTGACAAGCCCTTGTGGTTGATGGTGCTGTTAGAGTCAGAATTGCCGTATTTCTCAAGATCAGTGGCAGGAGCAGCAACATTGAACTTTTTGGGGACGTATTTGACAACATCGCTGATATTCTTGGTGGGATCCAAATCGTGTACTGTGTGGGGATGCTCAGTAGTAAAGATACCAATCTCACGAGCAATAGCAGCAGCAGTAATAGGGAAATCACCAGTGACCATGAAGAAACGGATGCCGGCCTTTCTACAGATACCAACAGTTTCGGTGCTTTCAGGGCGAGGAGGGTCTACAATGGCAATCATGCCGATAATGACAAGCGATGTGTTCATACTAGCAGCCCATGAAGCAAAGCTTGAAGTTCCGGCTACAGTGTTCTCGGGTGTCTCTTGGGGTTTGATAATACGACGAGTCAGCAGCAATACACGCTTGCCTTCGTTGGCCCATTTGGTTTGCAAATTCAACAAGAGTTCAATACGCTTATCAGTCAAGGCCTCCTCTGTGCCGTCAGCAAGCAAGATACCAGAGCATTTACCCAGGATCACATCAGGAGCGCCTTTGCAGAACAGAACCCAATCGTCTTGAGAAACCAGAGTAGAACCAGTGGAGAGAGCCTCAGCCATGGACTTTTTGAGAGGGCGAGAGATGGACATCATCCACTTGTTCTTGGAGTTGAAGGGGATTTCAAAGATTTTTTCGTTATCAGAGCGAATGGACTCTACTGTGGCCTTGGAAGGATCCAAGCTTTCAGCGAAACGCAGTATGGCACAATCAGTAGCATCACCGAATACAGTACGTTTCGAGATTTCCAAGTGGGAAGTGGCCGCGTCGAAGCTTGCACCGTTACAAAGAGCTGAAGTCAATTGGATCTGTCTTATTTGAGGGATCATATCACCCGTGGCCTTGGTGTTGGAGGAGTAGACCTCTTTACATGTAGTAGAAGTATAGCCTTCAGTGCCGATGCTCGCATCAGAGACAAACATCTTGTTTTCAGTCAAAGTGCCGGTTTTATCAGAACACAGTACGTTGACACTACCCAATGTCTCCACAGTAGTCAATACTTTACACAGCACATTGTTCTTTTGCATACGATGAGCGATCAGAGTAAGGCACAGAGTGACAGCAATAGGCATACCCTCAGGTACAAAAGCAACAATGACACTGATGACAGCAATCAAAGCGTTCGACAGACTGAGAAAGTCAGGATAATCTCTTCTCAACCAAGCTGCCCAGGTGACGATACAGATGACACCCACAGAGATAGACAACACAGCAATGATAACAACAAATCGCAAAATCTCAACTTGAAGCGTGGTGCGAGTATTGGGATCAGAAAGAGACAGGCGAGCGATTTTACCCATTAATGTGTTATCACCAATAGAGACAACCACGCCAACCGCCGATCCATTCAAACAGTGAGTACCCATCATGGCTACATTATGGCTTTCTAACACATTATCGTCTGTAGCATCCACAGTACCAGGAATAGCATCCGACTCACCCGTCAAGACAGAGCGATCAAACTTGAGATCATCCGACACTTGCACCAAACGTAGATCAGCAGGAATTTTGTTACCCATCTTGACGTGAACCACATCACCAGGAACCAGATGGCTGGCATCAATAGTGATAATTTGGCCATCACGCATCACCAAGGTCTGTGTAGGTAACATGTTGTTGATAGAGTTCATGACACGACTCGTAGACCAGTCTTGCCAAGCATTAAAGAAGGCTTGCAAAAAGATGACAAACATGAGGATAACAGCCAGAGCCAAATTAAGAGGAGAGGGATTGGGCTCACCCAAGGGCTTCCAGGAAATATAACAAATGATACTAGCAAACCAGAGCAAACTACAGAAACCGCCAAAGAAATAACTGAAGAACTTCCTGAGCCAGTTACTGGGAGGAGGAGAGATGGCATTTTTACCGTATTCCGCAACACGACTCACTGCTTGTGCTGTATCCAGACCTTGCTCAATGTTGGTTCTGTATTGCTGCGTCAACTCCAACAAGGGGATTTTGTGATAGGAAGCATTTGATAGATCTATCGCATCGGGTATTAATCTCATGCCACCTTCCGCTCAACCCCATCAGTCCATGTACATACCTTCTGCCAAATTCTTTTTTGATTTCTTTGTGGGATTGGCTTTCTTGGCCTGATGTTCCGAAACAGTGATAGACAAAGTTCTATATGCAATGATGGCATGGCTTGCTGAAGAAGGAGTGCGTTTCAAACGTCTTTTCAGATCAGCAGAAGATTCACCATCGGATCTCATAATGTGTTGTTGAGCATCCGAGAATTGGATTGCAGTTGCGGGAGCAGCAGTAGCAGCAGCAGATGGCTTTCCGACTTCATCATCAGTCATTTTGCTATGCAATGTAAAAACAACAAGAGAAAGAGTTGTTAAAAAAAAAGGTGAATTAAATCGCTATCAGAGGTATTTATATGAATTCTCATCTCACAGTCATCATGGAGATAGATGATGTGTGTGTATATATTTAAATACCAGGTTGATGAGCTCTCACCTTTAGCAAATATCGCTCGATACCTCAAATCTATCTCATTTGATTCTGTGGAACCAACAAAAATCCTGCCAATTACCGAGAGAATAAATAGCTCAAACACACACACACACACATGAGTGATATTTATCAAGTGCCATTTGCACACACAAACAGATTGACGTCAATGAATCTTGTTGGTAAAAGACAAGTAGGGCATGTCTCAGCTGCTCCATCTTTTTTTTTCCCTCTTCATAACACATACACACACAGAGAGATACACATAAATGGCTTTACGTATTCAATGTTGGAGGACATGATCAACAAGCTCTTGCTATTTTGAAAAGGAGCTCGGAGAAAAGGCAACTACTCCTTGCTCAAATCGACAAATACACCATGAACAATACGACGGAGATGATGAAGCAAAAATAAACATAATATTGCTAAGATTCCTTAAACTAACTGTCATTTTCCTAAATAGAGCCTGACCAAGCAGTGCCTAGTTAGGTAACAGAGACATAATGAATTAGGTAATCAAGTACTCCAGTCATCTGAAATATTTAGCCCAGTTTCAAAAGGGAATATGTTGCTTCAAATTAGACTATTATCATGTACGTTGCTCATGTATATCTTCTTGCTGCAACAAAGTATTTCCTTTGTAAATTAAACGATAGTTTTTTAATATATTCTTGTTATTAATTGTATAGCATATGTATCAATGGTATCTTGAATATCCCAGTCCATCTCGCATCTTCATGTTAAGTAACCATCCCGTCCAAGTCTGGTAATATCACCAAAAAGTTAGCAGTAGCTAAAACGATCCAATATGAGGAGTTTGGCATCCCCTCTTTGCCCGAGCATACTAGCAACGTATGAACACACAACAACCATCCGACTGCTGGATGAAGTATGATGCCGAAGAAAGCTTTAATTTGATACGTATTTTTGAAATCAAGAACATGTCGTGGCTATTGTTATTATGACCTGGATATTGCAACACAAACAAAGGTCAGATCTGTATCTAATATGAACAAGGTTATATTCAGTGACACTTCTAGCATGATTTTGAAAGCCATATACTTTATAGGAATCGAAAAAATTACGAAAATACTTAATATTCATGGCAAATAAATACTTTGATCCGAGTATATCAAGTATCTTGCGCTATTATTTTGTTTCCTCGAAAAAATACAACGCAACTTGTAGCACCATTATTCCCAAGCATTTTTTTTTTTTTGACGAGCTCATTATCCAGGTATTCCCCAAATATGAAACATCGCGTGTACCCAAATTTTTCAACATCTGGCACGCACATTAGACCATCAATTACTGTTACTATCAAACTTCCATTTCATAATGGACTTTTTGTAGCGTTGTGAGCATCTTTTACTTGTCAGTAATCATATTGGGCTAGCTCCTATGCCTATAAGCTTGAATTCAATGATGGTCGAAAGGAGCTAATAGGTGTGCTCACTGCTTAAATACTATATGTTAATAAATTAGGATGTGGGGACCTGTGGTGACCCCAGCTGGTACAAACCTGAGCTCAAATTTCACACTGTAAAAATGGCAACTTTGTAGAGACTTATCTCGACGAAAACTCAAGTTGCAAACGTTTAAAATAGTGGCAACAGCTCCTCTTGTGAGGCTTTACAACATGCTAGAGTATCAGAGATTTTTTTTTCTAGCTGTATTTTTCGCTTTTTTCTCGATAGCGCATGAAGAACTTATATTAAATAGAATGTCTTTTATGCATCTGATAGGACTCAACAACCTCTATCGATTGAATTTTAAAGCTTGTAAAAATGTTCATTTTTGATGGAGATATCCATGATCACAAATATCCATGCTCTGGAAGCCATTTTGGCCTTGCATCTTGGTCGTCCTTGGAATTTGGAAATCCCAAATTTTGACTTAAAAAATCGAATTACTTGACAGGAAATACAGCTACAGATGCATGTTATATCTCAATCAGTAGCTTGAAATTAGATCTATCAGATAGCAACATTTATTTTAATTTTGCTTTGATAAATAGGTACTTTTGGTCCAAAAACAGCTATTTTACTTCATCAAGTTTTATTCACTGAGAATTAAATTTGTTGCTTTGTAATTAATACCATTCGATGCAGAATTTTGAGCACTACAGAAATTAATTAGCTTACTAGATTGCTTTTGCTATCAACTTTTCAAGTAATTCTGCATCGAAGACTTTGTAAAGAAATTTGGAACAGAAATTCACTTTCGAAATTCAAACCCAGCCGATAGCTTTTAAGTATCGAGTTTCTCAAATCAAACGTGTATTCAAGCACTTTTTGGAAAAATAACGATATAGCCAGACATGTAGAGCAGTAAGAAGTATACGTCAAAAGAACGAAAAGACTTGTATCGCTTTTGGCTGAGTTCCAGCTGTTTAAGCGTCTACTGCAGCTTCAAATCAGGCGGTGATGCTTATCAATGTGGATGCCAATATCCATCGATTCAGATCAACATATTATCGCGATTCATTGTATCTATTCTTCTTATCTACAAAGGCATACATGGTAGAGTAGTATGATACAGCTAAACATCCTCAGTACATTTTCGTCTTGATTCGTGAGCCGTAAATGTTAAACGTGCTTGAGAAAATCAACTTGAAAGGCTGTTCATTTGTGATCCACAAGTAGTGTGGCTTGTGAAATTTTATATTTGAGCTAATTGTCTTTTGATTCCGTGACAGAAAAGTTTTTTTTTTTTTTACGAATTTTTTTTCCATACACAAAAGGGATACTACAGTAATTGAAGGATTTTTTTTTCTCTCTCCTTCCCATTAAATTTTGATACAACATGTCTTTCACTCTTGAAGCTCCTTTGGCCTATAAGATCCTCGATAACTACTTTGAAAACGTTTCCTACGTTAAGGGGTAAATACTTGAGCATTTTACGAGATGATTTGATTATAAAGGCTAATTGTGTATTGTCTGCATTTAATAGTGTCGAAGCCTCCGAAGCTGATAAGTCTGTTTTCAATGCCTTGACTGAAGGTCCCTCTGCTGAGGCCTACCCTCACTTGGCCAGATGGTATGCTCACATTGCTGCTGTCCAAGGTTTGATCACCAAGTAAGTTACACACATGAAACGCGCGCGTTTTGATTGTAAATGTTCAGGATCATTTGTGTTGACATGATGAAACTTTAGGGAAGCCGCTGCTGCCCCCGCTGCCGCTGCCGCTGCTGAGGAAGATGAAGATGATATTGATCTCTTTGGTTCCGATGACGAGGAAGTTGATGAGGAAGCCGAGAAGATCAAGGCTCAACGTATTGCTGAATATAACGCCAAGAAGGCTAACAAGCCCAAGACCATTGCTAAGACCACTGTTACTCTTGAAGTTAAGCCTTGGGATGATGAGACCAACATGGAGGAATTGACCGCTGCTGTCAGAGCTATTGCCATGGACGGTCTCCTCTGGGGTGGTTCTCAACTCGTTGCCATTGGTTACGGTATCAAGAAGCTCCAAATCAACTGTGTTGTTGAGGATGATAAGGTTATGATGGATGATTTGTGTGATGCTATCACTGATTTGGAAGACTACGTTCAATCCGTTGATGTTGCTGCTATGCAAAAGATCTAAGTTGCTTCATAGTAGTTTGTCCAGAGAAAAAGAAATATCAAATAAATCTATCATTTATCATATGAAGTAAGTCTTAATCTTTTTGAGGATTATCAGCATGACAATAAACAAAGCTATCAATTTTCACATGTTAAAAAAAAGCCTTGCTTGTCTGTATTGAAGATATCAAATAACAGGTTCTTTTTTTTTTTTTTTTTTTTTTTTCTTGTTCTATGATTGACCCCTACCCCATTCTTCCTTTCTCCTTTCTCTCTCTCTCTCTCTCTCTCTCTCTCTCTGCCTTTTTTTTTCTTTTTCGTTTTCTTTCAATTTCTCTATTTATCAAGCTTGAAATGCCATTCATCAATACAAATCAACAACCACAGAAAGAGGAAAAATACAGATTTGTGGACGAAATTTTATCTGCGCCTGATTATTATCGTGTGCTTGGAATCAAGAAAGATGCGCCAACGGAGGAAATCAGACGAGCTTACATCAGAGTAAAAACAAATGCATTGATCTTGTAGACAGATGTATTGATGTTTTGAGTGTAGAGAAGCAGAGTGTGTCATCCAGATAAATTTGTACCATCTTACCCTCGAGCAACAGAAAGCTTTCAGAGTAAAAACATGCTTTTGTGGCATTCGGAAAGAAAAGAAATCTAAATCCTCTCTCACTTAGTTCTTTCTATAGCTTATGAAACTCTTAGTAATCCGTCATCCAAACTACTGTATGATGTATCGAAACACAAAGGCACATCAACCACATCTTCTTCATTTGTTTCTTCAGATGATGATAACCCTAACGATACGCTACAGCGAGTATTGCATCAAGTAAATATGAAATTTAGATCTGATCGACTGTTTTATTCATCACCTTTGATTCAATAGCTTTTTAATGAAATGCTGGATGGAGAGTTTCAAACCATGAGAGCATTTATACGTAAATACGCTTATATACATATATAACATCTACAGTAGATCATCTGACAATTGTACAACAACTGTGTGTAGATGCTCTAAATGAAACAAATCCTGGCATGCATATCACAGAGGACGCTATTCTCCAAATTGAATTAGGTTTTCGAAAAATGCGTGAACTATTTCAATGTAAAGTATTATTTGTTTATCGCAAGTTACATGCTGTTTAACATGTTCACGCATAGCAACACATCAATACTACAAAGTCGTACAATTTGAGCTGATGAAATTATATGAACTACAGCATGAATTACGAACACTGTCTTATTTCAGTTTATGGCGACGAATGCAACTGTCGATCACAATATGCAAAGTACTGCTACAGCTGCCTATCATTATCAATGCTGAATCAAAACAGAGACAATTACTGGAGGACAAAGATAGCAGCAGTAAAAAGAAACAAGAACAGCGTGGTGGCATTCTAAATCAAAAGATTGAAAATGCATTGCAGATGGCTGTAGGCTTATTAGAAACGGGCGAGAAATACACCAAGGCCTGGTAATGTGAAAACATCATATCATTTAAATAGAAAAGCAATAAAAACTTGTTCTCATCCTCTGTTACATGTGAAAATCCGTATTACATTCTCTTGGACATGTAATTCTATTCATCCATCTTCATTTCCTGTGCATTTGAACAGGTCCCGTTTAGCAATGTTCAACTCCGAGTGCAATAGAAGAGGGACCAACGCTTGCATCCGCGCTTGCTACATGCCTATGCCATCTACAGTAGAAGCTATTATTGAAAAAAAGCTTAGAATCAAATCTAAATATATTTACGATCCACGATAAAATGGCATAGCACCTCATAGTTGGTATGTGAGATATATCGCAGAAGCACAGACTCACAAAATATTCATTGCTAAAGGACCCAGTGGATTGTCTCAAGATACAGTGCTTAATTCCTTCTCAAATGTTTTCTCATTTTAGGCGTTCCGAGAAAAAGAAAGCTAATACAGATTCCTCTAGTAACACAACATGAAATGCAAATGAATTTGAATATCTGTATACGTCGAACTGGAATCCTTCTATTATGTGTGTAGCTCTGTCCATGCTATGGATTCAGAATTAAAAGGGCTGATAATTCACTTCAAGCGTCTCAAATGCCTAAAATAACCCCTTGATTTCCCTGGTTATCTTAGCCGTTGGAGTGCACGTCATTTTTGTATATTCAGGTGTAATGTTACACTCACAAATACCCCTCTTGTAACAACAAGCGCGAAAAATAGAGGGGAATGGAAGAGGAAAGTGCTTCAAATTGAAGGCTGAAAAGCAAGTCTAGCTGATAGTAGATATTTAGAGCTTGCATTGGGAAGAAAAGAGAGTGAAGCATTCTAGTGATGTTATAAAATTTTTCTGAAGGATAAACCTTGAAGAGTACACAACATGAATGATTGAACTTTGATAATTCAACTCTAAAATCAGCAATGCTCTCCATCATGTTGTAATGATAAAGAAAGGTCATATGATGCTAAAAAAACCATTTAATATTAAAAAGCTTAAATGTCATACAATAGCAATAACATTTATAGTAACAGCATCTACGAACAACATGAAGAAAACAACATGCTCTTGCAGCCAAGCAGCCAGGTTTAGAGTGAACAGCAGGAATAAGGTTTGCTGTTGTATTATATAAAGTTTACACTGTTCAACAGGTTGTCGTACGTTTTTCACTGCCAAAAAATTTCAAAGCCAAATGAAATAGTTTGCAAGAGAGATATGGATCAAAATTTGTGTTATTTATGTTGGACAAGAAAAAAAAAATGAGGTTACCTTTAGGTTATTTTTTTCGACAGGAAACGGCATATAGAATCCAAAAAGTACGGGCACAATGGGTTCAGAAGGATCCCTGAAATATGTGCTGGCCCCTCGCCAATGTGGTTGATTTGACATGGAGCGGATCATTTCCTTTATCAGTGGATGCAAGATATCGCACACCAGATAACCTGTAGTGCTCCACAGCAGGTACAAGAGATTGGGACATTTTAAATGCGGTATCTCAACATTGATCCCCTCTTTGCTACACAATATAATAGAGATTGAAACTTTCATCATATCACGGAAGGTGGGATAAATAGAAGAGAAAAGGGTGTTGGTGTGGGAATATATAATGCTCATGTCAGTTTTCCTTGGCTCCTTTCTTGTGTAGTCGTGCTATCCATCAGCGTCTTTTCGAGCATTCACCATGTTGAAAGGCACAAGCGATGCGATTACGCTAGCAACGCTATTCTACATGTCCATTTTACCTATAAAATGGAATTGATTCCGGTCGGATATTGATGAACCCAATTCAAACTCCCAAAGGAGGCCAAAGAGAGAGGAGATCCCCTCCTCGTACAAAAGCAATTGAACATGTAGGACAATACATTATCGGTGCATGAGAAAAAACAAACGAATACAGTGCCTCAGTATCCATTGGTTCAGGTTAGTTTATAGATCGTATTTTGACGCGAAGCAACTCTAGTAAGCAAACAGTAGCACTTTTTTTTTTTTTTTTTTTTTTTTTTTTTTTTTTTTTTCATTCCAAGCTAATCTCGCCTTCAACCTTAACATTTATAAAGGGGAAGGATTCCATTGCTGTAATCTCATCTCTCTTTTGTTTTCTCTTTTTTCTTATTTAAACAAGCAAACTAACAAAGCCGTAGTAATACTCTACATCTTACACCCATCCACATTCACTTATCTGACCCCATACCAATCCTTTAAATCATACCTTCTTTTATCAACAAAATGAACAAGCTCCACTGGTCTTCCGAATATCTTCATGAGTGCCCCGTATCTCATCAGCAACAATACATGTCTAAAGTAGACCTTGAGCAACAAGCTAGTTTGATGTATCCTGGTAATAAATGGCATCGTTATCTAGCGTATATGCACTCACTCACATCATTATCTTCACAGTGTCACCATTTTATGCTACATCTCCCTCTGCTTCACCTAATAGCGTCATGTATGGTAATGAGCCTTTCATCACCAGCCCATCTTACATGGCACAACATGGTCCCGGAAGCCCAGATTCCTTAATGTCTGGATTTTCTGTAACCCAACCTGTTTATCACCATCCTCAAGTACCACCTCAACTAGTACAATCTTCTTCTAGTTCAACTATTCATTCCACTAGCAGCGCCAGTTCCGCCGCCGCTACAGCCTACTTGAATGAAACGATTGCAAAGGCTTCAGCATTGCCTGAGTCCTTTTATCCTGAATTCCTTCAATACTCCAAGGAATCATTTGAACAATCTGCCTCCAACAGTAACAACAGTAACAGCAAGAAGCGCAGTAGATCAGATGAAGATAAAGGCCAACAACAACAGCAATTCTCCTCTTCCTCCTCCTCTTCTTCCTCCGAGGAAGATGATGATGAAGAAAGACGTCCTGCCCGCAAGCAAAAAGTTGAGTAAGTGTGCCCCTGATCTAGCAAAACCTGTTTTCATGTTTACTGACTGCCGTTATTCAGACAACAACAAGACTCCACATCTACCGTTACTGAATTGAGACGCCAAATCCACATCCAATCCGAGCAAAAACGTAGAGCTCAAATCAAGGATGGTTTTGAGGATTTGCGCACAGAATTACCTGCTTGTTTGAACAAGAAGATGAGCAAAGTTACATTGTTGCACAGAAGTAAGTAGCTTAGCTATACAGTGTATGATTTTCTGTTATTCACCGCCAAATCAACCTAGCTGTCCAACACATCCAACACTTGAAATCTACCCAAATGACTATATTGGCTGAACTCGAGCGTCTTGTTCAAGAGAATGAGCAGCTCAGAAGGTAATTTTCACGCCATTCTGTTATATGATCACATCAACTCACGCTCTTTATAGCTTCCAACAAGGTGTATTACAAAAGCAAGCCCTTGAAAACATGTATTCTATTGGAAACATGTAAATTAAGAGTCAAATTTCTTCTTCTCTCGCATTTATATATACTATATATAATACCAACACATAATACCCTGTTATTTCTCTCTCGCACACACACACACACACACAATCTATAGAAGTCATTTCACCCTTTTTTTGGCATTTTCTCTTATTAATACTTGTATACCCACTTTAAATACACCTTTTCAACCCAAAGCACACAAAAAACCACGCAAAAAAAAAAAAAAAAAAAAAAATACCACGCACTCAAAAGAGACCATTCAAACCAACATTTAGACAATTTCTTCATTTGAAGAAGTTACCTCCCTCCCCCTTCTCCTGTTTCCCCTATCAAATCTTATTATGTAATAGTGTTCTTGTGTTCTTTTAGAACCATAGAAAAAACTATGTATCATTTTAATCTCTTTTATGATAAGTTTTATCGCCCTTTATTTATATGCTCTCCACAACTCCCACTTTTTTTTTTTTTTTAATTCATAATAAAGTTTTTATTCGAAAAACAACAAAAACCGAGGTACCATGTGCGGATGCATGGACGGAGTATGACAACTAAGCCTTGTTTTTGTTCCATTAACATGAAAATTAAGGAGCAGATCTCGATGTACTTATTGATCCGTACTACTCTAATCAAATCACACATTGATGGCGAAGAAAGAGTTGATTTATTATGGATTTTCAAAAGAGATCGTGAGATCGTGTGTGTGTGTGTGCGTGTGTGTGTGAGATACTACAAAGGTATAAGAAAAATAAAAAACATTACATTGGAGAAGGGTAGGGTTGATTAGAATAGGGCTGCTTTAGGAAGAGCTGCTCTTGGGAGCGAGAGTGACACCCAAGACAATGGCAATAATGATGAGAATAACAATGAAAATACCAAAACAGATCCACTTCTTTCTACGAGTAGCCTTGGCAGACGTCTTTGCCTTTTCGACGTATTGAACACCTTGCTCCAAATTACCAGTGGTTTCGTATGCACTTTGTTCAATTGTATCCAGCACCTTGGACTGAGCTTCCAACATTTGCTGCATCTCCTCAAAGAGCACAGACAATTCTTGAACACTTTTGGCTAAACGCTTGATGTCCTCATGACGCTCTTGTACTGCATCTAGAGTATTTTGAGCACCTTGACGTCTATATTCACCGCTGACAGATTGAAGCAATTGTTGAGCAAACACAGCTCCTCCACCTTGCTCTGCACTGGCAATAGCTTGTTGAATTTCTTGAGGTGTGGCATTGGGGTTTGCAATCTTGATTTGTCTTTCCAGCTGTTGTCCCTCTTCCTTTTGAAATTCCAGTGCGACTCGACGATGCTTTTCAATGGCATCCATAAAAGATTTTGTCACAGAGCTGAAGGCGTTCTTTCTCATGGCTAAATCAGTGTGTCGGGCAGTAGGCTCGATTTCCTTGAGCTTTTGTTTCACGTGTGTCATGATGTTTTGAGTCTCACTGGTGAGGTTATCCACCTGCTGTCTGTTTCTTGCAAGCTCTCCAGCATCAGCAGTTTGAAGCATGCTTGACTGGTAGGATCGGATGGTGTTGACATTGTAGTTGATTTGGGAGATACTTTCCTTTACATGAGACACTTCGTCAAGAAATCCTTGGACAGAAGTGATATCGCCAGTAGTAGACAAAAGCGGACGCATCTCATATCCACCACCTGGATTACCTGCATTTTGGCCAGGATTGCCGCTGTTGTTGCGGGGATCTCTTTGAAGCTCGGCAAGTCTGTTAACACTCATTTGATGAAAGCAAAAATGTTCAAGAAAAGTAAGAAGAAAAAAAAAAAAAAAAAAAAAAGGAAAAAGAGAGAGAAGAAAAAATTGATAATATATAAACAAATATCGGGGTTGCTTCAAAGATGATCTATTTATACTCTTGAGTATAAATTAAACGAGTACAGCTCCAAAAGGAAAGAGGGCAAAACAGGGGCTCAGCTTAATTCGAGCTTAATGATGCTATTCTTGTCTGGATATCCAATCATCTCGCGAAGCCCCACCAAAAGCTATGGATATGTGTATAAAAGCCAAGCATTTTGATCTACGCGCGAATGGTCCATTTCTATTCTTTACTTATCTTTGAAGGAATAGGATTTGAACTACTCATCACTGCCTTTATCCTTGGCAAAATAGTAGCTAATACTACTCGAGTGGTATGTCCAACAAGACGCTTGTGTTCCAATCCATCATATGATTTCGTACAAAGACCAAAGATGGATCCAATGCAAAATTCAAGAGCTCTCGGCATTAATTGTACAGTTTGGCGCACAGTCAAGAAGGAGCATATTGCCTCTCTTGACGTGCAAGAATGACTATCTTGACAAGATGACGAGAATAAAATAAATGTGCAGCACCTATACTGCCTCTTTTATACACCCATTATAAAAGCATTTCATTCCATCGCAAATGTCAAATAGTCTTGATCAATACTGAGCCGCATCAGATCATCGCCAGCCATATGAGAACCAAATTGAAAAGCGACACAACGTTCTTCCTATGTAATACTATCATGAAACGATGCAGCAGATGGAACGACTATGTAAACTTTATATGTTCAGATAGATATACTCAATGATTGTGAATAGTCTCCTTTACCACTCTCGATATTCCTCAATGCCACTCAATTTCACCCCAACTCCATTTGGTGCTGCGAAAGCTCGCTACTTTACTGCAATATTTACTCGGTATGATGACTACAGAGGTTCATTGAAGGATGCCGAGACAGCGATGGAATGATTTATTATTTTCTATTTACAACATTTTTAAAATGCATTCAATTTTCTACAGAGGTATATCTTTTTTTTTTTTTTTTTTGTCTAACCCAAAAATGATTTATATACCACATTGTCTGTCTCTTCAATGTATTGATAGCCAAGTCTCACCAGATACTCGTTGAACTGCTCTGATTCCTCAGGAGGCACTTGAACACCCAAGAAGACTTTACCCATGTCGTCGCCATGGTTACGGTAATGGAACAAGGAAACATTCCAAGTAGAATCTAATCCTTCCAAGAATCGGGTCAATGCGCCGGGACGTTCAGGGAATATGAATCTGAACACACGTTCATTGACAGGTCGACTACCACCGACCATATAACGCGCATGACATTTGGCCAGCTCATTGTCGCTCACATCAATACCACGAAACCCCTCTGCACTCCATCCGTCCAAGATTTCCTTGACCTCAGTCTCCAGATTCTTGACCTTGAATGAGATGTAAATGTGAGCTTCATTAGGATCCGAGAAGCGATACGAAAACTCGGTAACAGCACGGGGGTGCACTTTACTCATCATCTTCATAAAGCTGCCTGGTCTCTCGGGAATGATAACTGTACAGAAAGCCTCCGTCTTTTCACCCAATTCGGCTCTTTCGGCAATAAATCGAAGACGATCAAAGTTGACATTGGCGCCAGAAACAATGGCTACATGGACATCATCTTTAGCTTCGGGATGAGCGTGGAGGTATTTCTTGATAGCAGCTAACGCAAGAGCACCTGTAGGCTCACAGACAGATCGAGTATCTATGGAGCAAAATTTGGTTAGAAACGGAAACTACGCACCATGGCAATAGCATGATTTACCTTCGAATACGTCCTTGATAGCAGCACACACTTCGTCATTATTCACAAGCACAACATCGTCAATGAAGCTAGTGACCAAACGATAGTTTTCTTTACCAACCATACGTACAGCAGCACCATCAGCAAATAGACCCACTTCATTGAGCAACACACGGTCTCCGGCCTTCAAACTTTGCTTCATGGCACAAGCGTCATGCGTTTCCACGCCAATGATTTTGATGTGAGGAGCAATGCGCTTGACATAGCTACCGATACCGGCGATCAAACCACCACCGCCGATGGGGATGAAGATGGTAGAGATCTTACTTACATCATGTTGTCTCAGGATTTCCATACCAATGGTGCCCTGGCCAGCAATTACGTAAGGATCGTCAAAGGGGGGAATATCCAGCAGGCCCTCTTCAGCAGTCAGTCTAGCGCACTCCTTCTTGGCCTCGTCAAAATCATTTCCAAACAAAACGACCTCAGCACCAAGTCTTGCTACATTTCGCCACTGTACAATCCACATGTCAGGCTTTGGCTGAGTCCAATGTCATTACAACTAACTTACTTTAATGGCAGGAGTGGGCACAGGCATAACAATCTTGGCCTTGATGCCTAGTTTCTGAGCTGAGATGGCAACCCCCTGAGCATGATTACCTATCAATGGGATTTTAGATCCAATGAATCAACGCTAAAAATCGAGAAAAAAATACAAACCAGCAGAGCAAGCAATGACACCTCGCTTCTTTTCCTCGTCCGTCAGGTGAGCCAAACGATTGTAAGCACCGCGAATCTTGAAAGAAAATACAGGCTGCAAATCCTCACGCTTGAGGTAGATCTTGGACCCGATTTTTGCATTAAGGTTAACAGCTTCTTGGAGTGGAGTTTCTTTTACAATGTCATAGACACGAGCTGTCAAGATCATGCGCAAATAGTCAGGATGTTCAGGAGCTTCAGGCTCATTGCCCGTATTGAGAGCAGGGGAAGTGTTGGTGGTAGTTGAGAATCTCATTGTAATGAAAGAGAAGAGAAAGATGGAAGATGTCGGTATACAATTGGGTTTTCTATCCTGTCTTTATATGTTCAACTGCGTTTCAATTGTCAAAAGCCATTGGCTACATCGCAACGCTTCTTATTCCAAATGACTCAGTCAGATCCAGTTACTTTTATTGGTTACATTGGGCATTTTATGGATAGTTTTATCATGAGTCAATCATTTCAGGATAGGAATCTTCGCTATGCAGTGACTTGATGTTTCAATGGGTTGGTATTAGTAGTAGTATGCTTTGATTTACGCTTCCATTCGACCACTGCAGACGATGATGATGCATCAGGTCTCTGGATTTTGGGTGCAGCTGCAATTGACTCAATCATATTACTCGATGTTGCACTGTTGAGGTGGATCTCAAATCTACCCTTCTTGATAAAAGTGTCCTGATTTAAAGCCATGTTGTACTGACTATTGCGTTTTAATTCATGCAAAATGGGTGGTGGCTCTATGGTGCTGTTGCTGGATGTAGGTGGTGTTGGCTTGGCTGGTGATCGTGATATCTCGGATACCTCCTCCTCACCTGGTCTCTGCCAGAAATCCTGATCCCAAATCTGGGGCTCTTGCTCAAACATGCTGGCACTGTACTCTTCTACATCGTCGTCCTCGTCGTCATCGTCCATCATGATTTCGCTCCTGTTATGTACATTGTTATTGTCGCTATTTCTGGTGATTCTACTCGAAGTGATGATCAAGGATGGAATGTCGTTTTCTTCATCGCCACAAAATGTACATATTTTTCTCCTCGTCAGCGAGTATTCATTGTCGTGTTCAAAATCATGGTCGTCATCTTCAGATAGAATTCTAATTCCTGCGATATCTGCAAATTCTTTGGCCGTTAAATCTTCTGAATTCACAGTAATGTTGGAAGCAGAAATGCATGAGACATGCGAATAGTGTCGAATATGGCTGGCCTTCTTTCTCCTTGTGGTTGCTGTGATGGCAGACTGTGTGCTCTGTGTGTGTCGGTGGTGATATCTTGGCATCTGAGGATTTGTATTGAACAAGGAAGCGTTGGGCGAGTTACGCTTCATAAGGATGCCAGTAGTGTTGTGAATGGGCAGTGATGAGGTATGCTCCTTTTGTATCAGACTTGCGTTGTTTGTCTTTTTCTGCTGCTTATACCGGTTTTGTTCAAACCATGCGTCATTGGCAAATGGATGTGGCTCATCTGGCTCTTCTGTCGATCGAAAATAGTCAATGATGGCGCTCAATGAAGATCTTCGATGCGTGGTGTCTGATATGCTACTACCATTGAACTGCTTTCTCTTTTTGTTGCTCTGAAATGAACTGGCAAGCCTGCTGATAATGGCATTTAGCTTGGACTCCTTCTTGGATGAAGCACTGGCAGAGCGATTTCTCTTTAGCGAAAGAGCAGAGAAGGTGTTTGCCATGAAATAGTCGTAAAGATAAGCCAAGAGAAAGAGAGAGAGAGATGTAAAAGAAAGAGTGAAAGGAGAAGTCAAGAACAGCCTTTATATATAAGGAGAAGAAGAGGAGAAAAGGATCTTGCAAAGAATATGCAGAAAAAGACTATTTTACAAGCCAAAAACGCAACATGTTTGTTATTTATTGACAATGACAAACTAATGGTGTGTCTTTTTTTTTGAATACACGCTATGCCACCAAATGCTCTTGGAAGCTATCACGCTGCAACAGACATGTACAGCCAATCCCGCATGACAGCTACTTTTATTCAAAATCCTGGGCTTTCGTATCCTTGTCCATTTTAGTGAAATGTTCATGCAACTCGTTTTTGATAGGGGATCAGATTAATATCGAGAGCGAATGGACCAAAAAAAAGGGGGGGGGTGGGGGAGATGTGTCTAATATATGATTCATCATATCAGACGGGCGATATGTGAGAAAAAGGAAATAATTTCATAGAGATACAACACCATGTAGACCGATAGCTATGTATTGCAATAATCATGCATTTCGATTATGAAAAAGGGAAGGGTCTAGGTCGTTGTGTGTGGATTCAATCCTTTCAGCATGTCAGAGAGAGGCCCTTCCCGTTATGACTAATACATTACCCCCCCTTTAAAAGAGTAATAATAACGTGCTGCTTTTTATTGAGCTCTCATTGTCTTGCCCTTATAGTATGGTATATTAATGCATGTGAATGCTTCCAATTACTACATACAGTCATTATCGTGTCCATACGTCAATGTATCAAGCACATCCACTTTTTCTTACTCAAAGAGCCATCATCACGTGGCAAAGATTGGTTACTATTACTACTGCTGCCATCAGTTGGTTAAACAAGACCTTCTAGAGCAAACTTGAATATCCATCAATATTTTAAGAAGCCCATGAATGCGTCTCCCTTCTTTTCTTGGCCATGACAATGAAAGCTCTGTGTCCTCCTTTAAAAGAGCAATTAATGTACTATAAATAAGTTTGAGGAGACACATTGTCTTTTGGTAGAATACAATTGAAACGGTTTAGATGTTATTCGGAGCCTTTTTGGATTGACCCTTACATTTAGAAACATACGCCCGCTAAGCATGCACTTTTTACATGCAAGCTTAGTATGATGATTTGTGTGTTTCTATATAAATAACAGTATTCATAAGATTGCGGTAAGATGATCCAAGCAATAATGTATATCATATGTTGTGTAATACTGTGTATTGTGCTTGATTGTGTACGCGCTATTCTTGGAAATTTACGGCGCAAATTTTATTGGGAATGCTATTGCCGGGTAAAGAACAAGATCATTCTAAACCTTCTTTCAGCATTACACATGCTTTCGTAACTGAGCATATGGTTTGCCCTTGTATTAAATAATGTATATAATTAATAGCACATATACATTTTGATTGTGTCTACCCTATTTCTTGAAAACTTGATAGCTTTCCATTGAAGCCTATTTTATTTTTCCATTGATATCCGTGCATTCGCCTATTCCTTCTTGATCTTATCGAAAGCTCTTGTAAATTTAGAGTCGTTATTTAAGAATAAAAGCAGGCAAGCTTTGCACAGGCATTTTATAATTAAGCATGATTACTACATGATTTGTTTGAATATGCATCTACTCTCGAGTTGCTGTATGTAAGAGATTGATCTTGTTTAAATTAAATGCCGATGCTGTATTGTAAATGTCAAAAGCTGTTCATGAATTAAGCGCCTCGCATCCAATATCATATTATAATAAATGTTCAGTCCCTAGACACTTTTACAACCATAATATGGAAATTGAGTCTCCAGGTGGCTCATATACGATTAACCAGCCCCACCAGCCAGAATTAATTCAAACCCAGAATCATAGTTGTATTGTTCAGGAATAAAGGGACCACTATAATATGTAGGAAGAAGAAAGACTGACGTTTATTGATGTGGATGCTTGGATCTTTATACCATTGATATGGTGTTACACGACATCCCACCGCTGTGATAAGATATAGAATTTAAATAAGGACTATGATATAAATGTATGAATGAAAATCGCGTTAAAAAACCTAATATAGGAAAAAGCTTGATGATAGGTAGAAGTTGATCAGTGAGATGGTTTCAGAAAAGACACATGGGTGTTTTTGTGTTTTGACCTGTGGCATCATTGATTACATCGTATCTTGTGGTGGACAGGACCTTCTGTATTGTGCAAGGACCTATCCAATCTACTTGTAGTTTTCTTGGATTGTTGCGAGTGGAAATACGATTGTTGAAAATGTATACTTTGTCATTGATTTCAAATTGTGGTGTTAGTTTTTGATTATCATATATTTTCTCCAAATGTTTGTGTACATGTTCAAATGTAACTTGAAGCTTGATTTGTAACTGTTTCGCGAAGTGTGATTCCGGGGTGTCTTGTTCATTGTATGAATCCGGTAATTTCTCTGGTATTATCGTTGATAATGGTGTGCGTGCTGTGCGCCCGTGGACCAACTCAAATGGGGACGTCTTGATAGAATGGTGATACATATTGTTGTATACAAATCGAATTATCCTCAAGTTGCTGCTCCATCTTGTAGAAATCTGGTTGATATCCGTGTATGATAAAATCATTGTTCGTAGTGTTTTCATGAATCGTTCCACTATCCCGTTGGATGATGGATGATACGGCGGTGTGTATACGATGTTGATGTCTACATATCTTGCTACTTGCTGGGTGAATTGTGATCCAAGGCTGTTTCCGTTATCACACATGATCTCGTTGGGAACGCCATGTCGCAATATAAACTGAGTGTACATGATGGAAGCCAATTCTTGAGATGCTGTAGACCTGGTAGGATATAGTTCTACGTATTTTGTGAATGTGTCTATAACCACCAACACGTATTGATGTCCCGCGCTTGACGTTGGCAGAGGACCAAAGTAGTCGATTGCGACCTTGATGAACGGAGCTGTTCCATGGGTAGTGGTCATATTATGCTTAGTAGCAACATGTCCCTTGATTCTTTGACAAATTTGACACTTCTGAATATAGGCATTGATATCATGAGTCATGTTGGTCCAGTACAAGTGCGCTTTTACCAAGGAAGCCTTGGTCTTGGCGATACCGCCATGTCCTGCAAACTTGGAGTCATGATGTTTGCTGATCAGATTCGCTACCAGATGGCTAGGTACCATTATGTACATGTCTGTGGCTATGGTCTTGTGCTGTTTGTTTTCTACCTTGTATAGTATGCCATCGACGACTTTATGCTTGGAGTACTTGACATTCGTGTTGTTAAAGTATGGTCGTAACATGGGATCCAGTCTTTGTTCCTTGGCCCAATCGATGTCCGGATGATGAGAGACAATTGCATGAATCGCAGCACGAGATAGTGTATCCGCAGCATGGTTCACCTTTCCAGGTATGTATATAACCTTGAAATCATAAGCCTGTAGAAAGAGGCACCATCGCCAAAGTCTGGGTTGTTTGTCCGCATCGGTATTAAGAAGCCACTGGAGGGATGAATGGTCAGTGAATACGGTAAATTGGTTGCATTCAAGATACATTCTAAATTTCTTAACCCCAAAGATGATGGCTAAAGCTTCCAATTCACGGATGGAGTAGTTTTTTTCAAACTTGGTGACACTGCGGGATGCGAAGGAGAGAGGGTAAGGTGTGTCATCGTACCGTTGGCAGAGTATGACAGCAATGCCTGCTGAGGTGGCAGCATCGCAATGAAGCTCGAATGGAAGTTTGAAATTGGGTTGTTTCAAGTAAGGTAATGCAGCGAGAGACCTTTTGAGTTCTTGAAACGCGTGCTCCTGTTCGGATTCCCAAGCGAATGGTACATCTTTGATCTTCAAGCGTCGAATTGGTTCCACCATTACTTGATACTTGGATATAAACTTGGAATACACTCCTGCCATGCCGAGTAACCTTTCAACCTCTTTTATATTTGTGGGAGCCCGTAGATTAGTGATAGGTGTAACTTTATCCATGTCAGCATGGACACCCTGATCAGAGACAATGAAACCTAAGAAATTGATTTGATTTAGCCCAAATTGGCACTTTTCAATGTTGATGGTCAAATTGGCTTCCCTCAGTCTCGTTAGGAGTTTGCGTAACTGGAGCACATGATTGTCAAAGGTATCAGAGAACAGTATGGTGTCGTCTTGATAAGCGATAGCAGTTCTGTATCTCATGTCCCCGAGTACCTGATCCATTAATAATTGAAAGTGTGCTGGGGCATTTTTCATCCCCATGGCCATCGTGTTAAAAACATATGTAGAGTTAGGTGTTACCAGGGCACTCTTGGGCTTGTCAGCAGCAGCAATGGGAATTTGAAAATAGCCTGACAGGAGATCTATTTTTGAAAAATATTTTGCGTTGCCCAGAGACTGCAGTGCATGATGGAGGTTGATAAACGGATACTTGATAGTCTTTGTGATCGCATTTAGTTTGACGTAGTTTCCGCATATGCGAAGAGAGCCGTTTGGCTTAGGGACCGCTGTTACTGGGAAGCCCCAATCCGTGAAGTTGACTTTGCTGACAATTCCATTGCGTTCCAGTTCAGAGAGCTTGGCGTCGATCTTCGATTGTATGTCAGGATGGTAATGTCTTGGTCGAATGTAAATGGGAGGATGGTCTCCCGTGTCGATGGTGAATTCCATTTTGGTAGTAACTGAGGGCTTGTCCGAGTCTTTGCGTAATAATTCTTTGAACTCTTGTAATACATCTTGTATCCGAGCATCTTGGGAATCGGTTAATTGGATGTTACAACGCCTCGTAGCCGTGGTCTCGTAATGTAAGTTTATAAGATGATTGTCAGTTTGTAGTGTGAACATTTTGAGTTTAGTATTCATATTGACCTGAAATCTGCACATGAAATCCCAGCCGATGATAGCCTGACGAGCCAAACCGCGTATACCATGAAATTTCGTTTCGTAACCAAAAAGATTCAATTTAGTAATACCCATCGTTTGTGCTGTACGATTGTTCACGTCTGTGTAACTGATGATCTGATTGTTGTCTATTGTCAACTGCAGTGTAACGCATGTGTCATAATCCATGGCAGTGATAGCAGAACCTGTGTCCCATAATGCATGAATAGTGTGATCTCCAATGACGATTTTAGTTGTGGGAGTGAAACTGTCATGTTGAGTGGTTCGAATAGCATGCATGGAAGTAGCACGAATGTGATTAAGAGGAACCGGGGACCCCAATTCCATTAATCCTGAGTCATCCTCTGGGTGTTCAATAGTGTCTGTCTGATGCACAGAGGATGCCTGTGTGGGACATTCGTAATTTCGATGTTCGCCGAAGCAGTGACCGCAGACAGGATGTCCTTGTTTGTTGTATAATCGAGGTACAGGATCCGGAGGAAATCGTGAACGAGGTTTGGAATTGAATGACTTTTTGCTATTTCTGAATGGTCTTTTAGTACTTTTGTCTTTGTACGAGTTTGAGCTATTAACATAATCAACTTCCATTGGGTCATCCATCGTGGATTGAGTGTGGGATCCCGAAAAGTGTGCTTGTTCATCAGTATTATCATTGAGCCTAGCCTTGTGTTCAAAATCGATGGCCTTCGTGATAACTTCTTGCACCGTTGTGACCTTAGCGAGTTCTACATACGCTGTTAATGTAGCACGTAATCCTCTGTCGTGTAGCGATTGAGTAAATAAAGATATTTGATGAGCATCCGAGATATGATTATCCGGCAGCAGACTTAGCAAATGTTTCCATTTAGCACTATGTAGTTTGATGGACTCCTGCTTGGGTTGTTGACATCGCTTCAAATTGGACTTGAACTCTCGATATTCCTCGTCGGCAGGACGACCAAATTGTAACAGCATTTGTTCAGTTACGTTGGCCCAGTTTTGTCTGACTGAGGAAGGTAAGGTAGGTAACCAGTTTTTGATGACGGGAGGCATGAAGCGACCTAGTTGGACGGTACAGATATCCATGTTTTCAATGCCTACGAAATTTGCCTGTAATTCAAATTCTTTGATGTAGGTACGTAAGCTAGAATGCAATTCATACCGTGGCATGTCAATAGACTTGACCTTTTCAAGGTTCATGTATTGGATGAACTCCTTGGTGTTGGAATCGGCCATGTTAACGGACTGTGGGGTGGTGTGATAAGATGATGTGATAGACGAGGTACTGTTTGTTGTGGTGTAAACCTTTCGAAGGGATGCGATAAATTTTACTTGCTGCGTGAAGTAGTTTTTTGGTTCTGTTGTTCGGGCCTGTTTGCGAGTAGGTGATTGCAGCTGTGTGCTGGAGCGATGTTTTGTGATCTTGCGATATGTGTGATCTTGCGATATGTGTGATTTGGTGTAGTCGAGTGTGAGCCTTTGATATATCTAGTGGTTTCCGGGTTCGAGAATTCAGTTAGGGAGCCTCACCATGTATTGTTCAGGAATAAAGGGACCACTATAATATGTAGGAAGAAGAAAGACTGACGTTTATTGATGTGGATGCTTGGATCTTTATACCATTGATATGGTGTTACACGACATAGTTTGCTTCCAGATTGGCCAAATCTTGACAATTTTCGATTCGATTGATATACTTTTGCAGATTCGACTAATTCAAATATGATAATCATCTCATGCTTCTTTAATCTTTCTTAGAGTACTTTTCAAGGCGCATACAATGGTGCCAAGTAAGGTAGATGTTTTGAATAAACTTATTGAGTAATTTATAAAATATGAAATGAAATTTTTGGTCAAAATGTCGAAATTTTGCATATGAAAACCTCACAAAAGTGGTTTCAGAGGTTGCTTCAGATCGAGAGAAACATTTCGAATTATTACATACCTTAGCAAAAGTCTTCATTTTCAAGGTGAAAAACGCGATCGTTTGATTTTGGATGAAAACCATGAGGGGTACCTCATGCTTTTTGGTTGATTTTTTGGTCATTTTTTTTGGGTCTCCAAAAAGTTGAGCAAAGGTGTCAGGAAGTTGCTGCTACTTGAATACAGTTGTTTGGCATCATTCCGGTGGCCCAGAAAGGTCGACATATCACGATATGAAAGCTTGAAATCTGCCAAAGTTGACTGTGCCTTATACAACTGCTCGTCAATAGACGCGTTTTTGTTATGATACAAAGGCGGAAAGACACTGCAATCATAAATCTAGATGGAGAGCATGCTGCTACATCCAAATATTCAGAGTGGAGATATTAGGTTGAATGGCCCTGTTGTATCGTAGTATCATAGCACAATGATGCAGTGTATTAGTGAGTGATGGCGGCTGTAAGGCACGCTAAACATTTTAGACGCAATAGATAGACTGCATCCAGTACAGTAGATGCTGTAAACATATACTTTACAATGTGGTCTCATGGAAACCTCTAGCGCAGATCAAGACTATTATGCAATTCGTTTGACTTGAAAAGATCAGATCTCTTCTTAGATCAACATCATTCAATACAATTGTGCCTCCAAAAAAATTAGTTGACAGATCAAATCTTTCAAACCAAATGCCATCTACTACTATTTCATTTCACATGTGGGTTTTTATTTTGTTTCCAAAACTTTTCTTTGGTGATAAAATATCAAAACGAAAAAAAAAAAGAAAAAATGCATCATAATATATTTTGTGTAGGTAAAATAAAACAAAAAAAAAAGAGAGAAAACGAGGTAGGAGGGAGTGAGTTGTTGTATGGGAAATAATAATAAAGGAAATGCTGAAAAAATTATAAAACTACATTACAAGAGAGAAGTGCTTATTTCTTGCCCTTGTTGTTGGGAGGACTAGGTTTTGTCACCTTGCCACCTTTACTGCGTTTACCACCTTCAAAACCAGGACGAGCCTTCTTGGCAGCAGGCTTCATCTTGATGCCTCTCTTTTTGTTCTTCTTTTCCTCAATCTTTGCTTTGATGTTCTCCTCTCTCTTCTTGATGTGCTTCTTTTCATCGTATTTGACCTTTTCGATACGCTTATTCCACTCTTGACCGCTCTTTGTCTTAAGCTTCTCTTGTCTCTTGATGGTCTTCTTTAATAATTTAGCGTCGTCCTTGGGCTTCTCACCGGTAGCCAAGGCGATCACCTTGTTCCATTCGTCCTTTTCAATCAACTCATCTGCCTTGGATTTGTTCTCCTCCTTTAACTTTTCAAGCTTCTCCTTCTTTGCTTCTAACATCTTGAGTTGTGTTTTGGCATCGGAAGGTCCCTTTTTCTTCTTTTGATCTTTTGCACCAACAGCGAGCTTACCAAAGAACACATCGCCATCCATCTTGATAGAATCAGCAGAGGGACGGGTTTTGTCAGCAGGAGTCTACGTGTATTGCATGAATAACAGAATCGAATGTCAACATGGGATGCCCACTGTACCTTTCTATCATCGAATTTGACAAGCTCCTCGGATGCAGCTTTACCGCCCTTCTCCTTTTGTGCCTTTATTGCCTTCTTTCTGTCCTCCTTCTTTTTGTTTCTGGCTGCCAGAATGTCTTCACGGCTTCTAGGATTAGCAGTATTGGCGCCAGGCGCATTACGCTTTTGACGCAGTTGGTTGATACGCTCATTGAGGCGATTGCGAAGCTGGGTAATATCGCTCTTTTCCATAGGTTGAACGTTTACTGCCGAGAAAGTGTTAACACATTTACATACTGACAGTTGTCCAATGTCATCATGTCTTACCAGGTTCTTGGGAGGTGGTGGATTCAGTCGTGATTGATTCATTGTCATCGAGTCCACTGAATGCACCTGAATCAATGTCCATCTTTTCCTCTGGTGCTTCATCATCATCGCCGTCCTCGCTCTCATTGTCGTCGTCCTCATCAGCAGATTCGACTTCAGATTCATTCTCTTCTTGCTCAGCAAGCTGCTTTGCTTTTTCTTGTTGCACTTCTGCTATCGATTTGGCATTGCTAGGATCCAGCTTTGCCTTTTTGGCCTTCTTGGTGGCCTCTTTGATAGCTTGCTTGGGTGCCTTCTTACGCTTATTATGCTGGAATTTGCCGTTGGCTTCTTCGCTCTTATCCATCACATAGAACTTGGCGGGTATAAGCTTCAATAAATCGTCAAAGATCTGGACATCGTGCATAAGACGATCAGACAATGAATCGATAATGTGATTTTGTACCATTTTACTGATTGAATGTATGGTATGTCAACAAGAAAATTTTTGTAAATTTAAATGTCAAGGTGGAAAACCGAAAAAAAAAGTTTTGTGGCTGTTTAAACCATGGTAATTGAGGTCACATCTGTGACCATGATGTTTACTGATCCAGGCAACATTTCATTCGAAAGCATACAGAGGGTTTTATTTAAGAGGTTTATAATGTTACAGATTGCTGTTGCTGGGCTTGTGGTTTGTCCAATTTGTCCATCCATTCTTCTGGTATAATTGGTATCATAGAATGTGTATTGGTGTGGGTGTCTTGATTGTGGGGTGATTTAGCATCCCAATGCGACGAAGTCATATGAGCGGTGGTTGGGATGGAGAATGGCAGCATAAATTTGGTGTCCTTTGTTTCTTGGACATTCACTTCTTGCTCGTCGTCGTCGTCGTCGTTGTGCTCGTGAACTACTGACGGTTCGTCCACAATAGGCGGTAATTCCTCAGACAGTGGTGTTGAAGGGCCACTTTTGCTAAGACCGAGATAGTGAGACATACTTTGGCGCCTCGACACTTTTTGGCTTTGCGTGCGAGACATTGGCAAGGCTCTTGCTTTGTCCATGGATTGCTTTCTTTGTTTGTGTCTGACAGTATCTTCGGCGCATTGCATAGCATATTTTTCAATTTCTTCAGGAATGCGTTGCTCATTCACCTCGTATCGATATGAGATTACGCATCTTTTGACTTGAGGTGCATTCAATGCATCAAATTTTTTGCTGGTATTGATGAAATCAACAAGATCCTCGAGTTGCGTAAGGCACTGCAGGAGTTGGAGCAGCTGAATTGTAGGGTTGAGATAGCTAACCAGATGGTTCGGGAGTCGATTGACGGATATCCAGTCCTCTAAATGCGAGAAATTCATACGGACTTGCATTGCTTTGGAGCGACACAGCAGCTTCTTGTTAGTCAAAATACGGTTGAACAGCTCACATGACATGTAGTGGAAGAATTGGGCCATGGCTTGTATAATGATGATAGGATGAACGTCGTAGGATTGTAGCACAAATAGAGTGGACGATAGCAAACTTGTAATGGACTGAGGCGTTACTGTAGAGACGGCCACCCCACCATCAGCAGCAATGATGACTGAACGTCTTGCGCTCTTTCGAAAGAAGCGATGCCAATCATCTGTAAAATCGACTTGATCCATGCCAGGGATCTCCTCGTGATCCAGCATGGCTGGACACAGTACTTTGGCGAGTCTCTTAGTTGTGTCTTGGATGATCAAGTTGTAAGTTTCTGATATCAATTCGGATAAGCGCAATTGCTGCTCGGCAGTAGCCACAACCAAGCCAGCATCCTTTTTGAGGTAGAATAGCAATTGCGTTAAATTGGTGATCCAAAAAGCCAAAACGTGAATGTTGCGCGCATTGATCTAATAAACCAGTTAATGTCATACAAATAGATTATATGATACACTTTAGTATTACCTTGATTGCCTTTCCAATTCGACTTAATGCACCTTCCAGCACTTGTTCCAGCAGCTCAAAGCTGGAGAAATAGTGAGCAAACCGAGCGCTGAGAAAGATAATGTTGGTAGGCACACAAATGTCCTGTTGTTTGGCCAGTGGCAATTGGAGGTGAGTGATGATGGTGTCGAGTATCGAGTCCAAATCGTCCGAGTTAAACACAAACATTTGATCAGGAGAGCATTTGTCCCAGTGAAACTGGCTTTCGTCAAACTGTCCATCGTCGTCGTCTTCCTCGTCTTGTTCTGCAGGATTGTGCTCAATCGAATCTGTATCGTCGAAATCGAGTTGCATGGTAGACTCAAACAGCTTTTGTCGTAATTCTGCTTCCTCCGACATAAAGTTGTTGAAGCCCTCGACGGTGGATTGGTAGTAAAAGTCATTCTCAGTGCTGGATGTAGATGAAGACACACTGCTGGTGGTTCTGTAGAATAGGCTCGATGTGGACGATACGCTATCACGAGGATTTGTGGCTAGAATCTCGATGATTTTCTGGTTGTCTGTGTTGATAAAGTCGAACACGGTTCTTCCCTTGGCTGATTTTGTCTGAGACGAAGCGCCATGCTCTAGCAGAATCTTGACGAGAGCTTCATGACTATTATTCGTGGCCCACATCAACGCTGACCAACCAACTAGATAGAGTAATTAATATTTGTGGAACATGGCTACAATGATAGTAACAAAAAGGAGAAAGTGGGGAGGGGTAAGAACTTACAGCTATCTTGCACATCAATTTGGGCTCCTGCTTCTATCAAGATTTTTACTATTTCCGTCTTGCCAAAGCAAGCAGCGTAGATGAGCGGTGGTGTGCCGTCATTGTCTCTGGCGTTGATATCAATGTGCTGTCTTATGCTGTCGTCTGACAACATTTCCTTGACTTTTGTTACGTCGCCGTTGGAAGCAGCACGAGCGAAGAGTGTCGTCCATTTCTTGCTGTCTTGGTCTGTTTCTTCTTCTTCTTCCACTTCAAAATCTTCGTCCAAAGAGTGTGCAGAGGAGGCTGATGTGGTGGAGCTCAGCATCTCTGAAATCTGTCGGTTGCTCTCTGCCATTCGCTGCGACATTTCATCAAACGACATGTTTTCGTATTTCTTCTTTAGCATATCATGATCGTCTTCATATTCCTCTTGAATCTGTGGTAATTCGGTGGGATAAGGCTGATTCTCGTTGGTGGTATTGTTGCTTAAAGTGGCCATAGTGTTGGCATAAAAAAAAAAAAAGAGTAAAGAAAGAGAGAGAGAGAGAGAGAGAGAGAGAGAAAGGTTTATTTTGGGATTGCTAATTTGGATTTATATGTGTCTAAAGCGGAACAAAGTGATCCGTTAAAAAAATAAACTGCAGACATAAAAACAGACATCTCAAATTGGGTAACCGAGTTTGATACTCAAACACTAACACGAGCTGCTTTCCCCTCCCCTCCTCCCTCCCTCCCTCTTTCTCTCTCAATCTAAAACAACCCATTAGTATGGGAGTCAACATACTAGAGTTCTGTACCCCTCCTATTCCAGGACAGCCTCATAAATACTATGGCAATGCTCACAACAACTTTATCAAGCTACCTGTAGCACTACCTCATACCACCATACAGAAAACTGTATCTACAAACAACTCGCTGCATTCCATTGCAACCAGTGGCAATCTGACACTACTCAAGAGCATCTTGCCATTCTTACCAACACCTCAAAAAGCTGTCAATGAGCCACACCCTGCTACTGGTTTGACACCTCTGCACTTTGCTGCTTCCAGAGGCCATTTCAATATCGTCAAATATCTGGTGGATGACTACTCGGCTGTCGTCGATGCAAAAGACAGAGAAGGCGAGGTAACGTCAGAGTCTTGTGTTGACAGTTGATCTCTTCATAACTGATGTCCATATGTATTAGACGGCTCTCCTGAAAGCAGCTTATAATGGACATTATCATATTGTCAAGTACTTGGTCTCTAAGAATGCCAACATTCATTCAAAAGACAAAGACGGATGGACAGCACTACACAATGCCTGCGCTAGAGGATTCCTACCCATCACGCGCTTGCTGATTGAAAAGGGAGCTCGAGTGGATGTCAAGAGCAAAATGGGACATACGCCTCTCAGTAAGATGGCAACATGGGAGACATAAACTAGACTTGATATTAATGGTTCTTTCTAGTTAATGCTGCGTCCAAGGGCTATATTTCAATTGTCGAATACCTATTGGTTGAATCACATGCGAACCCCTTGATCAAGAATAACTTTGGCGAAGCAGCCTATGATGTAAGTGCAGCTGCTGGTGAGTCTTATATATGTGAGATGCTTCATCGAGCGGGTAAATCATGGTGGCAAATGCAGCACAGTTCAGAGGGTAAGCGTCGGCAGGATGGTTGTTGCCCGATATGAGACTGATCCCATCCTTATGTGTTTCTATTAAAGGGAATGGATCAGCTTCACGATACAATATATTGGATTTCCATGTTACTGTTATGGTAGTCATCCATGAAAACGAGAGATCGTCATCTTATTTGGGATTATCAAAGCCTCAGTTTAGCACTGCGTCCCTAACAAAGCATGATGTGCGTGGTCCTTGGTCTCTCTCTCCTTCAGGTAGACCCAGTACAAAAGAAGAAGTCCAACTGCCGCCAAATAGCACTGGCAATGGATCAGACTGGTTCTGGCTGACAGACTGGCAGATTGACTACAGCGACCCCCGCATTGATCCAACATCTGGCTGGCAATATGCTCGCTTTTTTGATGATCCAGATGATGTGTGGACACCTGTTACACCTACCAGTGGCTATGGTTGGGTAAGACGCCGTATCTGGGTGCGAGTGATGAAGCGAAGAATGGATTTGCTCAAGGGAAGCCATATTGGGTCACCTGCGATAAATGAGGAAGAGGATTACCTATGCAAGGCAGAGGACATTGTTCAGAATTCCAAGCTGGACCCTGCAGTTGCTGTAAATGAGGAACCTTCTATTCAACAGCTCACCATTGAGCTACGCGCGTATGAGGAAGCGGTTCAATTACTTCGTGCAGGCATTAAAAGTAAGGTGCTTTCGTTCTGCAGTAGTAGGCTAGTGAGTAATTGACCTTGCCCTATAGATGATGGCAATCAGTTTAGAATTCATCAAGCCAACACACTGATCACAGCCTACGCTTCTCAGATTGATGCACTGAATTTACAGATAACGCAGCTCGCACATACAGTGTCAACGCCCATCACACCTCTTCCAGTGCAGCACAATGCAGAATTGGCTAGAGAACTAGGCTTCAATGATAGAGAGGCACCTGAGAATAGCGATTTCGATACAAACCCTTGGACGTGTGATGCCAACAGTACCTCCAATGCCGAGTGGCAGGCATCCAACAGCGTACTCGAAAGCACAAGCTTTAACCATGTCAATCTCGTTGGCCATGGCATGGACAATCAGCAGCATGAACAAGACGACCAGGGCGACATTGAAGAGCACATAAGAGGGCCCAAGCAGTATGTCTGGGAATCTGATTTAGAAGCAAAAGAGTGCAGAGGATGTAGAAGAAGATTTGGCCTGCTTGTCAGAAGACATCATTGCCGCTGCTGTGGCTTGATCCACTGTGATCGCTGCTCCATGTCGAGAGCTCGTTTAAGCTCGACTCAAATCTTACAAGATCCCAACGGACCTTTGGAATCATTGGATGTACTGGCTTCTCAGCACCAAAGAGTCTGTGATACATGCTATGCAAAACTGGGTGGCATTCCACCTTGATTGAAAAACTCACTCATTCACTATGATTAAACTATATACCATGCCTTACCATTGCCCTTTGAATTGATTGCTCTTCGTGACTTCAAAAAGGCAACTTGTGTTTACTTGCTATATCAAGCTTTTTGTTTTGCAATCCATTTTTACAGTTTATTCTGAATCATGTCTGAAAAATCAAAAGAAGATATCGTCTACGATTTGATGGTTGATGATGAAACTGGCGATTTAAGGCCCAAAGTGGATAAGGTTCGGTTTCTGCAAAAGGATCGTGAGCTAATACACAGTTTAACATGTTGGCATTAGATCCTCAAAGACATCTTTGACAATTTCGACAAGGTAAATCTCTCAATCAGCCGCTAAGCCAAGGCACGCATAAGCTCATGCTGCTACTGATGATAGGATAAGGATGGAAAATGGGATTTGAAAGAGTTGCAAGACTTTGCTACAGCTACAAATGGTCGTCCAGTAAAGTTAAACTTGCCAATGCGTGCTACACTCCTTTCTAACGTTGAAATCAGTTTGAAGATGCTGTGATTGAGGAAATTATCGAGTCTTTTGAGATTGACAAGGAGAACCGTTTGCTATTCTCTGGATTCTATCAAATGTATTATATGCAAACTATTTCTGAACCAGAGGAGACATTGAAGGACTTTAAGAAGCGTAAGTGTGCTCTGACATGACATCTTGTACTAGATCTAACATCAGGCCTTTTAGACGGTTATGATGATAACTTGGATTTAGTGTCTTCTCGCACAGAAGAAAAGGAGGAAAAAAAATAAACTTGGTATCTCCATTGTTGGATGATGTACATGCATATTTGTGGTGCCGTCATTGTTTCGCTTGCTCTTTGATGAATTCAAGATGTTTGTTGACGCATGGATCAAGTTACTTGAGATTTGATCAAGAGCCAGCGACGACACCCTTATTGAAACACACATTGCTTTGCTTCTCTTTCGTTTTGTTCAAACAATATTACTGTTACAACCAAGCTTTGACTTGCTCCACTGTGCTATTCAGCGCATGGCAGAAAAAAAAAAGAACAGAGGTGTATGGTTGAAACGCTTTGGTCAACGATTTGGATTTACATAATACAGTACGCTTGAAGAGACAGCGAGCAACTTGGTCCCTCTACCAAGATCATAACGCATCTAATTCAACATTTGGTAACGCTGACCTATAAGGGGGGCTTTACCTTAGCGAAGCGAAGGTGCAAAACCATAGCATTCAAGCAGCCTATTCAGCTTTTTATTTCTATTATTAAGCCTGCCAATAATATAACGCATAAAAATTTGCATGAAATAGTCTTACCAAAATCAATATTCCTTCTCGAACAAGAACTTGCACAGGCTGCAGACCTGTTCTTCCAGAAAAGTATAGCTACCAGAGATGTAATTCATGTTATGTAGATAAAAGCTATAAAGCAAAAACGTAACCAAATTTGACAGCTTTCAAGCCTTCATACCTTGACATGCAGACCTTTCTGAGCCACCAGAATAACGCCAAACAATTGTACTTGAGTAGTAGTAACTTCCTGGCACTTTTGTTCAACTTCTTGAAGATCCAAAAAAAATGGTCAGAAATCGATCAAAAAGCATGAGGTACCCCTCATGGTTTTCATCGAAATTTAAACGATCGCGTTTTTCGCCTCGAAAATAAAGACTTTTACTATGGAATATGTTAAGCCAAAATGTTTTTCTCGATCCAAAACAACTTCTCACTGTGACTAAAAAAGATCTGAATATTGCTGAATATTTCTGAATCCATTTTTCGGAAAACTGCCACTTTACGAAAAATTTGTCGAAATTTTTCTGAATGGCATTCTTAGAAATTCGGAAAAGTGCTCACTTAATTCAGAAAAATTCAGAGAAATTCATTCTGGAAAATTCAGAAAAATTCATGTAGTTTAGGGTGGTTTGCAAAATATTCATAAAAAAATAAATCAGAAATATAATAGCATTTAGTGCTATTATAATAGAAACCATTGTTTATTTCTTGACATATAATAATTGCGCTACTACTACAGAGAAACATGATGATATTACATTACGGGCAGTAACAACAAAGCGTAGCCTAATCAGAATAAGCATAGAGATCAGAATTCCTTACGACTTGCGCACTCTCTTATTGTTGGGTCCCTAATACACAAAGATAAGTAGCTCCATCTATGATATCAATGCCTTACGATTACCTTTATGTTTCTACAATTTAAGAGATAGAGAGAATATCAGCATAAAATGGCTAACTCCAGGTGATGATGAGAAACTTACTGTCTTTGCAAATCTTGCGTTTCTGGTGATGAATATCTTCTGTGCTTTTCATATTCCTTTGCCTTTGATTTGTTTGATGCAGATACATTTTTTGATACTGGAGATGGCTGCATTGGCTATAGTGATAGTGCACATTATAAAATGGAAAAGAAATGTGAGTTACTGCGCTATATCTATGAAAACTTAATTACTTGTTCTACTAGAGGCATATGTTGCGTGCTGATTCTTCTATAATATTACGATTAGTATCAAAGAGTACTTTTCTCTATGCAGCATTTACTTTTGTGATCCAGTATTTCGAGAAACATGAAAATTGATCTTGTCTACAATCGAATTTTCGTCATCGTCGACAGAATCTTCTTCGGATTGCGCTTGGGATCCCTCAGAAAATACCAGATCATCTTCATCGAATTGGGTTTGGTAAGTTGCGGTGTCATTGCTTGGCCTGGCATTGTATTTGTAATCGATTATGCCAGACAATGATTTGGAGACAGCAAACTGCGGCAACCAATCTTTGAAGAACCCAGAGATGTCAACGCCCTTTTTGGCTACATCGTCTATGACGGTCTTGATTAACAAGGCTTGAAATCTGTTGTCCAGCTTGCTAAAAGTGATATTTGGGAACTGTCTATCAGCTTTCTTTGCCTGGTTGTATGCTGCATCTTTGACAAGCTCCCAGACCTTCTTGCCATCAAGGTTTTCCCCACCTAATCGATGCTCTTCAAGGACGTTGATGCATAGCTCAACAGAAAGCTCCTCCAGATGTTTGCTATCTGCTTTGCTTGGACGGCATATCACTCCATCTAGTCTCGCAACATTGGCCGTGCTCGAAGAGGTAGATTGTTGAACAATATGCTGCAGCATAGCTTTTACTTCGGTCTGGTTGTCATTACATTCCTTGACCTGTTTGCTAAGATTGGACAACTCCTGTTCAATGTTCTCCAATCTTTGTAAGAATAGTTGTTGTGCTTGATCCATTTTTGAATAAGTGATTAGTGTAAAGTGTAAAATAGAGCAGTGCTTTGAGATGGTTGTATCAATTGCGATAAATGCGTAACAATCTATGAAAGACAGAGAAAAACTGGTCTAGTAATGTTTCCAATAATTAATAGCACCCGCTATCACAGACATTGATGTTTCAATCATGCAGATTGAAACGCATGCAATGTGAACTATTAGATTTCACTATAGATATTCACATGGCTATTCAATACCAATCAAAGTGTATTCTATGTTCAATATTGCATGCGTTTCAATCTGTATGATTGAAACGCATGCAATATAAGGAGCATAAAAGACAATCCAGACAGATTTGTGTTTAACCTTTATTTCTAATATTATTTACGATGCCATTTTTTTGTGCCCAGTGTTGCCGAAGAATTCGCAATAGACATGAAAAACAGCATAAACTTTGGCACTCTTCAAATGACACAACAACTGTAGACTTGCACAACCTGGAGACTAATCAGTATCAAAGAAAGAAAGCAAGAACTGAACATGATACTCAGGCTGGACCTTACACTGAAAGAAATAGTCAGCAAGAAAACAGCGATGGTGAACCTGGTAGCGATGGTGAACCTGGTAGCGATGGCGGATATGACTTTGGAGACTCTGATGGACTCGGCGCTAACTATAGTGACAATCAGATGTCTGACAGTTGCGAGGCATTACCACCACTGGATGCTAAAAATACTGAGATCCACAAGATCTTCAGGGAAGAAAACTTGACAAACTCAAGCATCCGAAGACTTGTTCAATGGCACAACCAAACGTATCCTTGTAAGTAACCATAACAAAGTTGGTTGTTTCAAAGCGCTAACATCTACTATGATAAGTTGCAACGCCTATAGTCTCAACATTCAAGGCCAGCTCTGCTAGGAAAAGGGCAACTTCTTTTGCACCTTATACAGTCGATGTGTGCATCAGGTATTGCTATGCCTTTCAACCAGAGGATGGGGACGAATGTCCAGTGTGCTTTGAAAAGAGATTCGATATTGATGGTAGCCCCAGAAGAACCATCAAGATGCTGCCAATCGGTCCACAACTTGCCACGTTGTTCGAAAATCCAAACTTTATCAGAGTGCTTGATGACGAGAATTCATCCATCAGAGCAAGGTTCAAGGGCGATATAATGCAAAATTTAGTGAACAACAAGCATCTATTCAACAATAGATACGACATTGGCCTGTCCCTGTACGTAGATGGATTCCAATCACACAAAAAAGGCGGTGCAAAGTTGAACTTGGTCATGCTACAAATCTTGAACCTTCCTTCTGCCTATAGATACAAAATGGAGTTCCTGATTGATTTCGCCATTATCCCAAACACCAAGAGATTAGACAGTTACCTTCAATACCTTGTCAGCGAATTGGAAAAATTGGCTCGTGATGGACTACAAGTGCAGAGAAACAACTCAACAAATATCTCGCTCAAAGTCCACCTCATGGGATCCTTTGGTGATATCCCCAGCGTCAGCGAACTCAATTTCCTCGCATCCCATACGTCGCTTCAAGGCTGCCGTTTTTGTACGATCATTGGCATCAGCAAAAATGGTGTTATTTCTTTTCAACTAGCAGCTAATGATGAAGATCGACCACTACGATTGCTAACAATTGAAGAATACAAATCCAGTGCACCAGAACTTGGTATCGAGAGGCCTTCTTTGTTTCGAAACCTGCCATCATTCATTGATCCAACGTTTGTGGGCTTGGATGAATTTCATTTGTTTGGACAAAACATGGGACCAAGAATCAAGAAAATGTTTACGGACAAGGAATCGATTCTTCGCTTGAAGCCGCGACAAATAGAGAAGATTAGCATTTGCTTGAACCAACTTGCAAGCACATCACCTTTGATCTTCGAAGGCAATTTCATGGATGTCTTCAGCAAGGGAGGGACAGCTCGAGGAGTAGATTGGTTGGTGTTCCTGAAGTACTTTGTGCCCACAGTTCTTATCGACCACGTTGATTTATGCCATTTGGATCCTACTGTCTCTGAAGCTGCCAAGGAAGCCCTACGTACAATATCTCTGATTTGCTCAGTATGCTTGCAGCAGGATATATCTGAGAGCGAGATACAAAAGTTGGAGGAACTAATAACCAAGTGGCACCAATTTCTTCGTCTTCACATCTCAGCAAAATTCTTTCCAATCAGTGAACATTATTTGGAGCATATCACGATGGTGATTCGAAAGATAGGCCCCATGCCTCAGTACAGTTGCCGTGTTTTGGAGAGAAGGATCCAAATGATCAAGAAGAGGATCCATGGCTGTAGTCAAGTTGCAAAACAAGCGGAAAATATCATGCTGGATATTGCATGTAACAGCTATGAAAAAAGAAGGACAATTGCATTTGACAATTCGACGGATACTGCCATCACCTTCTCGAAATCATTGAATATGGGCGACATCAAGCTGTCACCGTCTATTGCTTCTATGTTGTGCAAACATTACAACACTGCTCGTGTCAATCCGCAGATCAAGTGCGCTACCTCACTACGACTTGGCAACAACATCACGATCGACTCTACTTTCGATCCACCAAGTAGAAAGAAGAAGCTGTCAGACCATGCCCTGGTCAATTGTGCTCGCCGCAGTTCGCTACCATTGCTGGTAAAGGTGTTGCTCATCTTTGAGCACAACTTCTCTGGTGCAACACATGCTCTAGCCGTTTGCCAAGTCTATCAGAACGTAACGGTATCAACGTCCGGCATCCCTGAATGTTTCCTTGACAATGCCAACTCGGATACTTCCAATGGTGCATGGGATCTGGATATAATAGCTGTCGATGATATTTTGTCTTCAGTTGCAATTCTGAAGTCTGCCATATCTGGGAAGCTCTTCTTTGTTTGGCCTGATATGAAAAGAATTGGTTTGAAAGTATACAATGATGATTCTATATTTGACTTTGCATAAAATAAATATACGCCAACATCATGGTCACCTTTCTCTCAAACTGATGTTTGTACATCCTTCCAAATTACTAGCCATCCCACTGTTCTATATCTTAATGCTCGTTCTTTTGCCCGGTCGCATGCAAAGCTGAAAATTCATTCCTAATAATAATAACTAGTTAATATTGTTTCCTTTCTATTGTTGCTCTGTAATAATATATCTTCTTTCTTTCTTCTTCCTATCCTATTATGACATTCAGAGACCTCTAAATAAAAAATGGAGCACGACTCCCTTACAAGAAAGAATCTGAAGCAGTTGACAAATAAGAAATAAAAATGGCGTAGCGATGACTACTCGCTTTTCTGATGAAGATCGTTTCGTGGTAAAAAAAATCGCTGAATAATATCTAAATTTTTCTAAATTTCTCCAAATTTCTCTAAGCTTAATTTATTAATTTTCATCTGCATGAATTTATCTGAATATTTCCAAAGGGATTTGGACAAATTCATAGTGATTAAGACATTTTTAGGATATTTCAGAAAAAATTGGTCAAATTCTAATATATTCAGATAAATTTGAATCTTTTTTAGTCACAGTGTCTGAAACCATTTTTGTGAGGTCTTTATATGCAAAATTTCGACATTTTGGCAAAAAAACCTTATTTTATATTTTCTGGAATTGTTCAATAAGTTCAGTCAAAACATCTATTTTACTTGGCACCATTGAAAGCGCCTTGAAAAGTACTTTGGGAATATATTAGGAGGCGTAGGGTGATCATTACATTGTACATAGTAGAATATCGTAAAATAGATTAAAGAAGTCGTAAAAAGACAACATCTGTCCAATCTTGAACAGAAAAAAAAAACTGAGTTTGAATCAATTTTGGCGGGGGCATTGCTGCAGGCTGACCTAAATGCCTTTCTGTTGATAGCAATGATGATTGCGATACTGATTAATTGGGGATCATGAATTTGAAAGAACAATCGATTAGTTTGAATTCTTTTTTATTTGGTTTTATTGCGAGTTTTTCCCTATATAATAGGTGTCTTTTGCAATGATAATCTCTCAAAAATGTCGCTGTGGATCTCATAAAGGTCATGTGTTTACACATGGCCAGCTCTGTGTCGCCATCTCAAGAGCAGCATCCACTAATGGTATCGCTGTTCTGCCGCCAGAAAATGAGACTCGGTTGGAGGATGTAGTGAACCAGAAGTCTCATAATAATATAATGTAAATGCTTCATAAAAAATATTGATTTGTGCCTCCAAAGTTCTGACGTTTAAATCAAATGTCATGCCTAATATAGTCATTGTTTAAAATGTACTTTTATAGCAGAGTTTTACTATCTCTTCTGATTTGGAAAGTCTTTGGTGAGAGCCCACAGGGCGACGCCGTCATCGAGCGTAGCGAGATGGATTGGCTAGTTTATTATTATACTCTCAAGATTCAAGTTTTCGCATTGTTGACCTTCATTTGCTGATTTTGAACTTTTGGATCGATTCGACCTATTTTACCCAATTCGACTATATAAATTGTGGTAATTATCCCAGGCTTCTTAATGCTTGGCTCTAGGTGTCGCACCTTATTAGTAGTAGATTTCTTTCCCAACTTAATTCAAAAATATCTTATTCCCCTTCTTTGCAGACATTGGGTCCACCAACAGTCTTTTCTATCACTCAGTATGACATTTAAAGGACTTTAAATAAAACCTGGAGCCCGTCTCCCCTACAAAAAAAAACGCTTCTTTAAGCTTTCTTGGAGCGCTTTTCAAGGCGCATCCAATGGTACCAAGTAATATAGATGTTTTGAATGAACTTATCAAATGATTTATGAAAATATGAAAAGAGGTTTCTGGCAAAATGCCGAAATTTTACATATCAAAGTCCCACAAAGATGATTTCAGAGGTTGCTTTGGATTGATAGAAACATTTTGATTCAAGATATACCATAGTAAAAGTCTTCATTATCAAGGCCAAAAATGCGATCGTTTGATTTTCGATGAAAACCATGAGGGGGTACTTCATGCTTTTTGGCCATGTTTTTTTTTGGTCCCCAAAAAGTTGAGCAAAGGTGTCAGAAAGTAATTCTTAGATGAGAGCAACTATTTGGTACTATTCTGACAATCTAAAACGGCTTTGAACGCGAGAAAAAGCAGCTCAAATACACTCATATTTTGCTGTATTAGGGGCACTGAGGACTAAGAAATGGAAATACCTGTATTCTACTTGCCCGTATATGAAGTAGCTAGGTGTATATGGATGTAAAGCATCACATAAGAATCAGATCCACACATAATATGAAGGGTTTTCATGTGCAAGTAGAGGGTCAGCTTGAACGTAGTAGTATTATGATAAGATACGCAAGGGCAACCGGTAGCTCGAGCTGTCGCTGTGCAGGTTGATTCTCACCGAAACGAAGCGAAGGTAGAGAGCAATCTGAAGCATAAACACTTTTATGATTAGTGATTATATATCAGTCAACAATTAGGGTTCTTCTTCTAACATTTTAGCTATATTAATTTTGGGATATTAGCCAAAGGCCCGCGGCAGCGTGAGCCGTTTGAACGTAGGTTGGTTTCCACCGAAGCGAAGCGTAGGTCAGGAAACCACCCGAAGTGCTGAAAGGCTCGTATTCCTTAGTAAAAGTCTTCATTTTTGAGGTCAAAAACGCAATTGTTTGATTTTCGAGGATTTCCTGAGGTATCCCTCATGGTTTTTGGTCGACTTTTGACGATCCCAAAAAAGCTGAGCAAAGGTATCTGGAAGTTAGTCCTAGACGAGAGCAGTAGTTTAGTGCTAGTCTGGCGGTCTAAAGCGGCGTCTAGCTCGAGAAATTACTGCTCAAATGCATTCTAATTTCGCTGTGATTTGCATGCTTTTGAGTGTTAAGAGGCGATTCCAGTATGCTATCCGCCTATATATGAATTGTTTTTCTGGGATATCGACGTGGAGCATAGCGTTGATTATTAAAACAAGTATGCAGTATTTAAATCATTAATTCATCAAGATAAACTCTTTTGGTAAGAGATTTTTGTAAGCAGTGATTACATCAATGGCCAAGTATTGCTTTTGAAGCCTCTTTGTGATTGAGGATTTACAATGATAGAAAGTACCAATGCCCGATTCCATTCGTTTTGTCAGGCAACAGCATAGTGGCTGATGTTTTAGTGACCATTGTAAATGGAGCGGGTTTCCTACCAACCTCTGGCAAAACACGTAACAAGCAACATTTTCTCTTTCTTTCCTTCCACAATGATCCCTTTCTTTGCTGAGGAACTAAGCAACATCAATGTGCTCCGTGCTACGATAGCTACTGAACCAACATGCGACGCCGCAGAATATCTACAGGTTAAAGATAGTACCCTTGTTCTGAAAGATCAACTTGTAGCAGATCTAAAGTCGATTGATATTGCTGTCTCTACTCAACAACTTGTGGTGGCTCAACCAAACGACTTATCATCACTGCAGTCTGGTGAGAGCGAGGATGATGCGCTGATACCGTGGGAGGTGAAACTGTCTCTGCTGAGACCTCCAACTTCTCTACAATCTCAACAAAACGATGTAAAGGAATGGTGGACATCCAAGCTACTGTTACAGCAATCTCTGGAGAAGCAAATGCGATGTCGACACTGTGCTCAAGGGCTCCTTGATTCTGCTATTGAATATAAGATCAAAGATTTACCTTCTGAACATTGGTATGAGTTGGTGGAATGCTGGATTTGTCATGAAACCAAGCCTGAAGAACATCAAGCGCGTATGAAGCCCATCTTAGCTCGTCCTCATGTCTTGCTGGTGGGTACTACCTATTTCCTGATACATCCCGAGAATACTGTCAAAGGTGCTCTTCAAGTGGATTCTGTGGTTTCCAAGCGATCCAATGTAAGTATACCCCTCTTTAGCCTCCCCTTTCACCCAAACAAGGATTTCAAGAAGGTCGACGATACACTAGATATTATCGCTGACCGATACAAAAATCCAAGATTAAACATCACAGTGGCATTTAACAGTTTGTGGGGAGAAAGACATGCTCTCTATAAAGAATCTTCGTTCTTTAGAACAAACTACTACCATATCACACACTCATCATTATCAGCACACCATACTGATCGTTCTCTCTCTTTCTTTTTTTTTTTTAAAAACTAGTGGGATCGAGGCACGCTGACAAAATGGATAGCGGTAAATTGCTCGAATTGCGGGAATGCTGTTGGTGAAGGACAATACTGTATGGAAGACGGGGAGATGCAACTGCTGGCAGTGAAGCTATTCAAATATTGCATTGATCTGATACCAAACCCCTCTGAGCAACCTGTGTTTACCGACTTTTTGGTGTCTGATCTGGTGAACACAGCTAAAATCCATGCTACACACCGCTTCTTGATTCAAGGACGTCAAAGCCAACGTATATATGCACTGGTAAGTGTCGCTATCTCCACTTCAAATTGTTGTGCTGACATGGTATACACGCACGTTAGATTTGGCTGTTCAATTGGGACACACATATTGTACATAACGACGGTTACAGAGAAGAGAGCGACCATACACTGGTGCGAGAACGAGTAATGAAGGTAATCTATTTGGACTGCACAGATGCAGAGACCAATGCACACGTCAAAAAGTATATTGCACTGTGGTCAAATGACAAGTCTACCGATCATTTGATCTATCCAGACGAGTACTGCCAGCAGCTGGTAGATACACTAAATCAATCTACGCGTGTGCTGCCTCCTTTCATGCGAACAATCAATCACCCTGCCATGATATTCACCAAGAACTTTTCCATTGGCTTTATACGTCGATCCGATTAACATTAGGTAAGCACCAGAACTACGTTTAGATATGTCATTGTTGATAATAAAGAGCATCATTGGTGTTTGACTTGATTATGCCTGTCATTGATTGGGGGTTTCAGTTTATGTTTCATTGCGATTTGTGATCACCTTTTGAATAGTGCACACACCTGCTTTGCGTTCTTTTTCTTGGTGTACATCCATTATGGAGAAGCTGCCATTTGAAATCTCAATCAAGCTGTTCAGCCTACTCTCCACACAGGATCTCTGTGAGGCAATCCGTGTGGATCAGCACTGGCATGTCATTGCGTCTTCTGTTCTGTACAAATACCCAGCACTGCACACACGTCGTCAATTGTTTTCATTTGCGCAGATCACTGACAGAGTGCAATCGCATGTGCATTGTCTTGACTTGACGCAGGTATATGAGCATGCCACCGATAAAATATTTCTTCGTTTGCAGCACTTGGCGCATCTAAAGCACATCAATCTATCCAAATGCATTCATCTGACGCCCGCAGCCATTTTTCCACTGATACAACTCAACGCCTTCCAACTACACACGTTGATACTCGCTAACTGCACCATCTCAAATGACATACTGCACTGGATAGGCAAAGCAACCCGCCATCACCTCCAATTTCTCGATTTGAGCAATACCATGATTAAACCCTGTGTCTCTATTGACACTGCCAATCATCTGGACAGCATGTTTGACACTACCACTATCATCAAGGCCAACCTCCGTCATTTAGACCTCTCCTACTGCACATGGGTGAACGGCCAAACTGTGGAAAATATAGCCCAATGTCTGCCCAACTTGGAGCACATCACACTGCAGTGGTGCAATCAAATAAAGCTCAAGTCGATTGATATTCTGGTTCAAAAGCTGGGCTCCTTGGATACAATTGACATTCGGCACATTGAAACAATCGCCAATACAACGCAGGCATTTGGCATCATGGAGAACGCACTCTCACTAAAGAAGATACTGTTCACCTACAAAACCATCTCGACTGAAATTGTGTCATAAAAACCGCATTGGTATGTGCCAGATCCAGCGCCGCTTGCTGCTTTGATTGATCAGAAACCCCCCCCCCCCCCCCCACGCAAGTTTGAGTCTGATGTAAGGCTCCATTGCTCTATTGTTTCGTACAGAGAGACAGCAGTAAAGTAGCTGAAACAGTAGAGACACCAAGTGATGATAAAAACCTGCCTCTAACATGCTCTTCAAGAGCAAATCCCAATAAACACTGACATGTTGCACTACCAAGAATTTAATTTGAGAGCAATCCCATTTGGCACGGTTAAACCGTGGTCCGTCCATCCTAATGGAAAGGGCTTTATAAAATACCCGTTCTTTCTTAATCCTTTTTTGTCTATTTTTTTTTTTTATCTTCTCTCCATTCTTTCTCTATACAGTCTCACTATGGATGAACATGAACATGGACATGACAGCGGTATGGGCCACAGCCACAACCTGGACCCTGCGTTGTTTGAGAGCAGTGCCGCTACAAACGAACCCATTGGTCTTATCATGACACTTCACATCTGCTTCATGGTGCTGGGTATGTTGCATTAATTCATTGCCAAAGAGTCAATTGACCAGCTAAATCAACGCAACTCAGCTTTTGGCATACTGTACCCACTAGGCATGGTTCTCGGTTTAGCAAGAAACAAGTGGCATGTGCCAGTGCAGGTATTAGCGAGCGCGGTGTTTGTGGTGGGCTATTTCTTGGCCCATGCTCACAACGGAAGAAACTATGTGAGTGTTTACTTGTCAAATCAGTCATGCTATCGTACTCAATCCTTGAATTGAAAGGAACCTCACATTGCCCACAGATGGTTTGCTCACATCGTTGTTTGGCCCGTCGTTGGCCAATTTGGATTAGGTGTCTATCTCAAGCTGCACTTGGAAAAGGGCATATTAGGTAAAATTAGACCTTTGCTGACGAAAATACACAAATACCTCGGTGCGTCCATTCCGGTCATCGGCTATGTGCAGATTGTGTTGGGCGTGATTGCTTCGCTAGGTTTCTGTTATGGAGGTAAGCTGAATGGCTCTGTCGACTCAACGCTATCCCAACTTACCATAGAAACCAATAGATCATCAGGGTCAGTGTTTAGCTCATTTCATCATGGGCTCGTCGTTTGTAGCTTACGGCATTGTTATGTTGTTGATGCTTCGTGTTGGAGGCCCTCTGTTGATCAGAAATGGAAAGAGTCAAGAGTGGTATGATAGCTGGGTGATACTGGCGTGGGGTATTGTCAACACATTTACAGAGCACAGGTAGAGCAGAGCGTGATACGATTTAAGGAATGCGGGTGTGAACTGACACTGCTGTATTGATAGATGGGGACAAGATTGGAATCACGGCGATTATCAGCATACATCGATGGGCGTGATTTGGTGGGCAGCCGGTATTTTGGGCGTTGTATTGAGCAGAAATGGAAAGAGGTCTGTGATTCCTTCCATTTTGATAATTTTGACAGCTGCTGCTTTCCAGGGCCATGCTCAGCATGTAGCCAATTCTGGCACGATTCACAGCTATTTTGGATACATGCTGGCAGCTGGTGGATTGAGTCGCATCATCGAAATCTGCTTTGTGTGGAAACAAGATGACCCTACCCAGGTGGATCCATGGCAGTATCTCCCTCCTCTTGTAAGTATATGGTACACAGCTTAACTGGAGCCCATCTCTCATCATGGCATGTATTTGGTAGACGTTGGTACTAGCAGGATTTTTATTTATGGGAAGCACAGAAGAGCAACTTGGATACCTCAGCTTCTTGGATATCGATGTCATGTCTTATATCAACATTCTATTGTCATTTGGCTTTGTTGTGTTTGTCTTTGCGTATTCATTGATTTATCTGTGGGAATCTCTAACAAACTATCCCAACTCACCAAGCACGAATAGAGGCGGATACACAGAGGTCGTCAGCGATCGTGAAACAGTACTGGATGCTTCGTCTGCGTTCCTGGATGACGATGACGAGGAAGATGACTTTGGAAATGATGACAGCCATCACGAGTCAATGGAACTCAAAAATACAAGTAGATTGAACAGTGTTCCCAGCAATGCCATCATGTAAATCAGTTGGTTCGCTTACAATAAATGACATATACCATCCTATTCAATGAATTTGCGCTTTTTACCTGTGACATCTGCGGAAGCAATGGACGCATTCACTGAAGAGCGGCCGAGAAAAGGCTCATACTGTCAATTACGTTGGAGGTTGCTAAGCAAATCAAAAGCAAAAATAGGATCGAAAGGAGCTTTTGTGAGTTACCTATGCCCCGGATAACGCAACCTTCGTTTTGCTGTACTAGCAAAAATAGGTTGCGCTTAGTAGATGCCAGCTTCTGCCTCACAGGGTGTCTCTATACGACATCAATATTCAGATCTTGGATAACAATGCCATTGATGTATAGAATTGCTTAGAAAGAATCCAGCCTTTCGCACCCTAGACATTGTACATCCACTACTTCCATTTTCATAGCATATGTGGAACATGGCTGCAAGCGTGAGCATTTCACGAGAGTGTGTAAATCTTTTATATTGTACCACAGTTGTATTCCCATATAATTATAATCCATGGTAGCAAATGAAATAAATTTTCTCTTTTCTCTTTTCCTATTCAATTTTTTTCTTTTTTCTTTTCTCTACTACATCTCCAAACCCTTCCTTATATACGATTATCATGAGATTCTCTTATAATGGACTGTCACTAGTTCATCTTGCTACCATCTCACTTTCACTCCTTCCCAATTTGATTACAGCTCAGCAAGCATCTGATCCCAGAAGCTATGCCTCAGCCATCATTGATTCAAATTATATCTACATTATTGGTGGATCAACAGTAAGCAACCCCTGAATGTAATATCAGAATGGCACTCAATATACTCTTCATCAAGACCACCTTAGAAGTTCCTGTCCTCAACATTAGCAACGGCATCGATATTCAAAATCCACAATGGCTCGAAAGAAGCCGAGCATCCAGCGACATTTTGAGACCGTTTGAGAAAGGTGTTGCTTTCAAAGGTGCTGGTGGAAAAGTATTTGTTCAAGGCGGTAGAGGAACAAGCACTGAAATGCAAAATCTGATGTCCTATACACCTGCTACTGATGGCTGGAGTAGTAAGTTTCTACTAATATATCGGGATCTATAATAGATTCCTCATCTCATCTAATTTACTTCATTTAGTTCCTTACCAAGAGGCTGTTGATAGACCAAAGCCTAGCTATATGATGTCTGCCACTGTTGATCCAGCTTCCAATATTGCATACTACTATGGAGGCACTCCAATTGATTACGTTGGCTCATCCTTTGTAAGTCTTGTTGTTCATCTGGTGCCTGATAAAAAAAAAAGTAGTAATTCATCACGCTGTTAATAGTCCGCCGTCTTCACAAGCTTTGATACAAATACTGGCATTTGGAAGAAGCTATCGCCAAAGTATCCCAACGCTGTCCGTCCCGGTCGAGTATCACATAGCTCCAATATAGTGTAAGTGTCTAGATTTTGCATGAAATAGCGAATGCGATCTAACAAAATTTATTAGTAATAACCAATTATTTATCATGGGCGGTGTAACAGACGATGCTAATGCTACAACTCAAGGTGTACAAGCAGATTTCGAAAGTGTTCTAGGTATGTAGCAAGTTGGGTGATGGAATCAAAGCGTATGTGCTGATATCATTACAATAGTGTATGATATTAACAAGGATACTGCTGTTGCTGTTGCTACACTGGGTGACATTCCACCCATCAAACAATCGTAAGTCTAGTAAATCATGCCATTTAGATAGATTGCTCATGGTAACATGCAACTCTAGATTCTCTACCGCTTTGGGCCTCGATGGCCATTCCATTGTCCTTTTCGGTGGCTATACTACTACAAATGAAAAGGTCTTTGAAGCTGCAAACAACGACGTTTATATTCTTGATACATGTACCCTGACATGGAGAAAACAATCCGTTGGAGGCACTTCTCCTGGGCCCATTTACTCTCACAATGCCATCAACATCAATAATTACATGGTAGTCATGATGGGAAAAGTGGATGAAACCAACTACAATCAAAAAGTGTACATTCTCGACATGAAAAACTGGAAATGGGTCAACAGTTTTGATGGAGCCAGCTTAACCGACACAATCGCACCTGGTTCATGCACATTTGACTTGCCTAGCACAGATTCTACCAACTTTTATCAGTTCAACTATGATTACAGTGTCATTGATAATCCTCTCCGTCCCAAAAAGTCGTCCAGCAAGGCGAAAGGATTTGGTATTGGCTTTGGTATTCTTGCCTTGATTTTGGTCGCAGTGGGTGCATTCTTCTTTATGAGACGTCGTCGCAATAAGAAGTCTAGAAGAACATTGAACCCTCGCTGGATGCGCAATGTGCCCTCTCACACCAACAATGGCGGTGGTGCTTACGGTGATGACCGCGATTATCCACTATTCGTTTACAACAAAGAGTTGGATAATGATAACATCAATAACCCCAATATCAAACAGCAAAATACATTTGCTCCTAATGGCGTACGCACCTATACTGCCTCTGATCACGAGCAATGGGAGCAGCAATTGAACCGTGATGCTGAAAATCCTCGTAATGACCAGACCAGCCTCAATCGTCATAGCGATATTTGGAAGCGTATGCGTGGACTTAATGATGAAGAGCATGCTTCAGCAGCAACACCAAACCAAAACAAGCTTTTGGATGTTTAAATCAAGTAAATACATATATATAATATTTTCCTTTCCTTTTTATCACACCATATATTCGTCCATACATATCCTTCTGAATAAAATATTCTATCCTTCTCGCAAATGTATGCGGTAGTTTGGTAGCAGACTGGAACCTTCTTGAAAGAGCCAATTGACCTTATTCACGCACTACACAAGAAAAAGTGATTGATATACATATCAAAAGATGTACAAAGAGGCTTTATTTGCACATACCTTGGGTTTCATGTTTGAATTAGCAGCATGCGTCGAATAACATAGATCGGTGATATACCTACACGGCGTCCTTAAGAAAGAGTGCAAAGCTTGACTAATTCAAACAATATGTCAAGTAAAAATGCTAGTCAAAGTATGCGATAGTGTTCTCGCTGCAATGCTTCATCAACAGGACATATCTGAAAGTATTATAGGAGCATAGAGCCCTAGATGAAATAAGGATTTAAGTTGCGTTGTGTCTCTAGTTTCCAGAGTAAAGTGCGTATAGACAGAAGATGAGGAAAAGGGCACAGTGCCTGTTGTACGCGATGTTGACCTGCATTAACCTCATGTCGTTGACCTGAGTTAAAGCGCGGTGGTCTTGAAGTTGTTCAGCAAGAGGGGAATCCTTGCCTTTAATTGCAATTGTACGAGCCAATTTGCCACGATTGCTCTAGTACATGGTTTGCCTAACTCTTTGTTACTTTTGGGACTGAACTATCTTTCATCTTCCCTTAGTTGACCCTGATGATCATTGTAACCACAAGTACTTCGATAAGAATTAATAAAAGCTTTATACTTTAGAAATGACATGAGATTTACCATAATTTCTACTTTGACGCGATAAATGTCTGTCTATTTCATATCTTTGGACTCAAATTGAATGTTTCCTGCGCTTTGATGGCAACCGTAATGAGAATTCCTGTTCAATGAATGCAATTTTTGGTTACAATTAGACTTTTCTATGTGTAGCCTGGAATGAACAGCAATCTAAATAAATACGAGAGTTGTCTGAAAGAAGTATTGAGAGCCCTTGGAAACCTTGAAACCAGTGGTTTGCTGGAAAATCAAGATTAATTACGATTAAATTTTACAACGTACACCGTTGATGTGGTGAATCGGAGGAGTGTAGTCAAAGAACAGATTTCTTTATTAGTACCAACCAACAAGTATAACAGTATTGTTAGGCTATTCGCATGCCACTTTATACGTGATTCTGTGGCCATACTCTCGTAACCAGTATTTTACATGCTATGATGTGGCATTCTTCAATCAGTAACCCCTCTTGGCCTCAAATATAATGATTGTCTTTACAATAAGCATGATTGCATTCATTTTACCAGCAGGCAGCAATCAGCCAAAAATAGTCTAATCTCCGCTTGACAATGTGTTCTGATTTGTTAGTTTTTGAATGTTTTGGACATAATTCCATCTATTTTATTGAATTTGACTATGTAAGTCGCCATAATCTTCGCATGCTTTCTAATGCTTCTTTGGAGTACTTTTTAAGGCGCTCCCAATGGTGCCAATTATAAGAGATGTTTTGACTAAACATACTGAGTTATGCTTAAAAATAAGAAATGACGTTTGTGGCCAAAATGTTGAGATTTTACATATGAAAGTTTCATAAGCAACTTTCAGGGGTTGCGTTGGATCGAGAGGAACATTTTGATTCAATATATACCTTAGTAAAAGTCTTCATTTTTGTGCTTAAAAACGTGATCGTTTGATTTTTGCTGAAAACCATGAGGTACCCCTTGCTTTTTGGTTGATTTTTGACGATGTTTTTTTGGTCCTCAAAAAGTTGAGCAAAGGTATTGATAAGCAAATACTAGTTGAGAGAGATCGTTTGGCGCTGTCCTTGCAATCTAAAACGGCCTCAAACATGAGAAAACACGGTCCAAATGCATTCACTTTTTGCCGTGTTTTGCATACACATGAGTGATAGGAAGCAATGCAAGTATGCTACTTGTCCGTACCTAAATTTCTTGCACCAATATAGACATGGGCATCGTAAATGTATTGAATCCATACTTACAGGTCAGTTTCTGTCTAGCAATAAGACAATTACATAGTGAAATTGCAATGTATACTAGTAAATGAAATGTGATTCCTTTTGAGCTTTTACTGAGTCCGTACATACTGAACGCTCAAGATGACGGATGGATTGGAGCAACTGCGCAAGTACAGGAACTTGCCAAACACAATGAAATCAGTTCTGATTGCTGTATAATAGCGTAGACAACTGAAAAGCAACCCAATATAATAGCATTTGATAGTGTAGGGTTAAAGCCATGCATCGACTAGCTTTCCTTGTCAATGATTGTGCTCAGGGCGCTTCAAAGTGGTACAGAATGAACACTTGGCCGATAGTGCAAGTAGCAACGCTGTACTGACAATAGCGACTGGAGCCATTATTTACAAATCAAGTGATGACAAAGCATAAATGTGTCTTTGCTGAAATACCATAAAGAGATTGTATGAATCAATAACTTTACATGATAGTGACAGAGTGAATTGAGACAAATTGCAAATGGGACACGAAACAAAATCATCTTCACCTTGTAATAATCATAAAAATGACTGCCTACAAATTTTATCAAGAGGATGGCATTAATCCTCCTGTAGACGAATATGAAAATGAGCCTGTCAACATGGAGGTAGATGAGGTGAACTATCCATGAGGAGACATTACAAACTGCAGTGTCTACTCCGATAAAAAGCCTGCTGAAAAAGAAATGGTTACTCGCGTCGTTGAGATGAAGAATGCCAAATACAAGGACACGTCTACTCGAGCCCATAATGTTTATACCGATCAATATAAGGCCAGGTTCTTCAACTTCATATACAATGACGATATGACCGCCGGCAAAGCTACTAAAGCTGCCAACATACTTCGGTCTACTGCGTACCGATGGTATAAAGATGACCAAGACAAAATCAATAGGAGAAGCGATAATGGCGAAGACACTCCTGGCTCAACTGAGACGAAGAAAGTTGGCCGATCAAAGCTTCTCAACGATGACCACAATGCGCACTTAAAGAAAGAGTTTGTGGACAGCCCTTCTGCCACTATAGATCAGGCCATGGAAAATTTAATTGGAGCTTTTCCTGGCTTAAAGATTAGTAAGTCGTTGGCCCATCAATATATGGTCAATGACTGTGCCTTGTCATTCAAGAAGGCCCATCTCCACTCAAAGCAAAGAAACTCCCCTGAAAGTATCCAAAATCGCTACGAATGGGTTAAGAAATGGGAGCAAACAGATGTGGACTACATGTCGAACTACGTCTTCCTTGATGCATCTGCTTTCCTTATCAACCTGAAGCGAACAATGGCTTGGTCTGAGAGGAGAACTCGTGCTGAGGTGGCTGTTCCTGTACTGAGGGCCAAAACCACAACTATTCTCGGTGCAGTAAGTGTTTGGGGCATTACCAATGTTCAAGTAAGAATACCAGGTGCCTCTGTTAAGAAAAGAAAGATAGGCGGAGGCTCTGGCAAAGTAGGATCTGGGGGGGGGGGGTACCGTAACAGGGCATTGTTTCAATTTTGTGGCTAAGACACTGGATGCTTTGGATAAGGATGATAGGTTCAAAGGCTTCTATATCATAATGGATAATGCGCCTATTCATACGGCCAATGACATTGAAAGATATATCATTCAGCAAGGCTACAGATGTGTATATCTTCCTCCATACTCTCCTGAGCTAAACCCTATTGAACAATTTTGGCATGTCGTAAAAAGCAAGCTGAAAAGAGAAAGGTTATTGTCAGACGAGAACCTCACTAGTAGAATAGCCGATGTATGTAACAGCGTTTTGTATAGCGATCTTGAGGGATTTGCTCGTTATTTTGTCAACAAATTTGAGGCATGCTTGAATAAACAGCCTTTGTAGTAAATAGGACACTCGAACCTCTGAGTTTGTCTCTTTTCATTTTTGGGAAAAAGTGTAAAAAAGGAAGACCGTGCTTATTACGCCGATTTTTGTTTGGTTTATCTACCTCTTGCCTTACAAACAGGAGCAATACAACCATGATGCTGCTTGATACACCTTGAGTGCTGCTCATACATTTAAAACATATTTTTGGAGCAGGATGATCATCGATAGAAACAGCTGTCAAACCGCCGTTCCTTTCTCTCCTCTTCAAAGCTTTGTAAAAGATCCCGGTGACTCCATAGTTCTATCCCTTCAAGCGGATCGAATCTTTGCCAAACATATCGGCTCGAAATAATACCAAAGACTTGCCTTTGGCTTGCATTTAGTATAGTTTCTCTCTCTCTACCAAATACATTAATATGCATATACTGTATATATTTTTGCAGTAATGATATCCGGTCTACTGGTTTACAAAAGCAAACATATTGTCATTCTCTTCTCTCCTTTTGTTCCTGGCTTTCTGTTTCTGCTTGCTTCTTGATTTCTATTGTATTTTTTCTTAGTACCACCATCAGCTTAGGTGTCCTTTCTTTTTCTTGAATCAAGAAGGAACGGCTCTTTGCTGTAATGCATGCTGAAGATCTGGCCATCATCAATTGTAGAAAGTTGCTTTCTTTTAACTGTTAAATTAGTAGTGATTTATTGATCTGTTGTGTCAGAATTAAACTTATACGTATTATGCGTGATAAACCAATTGATATTTTTCTTCCTTTCTCTTTCTCTTTCTATCGCAATATTCTGTTATCAAAGTTTCTAAGTTTATGTAAAATCTCTTTATGTACAAAGCAACAATTTTGAATAAGATTCGGTCTGTGAAAGAACAAAGGCGCTTAGAAGAAGGTACAAATATTGCAGAAAATATTGCATAACGTTTCTGTTAAACAGTTTTCAAGAAGGAGTTGGCTCTGCTAATAGTACAATTGTATGCAAAGACTGCAAAGAAGCTGGCCATTTTTCAAAGGCTTATTTCAAATGCAAATTTTATAAACAAATCAATGCCGATGACGGTAAGTATACATGCTTTGAAAGAGTACTCTACCCTTATACCCTGTTTGTTTCTGATGTTATTATATCAAAGTTGGAACGTCCAGCAAAAAACGCAAACAGAGTGACAGTGTGAAAGCCGACAAAAGACATACAAAGAAGCTTAGAGCTTCTTCCAGCAATGAAGACAGCCAAGATATATGCAAGAAGTGTCACAAGACTGGCCATAAATCAGCAAGATCACCAAAACGTGAAGCTCATATCGCCTCCAAGCAAGCCACACTCAAAGAAAATCTTGGCCAGGGATATCAAGCTTTCAACGGAAAGCTGCCTCTCGACAACTGTGTCCATCAACAATATATAAACCGCCTGAAGCCAGCAATCATTTCTGTTAACAGAGATATACGGGAGATAGTATTCCGTGCCAAGCTCCTTGTAAACTATTACCTTACATTTCGCTCCCAACAACAGCAAAACAATGATATCCCTCACTGTATCTTTACTCAACAATTTTGGTATTCCGTCTGTCAAAATGGTGAATGCAAAAAGAGTTACAAGCAGTACAAACATACCATCAGACATACTAGTAGTCTGGAATAGATTCAGCTCTACTCATAGGACTATTGTTTATGAAAAAAAGATTGAAGGAGGAACCTCCCAATGTATAGCCGAAGTGTGCACTGAGATAGTTACAAGCTACCAGAACAATATAGTAGAGAATTTTGAGGCGCATCTTCTGAAATATCTATATTACCAGCTGCAGAACATTTTCAAGGTAAAGCAAAAATATAAAGCACTCCTTCTAAAATATATAACTCACATATATATATATGACATATAGCAAATGGATCCTAACACTGTGAAAAAGATTGCCAAAAATTATTCCTACCAATACGTGTGCCAAGGAGATCCAATATGGCCAAACGATTTGACTATACCCTCAGGCTTCTTAGAAGATGCTATAAAAAACCGTGTAGACCAAGAATGTGAGTCAATAAAAGCTCTCATTGATCAAAGGGTGACCCTGATTACTCTACCCTCTGCCCCCGAAAAGGTGTACAAATGTCTCGAGCACATCTTGAATCAATATGAAGGAGAACACGAGCTTCACCATGTCTTTGATGTTCGGCGGCTTCCTATACCAAGATTATTCAGTATCTTACCAACACCTTCAGTGCACTGGAGATCTTTGGCTATCAGTGCAAACGCGTTGTCTGTCTTTGTCAAGAATCCATTGCCTAGAGGCTATGCCAATCAACTTCGATTGTTTTACCAAGTATTCAATTTCAAATTACTAGGCTATAGCAGGTAAATACAATATCTCGAAATCTAAAACCAAGGAAAGACACCAACTTGACTTTAACCATAGTATTGAAGAACTGATGCCTAATGGAGAGAATGACGTGCTGTTTGGCAATATCGTCAGGTCTGATGGCTTCTGTGTTGATTTTCTCTTTTATAAAAGAACTTCTGGTACAACGGACGAAATATCAACAGTAAATCACGATTTGGGTATAAAGGATTTTACCATAGAAGAGGTCACCCAATTGTATAGACCAAGTTTCCTTGACCCTGGCAGAAAGACAGTGTTTACTGCAGCTATTGGACTAGATCCTGATGTACATCAAGTGAGACGGTGCACAACAAAAGAGTACTACCATTTGACAGGCTCCACAGTGTATGCAAAGAAGTTGCAACAAGAAAAGGACACCGCCGGAATCACCGCAATTGAGTCTGCTATACCTTCAGCGAAAACTGCCAGAAATACCCAATTTTTACGATATGTAGATTACATACTTGCAAACATGGACACGTTGTTCACCTTTTATGGCTTCAGTACTGCTAAACATCGGTTTAACTTATACCAAGGAAAACAAAGAGCTCCTGACATGATGGTCAACATGTTGTTAAACGGCGGTGCTAAATACAATAAGAAGAAGCGTTTTGAAAAGAAGAACAAAAAACAAAAACGACATAACAAGAAAACGAAGCGGTTGCACAAGAACAAAAAAATAAGAAAGGAAAGAATAAGCAACAGCAGTACAGAAAGTAAGTTCATTAATTCAGTTTCATGTGTTCCTATAAACCTACTCATTTTATGCACTTTACTAGGCGAAATAAGTGGAGACCTTTAAAATATCAGGAAGAAGACAAATCCAAAGTTCCACTTGTTGTATTTGGAAACGGAATGTTCGGAAAGGATCTGGTAAAACTGAAAGGGCTTACGCTGTGGTGTTGCTGGGGTCATGTAGAGATGTCTCAAGAAACGAGAAGCTGCTGGTGATCTTCTAGTCATAACTATTGACGAATTTCTGACCTCACAAATTTGCAATATATGCAAAAGTAGGACACTGACAGGCCATTCAAACGTCAAAGGTCCAAGTGTACTTGTCTGTACAACATGTAATACACTTTGGCAAAGAGATGTAAACGCTGCAAAAAACATGATGTCCATTTCTCTTTCTGTCTGGATCGACAATGCAATACTCGAAATCTTCAGAAGAAACAATCGATAAACGTTACGTTCTCCCATCGCCGTAATCAATACGGTTTCCCTCTTTGGGATTTAGATTATTACAGGTAAAAAAAAAAAAAAGTCTGAATGATCATCTCTATTAGTCTTAAAACTGACTCTTTTCTGTCTCAACTTCATTCTCTTATTTATCTAAAAAAGGTAAACACACTGTCCAAAAATTAATTTTGTTTCGCCCAGAAAGAAATTAACATTGTCTGAACTTGAAGTGTAAAAACTGTATTGACAGGTCCATGCACGTTTCCATGGCAACCCTCTGATCTCTTGATTTGATTGACGTTTTATCGTCTATATTTGCATATTTCGAAGTGATGCTCTGTTAATTAGCGCATCATGGTCGAGGCCCGTTTCGAGTGTAAAACCACTGTCATTAGTAAAAACGGGGTACTAGCCTATCAGCTAACTAGCTCGAGGCATCGCCATTCTAACTTTACGGCACTTGGAAGATCTTGCCTTGATTTAGGAAAACATTGTTAAATAGGCTCATCTATTTTTTTGATCTAAAAAACTTTTCATGCTTGAGGCGGGCGCGTCGAGATGTAAAAAAAAAAAAAAAAAAAAAAAAAAAAAAAAAAAAAAAAAAAAAAAACGAGGGAAATAGGTACTAAGTGTGCAGTAATTAAGAGGCAAATGTTGATTAATGATGATAGGCTGAAATGTTAATTGACAGGTGAACAGGCACCAAAAAAAATAGGCCCGGGGCAAACGGAGTATTGGGCTTCTTGAATCAAATCAACCGTTTGTTTTGCCAAGCAACTCAGATGTGGTAAATGAAGAAGTTTTAGGCATAAAAATAGCTTGTTTTTGTAGTTATTTATATCTACCTCTGGTTCCTTTTCCCTCTTTTCCTCTTTCTTTCCTCTTTTTCTTTTTACATTCTCCAAGAAAAGAACGACATCAAGGACATGAAGCTTACATCTGTCACTAAACTAGCAATTTGTGTGCTACTTGTTCTGCAATTGTGTATATATGTAGCACATGCCCAATCCAATGTCACAGACTCCACTTCTTCAAAATCTGCTGATGACACCAAGAATAACGCTGTTTCTGCTCAACAAGTGGATCCAACCTCTTCTTCTGCTGCTGTCCCAGATGATGTAAGTACTAGCACAACAGCAAACGACAGAACCTCAACAACTGACCAATCTATTATATCCACTTCATCTGACATCTCACCTACTACAACAACCTCATCATCATCAACTACTTCATCATCTGGAATCATTCCTACATCATCTGCACCTACTGAATCATCATCATCTTCATCACGACAACAACAGACTACATCTGGCAGAACTACTGCCGCCCCTCTTTCGTCTACTACTGAAGCCCCTGTTTCAAGCACCACAACTGAGGCTCCTCCTTCTTCTACTACCGAGCCTCCCGCTACATCAGCTAACCCTACTACTGAACAACCTTCCTCTACTGAACAACCTTCCTCCACTGAACAACCTTCCTCTACTGAACAACCAACACAACCTACCACTACTGAAGCGCCTGTTACCAGCAATCCCGTTCCTAGCTCGAACTCTGAAGCACCTCCCACCTCATCATCTGTTCCCAAAAGCTCATCTACTGTTCCTCCCGCTTCCTCAACCAGCAGCACCAATGGATCTCACCATACTTCCAGAACCCCCTCTGCCAGTGCCAATCCTTCTTCAACCGCCTCATCTTCATCCGCCCCTGTTGCTTCTTCCTCTGAAGCGCCTGCAAGCACAGCGGATGGAGGCAGTAACAAGACTGCTGTCATTGCTGGCTCTGTTGTTGGTGGCGTGGTCGGTCTTGCTTTGATTGGAGGTTTGCTTGCTTGGATGAACCGTCGTGGAGGTTGCACTAGCCGCACAAAGAACAAGAATGGTTTGAGTCAAGATGATTACACAATCGACATGCATCAGAACGATTTCGGTCATGGCTCCAGCGCTGCCGCCGCCGCTGCTGCTGCCACTGGTGGAGCAATGGGTGCTACTGCAACTCACACTTCTACCGAACCCTTGTCGCCATTCGATAACACTCGTCGCTATGCTCCCGCTGCTGCTACTGCTGGAGGCATTTATGGGGCCAACAACACTGAGCCTTATGGCGACTATCACGAAGCCTACAGCCAAGCTGGATATAGTCAAGGCGGTTACAGCCAAGAGGGATATAGTCAAGATGGATATAATGGGTATGGTCAACAACCTGAATACGGTTACTATGATGGGGGCAACTATGCTGCTGCAGGCGCAATTCCTGGAGCTGCTGGAGCTGCTGGAGCTGCTGGTTATGATAGCAATCGTCATGAAATCAACAACAACATGTATGCTAATAACAATTACGATCCCTCGTATCAAACAAAGCATTACTCAGATCTTACTTCTCCTACAAGTGCTGGTAATTTGTCTGAGGGATACTCTTCTGTTGATAAGCCTAATGTCAAGGATTACAATAGCAAACCTAATGAAATGTAATTTTAAACTACACTTTATCTATTCCTATTATCCACTTCTTGTACCTTTATTATTCAAAACCCTCCCATTACTATACATAATTTATACATACTTTTTTACTATAGAATCCGCTTTTAATAAACATCAATTTCTTTTGTTTGTTGTTCTTTGCTGTCTGTCATACTTCAATGTTGATGATTTGAACGGGGACAATGATGGACTTTTTATGCTCATTAGATTCAGGCCCGAAGCACGATGATGGCTGGGCGTTAAACAATGCTTATTTAATTTAGCAAGGCTTTCACTTGATGCCGAACCAACTAATGCAAGTAAATGCCTAAGATTACAACTTTTATGAGAACTATGGCAGAATATCTGGTGGCACACAATCTTTTGTTTATGTGTGCATTGCTAAAACTATTACCCTGATGCAAGTTCAAACAATGGTTAGCGCGCAGTTACTCGGTCATGCCCAATCTACCTATAAAAACCTTTTAAATGTGATGAATATAGCAACTGCGATGTAATTTGAAGAATTATACTTATCCTATTTGAACCTACCATAGGTCTCAATGAGGTCATTAGAAGACTTCCAAATGGCTCATTGATCGAGTATGCAAACTAGCATGCTATACAAAGCAAGCGAATGGGTGCATACTGTGTTTCATATCAGTCTATAAAGAACGAGCTCATCGCTTTCTAAATTGCCAAGTAAAACTTATTGCTGTACTTTATGGAAACTAGCCATGCTTCTGAATTTAATCGGATAAAAATCATTCACTAGGCGCTCATGTAAAAGATGCAACGACGATTGAAAGCAGAAACTCTTTGATTCGGTGTATGTGAATGCAGACACTACCCTAAATCCGTCAAAATGTCAAGCGGAGTTGTTGAAAATCCAGGCACCAATTTTCCAAATGAGCTGTGATCTCTTTTCTTTTTGACCATGAGAATCATATGGATAAGCAAAAAGACTATAATATACTATGAATGGACCCAGAATTTTGCCAAAGTGTAAATATACGCTTAATTTGAGGATGTACCAAACTACTTTTGCAAGGTCAAGTACCAGGGCAGAGCCCAGGATTTGTTGGTGCTCCCGAATCAAGATAACTTGCGATGGACTCTGGAAGCATGGTCTTGTTTATCGAGGCACTTGATAGAGACATGTGATAAAAAAAAATGGGATTTTGGCATTTGCATGTGATTATAGCCGCTTTCTTCTTTGGAGCATTGAGTATTTGTAGTAAATTCAGAGCACGTCGTAGTCGAAAGATTACACTGCTTGGTAATTTCGAGTAGATAGCAACCAATCAATAAACAAATTATGACCGCATAGAACTGGCATTATGACTTTAAATGTACCAGAATTTTGTCCGAGATTCTGTAGTAATATGCAATGGAACCTTATTTTGCTGTCATATCTGTGTAGATCGTTGTGCCGAGAGCAGTATCCTCGCTTTCAGCGAAATGTTGAGTGTGGGATGAATCAGATAAATATATTCAAATGCTTCAAGAAAAGCCAACTCTCTGATTTCAGGGCGACTTTGAAACAAGACAAATGTTTACAACCCAAGTTACAAAGAGTATGCTAATAAACCGAGTATTCATTTGCTTGGCTTATTAAATGAAGATTGCATTATAGGGCCCAGTAAATCAGAAACAATCCAGGACCTTGTATATTCATTATCTAACCTTATGCGATTAAAAAAAAAACTGTCATATGTAATCCATATGTCTGAACCATTGATTGAATGCCAAACAATAGGAGAAAACTCAAGATTTTCTTGATTGTTGTATTGTACTCAGGAACAACAGATGTTCATTGTCTATTGGACTTTATATTAAAAGGGAGGTTTTTAATAACAAGAAATTAATAATATTGATGAAATCAGGGTTCTTTGTGTCTTGGATTCACATGTGAAAAAGTAGATTAAGAATTACTCAAAAGATCGGTAACTGTCAAATGTAAATTTCTTTACAAACTGTGCCAAGGAAACCTTGTTATGATGCTTGATATTAATCACAAATGTAATGCATGCAATGCACATATGCGCGTTGCATACCTTCACTCAAATGTCCAATCAAATCAACAGCATGCTCTACTAGTCGATTAAGCCCATTCCCATACACCTTTATTCTTGTTTGTTTGTATCAACAGAATCCCTCTTGGAGCATGCCTCACGCCTACTAAGTGTTTTGTATCACCAATGCTTTTGTGCCACTGTATGGTTAGATAAACATATGATGTTATAAAATATGCAAATCGATACGTAATGCTGCATGAGGAACTCAAGGTCTGTGTGCCTCTAATTTCAGTATTTGTATGTATCTTAAAAATAGTTATCTCTTTGCTCATGTCGGAACCGACCCTAATTTGGGAAATATAATATAGTCAAAGAGTCATCGCGTGGCAAATGCTAGTATAGAAAGGGGGGGGGATCAAAGAAAAGCCAAGAATCAGGAGTTTTAGTTGGTCCCCTTTGATACGCCCAACAATCATGATAATTATAGATTTCATGCTATTATATAAAGTAGTGATCTATTGCGTATCCCCATCTTTCTTCCTCTTTCTTATCACCTATAAAATGACCCGTTGGTACAGTGCCCCCTTACAATTACATCGACGCTGGAAACAATCGAAATCGCATCCCAGCAAGCGTCAAATCGACAATGGCAGATATTCCATATTAGATCAAATCGGCCAAGGTGCATCAGGCATTGTCCATTTGGCCGCTGAAGCCAAAACAAACAAGAAATTCGCCATCAAGGAAATGAACAAATCAAGACTTCAAAGACGATACCACCAATCTCAACTCATCAATAACAGAAAGCCGCTGTATCCTGAATCTAAGAAGCGTAAACTAGAAGATTTGGAGCTACATATTGAAGAAATCGAGATATTAAAGCAACTACCAGCACATTTAAACATTATTCAATTCATAGAGGTCATTGACAATGATCCTGACAACGAAGACTCCATATTTATAGTTACCGAAATTGCAGAAAAAGGCATTATTATGGATGTGACACCTCATGCAATGACAAAGCCAATATCTCAAGGTCAATGCCGTGACATATTCTCCCAATTAGTGGATGCTGTTGAGCATTGTGAGTATTACATTGATCCAACTACGACATGGCACTAATATATACAGCACAGTGCATTCGAATAATATAGTTCATCGAGATATAAAGCCTCAGAATCTGGTCATGTCAAATAACAACATTGTCAAATTGATCGATTTTGGAAACGCCACTTGTATTACAGCAGTCACAATTAGCTCTACAAGCAGCAGTGTAGGCTCTCCTGCATTTATGGCCCCTGAATTGCTGAAAAGAGGTACAACAATGTAAACATTTGACTAAAAATAGTAGAAGGTACTTACCTCTATCCCGCATTTGCAGCTGCACGACGAAATCAAGAACACAGTGTATCCCCTACATGTGCCGATCTTTGGTCTATGGGAGTTACACTTTACTGCATGGTGTATGGACATTTGCCATTTGAAAAAGCAAGCTTGATGGACCTCTACAGCGATATCCAGAACAAGGCGTAAGTGACACTTGGTGGTTTACCATGTATCATGTTACTGATGCTTTCAATATAGTATCGATCACTCTGATAAAGTGGATCCCTCTCTACGGGATCTCATCGACAGGTTGCTGGAGAAGAACCCTCAAACCCGAATTACGATACAAGATGTCAAGGTAATGTAGCACCCTCATCACGCAGGACGAATTCCAATTTTTGTTGACAGCATGTTGTATTTTTAGAAACACGCTTGGTTGAATCAATAATGCAATTCATAGCACCCATATTCACATATAACCACTTTTATACCTACAATGCCCATCTGTATACATACACTCATCAATATTTATTGTACCCATTACTATCATTTTTGCCATACTAATACCTTTGTACATGTACCTATACTATACACAACTACTACCACATGGATGCTCTATAATACTACTGTACCACTACTACTGCTGCTGCTACTATATACATACTACTGTATGCCCTCAACATCGATAAATACGCTCTCATTACTACATGTACAAATACAATTTCCCCTCTCCAATCCTTTTTATTGTACCTCTTCATTCCTTGCAAAACTTATCATAAACTAGATGCTATATTTAACCTTTTCTTCTCCTGGATGAAGGCCAAATACATCGACATCCCAAGAAATATAGGGATCGCCTAGTCTACGAGTAGGTTGATTTTCTATCAATTTGTTGATGCGTTCAAAGTCCTGAGACTCCAGTCGAACATCCTTCAGATTAGATATAATTCTGGATGGAGTCACTGATTTGGGCAATACAGCATAGCCTCTCTCAATGCCCCATGAAATCAAAATTTGTGCGGCTGTAGCATTGTACTTGTCGGCAATGGCAATCTGTAAACAAGTAGTAGTTGAGTACATTGAGGTATGTAGATAGCGCACTGTATACATACAATGGCTTCATCCTTCATTAAGGGAGAATCACTGCTTCCTAGGGGTGAATAGGCACACACTATGCACAATGGTTCAATCTACCATCTGATTTGGCTTGAACTGCAATACACTTACATAAAATTTGATGCTTTTGACAGTAATCAACTAATTCTTGTTGCGGCAGATAAGGGTGCAATTCAACTTGGTTTACTGCAGGAGAAACTTTAGCGGTAGTTGCTAGCTTCTCCAAATGCGGAATGTCAAAGTTACTCACACCAATGGCTCTGAGTCTGCTCCCAAGCAATTTCTCCATTTCCTACTCGACATTGACGTCAAGCCCACATCCTTCTCAGCAATGGATGTCTCTACTTACAGCATATGTAGTAGTGAAATGAGTGTCATCTAATAGAATGACACCGTCTTCACCTCGAGGTTGCTTCACATCAGCAGGCTGAAATGAAACTGGCCAATGCATCAAGTACAGGTCGAGATATTCCAATTGCAAATTTTTGAGTGATCTCTCAAATGCCGCCTGAACAAGCTCAGGGCGATGGCAAGTATTCCACAATTTTGTAGTAATAAACAGCTCTTCGCGAGGAACATTGCTGTCTTTAATAGCTTGGCCTACTTGCTGTTCATTGCCATCTGTATATGTGTTCCATCAGCTTCCGCTAGCAATCTCGTATGCCATGTGATTTACTTACAAACAAATGCTGCGTCAATGTGTCTATAGCTGTATATACAAAAGAAAAAAGTCTGAGAAAACACAGGAAATAGATGGTTACAATGTACAACTACCCAGCCTCAATTGCTGTCTTGACGGCATCATAGACTTCTTCTGGCTTGGATCGCCAAGTACCTAACCCGATTGCTGGAATGTTTGCACCTGTATTGCTATCATATGCGATTAAACACATGGCTCAAAACAAGCAAATCATTTCCCTTACAGCTTAAACACGCGGCTATCTGACATTGTGTATATTTAGAGATGAGAAATAGAGTGCAAAAGAGGAACAGAAAACTGGGATTAGCTCTTTATAAGATTCTATACTATTACATAAGCAGTTCTCCGCTCAAACTTTGAGGCTGGATCATCTGGTGCTACCAAGACAGTTGCTAGTGTTTAATAAGCTTATTGTCAGCATGAAAAAGGAGCTCATGAAACCTCTGTCACATCAACTCTGTGCGTTTATTACGGCCTACTTTATAAATCGCTTTTATTTTTTTCTCTTTCGTTTATCTAGTCGACCCAGAAAATGAATGATGCTTCCACATTAATTAGTAAGTTATATTACCTCGAGTGATCTAGCAACATTTCATTGATTGCATTGTACAGACAAAAAGTCCGATAATTTCATGATCAAGATCAAGTCAAAGATACCGCCATTACCTCAGATTCGAACCACCTTAAAAGCAACTATTGCGACCCTGATCAGTCTGATCTTTGTCTTGAATAATAATACAAGAGCGTCGATAGGCACTGCTAGCACTCTAGTAACACTGGGTACCCTACTGTATTTTCCGGTCAAGCCAATTGGTAAGGTTTGCAGCTTTTGGCATGAATGATTGATATAACAAATCATTTTCTAGGAACACACATTAAAGTGAGATCAAATAAAAGAGGCTACACAAGCAATATATACTTACTCGTACGTCTTACTGCTCTAGATAGCCATACAGGGAGTGCTGAGTGCTTCAATAGGAGCAGCATGGTGTTTGTCGGGCAACTACGTTGCCAATCTTGCTAGAAATCCAGCCGTTGCAAACCCTATACAGCCAGCATCTAGTGCAGTATCTGCTGTATTCTGTACCGTGTTGGTGTTTGTCATTGCCTATGTCAGAACTAAATACCCGCAAAGTATGAATGAATGAATGATATGCATGTGAGCAATTTTGTTTTACCAATGTCTTTTGTATCATCTGTAGTCTACTTTGCAACCATCTTTGCTGGCATGATTGGCTCTGTAAGCATACAACACAATCAAATCACACATCCACACAGCTATACTCATTATCTCTTGCTCCATTCATAGTTTGCTCTTACTGTAAATGCTTCAGCTCCTGGATTTCAGACGAGTATTACGGTAAATAGACACATTCAACAGAGGAGAGGACGAGAAGGAGCAGGAGGCGCAATCCTTTATCGTGTAACAAATGACTAAGAGGTTATTCATGCATCTTTAGCTGAATTTCTTCAAACCTTTACTATTTGCATCTGCTATATCGTTACTAGTCAATGTGCTTATATGGCCTGAAGACAGCGCAACGCATTATTTCCAAGTGCTGGATCAGACATTGCAAGATTACTGCTCGTTTTATCAAGAAACAGCCAAGGCATTTAAAGCATCTCAGCTGCTGGACGTTGAAAAGAGGCCCTCGTTCTCAAAATTACACGCCAAACTGCAAGGAGCACTCATCAAATTGGTCGACAGTCAACACGACGCAGAATTCATTGTCTTTTACAGCAGACTCTCGCAATCAGATATCCGTAATGTAACACAAAAAGTGAAAGAGATGCGCACGCCGTTGCATGGCATTGGTGTCAGCTTGTTGTGCAAAACCCAAACAGTCTCTGATGACGATAAGAAGGATCAGACATCAAGAAATACACCTGTGGATGTTGAATTGGAGGAGGCAACGGATGACTTGATTCAGGCATCTATCACGGCTTTGAAGGAATGCAGTCTACGAGTGGATACGTTCAAGGAAAGACCTCGCTCATTGAAAAGTACTATATTATGGCCATTCCCTCGCCTTTTTGTATCCAGACCTACATCCACCATGGAATACACCATGTCCTCTGAAAGCATGGAGCCCTTTATATCAGCATTTCAGAACGCAACACAAAAATGGCGCCTGAAAAACAACAAGCAAGATATGACACAGCAAGTTGCCTATCTATTCCAATTCAACCTGTTAGGATTCGCAAACAGTATTCAGTCAATCGTGTCACTCATTGAAAAATTGGATTTAACAAGGCCTCAGAGAAGAAAGTTTTGGTTTCCCAGGATGTCCTTAAAACGATGGCTCAAACCATCAGTCAGTGATAAGGCTCAGTTGGGTGGACAAATCAGTTCTCGTATTTCGGTTGCTGAAAGTAGCTTGTTTGGAGGAAGTAGCACTGACGATAGTGATTTCAGAAAGGAGCAAGATAGCGAGCTGGGCCTCACACATGGCATACCTCAATCCAAATTTGAGCAAGAAAATGACCAGGAAGAAGACGCTTATGTCTGTGCTATGAATCGTACCAACAGACCATGTCCTCGAGACCCAGATGTTGATGCTCCCGTGACATTTACAGAGAAATTCTTTGATCACCTAAGCAAATTCTTTGACTGGATTTACAGCATGGAAACGATATTTGCAGTCAAGACAGCAGCAGGATTCATTATTCTATCTATTCCGGCCTATCTCCCTCAAAGCGTCGGTTGGTTTACTAGTTGGGGCGGGCAGTGGGTTGCCAATACACTACTGATGTGGATGATTCCTATGGCTGGCATGTTTAATTTTACGTGAGTTGATAACATTGCCTACAATATGCAGCAATTTACTTACTAGTTCACAGACTGGCTTTTGGTCTTTTAGGGACACTGTGTGGTGGTGTTTTGAGTATCATCGTCTATGAGATTGCCAGAGGAAACCCCTATGGTCTAGCAGTACTGACATTTGTTGTTATGCCTCCTTTCCATTACATGTTCTTCACAAACCCGTCCTATAGCTTCTTTTCTGTCATGACTCAATATGCCTACTTGATGGTACGTATTTGTGTCAGACGACGAACCACTGGGTATTAATAGCTGTTACAGATTATCACTACTGGATACCAGACTTCCCTCACCGGAGGTGATCAAACAAATGTGATTGAAATTGCAGCTGGAAAGGTAATCTGTCATTTCGGTAAATGTCTATGATGTGGTTTACTGATTGATTGTATGCAGCGAATGATGTATATTGTGCTCGGCATTGTAGGCTCCTTTCTCATCAATCTGATTCCACGTCCTGTCACTGGTCGAGTAGAGCTTCGAAAGAGAATAGCACGAACATTTTACGACATGAGTGTTGTGTATGGCATCATTTTCTCGGATATTCTGTCCAGCCACAACAATGGATCACCCTCTACAACCTCAAACCAGATCAAGGCATTCAGACAGCTCACTGTACATCTTCAAAGACAATTGAAAGATGAGCAAACGTATTTGATGCTGTCCAAGCTTGAGCCGCCATTGAAAGGAAAGTTTCCCTTTGCTACCTATCAAACACTGATTGAGAAGCTCAACAACATGGCTGATCTGCTCGAAGGCATGGCGTATACCTCTCGATACATGGATGAAAGCTGGAGAAGTCGGCTAATCCATGTGTTGAATGAAGAAAAACTGGATTATGTTGCCTGTCTTTTGACAATCATGCGTCAATTATCTGCTACGTTGCTCGCCAAGGTGCCTTTACCACCCTATTTGATCTCCCCCAACGATCTCAAAGAAAAGCTATCTCAAAAGCTGTGTGCTGTCATTGCCATGCATCCGGAACAAGTTCAAAACGACACTTATCCTAGCTATTGTGCATATTCAGTGGCTTCTTATATATTCACCCAGGAATTGAATGAAGCAGCTGCCTGTGTTGAGGAACTGTTGGGCGTAGAAAACCCCCAAACTTGGCTATCTAAACACGCTTGATTTACACCAATTATATACACTACAATGCATAGTATTTACTCTAATAAATTTATCGCGAGCGATGTACACTACCATTGCTTGAACTGTATTTCATACTTTATTGCATAATAAAATACACAATTTTTCCTATTTCACAACTGTAACATTTTTCATTGGCAATCGAAGCAAATATCCTGCCATTTTATGTTCATGTCTATAACTTTCCAAACCAAATCTTGGTAATTCAGAAGCAAGCACTTGTATCAGCAGGCCAACTTTCTAGCAAGATTTTGCGAGAAAACAATGCTGTAGTTAGATTCCAGATAGGATGGTGGATTGCTGCTCATGAGCGAATGATTTTTTGAAATAAAACAATTTTGTATAAAGCCTATTGAAAACTGTTAATTACAAGTGATTACGAGTCATGGATTGATAGATTACTAGGTGTTGGGAAACGTTTTACTGAAAGCTGTTTGGTGATATCTTACTTTACTGAAGTTTGGCAAAGACTTGAAGTTGTGCTGCGAGTTTTAGCAAAAGGGAGGATATTGCTTTTTCACGCCCCACATTGATGCTAAAGACTTCATATCAGAAGAAATATATGCCTAATTTGACGGGTTGCTAAACAATTAAACGGATTTTCAGTCGCTACATTTGTTATCAAATTATTATGCGGGTAAAGTGTAAAAAAACATCAGTATAAAAAAAACCAGTGATTCAGCACTATTATCAGTATCACTGTCAGTTCAGCTAGGCTTCTTCTCTACAAACTCAATCTTACTCCACTGTGCTTGCTCTACAAAATCAGACCTCGTTTGAGTACCTACTACTGCGATACTTCCCTTCAAATATAGCTTTTTAACGTCCAAATTCGGGATGTTGTACAGTGGCAAAAACACACCTTTCTTTAATTAATAACAACAGCACAAAAACATCCATACGGTGCTCAAGTCTATAAAATATACTTAGGGCATGCATTGAGTAATACTAGCGCACAAAGGAAATTTTATCTGCTAGACTACTGAATCAAAAGCTAGCTTTTCAGCGATTGATTTTAGACAATTTGGCTGAAGCCAACCTTTTCGGCAGTGTATTCGATCTCTTTTTGGTCAATGACTACTACGCCGAGATGATATATAAATAGCAGGCCATTAGGATCATATTGATTGCTAGTAAAGCTAGTTGAGAGACCACCTAAATCGATATGATTCATATATTGTCGGTGGATCTTTATATCTTGATATTGAGAAGACTGAATCTATTGCAGTTCCTGAGGCATACGTGCACACACAATTGACTGGGCTTGTAAACATAGATGTGATGTGATACGATAAGCATCACCTCTGTTGCTACACCATGAAAGTGGCTTGAGAGGACAGAAGTAAATATAACCTAGTAGGATGTATTCTTGTATGCAACAGCCACATTGTGCTGAAACCGACTCAGAGTATCCGACATCAGCCATTTTTCCTTACTTATGAGTGTCCAATATTGTTGGTAGAATTTATCAAGTCTAGTTTCACGGCTAGAAATGGCATCTCTGTTGTGGAAGGCCGCCAAAGGTGTCCTGATGACCTAATTGGAATCTCGTTCAACCCGAGCATGTCGTTAAATTCAAACTTGCATAATATCATTCAACCTCAAGTCTTAAAATTACTGTAATCGCACATTTCAAAAAGAAATACTTGAGCCTTAGAATTAGAATAAAAGCATCTATCACTTAAAAACTAAGTTACTACGTACAATGCAGAACATCTGGGTCAGTAGAAAGAGCTGCCATTACTTACTCCTTTGGCGACAAAACCTACTACGCCATGTTTTTAGGTCAAATTTTGTTCTAATCTACCCATTTTCAAGCACGAATAACTCATGCCACAAAGCTTTCTGTGTGCTTGGAATAGCGCCAAATGGCTCTTCCTTGATACACCATACTTTTTGATGCTTTATCTCAATTTTTTTGGGCCATCGCAAATTTATAAAAATCCTCATATTTTTCATGTGTACTAGTAAGGGAAAATTCTCAAAAATGAAGACTTTGCATATGATACATATCATATCAAATTGATCACAAAAATGGAATGCAACACTGGAAACTCTTTCTAAGATATTTTCATATGCTAAATTTTGACTGTTTAGAATAACGAAATATAGACAGAGTAAATACAATTAGAACTGAATATATTTATTAAGCTATTCCAAGATTGAATGAGGATCACAACTAGTGTAGATATCAAAGGTATTTATAGTTATTTGACAGTGCCGCAGCAATAGGACCTTGATCTTGAATGCGGGATAGTTGTATAAGCCTTGAATCAGTTAACGAGAATGTACTGCATAAGAACTCATGAACCACCAGTCAAGGATAAACAACAAAGATGATCCAGGATAGAATGTTCTTCCTAATAGCTTTGATGGAAGAACATTTGTCGGAATTGAAACTCACTTTCAGGGACGAAATGTCATAAGCTACCACACTCTAGGAACCAGGATATAGATTATCCATTTGATGGCACCACTCTTACTCCTTTGCACTGTCTGAATAAAGAGATCTCAATATACCACACACCTCGGCTCCTGTTCAATCCTTCTTATGTATTATACGTTATAGTACATTTGCCTCTCAGATATAATCTATATCCTAAACAGCTGTTGCATTTGCATGTTTGATCCACTAAAAGGTACATGATGTTATATGTACTTGATTTGTTATTGCCGAGTAATGTAAATACGCTTCATTAGTAGATTTTGGTTTGTCTAACACATTTGGCAGGATGCTCGACACAAAAATATCGCTTTCTTCGATCCAGCTAGCTTACAAATAAACGCTATCCAATATTCCAAATAATGATGGTTTGTGGTATTAAATGCATTCATCAGAGTATGATAACAAAGAGATTGCAACTTTAGGTCACGTTTTTCCATATGTCCTTTTTACAGGGCAAAAGGTATGTGGGCTTCATTATGTTGGCTTCATGGCTACTCACCATTTTTCCACTGTGGCGTAGTCGACTTAGACTGAATAGCATAATTTGATACTACGAATGTTTTAATTCTCGCACATTTTACGCCTGTTGTTCATGAAACTACCTCCAGAAATTCTAGACAAGATATTCACTGAAAGCAACCTTACAAGCAAAGACTTGCTTCAACTTCAACTCACATGCAAACATTGGAGTCCCACCGCCGAGAAAGCTTTATATACTTCCATAAATCTTGGAGATGCAGATTTCGATGATATCGACCAATATACACCTGAAGTGGCATTAAAAAGAGCAAAACTACTGATACGAACGCTCGTTCTACCCAGCAACCTCAGCAGATTTTGGGTTCAAACCATTCATTTTGGCCGAATGTTCAGTTATATACAGTTCGACTATATACCCCAATATCCGCATTTCGACATAGCAATGCTTGCACATTTATGTCCCAGCATTTGCAAGATATCCGCTGAACCAGCGACTATGGATTTTTACCAGCTCTTGACACAATTACATTGCGATGGATATTTGCAGCATTTGCAGAATATTTGCTGGCCAGAAATCACTGTTTCATACGACCATGTTCTATGGATCTCTTATAATACTATGCTACAAGAATTCAAAAACTGCATCAAAGAGATTTTAATCCTAGATCCTAGCAACAATGGTCTTCCGAATTCAATAGTACTCGCCAAGAAGCACTTGATCACTCCTGACGTCTTACAAATTTTCAAAAAGTTGGAATCATTATACGTTCTGGAGTTCGCCAGAATGAAACTACATCAATTAGAAAGGTACATTCGGAAATGTATTTCTCATTTACGGCACATTGAAATAGAAATGAAAGATGAAAGTGGTTCTCAAGACGAGGGCTTCCTTATCTTGTCAGTGGCCCAACCACAACAGCAAGTAATCCGGCTTGAAATCATGTTCCGAGAACCTATTACTCAAAGTGATATGCTTTGTATGATGCATAACTATCCGTCGCTCCAAGAATTATGCTTTGCAGTGAATGGACCACTGGATGATTTGTCTGATTCTGTCGACGTTGCAATCACCTATCAATTCCTAGAGTATTTGTTCAAAACTCCTTATGTCGACTTTGATGAAATACATATCAGTATTGATAGTATTCCTCAACTCATCCACTTTGTTGCAAGATCAATCCAAGTCAAGACAGTGCGTTTCTCGGCCCTGGACCCAAAGGGCAAAGACCAAGCGTTGATCAGTCTACATCATAATTTGAAAAATCCAAAGACAACCAATAACAAAAGCGAGCAGATCAAGACACACTTTTGCCAATTCGAAGTGATACTGATTTCACATGAACCACACATGCTATTCAGTCATGTCTTGAATGTCTTCAAAGCAGGAGATATCGAAAAACTGATCATTGGACCGCAATACATACAAGATGGCTCACTACCGCTTCAAATCACCCGAGGTATGATCAATGCTATCCTTGATGATTACCAAATGCTGAATGGCTTGGTGTTCACTCTTGTTGAGTTTCCTGAAGACGCTCCAGCTGTACCAGCCACAGGACGAAAGAAATGTTTAGAGACTTTGGCTTTGCAGGAGTGTGTCATCAACCCAAGTTATCTTGCTGAATTTTCTCTTCAACTTGAGCATGTGGATGAGCTCAAATACCTCGATTCCAAGGTAGACCAATATTACCTCAACAGTGAAAATGCAAAAATCAGTATCCACATGCCGCACACCACATTCACGAACATTGATTTTGCGTTTCCTGCCATTGGATCGTACCTCATCAAGGTTACGACCGCTGATGCTTGCTTCAGAATCAAGACATCGCGCAAACAGGGTCTGGCACCATTGTCATCAGAGGAGTATCACCAGCTTGAGATTGCAAACGATACCTACCAAGTGGATATGGTCTGCCATGCCGTCAATACTATCACTACCAATCATGGCTCTTTCAATGTGTGAAAGGGATTCCAATCAAAATAAAGTTCTTACAGCCTTTCATTTGACATTTGACAGATACAACCTCATTCAAAAATGGCTTTAACTAGGATAGCAGAAGCAGCATTTGGTGAGTAATGTGGCATATCACAATATATTCAATCCAATGCTTTGCAAAATGAATGTCAAATACCAACATTTTTATGACCCAGCGAGAGTAATACACTTGTCTGGTTGGTGGAGTAGCAGATACACCTAATCCACCAGACGTTTGAGAGGCCAAGTCTACGTCATTTAAGGTCTTCTATAGTCACGGATGGTACGCGTTTCGTACTTGATTTCAAAAAGAGGATTTTCAACCAAGCTGTGCCTTTTCATCATTCAATCACATACAACAAAATGTCTTCTGTTCAACAACAACAACAACAGCAACAACAAAAATTAACTGAGGAGCAATCCAAGAACAACTTGGCTCAACTTGGCGCACTTGAGGAGGATGATGAGTTTGAGGAATTCGCTGCTGAAGGTATGTGTACACAGGCAAAAGTCATCCACCGTAGTATAACTGAAAATATACGCAGATTGGGGGGAGAATGAGGAGGATCCAAAAGACCCCCACTTCTGGGAAGACAACTGGGATGATGACGATGTCGAGGACGATTTCTCAAAGCAGCTGCGGTAAGCTGATTATAACAAAACCAACACCATGGCCATCTAATGAAGCTCTTGTATTTAGTGCTGAACTTGAGAAGGAATCCAACCAACCTCAAGCTATGAAAATGTAAATGCAATCGTTCCAACTCACTGAAAAAAAGAAATCCTATCACCCCCAATTCATCTTTATATATAAACAAGCCCACTTTTACAGTCTTATAAGCAAATACAACAAGATACAAAGAAACACTTCAGCATTTGATTCTCTGGACTCTGTTATTTACGATTCATTTCATTTTATTATTCAGAAAGGGGGGGGGAAAATTGAGGGGATATTATTCATGATGAGGAAAAGATATGTACAAATGAGACAACTACAGAGATGTGTAAAGAAAACGTCGGTGTGTGGTGAGGAAGAATGCTACAATGAGGATACAGCGCAAGCTAGACTTGATTGTGGGGAGGGTGCTTCAGTAAGTGTTATGGAACAAGACGGAGCTGAATGCGGTTTTTTGGGATCAATTCGAGAATATTCAATGACGATGATTGATTCAACTCCAAGAGCTTGAAATTAGATCCTTTTGAACATAATCATCATAAGTGACATTGGAGATCCCGAACAAGGTGGATGATCTACGTCTCTTTTCATTTGCACCACCAGTAGAAGAAGCAACTGCTGTACTACCAATTGGAATGGGTTCAGAAATAGAGTTATTTCTGCCTAATGGCATCGATGGAGAAGCAGAGAACTTGGACAGCATGCTATGGTTATCATTTTGCAATTCTTCTGCGATGGATGGTCTGCGAGAGTCTGAAGCAGAATATTCGCTTTCAGAGGAATGTCGATTATTGTTGCTACTGGCGCTTGCACGATTGTTATTGTTGGGATTCTTTGTAATACTTTCACGAATGGTGTTCAGTATTCTTGTAAACATAATGAAAGAGAAAAAAATTCAGAAAGAGAGAGAGAGAAAATGAATGGTGTGGGATATTTTTATACATCAGAATTTGCATTAAAAAGTAAATCTAAACGAATGAAATCTATAGCTCTTCGTCTTCATCAGGGATTGGTGCTGCCATTAAAGACGTAGCATTAGGAATATTGAATTGGAATGATTCTTCCAACATGGCATCGTCCTCATCAAACAGACTGTTGCCGCTGTGTCCACCAGCTTGTCTTCTAGCCTTCTTTTGCTGTGCTTTCAACTGCTTCTTGAGCTGCTGGTTGGTCTGAGGGTTCAGCTCTTCCTCTGTGTGTGAGACAATGTGCTGAGGTCGACTGATGGCATTCTTCTTTTTCATGTTCAACATTTTATCCACTTGAATGATGGGTTGTGATATATTGCTGTTGCTCTCTGTGATCATGTCGTCAGTTGCAGTATCCATGGATGTATCCATGCTATCCATATCAGCATCATTCGTCATATCAATATCGTCATTGGCTTGCTATAATCAATGAATAGTCAAATTAAGGTTTCCATAGAGACGAGAAGAACACCTACCATGACAACACTGGATCCAAATTCGTTACTTGATTTGAGTCCAGCCAGAACAATATCAGCAGATGCGAGGTCTAAATCTAATTCTTTACCCCATGTATTCACCACAGAAGCTTCAATATGACTCTTCTTGGAGGAGGGAGGAATGGTATAATATGGGATTTTTCCACCATTCCAATCCGTTAATACATGACGAGCAACTTGATGCGTATCAGCGACACCTCCCTTATGGATGAGGATTAGTACCAAGATGAAAATAAACCAAATAAAAATCATCCAACCTTTTTAAGTTTACCACGTTGTTGAGCCAATAACACTAGAAATTCATGCGCATTATTGAAATAAGCGACATTGTACATTTTCATCAGCTGTTCTGTTGTGCATCTAGATACAATCACTTCGACAGGTGTAATGGGGTCGTCCAATAGCTCGACCTTGACACAATTTCTCAGTGTGATTTCAGCTGCGTTTTGTCCGTCTTGGCCTTGTTGAGCAAACACAATACCAGGGCAATCCAGCAATTTGATGTTTTTGTCCAATGTGATTTGTTGAGCGACTTTGGTGAAACCAGGTGTGGATCCAACACCACACACTTTGGATCGCTTGAGTGAGTTGATGACTGAGGATTTGCCAACATTGGGATAGCCCACAATACCCACTGTGATGGACGTCTTCAAGTTGATGTTTCTACAATAGTTCTTCAATAGCTTGATCAATGTGTCAGCACCCAAACATTCAGCAGAGTTCAACATGTTGCTACTGGCTGCGTCGGTGGATACGTTGGATTGACTCAAGTTGTTACGTTGGCTCTGTGTAGATGCCTTGAATGCGATGGCTGGATATTCGTTTCTCAGGTACTTTAGCCACTGTTCGACGTTCTCTTTGGGCACTAAATCAATCTTGTTCATGACGAGGATAATCTTCTTCTCAAGGCCGCTGTCCATGACCATACGCTCCACACTGCGAGTACGGGTACCCAATGGATCACGAGCGTCCAGCACTTCCAAAATAACATCTGCATTCTCCAATACCTTTCTAAACTCTCTGTAGTAGGCCTTTTTGGAATTGTCCTTTTGTCCAGTAGCTGCGGCATCTGTGATGACCTTGTTATCCTCATTCTCTCCAACAGTTTCGTCGAATTCTTGGCTACGCTTCTCGGCATTCTTCACCATATCAAAGATGTTGAGATTTCTGTTTCTGTTTTGCAAATTTTGTCTGGCCAAGTCTTGACGTTCTTTGTTGCCTGCAATCTGTACATACGTTGACATTTAGAGTGATCGTCCTGACATTGGATGCTGATGTTTACTACCTTTTTACGATTGGCCTCCTCCTTGTTTTGCTTCTTTTGCTTAAAGTTGGCAAAGTTAGGTACACCGGGATCCTTCTTTCCCTCTATTTGAACACTTAATTGATTAGCACTCTACTCTTGCTATGCTCCATGAATCGGGTACTTTACTTGCTCCGTTCAAACGATCAGCATTGCGGTTTTTCTTGCTTTCTACAAGGTTGAAATCAGCGTCAGTCGCTTTATAAAATTACATACACACTACTTGGCACATACTGATTCCTGCCATACTGACTAAATACAATGACTACAGAAAGATGCACAAATTTTTTTTTTCGAAATTAAAAACTTCAAAAAGGATGGCTTTCATGATCTCTCGCTGTGGCGGTCACAGAAGGTCACAGAATGAATAAGCAGATCAAGGACCTGAAACTTGACCAGATCATTCTGTCTCATTCGTTTGACATGTGTACTTTATTCAAATGAGGGGTAAAATGATATATATTCTAATTTGCATTTTTTTTTAAAATCGAATGCCCATGTTAGGCCTTTCAAAGCTAGGTGCCATGGATCCTAACTTGACATTTTGCTGTTGCTGAGGGTTTCCAGTCGACATCATACTGGGCAAAGGCACTAGACTTCCTTTGCGCTGTCTCTCCACAAACAGAGGAGGTGATTTCTGGTAAATGTTGCTTGATTTGGAGAGTTTTGGAGATGGCACTACCGAATGCATCATGGGTTCAGGTGAAGCTGTTGTGGAGGATTTGGAGGCGGTGAGTCGTCTCAATGCAGATGTGGATGGAGAAAATCTAGACTGGAAGATGCCTTCATCTTCGTCATGCGATTGTCTGCCTGATGAGGGCGATGTTGTGTAATGTGTAGGGAATACAGAGGGCGAGTCTGTCGTGCTGTTATTGTATTCGCCTGGAAATCCCATCTGTTGGTGGTGTTGTTGCAATTGCTGTTGTTGGAATTGCTGTTGTTGCTGATGTAACATTTTCTTTGCATTGATCATGACTCGCAAAGCTCGTATCTGAAGAGAAGTGCGTCCAGTAAGAGCGGAGGTTTCATACACCATACTGGCTGTTGAAATAGTGAGGATCTGATGCAAGGCGTGTGTTGCGAGAACACCCAGTCTGGGCAAGTTGTAGACATTGGATAGCACCAGTAGTCGCGACAAGATTTGAGGATGGTGCTGCTGTGCTGTCATCAAGTGATCTGTGTAAATGTACTGCAGGAACGCCAGAGTAACAGGATAGCTTTCGGGAAAGGACAAACGCTTGTAGGTGGAATTCTCGTTCTTCTCGCTAAGAATAGACGCAAAGTGCTTCCATCGCAGTGCAATGACACTTGAATTTGCTGGAATCGTGCGGCCGTCATCTGTCAAAATCTCAATGTCAGACATGCTAGGTTCATTCAGCATACTCAAGCCCAGTTCTTGGGCAACTGGTGCACATGTTTCCTTGGGGTACGAGTAAATACCAAAAGCCTCCAACTCGACCACAGCCACATGGGTGAAATTCACTTGACGATGGTTGTAGTCCTCTAATAAGTCTCTGGTCTTGTCGCCAAATACAAAAAACTGCTGCTTTTCGTCGTACAACACACCTCTGTTCCATGATCCTTGCGACAAAATCGAGCCTGTATCAATACGCACCCACACTAAATTCGCCAGATTAAGAGCCCAGATGTGAAAGGATCGATGTGTAGGTGTTAGGTAGGTTCCTGTCAGAATCATATGATGGCCCAACAAGTCTCCAGAGGGGAAGCGAAGACCTGGAGGCAGCGAGGCGCCAGACATGTCTGCAGAGTGATCTTTGAATTCAGGTGTCGATGTAAAGGGTGAGAAACTCTGCAAATCTCGGGTCACATCGGTAAAGTTGTAGTTGGAATAAACACATAGAGGAAATTCATCCTTGTTGTGATGTGTCTCCCAAAAGGGTTGTGATGCCATGACATTGGTATCGATGGATGAGGGGCAAAATGCCACGGCTCGGTATGCGCCGTACTGTCGACTTAGGGATCCGCCATGAATCCATTCCATCCTTGTGAGATCAAATACGTTAGATTCATTGATGTACTGATTCGACATGTCTTGGCCTCCCATCACCACCAGCTTGTCAGATGAGCATACTGTTAAATGAGCATAGCGTGCTTGAGGAGCGTATATGCTGGGCTGAATATCAGGGTATTTCCAAATCATCAGATCCAAATCAAAAAGACATATGTCGTCCAGCGCACATAGACTTTGAGAGGAACGTCGAACCGAGTAACTCATGCCGCCAAATACAACCAACGTACGACCAAATAGATTGGATGAGTGAAAGTAGCGAGGTCGAGGAGGAGAAGGCGAATCAGGCTGAGCAATGTGGTGTGTCCAAACCAATGTATCCAGGTCCAATATATAGAGATGATTTGTCATTTGACGTGATGAAACCAGACGTCCACCAAACACATAAAGCTTGTTTCCTGCAACTGTGGTGGATGCGCCTACTAAAGGCGGTGGGATGTCTCCAGTGGTTGGCTTTGTTTCTGTGGTAAGATCGGCAATCGACTGTGTTCCTGAACTCATGTTGTCTGCGTGTGTGTTGTAGTTGCTGCTGCTGTTGCTGCTGCTGCTGCTGTGAATGATAATGTGGATGCTGCTCGCTAATCAGCGTATTATACAAACAGTAGATGCAAGTAGTGTGATGAACAATCTTCTAGCCCGAGAAGATGATAAAATAACGAAGAAAAAAGGAAAAAGAGGAGTGAAAAAGGAAGAAACAGAAATAGGCTTTTTCTTCTGGATGGGGTCAAGGCAAATAATATAAACAATTGGTGAGTGTTACTTTTGTAATTAATTGTGTAACTGGTAGTTTCTTGTATAACAATCACTTTATGGAGTGCTGGATTATGCCTCAAGCATCTCATCATGGCTGACGATGCAGTAGCACGCTCTTCTCAATTCATGTGCCTGTGATGGATGTCTCCTTGAACTACTGCTTGATGCCAGAATGTGCGCTTTTTCTCATCGCTGCAAACACTGATAGAAGGCAACTAAGAGACCAAGATGCAGTATAGACAGAAGCAGCAATTGATGTCCGCGCATTTTATTTAGTGCTACCATCTACCTGATATACGAATTGCAGCAAGATGTATAAATACGACTGTTTTCAGAAAGATCAAAGCAACAGCTTTGCGTCAATTAAGCTTCTCCTTGCCTGCTGCTTATCAAATCACTCCAAAATCCATCGCATCAAGGAGATGTTGCGTCTCTTTGGATGATTGGCCTTTTTATTTGAGGTATGAGGTGCTATCTATTTTAGCTTGATTTCCGTTAGCTCTGTGTGATTCCCAAAAATATTGAACGTCTAGCCATCTAATTGGAAATCTGATACATATACAACTTTCTTGTCCTCTTGAGAAAACAGTGTAACATGTTGCATCATTGCTCTTGCAACTCGACACCTTGGTCAATCAAGCGATTGACATAGGCAAGCACTTGCTCAAAGTAGGCATCTACCTGGAAGTCTGCCATCTTGGGTGTTTGCCACTCGAACAAGTCGGTTGACAGGCACACATTGCTGATGTGGATCTGGCTAGTATAATCCTTGTATGTACCAATCGTATCCATTGCAGTTGTTGGCACAAGATGGTGGTCGTATATGTTCAATGCACCATTATATTGGCGTTTTTTGTAGAATGGACCTTTGCGTACTCTGTAGTCGTAGCTGGAGTGCTGCCTTGTTGTTCTGTAGGTTGACACTAAAAATTGCTTCAAGTCCTCGTTGCCATGGTGATTGGCGTGTTGAAACATCATGTCCATGATGAATACGTGTGGGTTGCTTTTGAGATGAATATAATGGTCGCTGTTGTGAATGCAGTACGCTAATAAGCAGCCTGTCATAAGACAGCTATTGTAGCTATATCGAGCAATCATTTCATCACACACAGCTACTGGCACTGGGTTGGGCGATAGTAGATCATGCATGTCAATTTCTGCCATGTTGACTTGATCAAGTCGTCCATGAAATAGATACATGTTTTCTCTGTAAGCATTGAACTCTTCCATCTCTTCATGTAGTTGAATGGTCTGATAAATGTGGAGAAATCCTCGGAATGCTGTATGTTGGCCTTCGAATTCTGTGTCTTCGTCTTCTGGGTGTGGATGATGCCATCGCACTATGTCTGTTAGCTCTGAAGATCCAGATTCAATTGCTTTAAACATGGATACACGATAGGACACTCGGTTGGATGCGATGAATGCCTTGAAGTAATTTAGATCATGTAATTTGATTAGATAGTTTAGTTCGTCAATATTGTTTAATCGGCAAGGTGACATTTTATTTTGATAGGTGTAGACTGTGCGTGTGTATACCTGAAGAAAAAGTATAGGGCGCATCCGTGTATATATATATATATAGCCTTATTTTTTGCTAGGTAGGAGAGTCCATGTTGACTCATCATGATGGTAGTTGTCCGCAGTGAGTCATATGATGCTGCGGCACAGTGTAGTGATCACCAAAATTCCTTTCCATTAGCATACAATGCCAATGTATCTAGTTGTCGGTACAAGATGAATGAGAGCATGTATAACTACCAAGACCTTTATTCAAAGCTTATAATACATAGCTGATTAGGATGCAGATGAAGAATCAGAATGCACTGATGGAGGTGTTGGTCTCTGCCATATACTGACACGGCCCCTTTTATCTGTCGTCACCATCACATCTTCTCTGAAATACACACCCACACAGGGATCTCCATGGATGGTCTTCGCCACAGTAGGCTGCAAAAATGCGACTTCTGTCTTTGATTGAACAGGGTGTATCGTTGGATACCGGTCCTGCATTGTCGCTAATATGCTCGACAACGGTGGCGAGTTGACAGAGGACACTGATGTGCCACGGTTTCGATTGGCAGCCTTCTAGAAGTAGATCAACATGTGAATACCAGTGCATTGATGTTGGAGCTATATACGTACTGTTTTGGGCCTGTGCAAAGCACTCACTGAAAAATCCCAGAGAATCAGCTTTGCGTCCTCGCCTACACTTGCAAATCGATACACTTTTTCGTCGCATCGCCATGGATCAAAAGCTACACCGGTGACCTATACATCATGCTCTTTTAGTAAGCTCCGTGTTGTTTAGTAGGCCTTCTACTTACCCAAGATTTGTGTCCCTGACACCGGGCAATGATGCGCTGTTCTCGAAAAGCCCAGATAGTAACGAGATCATCTTGTCCGCCCGTCTATGCAGTGCTGATTAACTCACATCCCATACAACAGTGGGACAACTTACCAAAATATACTTTCCATCTGGACTCCATGCCACACAGAACAAGCCACCATAATAAGATTCATATACATCATGAATACTACCATCTCAAATTAGCTTGGCATTGACACTTTAAACAGTTGTATACTTACGTTTCATGCAAAAAGTTGACAACCCTCAGTAGTCCATCATGACCCACAATAGCAACATGCTGACAATCAGGTGAAAAGGCAAATGCTGTAGAATACCACCACAGTTAGCTCGGTATTTAATTTGACAAGCAAGATACTACTGTACCCGTGATGGCTTGGTTGGATAGTTTCCAGTGAGAAACGGGGTTGCATTTGAAGGATATCTTGGGCGGTGGTTTGGATATGACGAACCTAATCGACATTAGCCATCTACATTTGCCTCCAGTGCAATGGATGTGTATCTTACATGTTCTTTTCGCTGTACTTGGTATTTTTTGGCCGTCCAAAGGAAGGCCTTGAGCCGTCGCCAGGATGGAATGCCTCGTCTTCTTTTTCCTTGTCGAATAGCATCAGTGTGCCATCTTGAAAAGCCGCCATAAACAGATTTTCATAGCCTTGTAGCCATTTGATCATGGTGATGGGAGACGAGTTCATGACGCCCTATACAATTCCGTAGTTTAGCAGAGAGATTTCACCAAGTCATACACAAGATACCACTCACACCCTTATTGATTCGGCTGTATTTATTGTTGAGAGGGTCAAAATGAATAATGTCTCCTGATGTAAAGCCAATAATGATGTCTAAATGATCTGCGCCACGGGTCAGTACATTTACATCGTGCGACGTTGGACACGCTCTAGCGAATACAATGCGTGAGAGAGGTTCCTAAACAAACAAATGAGCAAAATAAGCACATACAGCAACATGAGTTCCCTACCTTGGGATGGCCATGCGCATCCACCCAGACAAAACTCATGCCACAGTTGTAAAACAGATTGGTATCGTCACTTGTACGCGCCATCAAAATCTTTGCCAATTGATCATTTGTAATGATCCTCTGTACAAAACTGGAATTTGTCTTTGTAATGCTGGTTTTAGGCTTTCTGGGATGTCGGTTGCTTCCCAATGTATGATTTCTAGCCAGAAAAGAGAGCGTTGATGTGGGTGTGGGGCTCGAAGATCCTGGAGGTATAACAGTGTTATCTGTGCTACTGCTGTTGCTGCTTGTCGTTGTAGAGATCTTTGAATTGGGTATAGCGATACTGGGTTCTTCTGGAATAGAGTGGGACAATGGTGTTCCTAGTGTGTTGTTCTTGTGACTAGAGGAAGAGCTTGAGAGAGAAGGGGTTCTAAAGACGTGGTGTTGGCTGCTGCTGTGCTCTTCATCAGAATCCGTGTTGGAATTGTTGGTGGTTGTGCTGCCAGCACCATGATGGGCATGATGATGATGTGTGCTAAACATGTTACGAAAACTTCGAGCACCGGGCTGTGCTTCATAACGTTGTAAATTGTTGGGTGCTGTTTCCTTGTATTTAATAGACACAAGACTGGCTGTTGTGCCAACTGAATACAGTGGATGCATAGAGTTTACAAAGATGGAATGATCCAAGGTATATACACCTTCTGGAGTGTTGAATTGTTTACATGAATGATCTGGTGTTGTTGGCGGATAAGGTGCAAGCACTATGGAATTACTGTTGTTACTGTGATCCCCGGTGGAGTGTCTGCGAGTAAGGAAACTGCTTACGCTGTGAGAGGTCGACTATGGAGAAATCTGCGTTAATCAAGCGGATCTATCAGTGGCCTCATATAGTCTTGTTATAGTTACAGTATCGACCATTTATCTAGTGGATTACAAAAAAGATAAAGATAAAAGAGAAGAAAGAGCCAAGAAACAGAAAAAGATAGAGTTTTAGGTATTATAATGAAAAGTTTATATTTGGATTTTTCCGTTGCTGATGCTGCTGGTGCTTCTGCCCCACCACGCTACTAAATTTATTCCATTTTGCCTTAACAAGAGTGCCACAGGCACACACACAATCAAACGGACATTCAACGGAACAATCAAGCATGTCATGATTGGGTAGATGTCGTTTTCAGGGGCTCCTGTGGTCTGCTGCTTCTACAACGCTTGTAGTGTTTATTTCAATCATTTGTCGCAAAATGCAAACTGATCTGTGTATACAAATGTTGTATTTGCAAATTTGATTGCAAAGAATTCAAGTCCCAGAATAATATTTATAGCTACATATCAAAAAAAAAAAAAACTAAACAGCACCACTCGGGACCAAGCAAATCTTGTCATGTATTACTGAAAGGATCAATAAGTATGCTTTCTCGGCAAACTGAGACAACGTTTTGTGGACAACCATGGGCTATTGCTGCAGAGATGTAATGTTCACTTTCAATCCTACTGATACAGTATATACTCAAACATCATCCGTTACATTTCTATCATTGCTTGAGCCCCTCTTTAAGCAATCTGTAGCTGCGGATATAGCTATTTTATGATGCTTCTTCACGTTGTAATCCGCAGAAAAAATTCATTTGTGGGCGGACAAAATACTTGAAACGCTCCTTAGTGCCCAAAAGTATGCAAATCACAGCGAAACGTGGATGCATTTGAGCTGTGATTTCTCGTGCTACAAGCCGTTTTAGACCGCCAGAATAGCACCAAACAGTTGCTCTCATCTAGCACTAACTTCCAGATACCTTTGCTCAACTTTTTTAAGATTGCCAAGATTTGACCAAAAAAGCATGAGGAATACCTCATGAAAATTGTCAAAAATCAAATGATCGCATTGTTGACCTTGATAATGAAGATTTTTATGCAAAATATGGCTATTTTCACTATAAATCTCATTTCAAATTTTATTGAATTTCTCGATAGCTTTATTCAAAACATCTATTGTGATTAGCACCATTGTAAGCGCCTTGAAAAGTACTCCAGGAATGTATTAGGAAGCGAAGGGTGATCATCACAATTTATATAGTCAAATATCACGAAATGGTTGAAAGAAGTCGAGAAAGGACAAAATCTGTCCAATCTTGAACAGAAAAAAAAAATAATCTGAGTTTGAATTAATTTTGGCGGCGGCGGCTTGCTGCCGGCTGACCCAAATGCCTTTCTTTTGATGACAACAATGATGGATTGTGATGCTGAATAAATGGGGATCATGGAATTGAAAGGACAACTACTTTACGCAAATGCTTTTTTTGGGGGAGCTCTGCCTCATGAAGGTGCCTTTTGTAATGACAATGTCTCAAAAAAAGTCGCTGTAGATCTTTCACAAGTCCTGTATTTACTTAGGACCAGCTTTATGTCGCCATCTTATTATTAAGAGCATCAGCAGCAGAGAATGATATGACAATTCTATTATCAGAAAATGGCGATTGTGGCGTACAAATGCTGCATAAAATGTAAACGTTCTTTCACATTATGATATAACCTTTCTTTTACTAACTGATATTTGGTTGTTTAAAATCTACTTGATATACCAAAATTTTATAATATCTGATTTAAAATGTTTTTGGCGAGAGCCCACAGGGCGACGCCGACATCGAACGTAGCGAGATAGTTTGGCTAGTTGTATACTAGATATACAGTAGAACATTCATGATAATAAAACCTACTCCATATGATATTTACTACTACTACTTGATTTGTAATGAAAACGTCAGACACTGTAAAAATGGGTACACTATACGAATAGTTTATTGTTGTGTTGCAATACTCGCTGAATCACCACTCATCACAACAGGAGCTGCTTTCACTGACTCTGAAAAAGTAGACGCATGTGCATCACCATAATGCTTGCAATACTGTTTCAACCTCTGCAAGATAACATGCTTGGTTACTGGCTTGCTTAAAATATCATCAAATGCACCTGCTAATTGCACTGTGCGTTCATAAGCTGTAACAGCAATGATGGGCGTTTCACGATTACTGTTATTTGTGGATTTGATCATTCTGGCTGCCGTTTCACCGTCAACTACACAATAAAAACACATGGTTAGGCATCTACCTTGGACATGCATAGTATTTCAACTTACTAATAGGCATTCTTATATCCATAAAGATAATATCGTATTGCACATCGCTCATGGCTGAACGAATGGCTTGAGCACCATTTCTGACAATGACACATCGACAATGCAACATTTGTAGAATGGTTTCAATGATTTTACAGCTGATGGGGTTATCGTCTGCTACAAGACATGCTAAAGGCTTTGATTTATGATCAGTAGAGCGTGATACGGCTGGAGATGCGGATGCTGCTGCTGCTGGTAAGGAGCTTTTACGTTCTGGCTTGTTCAAGGGCGAGATGATCGTAGTAGGCTTTTGTGTTGTGTCTATATTACCCGCATCTTCTACTACAGGGCGATGATGATGTGAATGATGTGAGTGATGTGGTTGATTCTGTAATGAACCTCCTCCTCCTCCTCCTCCTGAGGATGATGGTGAACCTGAATGAGCATGAGCGACAGCGGCAATGGCAGCGGCTGCTTTGGCAGGATCGATGGATGGCGTAGACAAGGAGCGTGTTCTTTGTGGCGTACCTTCCTTGGAAGAAGATGCGGATGAGATATCAGACATTTTTGTTGGTATATGAGGCAAGGTAGAATCTGCGGGTCGTCGTCCGCCACCTCCAATGGATGGGGGAGATACCATGCAGAGTTTAGAGGAAACGGAGGGCGACATGGACAAGGGCGTACCACACGTAGACGAGGCAGTGGATGGACTGTAGTTACTACCAGTGGGTGTGCATTGACCTGAGGTTGCTTCATGCGATAAATTGCTCTTGGATTTGGTTGATATGGCAGGGAACTTGCGATGCAACAGCTTGCCAGTAGCTGGATCAGTCATGGCATTGGCAGAGATGCTGTCATGGCGAATCTTGCGAATCATGTCTTCGTTGGCCTTTTCCAACACAGGTAGGTTTTTGTAAGTGAATGTACCAAAGTCCGTAGTGTCTGAATCATCGCCTTCTTCTTCTGCTGCGTCATTCGCATTATCTTCTTTTGCATCTCTAGAAATAGCAGGCTTCTTTCCATCTGATTTACTCTTGCGTTTCTTCTTCTTGTCACTCATGGGCGGTAGGTTCTCAGGGTTCTGTTCTCGAATGATGGCCTTTGCACGCTCTACTTGGGCTTTGGCGGATTCGTCAAGGTGTTGCTGGTCCATCACATTGACTTCATCTGGCGCATTCTGCATAGTAGCACCACGTGCGTCAAAGTAGTCGGTGTCTTCCATATCAGCGGGTTGCGGTATAAATGACGGTGATTCAGTCATCAGTGTGTCCCAGTTGATGTTCTTGAAGAAGGGATGTGCTTTGACTTCCTCTGCGCCATTGTAGCCAAGTCGCTTCTGTGGATCCAATGTCATCAATCTCTCCATAAAATCACGAGCCTCAGGTGAAATCTGAACCACGTCTTCATGCCAATCAATACGCCTGGACAAAATATTCTCAAAGACCTTGTCGGGTGTATCCGCATGGAAAGGAGGGATGCCATATAGAAATTCGTAGCAAATGACGCCCAAAGCCCACCAATCTACCATGGAATCTTGCCCTGTACCTAGGATACTTTCTGGTGCAAGATAATCCGGTGTACCCACAGCCTGTCTTGGTGTGGCAGCAGCAGTAGCAGAGCTTTCTTCTCTGCCCTTGTCTGATTTTACCATGCTTGTTGAACTAATACCAGAAGCCAGTGTATCTGACAAGGCAGCAGACACATGTCGGCGATGGCCAGGGTTGGGCTGTTCATGCTTCATTCTTGGCTCAGGCGATGCAGGGTTGATAATAGCATCTTCATTGTTGATAGTGCCAGAATAAGTCGATTGGGGCGTGTTACCGCCTTGACGCTGGTCAAATAAAAGACTAAAATACGAGTGTCGATATGCGCCATTGGGCGTGGAGGGCTGCTGCTGATCTTCTGGGGACTGTGGGGGCGTGCCTGAGCGAGATGGAGCAGGAGAGATGGGCTGAGTACGGTCATGGTACGCTACGTTGGTCAACTCATCACGTACACGACGATCCAAAAAACCAATACGAGACAGTCCAAAATCTGTCAGCTTGAGATGTCCATTTTGATCTATGAGCAAATTATCAGGCTTCAAGTCACTAGTAAAAAAAAAAAGAAGCGTTAGGGCTGTACTGAAATACCACGGCTAATTGCGCCTTACCGATGAATGACATTCTTGCTTTGAAGATACTCTAAACCCAATGTCACTTCTGCTAGATAATTACGCGTCCAATCCTCAGGCAAGCTACCAATCACTTTGATTAACGCTGAGCAATCACCACCATTCAAGTACTCCAATACCAAGTACAAGTAATCCTTGGACTGGAACGTGTAGTAGAGTTTTGTGACAAAGGGACTATCCGTCTGTGACATGAGAATCATGCGCTCTGCTTTGACGTTGGTCACTTGATTCTTGGCAATCATGTCAGATTTCTTTAAAAACTTGATAGCATAGTAATCGCCCGTGGTTCGTTTTTTGGCTAAAAAGACAGAGCCAAATGCACCTTTGCTGATGGGTTTGATAATGTCGAAATCCTTGATGCTGGGAAACGTGGGTCGAGATGCAACAGGTGCGTGCAGTGGAGACATGGGCGATTTAGACGGTGTGTCTGCTGCTGATGCTGATGTTGATGGACCGTTGCTGTTGGGCGTTCTTGATCCAGAGGATAATTGGTCTTGCTTGAGGCTAGGGACCAACTTGGGCCGCAATCCAGGAGACCCAATGGGTGTATCAATGGTTTCCATCTCAACGATAGGCGTGTTTGTGGAATCAGGTGTGATGGATTTGAGTCTCCTTGACAATTTACCAACAACACCAGAGGATCTTCGCTGTCGCCATGACTTGATCCTGCTGATTAAGCTTCTTCTGGCATGTGAAGACTGTTTGGGCTGCTCCTCCTGCTGTTCTGGCTCTTGTTCTGGCTTCTGTTCTGGCTCTTCTTCTGCTGCTGCTGCCTCTTCAATGGGGCTAGCATGGTCATCAGCAGACTTCTTGTCATCCACAGACTCAGAGACAAACTCGGTCCAGTTGGGGTTCTGGTTGGTGTTCTTTTGGAACTCTGCTCTAGCACGACTGTTGTACAGGAGTCTATCACGCATGCGGTTCACAGCATCCACTTTGCCGCGTGTCAAGTCTTCGGTGTCCTTGATCAGCGTAGTCATCATAGGATCGTCTGACGTGGGCGGTCTCCAGTACAGAATTTGCACCATCTTGTTTTTGGATCTGGGTGATTGCTCGCCGTCCTCAGTCTCAGAGTCGTTTTCCTCGTCGTCCTTTTCAATGCCGTCTTCAATGCTGCCAGGCATAGAGATACTGAGTGCTACGTCAATGATGTCCAGCAAATCTTTGAATTGGCCAAGCTCTGCTTGTTTCATTTCCAGTGGTTCAATGGCTGCGTCCAGAGGCAGGCAATCACCAAAGATGGAGTCATTGTCGCTATCGTGATCCTCTAGCATTTCTCGCTCCAAAGGTTTCTTTCCTTCCTCTAGCGTGGTGGCTGTGTTGGACTCCAAATTGCTGATTTCTTGCTTTGTCGCCTCCATTCTTTCGTGAATAATGTGTTTCAGTTCCAGTAGACTATCATTGCATCCATTGACATCCATTTCGCTCTGATGAATCTCGACACATAGCTCGGAATGCTGCTCGAAAAAGGCAGCAACTACCCATCGTTCACAGACTCTACACAACACAGGCGGCAATGCCATCAGACTAGAAAGCGACACAGGTATGCCTTCCAACACTTGCTGTTCCTCTTGCTGTTCAGACTGTGCTGTAGCTGCCGCATTGGCTGGTAAGAAAGGCGGCGTATGGATGGCTGGTTCGGATTTGGATCGATTGCGCACCATGGCTCGATGTTCCTCCATGGTGATAGGCTTGTTGTCTTGTATAATCTGGCCTTGGTCATAAGTGACATCTCGCATATAATCAGCACCTTCTTCAGCAGGACTTTCACTCAACCAAGCTGCTTTCTTTTCGTTTCTCGGTGTCAAGGATATGTCAATGATGGACCAACGACGATTGATGACAGGTTTCATGACCCACATGGTATGACTGGGCTCTCCCGTCATTCGGTTGTACATGAGCATGCCTTTGCCCTCCATCTCAATCTGTATGCCTTCATTGCCAATGACATGGAAACGAACTTCGACTGTATGTGAATCATCCGCCAGCAGTTCTTGCGTGGCAGCAATGAATACTTGGTTATCATCCATGGATAGCAATTCAGTGATACTATGCCCAATCACAGACTGAGGATCAGATCTAGTTTTTATCAGATGTTAGCGCTAACGTCACTGACAGACTCACAATGCAAACTTACCCCACAACTTCAAACCATACAGGACTCACATACTGTACCACAGTGGTACCCAGGCTCAGTTCAATGATAAAGGTAGAGTTCTGACTACGCTCTGCTTCTTCCTGCAATTGCAGACTCTCCAACTGCTCATCAACTATAGCTTCATGCTCCTCTCCATAGAGGCGTGGATCTTGACTCATACCATCATTAAAGGTGGTGGTGCCTGTCTTTCTGGATGGCTGGCTACTGTTCTCATCTAAAGACATTCTTCCATCCTCATCGTCTGTTTCATCCATTTTGGAGAGATTGCTGACAGACTCCATATCATCGCCTTCCGTATCACTAGGCGGCACAGAAGACATGCCCATGTTGTTGACCGTGCCTGAAGCACTAGACCAAAACCCGCGTTCAGCAGCCCACCATTCCACCACACGGTTCAGAGCAGCGATACCCAGTAGCAGACGCACGTACCATTCACGACAAGGCCATTCCGGATGAATATCCCATTTAGCACCAATGCTTTGAATTCTCGCTACAGCTTCTGCACAGACACCGCTGGTGTCGATAATCTCGTCCAACGACGTGTCCATTACATTTTGTGCTACGGATATCAAATCTTGTAGTGTCAGAATAAAAGGTGTTGGCAAATAAGAGTCTTCAGAGATGAATGCTACCATGGAGTTGGTATTGATACCAATGCTGCCTTCTTCATTGGCAGCGGTAGGGTGAGTGGAGGAGGGCAGCACTACAGTTGCTGCAACAGGCATGGACGCATGCAATGTAGAAGGCGATGGAGAACTTACAAATTGCTTGGGAGTCGGCAACAGCTGATCAGAGATGCGGTGTTCTTCCATGGCAGATGACAAGCTGCGTTTGTGAGGCAAACTGTTTGTGCTTGGTGTCTGTGATGTATGCAGATGTTGCTCTTGGTGTTCTTGGTGACCTGAGGGTGGCGATGGTGTTTCGTCAATCTCCACGACGCTGGGTAGTTGACGTGTATAAGCGCTTTCGGGGTCGACTGGATTGGTAGCAGTAGAGGCAACAGCTGTTAAAACATGAGGTGGGTGGTGAGGAACATGATGTTCTTCTTCTTCTTCTTCCGTATCTAAACTGCCTACAGAACGAACACCTTCTTCCAATAACACGTCCATATCCTCTACATACTGCAACCCGCGCTCCACGTATTCATTCAGTCCGTCAATGATCTGACGAAGCTCCAAATCACAGGCTTCCTTTGCAAATTGCAGACGAGACTTGATTGAGTGTTGGATGCGCACACTGGCATTGTGATCATTGCCATCTGGCGTACTGCCAAAGATATGACTCAATTGGCCAAAGGTGCCCATGCGATTGCCAGGGTTATTGAACCGGTATCCTACGCGTTTAGCAAGGCTCTTTTGCGTAATAGGATTGCGTGGCACATTGATCCTACTGCTGCTGTGTGCCAAGGGAGAGGAAGAGGGACTATCGGGCACAGAGGACTGGACACTGCTATTGTCGTTGTGTAGCGACATGGGCGACATGCTGTCTGTCTCCATATGAGCAGCAGACGACCATCGGCGGTTGGCAACATTGTTGGTTTGCAAGCTGCCGGACGGAGAAGCACTAGACTCTACAACGAACGGCTTTATCTTGCCTTCAAGTGGGTGCTGTAAATCATGCAAATCCAACGACAAATTATGAGAGTTTCGCTTTTGGAAGCTTGTCGAGGACGGGGAAGCAGGAGGAGGCCTGGAGGTGTAGCACAAGGGCTGTGGTTGCTGCTTTTGAGGTTGCTGCTGCGGCTGCTGCTTCATCTCATCCACTGTGGAGATGTCAGAGCTCTTTCTTTTGGATTGACGTTTTGATTTCGAGTAATGTTCAGCGCCAACCTTGACATTGTGCCACCAGTTGGACAAGACACGATTGACAACAGAGCCTTGTTGGGATCCAGTGGTGGTGGTGGATGTGGAGGGCGACGGCATCTTGGCCTCCTTGATGGCACCGCGCGATTCCGTGTAATCTACATCTGACATGCTATCGTATTGCGTGGAGGACCTTCTCCTAATCTCTCTGGCCTTGATCACTTTGTATTCTTCCAGCCAGTCCACCCAAGGAATGTTGTTGACCATGTCGTAGTTGGCAGCGTCATTGCCGTTGTCGAGAGAGCCATCTGCTGTTGTCACAAGGATCGTTGGCATATTGAAATCATCGCGAGGCACGCGCGTCAAATTGGTTGTAGAATAGCGTCTTTCACGCACAGGGACACTACTGGAGCTGGCAGCGCTGCTTGAACGACGATGATGCGAACGCAAATGAAGCTTGTCTTCCAAGTCGTCTACTTTAAGACTACACCATCTCTTGACTTTGGCTGATCGAGACATAAACAGCTTTTTGGCGTAATCTTCATCTGATCCGTACGTTGAATAGTCAGCTCCGTAAAAGGACGAGGATGTCAGCATGGGCTGTCGATGTTGCTGCGATGCGCCCGTCTTGCCGTCAATGGCAGCAGCTATCATCAAATAGTCAGTCATGAAGTCCATGATATTCAGGAATGTTACTTACATGCAGCTATGCTTGTAATGGGTTCACTACTAAAGTAGTCCTTGATCGGATTGTAGATGACCATATCAGGTGCGGATGCTCTGCTCATGGAATTGGGTGCAAAGGTGGGTATAGCAGGTGCTGCTGCTTCAGGTGATTGTTGTTGGTGCTCATCAGGTCTGGACTGAGACTCGTTCAGCAACATGGCAGGGTATACGGGGCTCTTTAGTTCGTCTTCCATGGTGTTGGGGGTGTGGTGATGGTCGTACATGGGCAAAGACATGTCTGCTAATGGTCCAGCATCTAAATTCATCTCCACGACATCCTTATCTGCTTCTTGAGGTCTACCATCAATATTCGGCAAGGATCGACGATCTCGCATAGGTCTCCTCTTGCTGGAAAGCTGCTTTCTCAACAATGAGTGCAATGAGTGCTGGTAGATGGGCACACCATCGACAGAAGGAGACACAGTAGACGAGTTGGCGGCGATTTCACTGCTTGTAGACGCACTGGTGGATACATCAGGCAAGGTAGTGGTGGTGGTGCGATCCATCATGTTCAGTGGATGCTGCATGCCGCTCAGCAACTCTGCAGGTGGCGTCTCCAAGATGGGATTGGGCGAGTGCCCACTGATGATATCGGCAAGCTCTGAGCTGGGTATATTTCGAAGCATACTCATGGAAGATCTTCGTCTGGCTTTGTGTGAGCTTACATAGGGTGTGTGAGGCGTCGAGCTGCTTGTCAGTGTATGCGTCACTAGGGGAGATGCCGACGCTGATCTGTGTCCTCCACTGCTGTTTGCGCCTGTTCCACTGCCTCCTACACTCGTATGACTACCTGCTTTGTAGCGATCTACAAAGTTCTGTTAGCAAGATTGTTGGTGCATCCATATGATCCATAAACACTTACGAGGAGAAGACAATGGAGAATACATTTCCTCGCTGGCCAAGCTTGAATCAGTGACAATAGACGATACAGACGCTTTTCTCTCGTGCACGGATGATCTCGTTTTACTGCTATTGTTGTCATATGTCACATCCTCCATCTCGCCAGTAGCAGCATCTTCAGACTGCTTTCGAGTTTTGTTGAGAAAGAATGAATGAGCTGAATTGTCCGTGGTAGAGGATGATGCTGATAGAGGTGCTCCACTGTCCAAAGAGTTCTCTCGTTTGGGCGTCTGGTATTGCTGCTGTCTGTCCTCCCGCAGCTTGGATAGGGAGCCTGATTTCAAAGAACTGTCATCCGAAGACGCTAATGCTTGGTTCTGCAACGGTTTGGGTAGACCGAGTGGTGGAATCATGATGGATTTGGTGGGTGCTGCTGCTCTTGCCATGTCCGTTGTGGTGGATGGTTGAGTTAGGGGCGTGGAGGGTGTCGAATCATGCGGTGTCATGGAGGATGAACCGTCGATCCAGCTCGCTCGTTTAGATCTGACCATGTATTTTCCTCCACTGCCAGCAGGAGGGCTCGAATATCTCGGTGAAAATGACGATGTAGATGTCGATGTAGCTGGAGGAGGCGAGCGCACTGCTTGTGGATGCTGATAAATAATGGAGCTTTGGGGTATATCGTTGGATTCGCTTCCTGGACTACTGCCATAATCGACGTCTGCTGTTGCTGTTGTTACAAATGATCTTCGATACGATAAATCTCCTCCTGAAATAGAGCCTGTGGGTGAAGTAGGATAATTATTCTCGTTGGCAGCAGCAAAGAAATGTGTTTGCACAGGAGTGGCATTTAGCCTGGATGGATCATGATGCTCATCTGTAGAGGAGATGGAGGATCTGCTGGTGCGTCTTTTCAAAATGAGAGGTTGTGGAATAGGAACGCTTTTGAGCTTGGCGCAGGAGGTAGACGGAGGTGGTGGTGCTATCATCTCTGCGGCAGTTGTTATAGCGCTCACAGTGACAGGCGCTGCATTCGCCCTTTCAGATGATTGTAGTAATGGAATCGATTCTGGTACATTAGTTACTTTTATTTCGTCCTTGGGCGGCTCTACTTGAGGCTTAAAGTTGCATTCATCAAAGGGCTCCATTATGAAAGAAAATGCAGAAAGAAAATGAGAACAAATCCTGAACAAAGAAACATGTTCTGGTGTAATAATAGCTTGCCTCTTCCTACACGTCACAGGTTGGATTTCACTCTGCAACCAGTCGATTGGTGCAGTGGACATTGGCAAATGCTGCATTGTCTGTTTCATGCTACTATGCATTTCCGTTGGTTTGACTAGTGTATTATTGGATCTTTTGGCGACTTTGTGTAGAGTATGAGCAAAGCCATCTCTATGCAATTTGAGCAGATTTACATTTATGAATATGGTACATGGATTTGCTTATAACAAATGTCTGGTGGAGCATTGACAAGAAACTTTATATTGATTGTCTACTACTCCAGTCTAAGCTATATCAAGATCTAATATATATACTGCAAAACATTCAAAAAAAAAGTAGACAAACAAATCATATTCTTCCAAAATTTTAAAGAATTGTGTGCCGTACAAGGTGAATAAAACCACCGGCAAAGGTGCAAAGCCATAGTATTCAAGCAGCAAATTCGGTTTTTCATATCCATTATTAATAAGCTTACCAGCAACATAGCGCATCAAAATTTGCATGAATCAGCTTTACCAAGATCAAATATGCCACCTATTCGAATTATAAATTGCTCGAGCTACAGAACTGCCTTTCCAATAAATTGCAGCTACCAAAGATGTGATTTATGCCCTGGAAATACACTCTATAAAGCAATACATAACCAAATTTGACAGCTTTCAAGCTTTCATACCTTGACCGGTAGATCTTTCTGAGCCACCGGAATGACGCCAAACAATTGTACTTGATTAATAGTAACTTCCTGACACCTTTGCTCAACTTTTTGGGATCAAAAAAAAACATGGCCAAAAATCGACCAAAAAGCACGAGGGGGTACCTCATGCTTTTCATCGAAACTCAAACGATCGCGTTTTTCACCTCTAAAATGAAGACTTTTACTATGGTATATATCACACCAAAATGTTTCTCTCAATTCAAAGCAACCTCTGAAACCACTTTTATGAGGTTTTCATATGTAAAATCTGGCTATTTTTGTAAAAAACATCATTTCATATTTTACCATATTGCTCAATATTTTCATTCAAAACACCTATTACAGTTAGCACCATTGGAATCGCCTTGAGAAGTACTCCAAGAATGTATTAGAAAGCATAGTGTAATCATTGCAATTTTATAGTCGGATCTCACAAAATAGATTAAAGAAGTCGAAAAAAAAAACAATATCTGTCCAATCTTGAGCAAAAAAAAAAAAAAGCTGCGTTTGAATTAATTTTGGCGGCGGCGGCTTGCTGCTGCTGGCTGGCCTAAATGCCTTTCTGATGGTTGCAATGATAATTGCGGTACTGATTAAATCGGAACCATGGAATTGAAAGGGTAATTGCTTAACGCAAATATTTTTTTGAAATTTTCCTTATAAAGGTGCCTTTTGCAATGACAATATTTGAAGAAAGTTGCTGTAGATCTTACTAAAGTCCTGTATTTACACATAGCCAGCTTTATGTCGTTATCTCATTACTAAGAGCATTAGCAGCAGCAAATGATATGACAATTCTATTGTCAGAAAATGGCGATTGTGATGTACAAATGCTGCATAATAAACTTGAATCTTCTTTCACCTTGTCCCAATAGTAGGTTTTGTTTGATATCAGCGTAAGCAAAAGAATGCTGAGGGAGAGACCTCCTCTCCTCCTCCTGGCTCTGATATAATCTTTCTTTTACTAACTAATAATAATTGGTTGTATAAAACCTAATTGATATACCAAAATGTTATAATATCTGATTTAAAATGTCTTTGGCGAAAGCCCACAGGGCGACGCCGACATCAAGCGTAGCGAGATAGATCGGCTAGTATACATATATTGAAGATGTTTTTGTTTATTAAACATAGCGGCAATATATTGGGAACATAATATTTGGATCATAAAGGATTCGTAATATGATAACAAGTGTTTACTTTTCGAGTAGATGCTGATAAGGGTGATGACGTTGAAGATGGCCATCCTTGTACCATAACGACAAGATGTAGCGCTCAACTGATAGACGCACGATGGTTACGGTGATCAAGCTTGAAAAAGGAGGGGGGAAATGGAAATTGATTGCATGAGCATCCGCTTTTCTTTCATCCTTATCATCTATCACAATGTGAATTTGCTCGATTTGCATAGCATCATGTCAACCCAGAAGGTATGTCCATGTAGCATAGCACGTTCTGCTGCCACGAAACTCGGTATATCAGCCTTCTCTCGATGATTTGCCAGACTGATCTGTACACATTGATACACGGCACACTGCTGTATCAATTGCATTATCCAAATAATCAAATGACAGCACACTGCTAGTGCTTACTCATTCACAAAATGCTACTGTAAAGATGCTACAAAACCATCTACAACTTTTTGAATGGGTCATTTTAATCAGGCACAATCTTTGCAAAGATAAATGCTCTTTCCATTTGACACTCTATAACGAGTGAACTGACTGAAAATGTTATCAGAGTGTTTTTATATCTGAATTATTTGGCGCTGCTCAAGACAAATCAAACAACTGCACCTCTATCAGCTAGGTCAAAAAATTTCATGTACGTTGCATAGCAGCCATACTACGTCCTAGCAATGGAGAACAATTCAAAAATCAAACTTTTTCTTGGAGTATACGTTCTTTCGCAATAAAATCAAGCAAGTGTAATTATCTGGCAATAATGTCAGTCCACTGCAATTACATGTAGCTTGCCAATCAATGATTTTAAGCATTTCCAACCAACATATGCTGTGTAAAATGGCAAAAATAGCTAATAGCTTCAATAAGATGATTTAATATCTGGTGTTTCATTGTGTCACTCGCCATCTAGCCCCGCCAAAAGCATATTTATAACATTGCTAACTGATATACCACATCAAATCAATAAAGTACGGCCAAGCGTGGTTGTCACATTAGCAACTTATCGCGATCAAAGCTTCTACTGCCGTTTGGGTAGCTATAAGAGCCAAATGCAGTCCTATCCGTACATGAAGTGAGATGAGAAGATGTTGCAAGATGATGCCAATTTATGGTCGTGACTCCTACCGCACCAAAGCAATAGCAACGAAAAACGGGAGGAAACCCGAGCATCCTCATATAGATTCTTTTTAGTTTCTTCTCTTAGTCTCCCTTTCTTTCTCGCCAGCAACTTTTATACATACAATCAATACTCAACCATGTCACTTACACCCGAAATGACTCTAGGTCAGCCAAAATCTGGTAAACGTAAGCCTGGACTTCGCTTAACATCCAAGCACCTTCAGCCCGCTTCTTCCTCCTCGCCATCACCCAATTCATCCTCATCGTATCTCGGTACCTCTCAGTCCAACACTAGATTCCGAGAACAAATTGGTAATATCGTCAATGGAAATAATGGAGACAACTACAGCAGCCAGCCTGCAGAAGAGGAGGAGACCTCGCTAGCTGCTTCTTACTTGCAATCCACTTTACCACCATCAGTGTCTCAACAACATCTTCATCAACAACAGCAGCAACAACAACAAGACATAAAAAATCAAGATATCCCAGTATTGCGTGAAGCCCCTCTTCCTCCACCTTCTATAAACACAAGCCAGCAAGTACTGGAGCCTAATTCACACTTTATGGAACTAACAGCGGAGGATCTCGAGACATTATCAAGATTGGGCGAAGGTGCGGCAGGTACCGTGCGTAAAGTATTGCATAAGCCAACTCAGTTAGTCATGGCAAAGAAGGTTTGTTGCTGTTGGTTACGGGAAAAGCAAAGTTGTCTAAATGCTCTATATCGACATGATAGTCCATCTCCACTGAGCCCGACCCAGCTGTTCAGCGTCAAATTCTACGCGAGTTGGCATTCCTCAAGACGTGTGATTCGCCCTACATTGTCTCATTCTATGGTGTATTTTTAGACGATGGGGATACTACTGTTTCGTTATGTATGGAGTACTGTGAAGCTGGAAGCTTGGAGGACATTTATAAAAGAGCAAGAGATCTAGGAGGTGTCATTGGCGAGCCAGTGCTTGAGCGCATTGCAGAATCGGTAGGATCAGTGTGGTCGATTTTATGGCTAAGAGCGTTGTATTCAATGTTTGAATGTGAATAGGTCTGCAGAGGTCTCGTTTATTTGCATTCAAAAAGAGTGATCCATAGAGGTATGAGAGGACGCATGTATTCTATTTCAATATCATTTATGTAATGTATTATAAATAGATATTAAACCGTCTAATATATTGGTGACACGAAAAGGAGAGATTAAACTTTGCGATTTTGGTGTCTCTGGTGAATTGATCAATTCTGTCGCACAGACGTTTACAGGAACCCAGTACTATATGGCTGTAAGTATAAGACATATCAACATTGGGGGGCTATTTTTAACAGAAGCTCCTGAATCCATAGCCTGAGCGTATTCAGGGCAATGCCTATGCTGTACAATCCGACATCTGGTCACTGGGTTTGACCCTAATTGAAGTGTCGCAAAATAGACCTGCTCTACCACCTCCAGATCAACCTCATCTTTCCATCTTTGAGCTGCTTGACTTCATTGTGCGTCAGCCTGTGCCAGAAATTCAAGGAAGCCATATCTCGGACGAGTGTAAAAACTTTGTGGCTGTTTGGTAAGTCCCATTTAGACAAGGCTCTGCTTGCAAATGACTTACCTTTGCATAGTTTAACCAAGGATCCTAATTACCGCCCAACGCCTGCTCGTATGTTACAACACCCTTTCATCGCAAAATGGACAAATGTGCATATGGATTTAGGACAATGGGTCAAAGAAGTTTGGGGTTGGAACTAAAAAGTAAAGAAAGGGAAGATCTAATAAACATGCAACTTTTTCCTTGTGGGTTACCACATCAAATTACGCAATATTGTGGAATGTTTGTAGATATGAGAGACAGTTGCAAGAACGTGCACGTACGAACAAGATGCAATTTGCGACATATTGCCCATCATTCCAAGTGGACATAATCGAATAGCTGTATCAGCTTGTATTCTAACATTGTTGTAATAAATCGTTTATCGATTCTCAAATACAAATGCTCTTCTGCTTTCTGATTGAGCCCAGAATGGCCTAAATGTGCAGTGCATATCCTACAAGAAAAGGAAATGTTGCCTCAAGCGGCATTAGACAATTCCGTGACAAGTCTGAGCTGTGTCAGATGCTCTACAACATGTTTAATTAATCTTGTAGAGTGTTTACATACTACTAGAACAATTACATATGTTGCTTAATTATAAAGAATAATTGAGGAATATTAGCGTTATAATCGTTAAAGGGCAAAGGAGAACGGCAAGATGATGTGGTTGTCATCTGCTCTGCACCGCAGCTTATACGCAAATAAACCTGTTATTCAAACATCTTGAGAGTTTTCAAAGGAAAACATATACCAAGTCTGCGGCAACAGTGTTCATCATCAGCTTCTCCCTAATCCAAGCAAGCTCTTGCAGGAGCAAAAAGTCAGGAGCGACAGCATCAAAGTATCTTGGGTGACACAATTCTTCGTTTCTTGTAATTCCTTGATATCAAATTTCCAGCAGGCATATCGGCAATCAACAGCCATTTAATTTTTAGCCCTGGGTACAATCACAAATCAGTCGGTGGATCTAGAGGTAGAAAAACTTACCCATAACCAGAAATCTAAAGGTTTACAAAACCGTTATCGAAATACCTGTCGTTGGATTGAATGTCATCTGCCTTGCCCAGTTTGCAGTTGCCCAGCTCCCCTCCACGACCTTCGAACATAATATCTGTCTTGATACCCATGCTCTTCCGCTGTCTCCTCTAAATTGCTTTAATGGCCTCTTCTTGGCTCCTTCCATGTGATGTTGCTGTGCTTGAGCATTCCCGGAGCCTCGTATTTATCTTTTCATCATCAAAACGGATGTAGATGAATCTCGAAACTCTGTGAAGTAGGGCCCCTTCTGAAAGAGCATTAAAATCGACATCTGGCTGGTACAGGAATAGCTTTGAAACTGCTATAACAACAGGAATTGATTCTAGCAGAAAGTTACACTCCATATAGAAATCGTAATTCCGTCAAAATTGATGGTTGTTATGCCCATCGGTTTTCAAATTGATGATTGGAATTTCGTCTCATCAGTTTGATCATGTACCTCTATTGATGGCATGCCTAGGTTTTTATCAAAAGATATAATGTCGTCTTGTAAAGCGTTTTGTATAGCTGGCAAGGGTTTGCTTTGGTACGTTTTGATTTCTTGTGATTCCGCCTGTTTGAAGCACTTGGATTTGGAAGATCTCCACAGGCTATCTGAGGGATTCAGGAGGAATGAAAAGACGGGATGATCACGTATAGAATTTTGCATAGTCTTCAGCATTATGTCTTCAACAAATCGCCCACTTGCGAGCTTCTATTAATCGCCGGCTTTCAAGCTTGCGTAGATGGCCAGGAGCGTTCTTTCTTTGGAAACTTGAATAATGCATCGTCGCCGAGATCTCTTCCTTGGTTCTTTCATCTGCAGCTTTCATATCTTCCTGGCTTGACCTGATTGCATATGAAAAAAGCTAAATAAAACGCTAAACTTGCTGAGGCGTGTTCTGCTCGCATACCCTGTTTAAAAAAACAGGGCATCACTGATAAATCAACACTAAAACAGATGCTTTGAATAGGTTCTTGATGATTCTCGAGCAAAAATTCCTACTAGCACCCAGATTGAATCCGACGTATCTAAAAACATAATGCATTCTAAGACATTACAACGGCCATTCTCAGGATTGGCAAGCTCAATGATAACAAACCCCAATTCTTATCCATAAAATTAGTAGCTGTAATAAGCAAATATCTTTACCAAATGAGGGTTTGTTCAGATAGGTCAAAGTCTTTGGAGAATGAGTTGGAGAAGAAAAGAAAAGAACCCTACAAAGATTGCATTGGCCTAATAAACAAATGGGGTTCGTTGCTGGTGGAGCTTTACCAACGTATTTAACAATCTTTTTTTACGATGATGACAGCAGTTTCTCGAAAAGATTCATAACTGTGAATTTTCGAGATAGTAAGATTTTAATATACAGAAAATACAATGTGTCTACTAATACTACATCTACCAATCCTCGTCAAACAGTCCAGGAATAATGGTAGCTTCGCCCAGTTCCTGACCATGATAAGCACCACGAGCTTGCCTTGTCATAAATACCGTTCTTTCCTTTCTCTCCTTCCTCAATTCGAATTGCGGAGGTAATTCGGGTAGACTGAAATAACTAGGCGGTTGCTCTTCAGAGGAGTTTGGACTCGTCAATGCAGCTGTCAAGGGTCCAATCAGTTCGCTGGGTAGTCCCTGAGGCGCTGGAGGCTCCTCTAGCTCTGGATCAAAGAACAGAGGACATTCAGTGGACTGGCGATAATGTTGGATGGCGGTTAAATCTGGGATGCGAAGTAGTTGATCGTAGGGTAAGTTGGCAATAGTGATAGGAATAGCGAATTCATTGACATGGCTTGTTTTAAACAAATGCCCTTGCTCGATGGTGACTTGAAAGCAAAGATCATAGTGAACTCGAGTATGGCGCGATAAGAAGGAGGGTGACACAAGTCGAGTGGGGACATCGAATTTGATGGTTTCTGATAGTTGAGTCAGATCAGATGTAGACGGAAGTGTTACTGCATCTTGGATCACAGTCCTGATGTTCTCTCGGAATGCTGTGCCTTGTTGAACCAGCATCTTGCCTTCATGATGCTTACGGAATCGATAAACGAGGCTTGTAATCTTTGAGTCTGAATGGAGGATCATCATGTTGAGCTGCATTTTGAATGGTTCATCCGGGCAATAGGTTTGTTTGTATAGTTTTGCCTGTACTTCGGCTAAAGCTTGTTTCTTGTCCTTCATGAGTGTCGTTTTGTATACCCATTCCTTGTCTGTTGGCAAAGAATTAGCCTCTCCCGAGAAGGCATACACGTCTGCAACAACTTACCCGCAATCGATACAATGATGGGTCTATAAGGTGTAATGTATTCTCTGCTCTTTAATCCGGATTGAAGAGCGGGTCCATCTGCTTGTGCTGTCCAAATATAACGGATACCAAAACCAGCAGGCTCTTCCATTGAAGGAGGATAGTTGACATTTGGAAACTGCCATGAATCCGGTCAGGACTATGCCAAGCGCTCTATCCAGCCTATTACGTACCTTTAATGCAAATGGATATTCATAGTGCCCAGGCTCGATTTCGTCCCAAGCGCATTGCGAATAAGCTAAAGCATTAGAGTTAATCTTTGTGTACCGATGCCATCACGTCATTTTTAGTGTTGTGTAAAAGTGCTACATACGGGAAACTTCTTGGCCATGCAACTTCCATTCAGTTTCAAAGTAGGTTGTAATCATCTCATGAACCCATTCGCCTTTGCCATCCGCGCCGCCTTCATCCACTTTGACCATGGCAGCCTCCTCTGCGCGAAACTACAGACATCATGCCATGTTACACACATTAATCCCACTCAACAAACACATGCGCCTTTACCTTGATTCTAATTCTCATAACATGGATACGCTCGCATAGATTCAACACTACTTTTCCTCGAACGATGCGGTTGGGGCGTACAATGACATGGTTGCCACCGTCAAATTCAATCGTCAACATGGACGAGTGGGAGTTGGCGACACTTTCCCTTCTCTGAGCTGTGCTGTTTCTTCTACTATCCTGTCTGTTGGAGCTCGTGCTGCTACGATTGGATGATTGGTCATTGTGCACTGGATTCTGTCCGTTCAGAAAAGATCCAAATGAGGGTGCACTTGAGGATAGTTGAGATTGCGAATTTCGTCGCTCTGACATTGACATTGGACGGTTGACAGACAGCAGATCTTGAGGTGGATTCAAGTGTGTGGGGTGCGTGGGCGAGTGAGATTCTGGTGGTGGCATGGGGATCGAGCTGGAGGACAAGGAAGGTCTATGTCTGGATGATGAGTGGTTGCTTGAACTCGACATTGAGGCAGCGAGAGATGAGAAAGAAGAAAAGAAGAGAAAAAGAAAAAACTCAAAATGTGAAACGCCAATTAAATACAATTTTTTGTTTCAAATCGTCATATTACACTATGGATAGATCCATGGCTTTTTTAATTTTCAACAGTATGCTAATTTTCCAGTTATCTAACTTGGTCATTTGGTCAAATTCAAACACTTTCTGGCTAAACAGGTCCTGATCGTTGTTCTCGATACAGCCCAAAATGCCTAATAAGAATTGATATTCTCGGGTATTTTCAAACGATAAATCCACGGCACAGTATTTATCGAGTAGTTGATGGCATTTCACAGTGTCCTACATATGCAATGAGTATAGCGCGCTACAAGAAACCGCAGAGTACAACTCACCCCAATGCACATGGAGCATAGCCCTGCTTTCAAAAAGTACTCTTTTATCGACCATTTCGTCAACTGGTTGTCCATTGAATCTGTGGCTACTCGCTCAAAGTTGTCAATGGCCACAGTGTATTGTTCTAGTTGAGCTGCAAAGTGTGCCACCTTTAGCAGACATTTGTTGATCATCCTATTGTACGGTTTCAGCAAACACAATTTATGCAGAACCCACAACACAACTTACGCTGGTGAATCATCGGCCATGTAGAGGTTGGCTGCTTGCTCCCAGTTGTCTTTGGCTCCATTCAGATCAATGATTTCAGATTCATAGATTTCGGCTATTTCCTGATGATGCTTTGCTGCATTTCTGAAATTGGCTGATTCCTTGTCCACTTGAATGGCACATTGCAATGCATCTATGGCAGCTGCAGAGGCGAGATGGACCGCTGTCAGCCACAAGAGAGACGGTATTCGTGTGCAAGCTCACATACCTCGGGCATCCATGCGTTTGAGACATTTGGCTGCGTTTTCAAATGATTTGGACGACTCGTATTGCAAATCAGGTGCGGTTTTGTACAGTTCTGCTGCCTTAAAGTATGCGTTGCCAGCATCTTGCCCTAACAACAGACGCTATCAGTGCATGGTTCAGCTCCAAGATTAGAAAAATAAACAAACATCTTTGCGCCAGCTTAAACGTGTTTCCAGCCTTCTCGTATATTTCAGCTGCATCTTCTTGCTTGTTGGTGGAATTAAACCAGGTCCAGCTATTTAACTTCTTTTCGGCTTGCAAGATCAAGTCGTGTGCCTGATGTTCAGACATTTAGCTGCGTGTGTGTGGAGAGATAAGAAAAGGTAAAAAGAAAAATGAAAGAAAGAGAGGAGAATTTTTTTATGATGTTACAAGTTGAAACGATGATTGGAATCAATGGAGAAGAGTGTATGCGGTGCGTCATGCGCTTGTATTTTTTTGTGTGATCCTGGACTGGGTCTTTTGTGTGTGTGTGTGTGTGTGTGTGTCCAATGTGTGTGGGGGAGGGCGCCATCTAGATCTCGATAAATGGGATTTCAATCACATAGAATAATACGCAAAAGTAGACAGAACAAGCCACCTACAGCCATCAACAAATCATTTCACACAATACCATTCGGCATAATTGGATGGATCAGAGTACGTGGTGATAGTAAATTTGTCAAATGTGGCAAGCTGTTTGCTGCTGTGATGCTTTCGTAACACGCTGCTTGTGGAAATACAACACCAAACAAGATTATAATGTATTCTGCAACAACAAAAGCATATAGTGCAACATAGATCTAAATGGCTGCATTGCTGTGAGCCCCACACACACACAGATAAACTGAATACACCACAACGAAAGGTGCAAACAAACAAACAGTTGATGCGACCTAATTTGTCATTGATGTACTACTAATAGATAGCCAAACTGGACACTGCACGGACAGCTGACATGATTGCAGATAAGTTTATCTTTACCCAAGCATTCAACTCGACAATAAATAAGCATGAGCTTCAAGTTTTTGTTTAGTATTTGAGAACATTCTAAAACAGTTGTTATCTGTATACAATGTATAAGTCATGTAAATAAGATAAACAAAGTGTGTAAAGGCTTACCAAATAGCTGAATGTAATGACAAATCCAGCCATAAGCAGTTTAAGGTATTGTGGTTTCTTCAGTAGCGACGACCACGTTTGGAGCTTGGATCCGTCAGCAGTAGCAAAGGAGACTGCCCAAATCTGTAACTACTGCTCTCTGAAGGACCCTGTAAGCTTCAACTTGACCTCGGAAATCACAAAAGGACCCTTTATAAACAGCCTGTAATAGTGGGTATGACTTTTCTATCATGATTTGCAACTTTATAAACGGGATCAGCTCATAGAAAGGCTTATAGCAAACTTGCATTGCCTCTTCCTACTCGCAAATATGCAAAACACAGCCAGATCTGAATGTATTTGAGCCGTGTTTTCTCGTTTTAAAAGTTGATTTAGGCTGCCAGAATAACACCAGACAGTTGCTCTGATCTGGCTCTAGCTTTCTGGCGCCTTTGCTCGACTTTTTTGAGATCGTCGAAAATCGACCAAAAACCATGAGGTATTCCTCATAAAAATCATTGAAAATCAAACAATCGCGTTTTTGGCCTCAAAAATAAAGAATTTTACTAAGGCATATGTATACTCAAAATGTTTGTATCGGTCCCAAGCAACCCCTGACACTTTGTTTGTGAGACTTTTATATATAAAACCTCAACATTTTCAGTCAAAACCTCATTTTGTATTTTTTTTTTGTAGGGGAAAAACCTCATTTTGTATTTTCCAAAATTGCTCAAAAAGTTTATTCAAAGCATCTTTTATAATTAGCAACATCGGATGCGCCTCGAAAAGTACTCATAGAAAGCTTAAAAGTTCTTTTTTTTTTTTTTGTAGGGGAGTCGAGCTCCAGGTTTTATTTAAAGTCCTTTAAATGTCATACTGAGGGATAGAAAAGACTGTTGGTGGACCCAATGTCTGCAATGAAGGGGAATAAGAAATTTTGAACTAAGTTGGGAAAGAAATCTACTACTAATAAGGTGCGAAACCTAGAGCCAATGCAATCTTGCGGAAATCGTCAAAAATAGAGAATGGATAAGAATACAAAACACCAAACGAGGACATCAGTACTACGTCAAAAATTCAGACAACTTGCGTTCACCAGGATTTGAACCGGGGATCCTCCCGTTGGCATACGGGAGTTCTACCACTTCGCCCTACCACCAGGGACAGCTTAAAAGTTCACGGGATGGTCATACATTTTATATAGTCGAATCTGTCAAAATAGTTCAATCAAGTCGAAAAATGAATCAAAATGAACAAATCGAGAGACGAAAATATTAAGCGGAGATTAAATAATTTGGCTAGTGAAGTGAATGCCATGCTCACTGCGAGGGCAAACAACGATGCTTTTTGAGGCCCCTAATAAGGATAGGATTGCAAATCGAAGACTAGCTATAGCTTAGCCTGGCTGCATTAGCTTCAAGTTTGTTATGCAGCTTCACTTATGGGTACCGCAAATTTCCGCTACAACATTTGTAAACTAAATTTCTTTTTTAGGGCATAGACGTGTTAAGCGACCTTGAATTATGTTTTTTTATATATGATTGATGATAATAATATAGGCAATGTTATTATAATATAAAAGTGCAAATTGACTTGTTTAGTATCAGTTCTTTGTTACTTCAAGTTTGGTGATTTATTAACAAAAGGAGATAGTGAATCTATGTAATAAACATCTCGATAATCTGTCGACTTCTAATTTTCATTTTAAATGTCTAATAAATGTCTAATATATCTCGTTCATGCACGTCGTTTATATTATTACAGTTGTCGTTCAAACCTCTTTTACAGATCAAAACCTAGTTTCTATTTTTTTTTGCTCTTTGCAGAAAAGAAGGTATCCATCTTGGCTTGCTTTGCACCCGAGTTTGAAGCAAATGCATGTAGCGCATTCTCAAACTGAAACGGTGTGATGCCAGTTCTTGTATTGACATGAACAAAATGGACGCCAAGCTTGCACACCTCTCGATTTCTGCTTTCATCGTCGAAAAAGAGCATATCGCTGCACGAAATGCCTGATTTCTCGGATAGAGACTTGAAATGCTTTAGTTTACTGCCGGGATAGATCTCGAGATAATCCACGTTCTCCACCAGTGTCGTATTGTTAAGCCCAGGAATACGCAAAAGTCCAATAGCTTTCTTTGCCCTGTCAATAATTTCAGAACCTCATATATATGTGGATCGAGGCCGTTCATACGTTACCATTCAGGAGTCTGCGTTCTGGATGCAATTCCAATTTGAGTGTCAGGAAATGACTTAATAAGTGCAATGATATCCGCTGTATGCTCAAAAAATCCGAGGTATTCTCCTGTTCTGAATGTACAGCATTATGTTGGTATTCTGACATACTATGCCATTTACATGTTTGCTTACGGGTTTATTACTGAATTTGTTGATTCATCATAAACATAAGGTGGCCCTACAAATACACATGGCGATTAGAATATGATACGAAATGGCAATACCTATGATTCGCATTACCATTTGTACAGTCGATCCTATCATCATTGGTTAGATAAATGTATTTACATCATCCAAAGCTGCATTATCGTTACCAATCTGGCCATAGTGTGTAATCCAAGTCAAATACAATCATTTTGGGAAACTTGGAAGGCATCTTTTTCAGCATGGATTTGGTCATTTTGCAACTGTTAAAGAAGTCGTTTAAAGAAACAATTCAATACTATGAATGTCTGTATTTATGGCTAGCCCGCAGTCATGATAAGCCCCAAAAATACGTAGTTTACTACTGCGGTGTATGCAAATGCCCACTTTGTGACACTAAAATCGATGAGATTGGCAGGAATTTTGAGTGTTTGTGCTTGATAGAGAGATATGGATCATCCACGTACTAAGAAAAGACTTGGCATCCTAGGCCAGTAGGCGTGCTCTGGCATAGATTATGGACAACATCAATTGGTGAGACGATCTGCGTCATCTTGCTTGCTAAATCACCAACATTCAGATCTCAATTGTAACACATGCTTCATTGTATGCGGTAGCCAGGGATGGAATATTTGAAAATATCAGTATTTGCTCATGTGAAAATAATCCATCTATGGTAACTACCACCTATGTTATGTAAGCTGTACCAATGCCGACTATATGTTCGTCCATGCTTAATGATACATAGATTGACTCATTCATATGTGGTCTAAATCATGGATGACCAAATCTTTTATGCATGCACTTGGCTGCTGGCAAACTTGTGCATATATTACATGCCAGAAACGGCAATGATTGACAACGACAATGCACCATTGCGATTATTTATCGTGATAAAATAGCGTTTTTTTTTTATTGGTCAAGTATTTACAATGGTTGGAAAGAGAGTTGAATAAGAAAGTAAAGAGTATTATATATATTACAAGGTAGAGCAAGTTCTAGAGAGGCTGAAAAGTATACAGGGGTTGGATTAGTAGCCAACACCGATCATGATACCGTAGCCGAGGGTAAAGATGAGCACAGTGACAACAATACTAACAGGGACACCAACAATCAAAAAGTCCTTGGTTTTCAAGTAGGGTTTGCCAGTTTGGTCCTCCATCATGATAGCAGACATGTTGGGATAGCCAGAGACAGGAAGACCCATGCCTGCAGAACAAGCCAAACCAGCGCCCATAACCAGCAAATTGGGATGGGGTACAGGCAAGCTTTGACCGACTTGTTGAACGATAGGGACAATGATAAGGGCAGCAACCGTATGAGAGACAAAGGTGGAGAACACCAAGATCAAGAATGCAAAGATGGCGAGGATAGCAATGGGTTCCAAATGCTCAACGCCATCCTTGATACGAAGGGCAATATCTTGCAACAAGCCAGACGAGGTGACAGCATTACCAAGGGCCATACCACCTTGAGCCAAGACGACAACAGACCAAAGGAAAGCATGCAGATCATCCTTACCAAGGATGCCAGTACCAAAAAAGACAAACAAAGGAATAGTGGCAATAATACCAGTGTCACCAATAGCGTATTCAATGGATGATTCAGCACACCAGAGAGCGATAGTCAAAATGGTGACAGCCATGACAAAGACTTGAGTCATGTTGACCCTGTCGCGAGTGGGCTTAACTCTGTTCAAGTGAGGGACGGCTCTGTCGGGTCTGTAGACGAGCAACAAGATGCCCCAGCAAACCAAGACACTAAGAATGGAAATAGGGAGAGCAACGCCAAACCAGATGCCCCAACCAGGGTTAGGGTTCATGTACTGAAGGGTAACAATGTTTTGAGGGGAAGAGATAGGAGAGGTCATGCCACCGATACAACTGGCCAATGCAATACCAAGCAAGAGACAGGGTGCAACAGTAGAGCCATTGGGCAAGGTACGCAAAATAGGGTTGATCAATGAGAAACAGAGAACAGGAGTAGCTACATTTGATATCCACATGCATAAGAAGGCTGCAACAGACATGATAGCTAACAAGACCCAGCGAGGACGGGTACCAGCACGAGAGAGTACATGAGAAGCAAATGCCTTGGCAATGCCGTATTTTGAGAGTGCAGCAGCAAGAGAGAAACCGCCCAGTAACATCATGATAGTGCCACTGAACATGGATTGGAAAACAGCTTTGGAAGCAGCCTTTGCAGCCATTTGAGTGCCGTCAGCATTGCGCATGATGCCTAAAGGCACAACCAAAAATGGAATCATAAGAGAGGTGGCGTACAGAGGAATGGCTTCAGTAGCCCACATCACGGCAGCAAAGATAAGCAGAGCAAAGCAGTAGTTTTCTTGACGATTGCCAAAAATGTTCACGTTGAGCAAGATGACAAACAAGACGACGGAGAATAAGAAAGCGATGATAGTGTTGAGTAACTCGGAGCGAATCTTGCGGTTTGTAAAAGGGATTGTGTAGCATTTCTCGGGTTTGCTTTCCTTGACATGGGCATCGAGAGTCTTGCGCTCTTGGCCAACCATATCCTTCCAGACAGTGTTACGATCGTAGGTAATTTGATCACGCAAGTGTGTCTTCATTTGACGGACAGCCAAAGCAACATGGCCACTGCAAAAGGCGTCTGCATAAATGCGTTCGACTCTTTCAATTTGGGCGCGGAGAGCTTCCACGGTCTGAGGCATGAAGGGTCTAGAATCAAGCACCATCTTCTTGAGGTATTGTGATCTCAGGTCGGCATCCAGGACCTTGTCGTGCTTTTTGAGGATCTTCTCAAAAGCCATACGGTTCAATTCCACATAGGAATCGAGTTCGGATAAGGAGACATACAAAGAAATGAGTTGGCTTCGGAGATCAACCAGTTGCTCCACATAATCAATATGGCGAGCGTCCTTGGATTGAGTAGACATGCGAGATTCAAAGGACATTTTGCGAGTCTTTTCATCAGAAACGTTGATGACTTCCTTGATGGAGCTTTTTGCACTATGAGGTAAATTCACGGTGGAATCTAGATTGGCAAGAGGAGTGATGTAATTGGGGTATTGAGGGTCATGGTACAAGTTTTGAGTGGGCATTGAGCTCTGAAGCGTGCTGTCGAGGGCGTCGAGCCTATTGTAGAGTTCAGTTTCTTTTTGAGAGTAGAAATCAAACACTTTTTCGAGTTGCAAGTCGAGTTGAGTCAGGAATTTGTCTTGGTTTTGGATATCGGATGAGAGTTCCTTCTCGGGATCAATAGCATTATTTACAGCATCCACTCGCTCTTTCTCAATCTGAAAGATGAGCTTCTTCAATTGATCGTAACTATTCATTTTGTTAAGAAAACATGTATTAGAACAAAAAACAGGCAATATAAAGGGGATTGCAGGTAGCTTGCTTCCTTTTATTTCATCTTAGTTACTTACGCTACATAGTGGTCGATCCAATCAGGTACTGCATTAAATTGCAGCGAATGTGAGAACTTCATGATAGAGGATTAAGGAGGTTATATGCGAAAGATACGGAAGTAAAAGAAGAAATCGTTGTTTAATATAAAATCGATCAAGGGATTAAGAAAAGAACTGTTTGTTAATTGAAGGGTTATTTTCTCGCTCCATTTTATGTTGATGTGGGGGTTCAATGGAGTCTAAAAGAACGATCAAATTCAAAGGGACCTAAAAGCTCCGGGTTGCACAGTGTAACTACACTTGCCTTTAAATTGTACGCTGTGATTGGCTTAAACAGCACCTCACACGACACCACGTGTGGTACCAGAGCTATTTTTGATTCGTTAGAACCAATAGCAATCATCATTACTTTGGCTGATCTAGATACAGTTATTACTCTCTGAATTAGGCCCTGTGCCTTGATTAAACTTTCTTGGTTCAACGGCGAAGCATCTCTACCATCCGAGCCTTCAAAAATTTGAGAGAAAAAGCTGGGTTTTTCTAATAGAAACTTCAACATTGGATGGCAAACGTATAATTGGAGCAACTTATCAACATGTTGTGAGGGAAAAAAAAAGAATTTTTTGTAAGAGGGGAACGTGTTTTGTTCAGAAACCATAGAAGATACGACATGGCAGAGAAATACCTTCGCCAATCAATGTATGCACGTGTGGAAGAAGTGAAAAGTCAATGGAACATGGATGACTCCGAAGTCAGGTCCTGCCCTTTGTTAGTGGTGATACAAAGCCAAGTAAAAAGGGAATCATAGATCCATAAACAATAAGGAGATAGAACCTTTTTTAGGCTGAAATCATCTGGAAACAGGAAATAAGTACATAATTGCGCATGGGTTTACGTAAATATTATTCATTTAAAGATGGCGGTATGGTAGAAAACCATTGCCTGCAGTTGATTAAAATCCATGTGATGGGAGTAGAGTTGTTTTTGCCTATTTCGGTAAAATCAATTGGAATTATCCATCAAGAGGGGTCCTGTAAAATTAAAATCAACTACTTTTTGTGAACACACGTCTATGCATGTTGAATACTGTCATACAAAGCCAATATTAGATAGCTTGAACTTTAATGAGCGTACGTCTCTATAAATGACATCTATTTATAATGCTTAGTGAAAAGGGCCTTATCAGAGATGCGCAGGCAAATATCTAGGATCTCATCAATGCATATTGAAGTGAACTAGACTAAATTCCCATCATAGGATACCCAATTAATGGTATCCCAATCCGGCCAAGCTACCATCAATCGACAGGTGTATCATAACATAATAATGTTCCGTCCCTAGACACTTCCAAAGCCTCAAAAAGGAAAGGTGTTGCTCTGACAAGTATCTTGGTAGACTGGCACTATTAAATATAGAATGAAAGAAGAATAACATGACTAATGATAGCGCTATGTAATCTGCCATTTATTTCCCATACGCTTCAAAAGCATCTATTACTGTATTGCCTTCATAATGAAAAGGGCATTGAGTATGCCTGCCAGCCCCACCAGCCAAAATTAATTCACACCCAGGCTCAAATTCTGTTCTGGATTGGTCAAATTTTGATAATATTCGACTCGATTGAGCTGTTTTTGCAGATCGACTAAGTAAAATGTGGTGATCATCCTATGATTCTTTAAGCTCCAGTCTTTTCTATCACTCAGTATGACATTTAAAGGACTTAAAATAAAACCTGGAGCCCGTCTCCCCTACAAAAAAAAAAACGCTTCTTTAAGCTTTCTTGGAGCGCTTTTCAAGGCGCATCCAATGGTACCAAGTAATATAGATGTTTTGAATAAACTTATCAAATGATTTATGAAAATATGAAAAGAGGTTTCTGGCCAAAATGTCGAAATTTTACATATCAAAGTCCCACAAAGATGATTTCAGAGGTTGCTTTGGATCGATAGAAACATTTTGATTCAAGATATACCATAGTAAAAGTCTTCATTTTCAAGGTGAAAAACGCGATCGTTTGATTTTTGATGAAAACCATGAGGGGTACCTCATGCTTCCCTGCTAATCTTATCCGCTGCATCATCGACATGATGGGCCAAAATCTCTTGCGCATCAATGTGAATGGTTACTTTACCGAAGATGTTCCCAAGCTGCGAGGCTTAAAGCAAGGTGACCCCATTTCCTCTATTTTGTACAATTTGGCTATTGAACCCTTTCTGCGGTCTATTCTCAATGGTCCATTATACCACGGCTATCAAATGCAGTATGCAACTTACCATCCCAACTATAATGCTAATGACCCTTTAGTTCATGTGTCAAAAATCCTATGTTACGCTGACGATGCTTTTGTATTTGTTCAAGACCTTCCTAATCTGGCAAGACTCGAGTACCACTTAGATGTCGATTGCAATGCAACCAATGCCAAGATTAACTACAACAAGGTCGAAGCTATCTCGCTCTCTGGTCAAAACACATGGTCATATTGGCAAGCACGACTCTCAGAAATGAATATCGCAAAATTCACATCCAACATGGATTCCAATCCAGTGATCTATCTCGGGTTTCCTCTGCTGCAATCGGTTCAACAACGTGAAGTATTTATCGGTGGTCTTGTCGACAATCTCCGGACAGCTACCAAAATACACAGTGTAAGAAGTCTCTCCGTCGTTGGCAAAGCTACAATGCTCAACAGTTTGATCTTGTCCAAATGCTGGTATGTACTACGAGTAACTCCGTTTGCTCAAAGTAATGTCCAAGCTATCCAGTCCATTTGTACCAAGTTTCTACGAAAAGGCATCTTTCCTGTTATCCCCTGGGCCACATGGACCAAGCCGAAGCCATTAGGTGGATTAGGTGTTCTGGATGTTGCTCTGCAACAATCAGCCCTATACTTTCGTTGGGTTCAACCGCTCCTCCATCCCTCTGACTCGCTCCACATCCTAGATCTCATGCTGGTCATGCTAGTGAATAAGCAAAATCAGAGTGCGCATGTGCAGGTTCCGTTGCTCTTTCCCCTCACACAAATCACTGGTCTCACCAAACAACGCACCAACACGGTAACAATGATCTACAAATCAGTTGACCGCCTCAAACGCATCCATGAACCAGTTCACCTCAACATTGCTACCGCCTTAATCCTACCTGTCAAAGCCATTCTGCAGCCGTCTGTCACTGTCTCCAAAATGCCGATTAGGGCCACTCAGTTGCAAGTAAAGGATCTTTATCAACCCAATCCTGACCAACCTCTGCAACTCGAAGCACGAAAAGCACCAACCATCCCAGCTGACATTCGACGCGCTTGCAAGAAAATCCTGAAGCAAATCAACGAGAACAAAGTACATATCCAACCGTACTTTAACCTCATGCTACAACCCCCTCAGGATGGCACCAATCGCACAATCGACATCTCCTTTAAACCGTTCATTGACTCCTATGACTTCAACAGCCAGCAAGGACTCACTCGACAGATTTCAACCAGAACATTCCGCACAGCATGCATCGAGGCTCACACCTCCAGCATCGCCAGGTCCAACTGGAATTTCTTCTGGTCTCTGTCCCTGAGCCTTGTCCACCGTAATGTCATCTATCGCTTCCTCACCCACACCATCCCGACCAAACGCCTGCTACACTACTTTGAGGTAGCTGAGTCACCTCTCTGCCCGATCTGTGGTAACGAAGAAAATGCTGTACACTTGCTTTTCCTCTGTTCCAGTAAGGTATCCATCTGGAAAGCTATCATCTTTGAATTCCTGTGGCCAACCGTTTCGATTGGTGATGTTATCCAAGCGTGTTCCTCTCTTGACTTTGAAAACATCAAATATGTCTCCAAATCGTACACCACTGTTTACATGGTCGTACTGGTAACACTTGGCAACATTTGGCGAGCTCAAGTTCGTATGATCTTTCATTCGACTCCATTTATATGGATCGATGTGGTCCAGCAGATCAAGAACGAGCTTCTTCAACTACATGCCCAAACTGAAATTCACAAGCAATTGTAATTCTCTAATCACAATTGTCATCTATCATCTGTTCCTGTCATCTATCGCTTTATCCTAAATATAACTGAATCTCATATCAATTGCGCCCGCCTCTTGGTAGTGCCCTAGGGACCTACTTACACGGAGCAATCAATAAAAACAATTTTTAAAAAAAAGTACCTCATGCTTTTTGGTCGAATTTCGTCCATGTTTTTTAGGTCTTCAAAAAGTTGAGCAAAGATGTCAGAGAGTAAATGCTAGATGAGGGCAATGGTTTGGTGCTATTCTGGCGATTGAAAATGGCGTCTAGCTTGAGAAATTACTGCTCAAATGCATTTTAATTTCGCTATGATTTGCATATTTTTGAGCAGCAAGAGGTGATGTAGGTATGCTGTCTGTCCGTATATGAATGGATTCCATTGATATAAATGTGGAGCATTGTAAGAGAGCCAGATCCACAGCTACAAGTTGCTTACTGAAGGTTCTTACTATGCGATATCTAATACACATGCAAATGTAGCATATGCCGTAATAAACATAACTGGGATTGACGAGATCTTATGCCATATTTTCACATGGCTACGTTGTTTCCCACCAAGGCTCAGTTGTGTGGTCTCTTTGTCACATTTAAATTCGTTTTCTTAACTTTTATCCATATGTTGCTACATTAAGAAGGTGAGAGTAGTACCATTTTGACAGTTGACATTTGCTCTATTTGATCCGCTTCATCCTATGCTTCCAGCTGTTTTCTATCCCCAATTATATTTATTTCACTATTGCAAAATGCTCATTTTCGACATTCACATGCAATGAGCTCTCTCTCCCCCCATTTTCTCATAGGCGTATTTCACATGAAAGATTTTAACACCAATGTGCAAGGTAAACAAAAAAAAAAAAAAAAAAAAAAAAAAAAAAAAGATCATTTGACTCTGAAACAGGTGTAACTGGAAGCTTAATTCGGTTGTCCTTCTCTACCTCTCCTTATTCTCGCTACCAGAAATTACAATGCTCTCGATTCACCTCTCCTTCTGTTTGCATTCATCATGAGCTGTTTATTTAATTGGATGATAAGCATAGCTTCTTCTTTATTTACATCGTCTAGA